CAACGCAAAGAAAAAAAGGTAGGTCAGAAGGGAAAATCTTTACTAACGTCTATAGGCTTATCAGTTCATCCTGTGCGTCCTTCGGCCTCGATTTGCGTACCCAGACTTTTATACTCGCGCGAGAATCTCATATCTCCATCTCATATCCCGATCTTCCACGACGACTGTGGCATACGTACATACATACTTACACGTTGCGGAGAGAATATTGTACAACACTTCCTTACGACAAGAGCTTCTTTCTCTCTCCCCTCTCTTCCATCTCGGAAAAGGTGAAACGCGGTGTTGCTTTGGCTTGATGAGAACACCCCATTGATCCCAATGCTCTGGTTACAAGGCGATTACTTCCATGCTGAAGATCATCACAATCGAAACTTTCGAGTGAGACCCAGGACACAGTTTGTGCGGTACAAAATGGACTGGCTGTGCTATCGGGGTCACCTGAGAAGCGCGGAGAGGAGAGGAGAGCAAGAGAAGACGACAGCAGACAGTTCATAGCACAGCTTCTATGCGAGAGGGATGGCAGCAGCAGAACGAGATCGATCCATCCATCCGATATCGACCCGAGCCGCTTCCCTGATTGATTTACCACGCGAGAGGACACGGACACAGGCTCTGCGTTAGGTGGTGTCCTCAGGTGTCGAGCATATTGTGTTTTGCACCTGGGTTTTGTGTGCCTGAGGCTCCCTCCCTCACCCTCCCTCCCTCTCTCTCTCTCTCATCTCGGAGTATCTGCCTTTGGGTGAAAGTCTACGACCCTACGGAGTAGTCCTATGCTATATAGATCAAGAGCACCTATTTCTCAAGCCCATCCACTTTCCTGTCCTTTCTCCTTTTCTCCTAAGGTGGTCGCAGACACATCAAGCCCCTGATTTGCTGGCTACGGAGAGCAGCAGACAGACAGGCATTGCTCAGTTTTGCAACCTGTTCTCCAGCATTCCATCTTTCGGAGACTCTAGAATCCGGACATTCCTGAGCCCTGTCTTGAACCAGTTAGAATTGTCTTCACCTCCCGTCCGTCAGTAATGCTCTGTAGAAGGTCAACAACAACAACAAGGGCCACCCCTTGCATAGAAAACCCGCGACCAAGTTTAAGACGCACCCCTCATCCACTGCTGAAGACATAGTTCAATCAATCCGCCCAACCCTCGCGTTTCGACATCGACATCGACTATCGACAACCAACCCGCGCCTATTAGACCTGCACGCGTCATTCGCTCTTTACTTGGGATCCTGCATATCCTATCTCACGTCTTGCCTTACCTATCCATAAATCCGGTTTTTCTTTGCCCTTACATCCGGGTCTAAAACACTCAGTCAAGCAAGTCGCAAATAGCCAAACAAAACCATCCAAGATGCGATTCTCCGGTCAATACGTTTCGGTGCTGTGTCTTCTCATCACGGGCACACTTGCCATCAACCCGGGCATCCCTCACGACGAGAACTACGGAATCGGAAAGCCCCATGGCATAGACAAGGGTAACACCATATGTCTGGGGCGATGCACGCCTAATCCGGTGGAGCTGGCTTGCAAGGCGCCAGTGGTGAGTTTCTTCCTTCCTCTTCTGGAGTATTGTACTGCCAATGTGGTGTGTGTGGGGTCTAACCGCGTGTTTGGTGGAATTAGTTCAAGAAAGACAAAGGGTGCTTCGTCTGCTGCTTTTCGGATGATGATTTGGATAGCTTCGACAAGCAGATTCCCGATGACCCGATTGGAGGAGGTTTCCTGCCATTCGAGGCTTAAGTAACGATGTGGGGAGTTTTTCTGTATGTTTCGCTTGGGGGTAGGTCGGTAGGAGGTGGTCGGGTGTCGCAGATCAAGGAGGGAATGGCAAGAGTGCAGGCGTCGGGAAACATCGCGTGTACTATAGAAATCCGGGCAATCGTCGATCAATGTTGCTCTGGTTGGTAGAGCAGAATTCGATTCTGACATCCATCCCACTAGTGTTCCATCACCTGGCCCTTGGGTGCATCCGTAAATTTGCTGAAATTCTGCTGTATTCGTCGACGGTGATGTTCAAATCCCTATGCCGAAAGCAGCCGATGCCGATGTGTTTCAAAATCGGCTCGTAGTAAACGCCAGCGTCCGACCGTTAAAATGTGTACATTTCTAGAAGTCGGCCCATCCATCATCGATACCTCGCTCGACGGAATCGTTTTGAATGCAGACAAGGGCGATTCTTTAGGACTGAGCTCGTTTTCTCTAGTTCTGAACAGAACTGGTGACGTTGCTGTCGAGCTAGACTTGAACACGGTTAGCACCTCAGCAAGGAGTTAGGTACTTGAGCCCTAACTCATCCGGGGACTGCAGACACCATGCTCGAGCACCTCGTTGCTGTTCTCCTTTAGCACAAAGAGAAAGTTTCCCTCATTCTGTGTCATCGTTGGCGGTTTTAATTGTCGCAACAGACTCCCAGTCACCATGTGGCTTCCTTCTGGTGTCCTCGAGTCGTGATTTTTATCTGCAGTGACGCCGTCGACCAGCTCTTGTTGACACTTTATCCCAACGTTATAATCCTCGAATTCCACCACCCATTCTCTCATCATAGTCTGCTCTGCAGTGGAAGTTTCTTAGCGAGTAATTTGAGGTCGGGTTCAGGTTGGTATGTGTCAAACTGATCAAGCGAATGGCGAGTCCCTGCTATCTCCATTCGGGCCAAACCTCCCCTCCTTGTGCAACCATCTTCGTTGAAGAGTTAATCCGGGGTTGAAACGGTCCAAAAGAAAAAGGCTAATACCACGATATCTACCGGTTTCCCTTCGATTGACTGGGTTTGATCGTGGATGCCTCGAGGCAACGGAAAGGCAGTGACTAAGGTGAGTAAAAGTTACTGGTCCATGTCAGCACTCTCTACCAACAGAGTTCATGCTACCTTTTTGTGGTTATATATCACAGAAACAGTTTGTGTGTAGCCTGCTTATTATGCTGAGAAGTCGGTTGGCCACGTTGCGTGCGAGTGTCATCATCCCATGAGGTCCAAGTCAGCCGATCCAGGACCATACACCCTATTCCACGTCCAAAGTTGACCTAGTTCTTCGGGTCGATTGATTATGATGCAGTGAATAACGATCGTAAGAGCTGATGAATATTTGAGGTTCTTTGGGGGCAGATCTGAGCGACGTTCGAAGACGAGTCCTTGTCCGGCAGTTGGTGATATGCAGAAATCGACCATTCGGGTGTGTATTCAAGATAGCCTGTACAACGTTCTGTGATTGGTATGGTGATGCTATGGGGAGAATTCGATGAAAGATCGATGCGGTGACGGTGAGATGATGGAATTGACGACGAGGGAGGCGGTTTGATGAAATCTCGATTTGTGGAGGGGTTGGAAGACGGATGGTTGTTAGACCGAATCATAGGCACGGACTTTGTATCGGGCTTCGTTCTCAGTGAGGTGACGATATGGAATCTGATGAAGATGGCTGAGTTGGAAGGACGTGGATTGTGATGGGGTGGAAGAAGTTTGAAGTTTGAACTGGGTTAGGGGAGGGGGGGTTAAGAAAAAGCCTCTCCGTTTTTCTAGTGCAATCAACCCATTGGGCATCACACGGGCTCTGGCTAGTCCAGTAATCCAGAATAGTCACTCTCGTAGTCGAGAAATAGACTAATGGCACTAGATAGTACTCCTCGAAAGAGATTGGGCGATTCTTGACCGTGGAAAAGCCGTGGCTGCTCTCCCAATTGGAAGGTGCCAGGGTGGGTATGGAATGACAATAGAAGAAGTTCGTTCGGCATCACCAAGTCCAACAGAAAGTGTTTACTGGCATGAGTATCCTGATAATATGGTCCATGACTAGGGGGGAAAGCCATTCCCTGGCAATCTACGGGACGCCTCGTTGGGCCATCAAGGAAGCCAAAGCAGAACGACGAATATGAAGGTACTTCTTATTTTCCAGCCAAACAGTGCAGACAACTCAGCTAAAATCACCACTCGATAATGTTCAATGAATTGTAATCTCATGCGTGGAAAAGCCATCTCTCCCGACGCCTCACTCGCCATTTGCCTGTCAATGCCTCCATGAATCCTAGATAGTTGTCAACGCATTCTGTCATATGTTCAATTCATTTCATGTCCAACACAATCTCACTTCTTCTGATTTCAATGAAAGAACACCAACTAGCAGAGTGATTCCCAAGACAGTGTTAGCATAAAGGAAGGGTTGCAGAAGTTGCAGAGAGCTACCCCCAAATCTGATCGAACTGGTCGATGGCAAGAGCAAGACCAACATCATACAGGATAAGGATAGCAATAAATACAGACCTGCATGTATCGGGGTGTGCCCCGGGTGTTTGTTTATATCTAGCAGTATTGTGGAAGCACTTCGATATAGCGCTCTTTGATATATTTCAGCAACCAATTTAAACTAGTTAGTTGTAGACGTCGAGAAGATGGAAAAATTAGATAAAGCAATAGTACTCAAAATAAAGACATACAAAAATTTCCTCAACAGACCAAGCAACTAGAAGACAAAACCCAAAAAAAAAGCAAAAAAGAAATCTCCCCGACTGGGAGTCGAACCCAGGTCTCCCGCGCTCGTTCTCAGTTGAGTGACAAGCGGAAATCATGACCGTTAGACCATCGAGGAATTGCTGAATAAAAGGCCAGAAAGTTTGCATGATGATCCTAATCAGCAACTCACTCACTGTCAACCGCGCGAGAAGTTACTCCGTACTCCGAACAATAAGCCGCTCTCTCTCGGCCACCCACATGAGAATCTGAAGCTTATCGAAGCTTATCAGCTTATTAACTACATCTTATTGACAATGAATGCTCAAAGCTTGTGCTATTATAACTCTATTCATAGTAAAAATTTTCCAAAAGAAAGGAAAGGAGCCAGCTGCCTTTTCCATCAACCATAACATCATCTCCTCGTGTTTAGAGGTCCTGGGTGAACCCTCGCAGACAAACCCCTCAATTTTTGACGGCAAAAGATTGAAGCGTGTTCTCCCATAGTTGATCGCAAGCGTCGCATCGGAGATTCAGCTTCAAGATCGCCTTTCATGAAGATGGCTGCAAACCACTAGACACATCAGTAGCGACGATCCCGATTTCCGCGGTCGTCAGGGGAACCTTTTGGTTCGGGGTATCATCCCAAAGGGAACTGTTGGCCGGAAATATCGATCCTCGTGTGTTATCGATCGGGGCGTCGTCCGCTTGAATTTCCACATGGGGCACGACGAGCTCGACACCCTTGGTAGCACAAGCACTGCTCGAGAACGAAGGGTTGTGCCGAGGAGGCAGCGGGCGGAAAGTCGAATCCGGCACGCAGCTCATGTAGTCAGATGCATTGCTGCTGACCGACGATGCTACGGTGGACGGCGTGTGGGCGAGAGACGGAATGGGCCCTGGGGCACTCATGAGTGTGGACAGGCTGGAAGAGCTGCGGTGATCGGCTTTGGGACGACGCATGGGCGCAGCCTCGCCGCCATGGAATTGAGACAGGTACTGCCACGCATCGGAGGAAGCCAGCGGCGACGAGTCGCTAGAGCTCGTCGGTATTACGGGCTTCCATTCGGAGGGATCCTGATCCGTCTTGAAGTCATTGAATTCGCCCGGTATCCGGATGGCTGGAATCGACATGGGAATTTTCGTGGGCGTCATCGGGGCCACTATGATTCGAGGAGACATGGGTGGTGAGGTAGGAGGAGTAGATGAAGAGGACATGGAGCTGCTGGAAGAGAAGGAGGCCGAGAGAGGTTTATGAGAATCTTTGCGGCGGCAACTATAAATAGAACTAGAGTGTGAGAATAGAGGACTGGAATGATAACGGGAAGCAAGATTGAGAGGTGGCGGGTTCAGCTCTAAATATAAATCAGGGGAAGGAGAGGCGGTGCTGGGCGGCTTGGGAATACGATGATAAGGAAAGAAGAGAAAAAAGCATACCTTTCACTGCAGTAAAGAAGCGAGTTATCTGGTACTGTAATTTGCCTCTCGCACATGGCACTGCAGGATTTGGTTAGCTTCGATACGTGAAGATAAGCAAAGTGATGGATCTGCAAGGGGAGAAAGTCCACGATGGCAGCTGAGGAATGGGTCACAGGGAGTGAAGCGAGAAAGAATGTAGACGGGAGAAAACATACCAGAAATTCAAGAAGCTGGCCGCCATCTCGAGCTGACGGTCGTCCTCCGATTGGCAGCGACGAGGGTTCCCTGAGCCTAGCTTGGCGATGGAGTGATTCACAAAGGATGTGCCTTTCCGATGTAGCGCTGGCCGAGCTGTTCTCACTTTAGGAACATTCGAACCCGAGAGGGTGCGGCGGTGGTGAGGATGATAATAATGTCCTTGAGTCATGGAGAGCGGTGAGGATATGTATAAATAAAAAAAAAAATCTAATATACTAGCCCCGATTCCTATCAGGTGTTGGTACCTTGCGCCAAAAAAGAAAAAAGGACGCCGTTCCCAGCGGTGGAGCACCAAGGTTCTCTTCCCCTAAGGGATATGGAGAATGAGGGATTTGCCAGCAAGGTTGACAGGGCGACTGGTTGGAACAATTGTCTCAGGCGGTGGTAATATTGCGAAAGGTGGCTCTGGGGGGTTGCAGTGCCGCAAAGATATTTGCCTCGTTCTTGGATCTCTCGTAATTTTGTTCGCTTTTCGGGGAAATTGATATGCAAGAAGAATGCTGAGGGAATACAAATCTGAGAGATTTTATCCAGGCAGGGAGGCAAATCGGCCCGGGATTCTTTGTGCAATGATAAACGAAAATAATAAATAAGAGATAAAAAAAAAGAGGGAATTGAAAAGACAGCCACTGATAAGCTTTGGGTTTGATGCACTGTGGCACATAAATGGTCAGATAGGTCACAATATTGGTTGTACGAGACGGTAGTGGACAAGTTTGGCTGTTATCACAGGCCGCTGAGTGGGGAGAGATAAGGGTCCATCGAAGAGGATCGTAGGGAGGAATTCGGGTAATGAAGGGGGAGCGATAGACTTACAAAATAGTTCTCTTTCTTCGCACTCTTTATTTTAGAGAGGGACGAAGAAAGAAACGGAAAAAAAAAGAGACGTTTGTTGACCTGTTTTTGTTGTCCCGGGACACGTGCCGTTGATGTGATATGATGAAATGAGGGAGATGGATTCCGTACTACTATGTATGCGGGATTATCGGGGGCTGCAGGAATAATCGAGGACTATCGAGCGGTGGACAAGAAGGCAGGAAAATCGCTCGGGAAGCACACCAACGCAGTAAGCAGGTATGAGGGAGAGGAAGGGATGCCAAACTTGACTGACTGAAGGTGGCAACGACGGGGTATGTATGAATGTAATGTATGTTTAAGAATAGAACCGGGTCAATCAGATTTAACCCAAATGCGGATAGACGAGATTGATGATGATGATGGGGATGGGTTAAATATATACGGGGTATAGCATGGACTTTTCTTCATCCGAGACAGTTGGACCTTGGAGAAGACGGAGTAGGATGTCTGGCGAGCGACAACAAATGGGAATGGAAATGGAGGAATCCACCCTGAATCTGAATGAAGAAAGCATGACGGACGAGTTAGCTGGCCTGAACCCTCAGGATCGCCCTTTGGGAAGCGTGACGTGAGCCCGAGCACGTCAGGGCGATGAGTCTAGACTGCGCAACGACTGCCTGAGGCAGGCGGCACAACGCGCAATCCTTTTTTTTTATGTAACAACAAGGAGACGCCCGCTTACCTCACCAGTCAGCTATATTTAGGCGGTGGTGCCTCTGGAGTCTGGATCCGGTGGAGTCCAAGCCTTGGGAGTGTTCCAGAGATGAAGACGACCGTCGGGTTGACCGATTCTTATACAAGTCGTCAGGAATGCCTACTGTGTACGGATAGGTGTAGGCACCTAGTACTCCGTATAGTATAGTATACTATGTAAAATTTACAGGTCGAGCAACAAACGAACTAAATGAACCAATGTAGCTTCCATCATTATTCCGAATCCTATTTTTTCCCATAACCGACCGAACCACGCTTATCGGAAGAGCGATAGACAACCCGAGGCGAAAGATTCCAATCAGATCATGCCCAGCGATGACATGTCGTCTTGGCTTTCTGGCCAGTCTCTAACGCGGGGCTCGGCCAGTCGGGCAGCCATCCAGAGTATCGTGAGGAGGTACCGCCGTGTAAGAGTAGTACGGAGTAGTCATCGTCAGCTGGAGGCAATCCCCCCCCGTCGACCCCACCCATCTTTTTTCCTTTTCTTTTACGGTGTAGTACTTACTCCCCATGGGCCGAGTCTAGACACTGCATTGCCTGGGTGGTTGTAACCCACCAACGAAGGACCGGGAGAAGGGCCACGCCCCTTGACGTACATTGGTATCCTCGTGGGCTTGCAGCCTGTCTGCAGTCCCCTTAGAATCTGTGCGGCAGGATCATCAGTCTTCAAGATCCAATGATGGCGCCCGTTTGCCATATGGCCTTTGTCTCAGGGATCTCGTTGACCGCCATCCCTGGCCCCGCGACAAACAAGAATGGCCTCAGCAATCCGAGATGACGCCATAAATCCCGCGAGATATCGAGATCGAGACCGAGACCAGAAGAGAGACAATGAAAGTGTTTTATCGTGGGACCTCCGATTGGTCTGGGATGGTGACGGAATGCTGAATGGAATCCCCATTGGAGGAAGTTTGACGGATAGTGACCAACGGCTACAGCGTCTTCTTCCATCGCATTCCACCCGGACGGACTAACACGACGCGAAGACAAAGCCGACGACGACAATGAAACCCGTCGAAAAACAACGGTCAATCGAGCACCCGAAGGAGGGGCAACGGTACGGTGGGGTCTGCCCGATTCAGGGATCTTTGAATGCAGGCACCTTGGGTGAATTCATCCAGAGTGGATTGATTGTATGTACAGAGTAGTATGTACAGTACGGCACTGACTACAGTGGTTACTCCGTAGCTTTGGTAGTCATTAATTAGTAGTAATGGTCCAAATGTAACATGGCAAATATGACAAGTCCTAAACTCGGATGTGGAACCTCTTTAAGAATATTGGTTTAATTATTTAATTATATGACTTTTGCTCTTCTTGTTCAGCCAACATCACTACTCCGTGCTCTGTACTCTGTATATCAGTAGCTTCAAACAGTAAACGGCGGATAGACATTTCCACCCGCCGTACCCAAGGATCGTCCATCCTCCTTGCCCTCTCAGTAACTTCAAAACAAGATTTACACCGTGAATCCGAGCCCGGTTTTTTCCCTGTCTCTGCCCTCTGGTCCCCCTCTCTTCTGCGTCTCTCATTTTCGCGCATCCCGTGGATCTTTTTCGACTTACCCGCCAGTTTCAGGACCAACGGACGGAGACAACGGGTGGCCGTGCGCGCTTCTCGTCAGCCTCACTTTTTGTCTTTTATTGTTTTTATTTTTTTCTTCTTCAAACCCACGCTTCAATCCCAACCGGTCTTGCAGAGAAAAAGAGGGGCGTGTGGGAGCAATGAAGGACTGCGAGACTTCCGATGCGGTGCTATCATGCATCAGGGTTTTGTTCGCAGGTACAGTACATACCGAATGATGGTGGTGATCGGGCAGAGAGACAGGGAGAGAGACAGACACAGAGAGAGAGAGACTGGACGCCGCTCCTATCGATGCATATCCTGTAGATACACCCGCATACATAGAGAAGGAGGGGGAGGGGAGCTAATTGAATCCAACCCTGGAGACACGAGGGGCAGTAGTAGGAAAAAGCAATTTCCGCATCACATTGCCTGCCCTGCCCTGCATTGCCCTAAGAGGAGGGATTTGCTGTCGTCACGAGTTCACATGCTGCATTGCCCGATTGGGACATTTTGAGGGCTCTTGAGGATCCGACCCTACGGATGGATTGCTTCTTCAGCTTTCAACGGTTCCGGTGGCACTTGGTTCCTAGGAAAAGAATGGGGACCAAGGGAAAAAGAAAAAGTCAAGTAATGATGATAACGATCATAACAATTCTCCAAATCCAAATCGAATGCAACCCTCCACTTCAAACTTAAACAGGACCCAACCCACCACAGCAGAATCACAGAGAAAAAAAAAAAAAAAATAGAATAAAATAAAAAATAGAATAACCAGAAAGAAAAGCCCACGCACACACCCAACCAACAAAAAGGCTCTCTCTTTTCCGTCAAACCCTGACCTTCCCAACAATTCTTCATATTGGGCAATGTGTCAGTCACACTTCCCGGCCAGGGCTCCCGCCGTCTTCCGTGTACGAGGGCACGACAACAAACCAACAAACAGCTTTCTGGGAACCGTTGGTTGTTTCGCTGCAAACGCAAGGGTAAACCTTGTCCCGACGCTGAATTACCTGCGTTCGAAAGATTTCGAAACGTAAGACGTCCTACAGATTACACAATGGCAAAAGACAAGGCCATAGATAGAAAGGTCATGAGCATAATAATGACGCAGGAATGGGGGGAGGGGTGAAATAATGTATGAAATTGGTGCGTGATTAAGCTGATAGATGAGATCAACACGTCCAGTCGGATTCGAATCTAGTCCTTCTCGGTACCAATTCGAGACAGACGCATTGTTTTTTCTTTTCCTTTTCCCGTGTTTATCTCCATTGTGGTCTTTTATCATGGGAGAACGTGACTTCACTTCGACTGCATTAGAAGTCTGATTCTGGAACATCCTTGCGGGGCCAGGATAGAGAGCTTCCTCGGAGAAGGTCTATGCTTTTCCTGGGAAATGTCAATAATCAGGTGCTTGTTCTTTGTCACCGGTAGACGTAGCGCAGTTAGTTTAGACAGACACCCAGGGAGATAGAGATGGGCCGTTCCAATTGCAAGGTCTTCGGTTCTATCGGGAGAACTACGTCGAACAATCCAATAGCAAACAAAACTTTCTAATTGGGGTATCATAGGCAACGATATGGTACATGACAATAATAAAAAAAACCTGAAAATCTCTCACGCGATTACCCACAGTCTCGTCGAGACCGGCTTTGCCCAGGGATTAGTCGATTTCCATTGGGTCACCTGCATCCGCTGTGACAGGTGTTGGTGTTGCAGGAGGCGCCGGCTTGGATGTGCTGGGGACATCACAGGAAGGGTTTGCACCACCTTCCTTATCCTTTTCGGTAGCAGCAGGCTCACTCTTGCCACCGTTCTCTTTTTGCTCACCATCCTTGCTACTATCAGACGCGGCCTGCGGGCCTCCTAAAAACCGTTCCGGGACTCCACGCGCCGCGACCCCGGTAGGTCCCACAAAGCATCCGAGCATAGGGCTCCAGGCGTACTTTTGCGCCACGGCATGTCGAATCTCGTTGTACGCATAAGCGTTGGCGAAAGGCAGAGACGTTTCCGGGTCTCGATAGCGTGATGGAAGGGAGGTGATGACGCAGAGTGACGACGAGATCTCTGTCGAGGTGGAGTTAGAGGGTGTTGTACTTTTGGAAAAACCGGTATAGATGGGGGGATTGGATTATTGTCACTTACTTGTGAGTCTAGGAGGTTTCTTGGCATTGAAGTAGATGCTAAATTCCCGACTCTGCGCAGTTTTATCATCAAAGTTCTCCAACACGGTCAGGCTTCGTCCCGTCTGTTCGATGACTGGTGGGGGCTGAGGGATTTCAGGTTGTGGCATATCCCCATTCGCGGTAGCTGTCTGATCGACGTGTATAGTAGGCGACTCCTGTCCCTCCTGTGCTGGAGCAGGTGTTTTTACTTGTTGGTCAGGCTGTGCAGCAGTAGCAGTAGCAGTCGGAATAGTATCCGGAGCAGTAGGCGAAACCACCTTGGGCGCCGTAGCGTCCTCAGAGGCAGCGTTAGCAGGTGCAGCTGGTTCAGAGACCACTTCTTTGGATGCCTCATCTGGTTTTTCTTCTGCAGGCGCTAGCTCCGGCTTTGCTGGCTGATCAGGATTAGTCGTGGACTCGGTCGGCAATTGCGATGAGTTTTGGACTTCTTGTTCTTGTTCTTTCGGAATTTCCTCCATTTTCTCATTGAATTCTGTCATTTCTGCTTCCTTAGGTGGTGTCTCAGTCGTTGCTTCAACTAGAGCGGTTTCCTTCGGCTGTTCTGTTGCAATCTCTATCCCCGCCTGTGCTTCCTGGGTCGTGTCTGGAACCTGTGCATTATCTGCAGCAGGAATAGAAGATTGATTGGCCGCGGCTGATGGGGCTGCAGGAGCGGGATTCATGGCAGTATCAGCACTTGCATTTTCGCCGACTCCCTCCACGGGTTCATTACTCGTTTGTTGGCTTTGAGGCGCATCTCCATCCTGCTTCACAGGTTCCCCTTCGGCGGGTGGTGCAGGGTTTGCAGTAGACTCCGAGGTTGGGAGAGGGGCGGTATGCGACGTGGCATCCTCAGTAGGTTTTTGCTCTGTCACATTTTTACCCTCTTTTTCCGACTTCTTGCTCTTCCTGCGAGCAGGCTCTTCCTTCTCTGGCTTGGGAGTGACGTCAACCTTACCAAGGCGTGTTATGCGACCATTAACCCATGTAGCAACACCACTCCAGTAAGACATGACTGGTCCTTCGAGACGGCGGTTCTGAAGCGCTTCAATTTTAGCACGCCTTTCTTCTGCCTTCCTCTTTTCCGCTTCTTCCCACCGATTGAGACTTTTACTGTTGTGTCGTTCCACTCTTTCAGCCTCTGCAAGCCGTTCTGCCTGTGTCATCTCTTTCGGCTTGAGGTGTGCTTTTCGCTTGGCTGCCTCCTCCATAGTAGCAATCAGCCGGACCCGCTTCTCTTCACTATCCTTGAGACGTGCATGCGTGATTTCCTTGTTCTGCATGGTCTGTCGACGCGAAGATGATCGCGTAGGTCCCTCGTCAGGCGTAGGGATCCATGAGATTCGCTCTGATTTCTTTTTCGGTCGAGGAGGAGGAGCAGGAGCGGCTGGGACGGCGGTGGGGTCGATCTTGACTTTTTTGCTCGTGATCTTGAACCGGAGATCTTGCTGGGCCCGGCGCTTCTTCTTTTCGGCCTTCTCTTCCTTCTCGATTTGCTTCTCGCCCTCGAAGTCGTCGGCCCGGGCATTCGGCCCTTGGTCGTCATCGTCATCCGATGAAGAATCCATCCCCATATCGTCCTCTTCCGCCCCTTCTTCACCGGCCGCCGCGTCAAATTCATTGTCGTCCTCTATTTCCTCGAACAAAAGGGCTAGGTCATCGTCTGCTTCGGCGTCAAGAAGGGAGGACATCAGCCGTCCGGCTGTGCTGCGTTTCGCGCGTCCCTCGACGAGGGATTCGACGGGGACTGCATCTTCTGTGCCAGATTGTACTTCATGGTCATCCGCCATGTTCGGCGCCGAGTTCGAGAGGGATTATTGCACCGGAAATTTCGTTCGAATCGAATAGTATGTCGATCAGAGGCCTTTAAGATGGGAGAACGCGGTCCCAACTCGAGGTGTTACGGCAACCCTGTTGGTTGTTGAAAGCCCACGCGATTATAAGATATCAAACGAAGGTTTTTGCGTAAAAATAGACACAAGTATCAGTACAGGATTAAGGGAAGATAGGAAGGAGCAATCGAATGTAGGAATCAAATGAACGGAGAATCAACTGGCAGAAGAGGATCGACCGCCGGGGGTGCGGAAAACCTTGGCAGAATCCGCTTGGCGGCGCGTCTTGGTCTGCTGCAGTCATCCTTGGCTGTGCTGTGCTGCGATAGCCCCATTTAGTTGACCGTCGTTCATTCACAAAGCTGATGTACTTCATCTGGTCTACTCGGAATTATCTATTATATTCAACGGAGCCATGGTCCTTAGGGGTTGACCGCGCTATCCTATGTGAAACCGGCGAAATTGGCGAGGCTGGTGAGCGCAATTACTACGAAGTAACTAGTCCCAGTATGCACTGATGCAGAGACAGTCCAATGCACTTGACTTCTTTGAGATCCTTTTGGACCCCAAATGAACTCGGTGAAGGATTGAATATTAGACCAGCGTCAACCGAGAAGTCTGGCTTTATTACACAACAAAAAATTGCTTGAACAACTGTGCTCTTCGGGAAGAAACGGAATAGCCCCTACTACTACTATACGCTTATAGCCTAGGCGTCCTTTCTAAGACTTGGTCTCCGTCTCGAATGAACAATCAAGCTTATCTGGCCGTCCAAAAACGGGGTGGGTCCCTTCCCTCCGCATGAGTCAATTCAATCACTGGATGGTGTACCGCGGGATGGAGCTTGACATCCCTAATTCAGAGCTAACGAAGACTTTGGCCTTCGTTCTCGGCCCGAATCTGCAATTAAAGGCCGATAGCGAGGCTGCGTTTGTAATATGAGTCAAGGCCGGTGTGGGATCCCAAAATTAGTGGGTTGTGACTCTTCGCCCTGGCGGTTTAATTCCGCCCTTGATGCTGCATATAAATACAAGCCTTTGGATTCCCTTGGGGTAGAGATGTATAACCACAGAAAAACTTCACTCCTCCCCCACGCCCCATACCTACTGGACTCGAAACCCTCTCTGCAAATCATTCGAACCGGATCAGAATATAAGCGAGCCGACGCAATAAGCTTCAAATGGCAGCCAGGTGGCAATCGAAGCGTCTCCTTCAGGGCATCAACGCCATTGTTGGCGGACAGGGACCCCCGGTGGTACTTGTTGCAGGCTGGCCCCAGACAGCGGAAGCCTACGGCGACATATTTGAATCACTTTCAAAGCATCATCAATTCTTTGCCCTAGACCCTCCCGGACTGGGAGAGTCGGCGCCATCCACCAACGGCTACGATACCGCAACAATCAGCAAGACCCTAGCCGAATCCCTCAACGAAGTGATCAAAGAACCATACCATCTGGTGGGCCATGATGTCGGAGGATGGATCGCTTACCCGTGGGCTGCGCAGTTCCCTTCGAAGATCAAGAGTCTCAGCATTCTAGACGCAGCGGTTCCCGGCCTAGCGCCCCCTCAACAATTCCCACTGTCGAACGAGACCAACTTGCGCCTCTGGCAATTCTCGTTCAACGCGCTGCCTGAACTCCCGGAGATCCTCACGCAGGGCCGTGAGCGCGAACTTCTCACGTGGTTCTTCAATCTGAAGGTCGCCCATCCGGAGAAATTCCCGAAGGAGAGACTGGAATCCTACATCCAGAGTTATGCGAGACCCGGAGCCATGAGCCGTGGCTTTGAATACTATCGTGCCGTTGAACGCAGCTCGAAGCAGAATATCGAATTCACGAAGAAGCCTCTCAACCTACCGGTGCTGGCGCTGGGAGGGTCCAAGTCTGTGGGCGCGAATATGGTTCGACTGGCGCAGACCCTAGGAAGCAACGTCCAAGGAGGGGCGATAGAAGACTGCGGTCACTTTGTGGCCGAGGAGCAGCCCGACGAAGTGGCAAGAAAATTGCTGGAGTTTTTCAAACACGTTGACGAAAAGCATTGAATTCTGTACATATAATACTATATCTTTAATGTGAATGATATACTGACTTTATTGCGGAAAGTTTAACAACAACATTTTCTACTTTTGAAACACTCAAACCCCTCTTAGACTCATGGATCCTAAACACTTATCCAAGGGTTGTTTCAAACCGGGTCTTTGGATTATCTGGCACATTCCTGTCTGACCATTGGTGTCTACCAGTCTACTTCCAAGGGGGTGCATGTGCGACATGGGGGGTCGATCAGGTAAGCCCTAGGAATCCAGCCACCAAACAAGGGGGTGCTTATGATGTATTGAGCTAAAGCCGACCTCGAGCAAATGGGAATGCTGTTTGAGATTGACAGGCCCGTCTGCTGTAGCACTAGAGGGATGAACGTACGGCCATGAAAGAAAGTCTGCAAGGCACCTGATCCCTTGCATCCTGGGCTCGTAATATCTCCGACCCAGAAAGAGGGCCCTGCACGTCTTCTGTATGTGCACAAGCAACAACTACTACTCCGTACATACTCCTCATCTGCGGCGATTCCTCGGATCGGATCATTTCCCACCGCCAAATTAAGGTTCCTGCTCAAAGTTCAGCGTTCATATCCACTTGTTCCGATAAGTCGAGCCCGCCAGGAGAGGGTCACGATCACGTCAAAGCGGACCGCTGGAATGCGGGGTTTAGGACGTTTCAAACCGCCAAGCATCCTCCTTTCTCGTTCCAGGTTCGGGTCATTCCATGCGCACCTCCGTCCGGACTCAAAGGATTTGGTTTCGATGACGGTCATGATAGTCTGAGGTCGACATGATCGGAGTGTTTGGGAGAGTACAACAGGGCCTACAATGTGGTTGAACGGATTCATTTGGATTCCGTGCATCGTCAAATGCAAAGGAAACTCGAGATGCTCAGTTAAGAGGGGGGGGGAGCAGGAAACCGGTTCAGACGCTCTGCAAAAGCCCACGGATGAATGAAATTCAAAACAATAGCTCCTTGGTCAAGCTCAGGCTCCACTGGACAAGAGATGCCTCTGCCAAGTCCTGAGAGAGAGTCGCGGGCTCTACTCCGGAGTACTGGGAGCAGATGTACCTTCGTCCGTATTTCGTAAGGGAAAGCGAGATGAAAGAAGGCCATTTAAAAGCGTCTTTGCAAAGAGATCGATCCCAAGTGGCCCCCGTAAGCCTCGTCGGCCTCAACTAATTAACAATTTAATATTAACTAATTAATCCGACACAACCTGCCCCGGACCAGTCGATCGGGGACAAAGAGGAGACGCAGTTCAGCGGAACAAAGTAATAACTTAATAAGTAATAACCACTTGAGGATCCGTAGAATGCGCGCCTCCCAATGCGCGGAGGAAGTCCAGAGGAAGGTAGGTACCCTGTACCTGGCAGAAGGTGTGCGCCAGGCTGGGCGGGCGAGGTTCCTGGTACCCGCGCAGTACCTGGACCAAGCCGGGATGCTGACTGTCCCGGAAGCTCTGCCCTTCTCAATCTTCGCTCTCTGCTGTTCGGCTTCTCCTTTCATCTCCCTCTCTCTTCTCTCTTCTCTCTCCCCTTCTCTTCTTGCCCTTCCCCCTTCACGTTGCACCTTGATTTCAACAATCTGTTCTTTTTTATTCCTTTATTCTTATCTTTTCAAATAATTTCCAATTAGAATCTCTTTTATCCCTCTCTCCCTCCATCTTCCTCTTGTCGCATCCTCGTCATCGGCCTTTTTTTTCTTCGTCCATCTGTATCGTTTTAGTCGGAGTCCGCGCAGCTAATTTCCAGCCACCTCGAGTCCACTTTTTCGGATCCGTGTCGATTAATCGTCGCTTCTTTCCTCCCCCCTCGTCGACTCGCTCGATTCAGTCGACTTGTTTCCAATCCTCACGGCCTCTTGCTGGAGACGGTCTTACTGGCTTCAGTGGTTAATCTTTATTAAGATAATATATCTCGGTGGATCGTGGCAATCGATCTCGGACCCTGATCACGGTCATCTCTTTTGCTTTCCGGGACGGCCATCAATGCAAAAACCGATACATTCGTCTCCGGCTTTGAGATAGTTGTCCGCATTGCCTCGAGATCGGCTTTCCGTTCGAGCTTACGTATTCCTTTGCGAGCTCCGGTCAACCCCGCCACGAACACCTTGCGCACCCTGGCGGATTGTGGTGTTCCACTCCCATCCCCACAAATCAATTATTGAATCCTCGACGATTCCTCTTCCGAAGCATTTTACCCGTCAACGAATGATCGTCTCGACCTCCGACTGAACCGGAGTTCCGACCTACCATCCACCCACCTCTCTGGTGTCAAATTGTATCTGGGAACCTAGGTGTTTGCCTGTTTGAAGGCAAAAGGATATAATTTATAATGCTGCCTGTTTCAAGACCCGAAGGTCACATGAACCTCAATTACATCCCGACCACGCAGTCCATGTCGGGAACTTCGACGGGGCGCAGTTCTCCGAGTGATCTGTCCTCGTCCGCCGTGAAGTCGCCGTTTGGGTCCTCCAACGGGCTGAATGGCGCCGCAGGATCGATTGGAAGCGCGAGGTTAGGGGCTGGATCCCCTTCTCATGACCTTGGTGCTCGCCTGTACTCAAAGAGGTAGGTGTCTTTGTCGCCGCGCACACCCGTCATTGTTTGTTCTGAATGGTACCTAATCATGTATTACCGACAGGGCACGAGAAATCCAAGCAGAAGAAGGCGTTGGCCCTAGTATTTGGGGTCCTCCCACCAGTGGCCATTCCACCCCCCTCCGCGAGAACATTCCTGAATCACCAGGCCAAGAAGGGTTTCCAGACCTGGTCCCCACCTCCAGTGGCTCGATCAGCAGCCCTGGCCGGAGAGCTCGAGCTGGCACCGTTCCCTCTAGATTCTCGCCCGTTGGTGTGCTCAACGAGGCGAACCTCCAGCAGCCCTTCATGCCCCAGACCTCCCGACCCACACCCTCCACGAGCCCTTTTCGCCCGACCGGCGTTTCCGGAGTTGACACGGGCGCAGCGACCGCAACCGCTACTGCCGGGCCCCGGGGTACTGGATCTTTATCACGTCTTCGAGCGGGATCCATGCCCCAGAGGACTAACTATTTGGGGTCGTCCAGCCCCTTCGGGCCCTCTTTGTTTTCTACCAGCTGGTCTACCGGCCGTGAGCGAGCCACTACTCTTACGAGCATCCGCTCTTCCGAAGGACCCGCCTCTCCTAGCCAGTCCTCCTTCTCTAGGGATGGGCTCGCAGACACCGATGTGAAGACACTGGACTATCTGGGTCTCGCCGAGACCCCGCAGCAAGCACGAGCCACGCTTGTGCGACCGTCGGTGGATGTCCTTCTCCAACAGCAACAGCAACAACAGCAACAGCAGCAACAGCAGTCCTCTCTGCCCCCGCTATTGGCGGAACTCGCCATGATGAAGAGCAACAACCGGATTAGATCCTATTCCGTGAATGCCAAGGAGAAATATGCTGATGACGAGGATCTTGAATATGAAAACCGCTACTCGCAGATCCCGTCGGGCGCCGTCACGCCGTCAGCTGCTGCCACGGCCGCCCAGTTGGCTGCCACCCAAGCTCAGATCCACCAGCACAACCTCGCTGTGCAGGCGTTTGCAAATCATGCGTCCGTCAATCGACCTCGGGCGCGGACTGCTGGCATCTTGGAGGCACCCCCTCAGCGATCTTCGATTCGCAACTACCTTGCGACCCCCTCGCGCCTTGAAAATAGCTTCAGTGCTGCGGATCTTAACATCGCGGAGAATGGAGAGTACGATGAACTTTCGGAAGCCGTGCAAATGATGCAACTGGGAGGAAGTGGCGCCGGCAACCTGGGAATTCGGCCAGGTCTGGACGTGACGGATGAGAACAATCAGGACGGACCGACCCGCGCTCTATGGATTGGTAGCATTCCTGTCTCGACTACCATCACCTCGTTGGCAGCTATCTTCAGCCGATATGGCAAAATTGAGTCCACTCGAGTGCTGACCCACAAGAACTGCGGTTTTGTCAACTTCGAGCGCATCGAGAGTGCTGTTCAAGCGAAGTCGATGCTCAACGGCACCGAGATCTTCCCCGGTGCAGGACCGGTTCGAATCGGCTATGCTAAGGTCCCCGGTACCTCCGCGACTGGTACCCCTGGAGCCAACGGCCTTCAGTCTTCTCCCACTCCGGACTCTAGCGCCAAACTCAATGCCGCCGATGGACTGGAAAGAGCTGATGACGGGGCTAGTGTTCCTCATATCCCGCCTCTCCCTGAGCTTCAACCCGAAATGACGCAGATTGTCAAGGAGTTTGGCGCCAACGATGAAGATACACTGAACATCAACGCTAGTATTCAGCAAGCAATCGCTTTTCAATCTTTTGAGGATGAAATCCCCCCTATCCCCGAACCTAGCCAGACCAGAATGTTTGACGCTCCCCGCCTTCGTGATATCCGGAAGCGCATCGATAACGGGGCGTGTTCCGCCCAGGAAATCGAGGAGACTGCGGTTGCGATGCTCCCTGAAATCGCGGAACTCGCTTCAGACTACCTTGGAAACACCGTCGTTCAGAAGCTTTTCGAGTTTTGCTCGGAGCCTACGAAAGAACAAATGCTTGTGCCAATCGTGCCTCATCTTGCTGAGATCGGTGTTCATAAGAATGGCACCTGGGCAGCTCAGAAGATCATTGACGTTGCTCAAACGCCTGCCCAGAAGAAGATGATCATGGAAGCTCTTCGCCCTTACACCGTACCCCTGTTCCTTGATCAGTACGGAAACTATGTTCTGCAGTGCTGCTTGCGTTTCGGTCATGGCTTCAACGATTTCATCTTCGAGACCATGTTAAGCCGAATGTGGGAAGTTGCCCAGGGACGATTCGGGGCTCGCGCAATGAGAGCTTGCTTGGAAAGTCACCATGCTACCAAAGATCAGCAGCGCATGCTCGCGGCTGCTATTGCCCTTCACAGCGTGCAGCTTGCTACAAATGCCAATGGGGCTCTGCTGCTCACCTGGTTCCTGGATACGTGCACGTTCCCACGACGTCGAACTGTGCTTGCCCCGAGGCTTGTGCCTCACTTGGTGCATCTCTGCACCCACAAGGTCGCTTATTTGACCGTACTCAAAGTGATCAACCAGCGCAACGAACCCGAGGCTCGTGAAGTTGTTCTGAAGGCTTTGTTCTTCAGCCCCGGTGACGAGGTTTTGGCGAAGATCTTGAGTGACCAGACCTCCGGAGCAACTTTGATCTTCAAGGTTTTGACTACGCCATTTTTCGACGAGTCTATGCGCGCGGAGGTCGTGAAGAACGTTTCGAAGGTGCTTACCAAGTTGAAGGCCACCCCCAGCCAAGGCTATAAGCGTCTGATGGACGAAGTTGGTCTTTCCTCTCGTGGAGGTGCCCGAGACAATCACCATGGACGGGACCACGGTGCCAATGCGGAAAAGCAGCAGCACCGCCCCACGTCGCGACAGACACCCTCCAGCTACCCCCAGCAACCAGCCATGGACAGGCAATTCAACGGGCAATTCCCTCCCAGCATGCTTGCGCAGAACTTGGATTCTGGTAGGCCCCTGGCTTCGGAGCAGCCCCAAACCGCTTCGCCGTTTGACCCTTACTCCGTCAGCGGGGTGAATGGTCTCAACTCCCTCAACGGACTGGGAGGCCTGAATGGCACTGGCTTCGCTCAGGATCCCCTGATGTCGTTGCCCCAGCAGCAGGCCCAATACCAGGCTTATCTGGCCGCGCAATCCCGGGGCGTCTCTCCCGGCGGTCTGTACCCAAGCCTGGGTAACTCCAGCTTTGGATATTCCGGTGGATCGCCTTCCGTTGACACTCTTCGGGGAATTCAACCCCCAGGCGCTCCCTTGTCCGGAGCTGCCCCCGGCTCCATGCTCAACCAGCCGGGCTTTGCCCCTCAGCAATTCAGCCCCGTCATGGGAGGGAACCAGATGTATCAATATCCTCCACAGTTCGGTTACCAGGCGCAGCAAGCCCCGGGTCAGCCCGCTGGAGGACGGCGTGGACGGGTAAGTAACCCATTGCTCCCACCCGAACAACTTGATTCTTGAAGCTAACGCGGCTGTGTTTCCAGCGGTGAGCCGGATGTGTGACATTTCAATTCGCACTTGACTTCGACTTTGTGTATAAAGTTATCTTTTATCTTTTATTTTTTTTTTTCATTATTGATTTGTCTAGGATACAGTAGTACGACTACATGTCTGAAATGACCCTTTAACAACGCCTAGAACGACGCTGGATCGTCTTGGGAAAAGGGACAAGAAGAAATGAACCGAGGAAAAAAGTGTTGTTCTGTTCTGTTTTGTTTTTGTTATTGCGCCAGAGCATTATGGGGGTGTTGTGTTTTCCTTTTCTCTGTCAATAAGCATTCCAGTGGGGGTCAAACCATGGCCGTCATGGCACTGTTGGATTCAAGGACAATTCTTGTTGACTCTTGTTATTGTTGTTGCACGTCGAGCTCCATGTATTCCATGTGTTTTAAGGCCTTTCTCATGTGAGGTTAGATCTATTTCTATGTGACGAATTTCCTTGGATATAGTCGAGATGGTCTCTTCCGTCTCCTGCTATGACTTCCGGCGCCGTGGTTCTATGCTTTGTTCAATAGAAAAAAAGAAAAAAGAAAGAAAAACAAACTCCTCAATCCAGCGATCAAATCGAACTTTTTCGGGCTTAGCACTTTTTTTTTTTTTTTTTTTTTTTTTTTTTTTTTTTGGTCTGTATTGTAGCGTAAGTCGATCCAGGGCCAAACTATAGATAAAGTCTTGTTTGTTTCCGTTCCAACTTCCGCCCCCGAGAGAAAACAACATCCGCCGACATCCAATCTCTCTAACGTGGCAACCCTCAATTCCACCAAATAAACATGAGATGTCATGCCTCAGTCTGCCATCCTCTACTATAACCCAGAGGAAACCGTTTTCTTGATAGACATTCCCACATCCATTGCGCTGGCTCAGGAACTATCCCTGAACCAACGCAGTGCGTCGCCAGGTAGCCAACAATGCGCTGAACCACGACGGAAACAGATTTTTTCGTCGATACCCCGGGCAGAACCGTTTTCACCATCCACGGAGCCTAAGACTGATGCCGCACGAGCAAAGGTTCTGGAAAGGATCCCGCGTTCGGAGCGGGTCTTCCACGCAGAGATCATCGAGCCTTTGGTGCGCGATGGGCTGGAGTCGATCAAACAGGGGGTCCTCGAACGTCGGATTCACTGGTGTCATGCACGGAAGGTTCTTGATGAGGCGCTCTCGAGCGAGACGCGTCTTGGGAAAAGGAGGCGTGCAAGCAGCAATGGCGCTGCAACATCAGCCTCAATCGACGACTGTTCTGATGCCGGAACCCAGGAGCTCGATGGCGACTCTCAGCCCCCTTTGATTCTATCGTCCTCTGGAACGAATGCATTTGCGTCTGAGTCTGAACTTCGTGGCATCGCGGTCAAGAATACCTCGTCTGGCGCAGCTGATCTGAGCGTTCGGCGCTTGGGGGGAGAAGAGAAGGATATAATATCCCACACAGCCGAGAACGATCCCCAACGTCAGAATCAGTATCATGAATTCACGGTACCTCCGCTCTCTGGGTTCGTGCTCTGCAGATTACCAATCGCACAGTACTTGCACCAGCTTCCAACTGCACCGGTCCCCAGCATCCCTCGAGACCGGAAATTCAACCTAATCCTTCTCGACCCGCCATGGACCAACCGGTCTGTCCGGAGGGGAGGACACTACCACACGCAACATTACACCGAAGGGGGCGAACTCACGCAGTACATCCGGTCTGTCCTGCAAGCGCACTTATACGATCCCTCGGCTGGGAATAATAAAACAAAGAACCCCCGATTCTCGACTCGCTCCGTGGCAGCAATCTGGATCACCAATTCATCTAAAGCACGGCGAACCGCTTACGGGGCGCTCCGGGGCGCAGGCCTCTCCGTCTGCGAAGAATGGGTGTGGATCAAGGTTACCACCTCGGGGGAGCCTGTTACGCCGGTCGACGGTGTCTGGCGGAAACCGTATGAGATTCTGATCATTGGAGAGAACATGGGCGAGAATCAACGCCGCGATCCGGTCAGAAGGGTTATTGCTGCGGTGCCGGATGTCCATTCCCGGAAACCGAACTTGAAGGAGATCTTTGAGCGGTTGTTTTTCAGCTGCCCGGGGCATACATATGCTGCGCTGGAGGTATTTGCACGCAACCTGACGGCCGGATGGTGGGTGTGTGGGGATGAAGTTTTGAAATTCAATGCGCAGGAATGGTGGACGGAACAGTCTACATCCTGAAGAGTTCAAGAAACACCGGTCTACTCGACTCGAGGCGTATATCTCATATCTCAGGAACAATCTACAAAACCCAATCCCACTCCAAAACCACCCGGAATGTAACATACCAATCCGATATTGACAAAATCCAGTCTATCTAGCCCCGGATAGGGGGGAAAAAGCTAAAAAATCTAATCAAACACTGGTCCCAAGCTCACCAGACTAAATCGCAAATCCGGGTTTCCTCCAGCCGCCTCCACGCCCAAGAACCGACGCACACCCAGCTGCAACGCCTTCTCACTCAGCGCATCCTCATCAGCTGCCAGCTGTCCGCGGTCTAACGGGCCCTTCCGGCGCCCATCGAGCTCCCACAACCGACCGTCCTCGCCTTTCACGAACGCCACAAAGTGCAAGTCCACATTATCCTCAGCCTCGGGCGCCGCGGTATCCCCCAACTTGGCCGCGTCGGCATGCGCGCTCTCCAGCGCCTTGCTCTCGTACAGCAGATCGGCCCGCTGCACGGGACCCAGCGGCTCCGCGTCGCGCAGGAGTCCCTCCAGGTCCGAGCCTGGCAGCACGTGCTTCCTCGCCTCGCCGTTCGACACGGCATGCAGGAGGCCGATGAGCCCGCAGGCGTTCCGGATCGTCTGCTTGAACCACAGCACGGGTTCCGAGGACCCGGAGCCCGTGTATTCGGGGAGTGGCGTGTCTTCGGTGGTGCGGGAGGCTTCGTAAGTGGCGGAGACGGGGAAAACGAGGAGTAGGGCGTAGGAGGGGCGGGGCACGAAGGCGAGTAGGTCCGGCTCGTCGATGGAGTAGACGTCCGTGAAGCCGACGGAGGGAGGGAGTCCGAGTTGGTGGATCAGGTGGGACATGACTTCTGGGTTATTCTCTGTTTTCGAGGTCTGTTAGTTTTGGTGGCCAGCTTCGTTGTGTTCCTTGGGGTGGGCGTGTTGTATATACCTAGCGGCACAAAGGCCTTGTTTGTGTTGGGTGCGTCGGCCATTTTGGTGGATGCGGTGTGTGGAAATTTGTAGTGAAGATCTAGAAATGAGACTATGATACAGAGAGGACAGTGGAGTGGTAGAAGATTGATTGAGAGAAAGTGGGAAAGAAGGAAGAAAGTTGGCGAGAAGAAGAGGATGAGGGGTTGCGGGGGAAGGAATTCGTTCGCCTCTTCCGCCTCGGTATTACCCAATCCGGGAATGCAGGCAGCTCTCCATGGCGGTTTACTTCTTCACAACTACGTTCTACGTTCTAAGATTCATAATATAGTTGCTAAACCGTCATTGACTCATTCCTGTCGTTATCATAGACATATGAAATATCCTTTTTCATGGAAACCCCTACTAGTAGAGTTTCTTTCCCCGCTTCAAGGGTTCGTAGATGTTGGTCCAGAGCTCACTCGCCTCGCCCAAGTAGTAGGAGAGGCTGACATCCGCCATGCTGGCCTCCTCGTCTCCGGACATCGTCTCCAACTGCGAAATGATGTTCTCCAGCCCGAACGCCTTGCCAGTGGCCTGGGTAGCCCCGGCCTCGAGCATGACGTTGACGACATGGATATGGAAGTGGTAATACGTGGGCTGATCTGCGTGGAGACATGTCCATTAGCCATCAAACAGTCCAGTAATTGATACCATGCCAGGCAAAAAGTGCAAGGGAGAATTGGAGAGACTTACAGTGCACGTAAAGCTTCAACTGATCCATCTCCAGATCCGGATACATCTTCACCGTGCCCTCCAGCACGCGCTGCCACAAGTACCGCAGCCAGGGAATATGCTTCTTCTTCAGATCACGGAGACTCCAGATATCGCGCCTGTGCACCAACGCCAGCAGATGCATGGAGCTCATAGTCTTCCGATCCCAGTTCAGGTCCGGCAACATGAGGAACCCATCCTCGGGTCCCTGGCCCTCATCGCGGAGAATAACATCCTCCTGCTCCGTGCGGCCCTCCAAGATATTAAACACCCAGTTCAGCCGGCCTTCCTCGCGCTTGGTGCTCATGTACGGCCGCACATGGTCTCGGTAGATCTGCGGCGTCTCAGTAACCATGCGGACGACCTGGTCCGAGTATTTCTTGACGTGCTGATCCGTGCAGGGCCAGATGAGGTTGAGTTTGAGATCGGAGGCACCGGGCGACTGCGATCCCGAGGACGAGGCCATGTACCACCGGTAGATGTCATTGTCGCCGAGGTTGGTGACCTGCGAGATAGCGGCGTGGAAGGCCTTCAGGACTTCGATGGATTCGGTGGCGAAGGCGGCGCGCTCGGCGGTGAGGATGCCCGGCTGGGAGTCGATGGAGCCGAGGAGGGCGATACGACGGCCATTCTGGTCTATTCAGAAGCTCAGAAACGTGATTAATCGCTACTGCTTAACTTTTTTGGGTGGGATTCGCGGATGAATTGAGTTTGGGAAAGGAACGAACCTTGTCGGAGCAATTTGGTGATCTCGAACTTCGAGATAAGCGCCTCAGTTGCGGCTTTCTGGGCGATAGCAGACATGATGATCGAATGAGCTCAATGGAATCTGAGGCAAGAGATCTGTGCATACGGAGAGTTCTTTGTTCTTCTTTGTTTTCAATAAATAGAGGAGGGAACGGCAGAATTCGCGGGCGGTCAGAGCTTATCATTGTCCAGGACGAACAAAAGGTAGTGGATTCATGAAGATCAGTTTCACAAGGTAGATTATGGGTATTTGATATTTAGCATCATGATATGTTTCAAGCAGTGGCTTTTGGGTGGGAGAAACCTCCAGGTCCAGCTCCCTTGGTTCTATGTTTGCAACCATGGCACCCCGTTGTGACAAGCGATAGCCCATTGACATCCTCCCTTGGATCTGGCATCCGACGGCTGCGGGAGTACCGTGTTTGGTTGTCGCTGGATGTGGTAGATGACTGTGCCTCGGACCATTCAGACCGAATTCCGCGGAGCATTGGCTGTCCTATAAAATATACAGGGTGATAATCTCGAGCCTTCGAAGTGGCATATTTCATCAGCCATAAAAAATAGGCTCGCATCGATTTTTATGGTAGCGGGCTCATGTAGACTCTTTCTTTTCACTCTCAGGCGCAGAATGCATCTAAATCATCATCAGCGCCAACCGCATAAGAAAGGGGGGAGGAAAACATCAAATCACAATGTATACGGGTCAACGTACCAATTGAGCCAGCTTCACCCACTCCTCGACTCCCTTTATATAAGTGTCGTCGGCCGCCGGAACAACCTCATGATCCCAGACCATGAATTCATCAAATGTGGCTTGTTTTTCGATGATTTTGATCGGCTCCTCGGGCTCCGCATCCTCGTCGTCTGTCTCTTTGCGGGTTGCCGGTAGGACACGTTCAGTGGGCATAGCCACGACACCTGCTCAGAATTAGCGAGACCAGGAAGGAGAGTTGACGCTAGAAAGGCCCTCATTGTAGGAAGCCAGGCAAACATTACCTTCGTAGCCCTCCGGAATCGCAACCCGTCGGCCGCGCAATTTACGACCACGAAAGTAGGCGGTTTGGAGGTTCTCGTCTGGGACGTGTGAGCATGCGTGCTTGGAAGGCTGTTGGTCTAGAATCACCTTTCTCATCGGAAACAGGCTCCCAATAGCGCTTGAGCGATCTGACAGGGCCGTCGTGGTGGATTCGACACGGGAGAATATTGGGCGTGCAGGTGTTCGCGGTCTTTTCGGTTTCGGATCCAGATCGCGGTTGAGATTGGATGGCGAACATGGCTCTGGTTAAATTGATGGAAACGAGACTTTCAGATATTGAAGATATTTGAGGACGCGACTATAATTGTGAAGATTCAAGACCAAAGAAGTCGTGTTTCGGTGTCGAGTGATGCCTGGCGAGGGTTGGAGACGCGACGCGCGGATCGCGTTAAGTGGAATCGGGAAATGCGATACTCTAAATCAGCACCATCTTCTGTAGTGCAGATCTTTAAGCATTCAATAGCCACTTTACTACATTTAACGTTACTACACACGGGATATATACATTTTCTTTTCTGTTGGTTCGTGTAAAAAGATATGGAAGTCTCTATTTCAAACAGTCTATATGCTAAGATCGAAAAGCACCAGAAAGCACTAGTAGTCACCTTGGAAGGAATATGGGGTATATTAAGACATAATTGATGACTGTAAATCCTTCACCTCTTGCGGGTCTTCTTCTTCTTCTTCTTTTTCTTTTTCTGCTCCTCCCCTTCTTCCTTGTCAGCCTTCTCAGCTACAACTCGCAGCGGCCACTTCTTCAAATGCTCCCGTTCAAATGCGTCCTTGTCCCGTCGATACAGCATCATCGTTGCTCTAGCATCCTCCACACTGGAATGCGCGCCCTTCTGAATGTCCAATCCCAGATATTCCGAGGCCAACATCTTCAAACGGGGAGAGCCCCCTCCGGCCAACTTGCGATATGGGGGATGCTTGCTGGTGTCTCTGACGTCGCGCTTGGGGTGGCTGAGGAGTAGAGCGTAGAAGTCGTTGCTCAAAGCATGTCCCACAAGTATTCGACCGTCCAGGATGCTAGTCACGTCTTTCTGCACTTGTTCGAGGGAACGCGCCTCGACCATGTTCTTGGGGGTTATGCCGCTGACATGCGTGCGCCAGTCCGTGACCATCTCTTTCGGCCGTACGTAAGAGTCGTAGACCTGATCGCCGTTGAAGTTGACAATACTGACACGGGCAAGAGCGGAGTCGTTATCGGGGTTGGGGCCGACTCCCACCATTTCGCAGTCCATCGCGACGAATTTTCCTAGTTCAGCACTGCGTCATGTTAGCCAAAAGAGCCCTGCAAGGTTGAAAGTTCGCAGATAAAGTCGACTCACGTCGGTGACCGGCCCTCATTGACCTTTGCGGTCCTCGATTCTGCAGCGGTAGAATTCCTCCGCGACGCGGATTTCCCCGCGGTCTCTTGAACCCCATTCTCGCCTCCATCAGAACCGTCAGCCATCCTTTTCCTCTTTTTTGAGATGCGAGTAGATTCAAATTTCTTTTTTCCGTCGACGGCCTCCGATTTCCGTTTCTTCACCACACCATGTTGGACGTCGCGGTCCGAAGTCTTGCGCTTGGTGGAGGTGGAGACGGGATCCTTTTTCAGCGTCTCCTGGAGTTTCTTCCAATTGCTGGAAAGGTTTTTGAGGTCCATTCCAAATTGCGCCGATCGAGGATTCACAGCATGGTGTTCTGGCGTGGGCTAGATTAAGTTCACAGGAAAGGGAAAAGAAAAGAAGGAAAAGACCGAATGATGCGGAGAATGGACGATTCCGCTTTGGCGCTAAAAGCATAAAAATTTCGGACGTTCATTTGCGGGTCCACTTCAAGTCTGGACCTGCTCTCCTACTCAGTCGACACTCTCGCGGCAGTTTGAGAACAATGATAATGAGAATTTATGGTAGTATCATTTGGTTCAAATGTGTCATATATCGATTTGCGCTCAAGCAAGAACTTTTCATATTCAGATGGATATTATACGACTGAGATCTATACAGCAAAACAAGAGCAAACGTGAAGAAATAGACCGTATCTACACTCCCGGGACCTTGAAGTCCTTGTAAGACCACTTCTCGGTCACCTTTCTCTTGGCCTTCTTGGGCTGCGAGACCGGCTTGCGAGATTCCAGCTTGCCCTGGACGATCAACGTGCGGAATCGATCGTCGAGGAGATTGCCTTCGGGTTTTAGTAGACGCAGGGAGTCCTGCAATTCGTCCGGTAGAACAACTTCCAGGTTCTTTTGGGGTGGCCTAGTAGCTAGGTTAATATAAAATGTATAGAAAAAATATAGGACCAGGGGAACATACGCGTTCTTTCCTCCAAAAGGTCTCCGTCGCAGAGCAGCCTCATCACCCTCGTCAGAGGAATCAGCATCGGAATCCTGTTTTTCAAGCCCCTGCTCCTCTAGTTGTTGAGCGAGAGACTTTGCCTGTGCAACTTGTTCGTCCTTCGTCTTCTGCTTGGCCTCCCACTTTGCCTTTCTCTCGGCTTCCTTGCGTCTCTTGGCCTTGTTCCTCTCAGTCTTCGTCTTCCGCTCAGGTCGTTTCTTCTTCAGCCAGTCCGGCTTTTCGTATTCGCTTTCAAACCCTTCCCAAGCGCTCTCGTCATCCGACCTCGCTACTCCGTCGTCATCTTGGGCCTCTTCGACCAAACGCTGCCTCTCTAGCTCCTTTTGTTCCTCTTCCAAGCGCTTCTTCTCGATATCTACTTGCTGCTGTCCCTGTTCCTGCAGCAAGTGATCCCATTCCTCGAACGTCGGGTTGTAACTCGTACCAGCCTTGGGGGCGCGGACCGCAGGAATGGGCTTTCCATTCGCAGCGAGCGAAATCGGGGCGTGCTTCAGCGTCACGGGAGCAACCTTGGGCTTTGGCTTTTCCAGGAAGTCGAACTGAGGGTCGTCAAACGGACTTTGGTCTTCGTTGTCGGCCCAAGGATCATAATTGGCACCGGTTTCGACCTTGTTGGTTGGGTTGTTGTCCTTAGCCACCTGCTTGAGGCGCAACCAATCCTTCCGAGTGACCCAGTCGCTCTTCTGCTTCTTGGTTTTCGGTTCAATGACTCCATCTGTGACTTTCGAGCTGAGACGTTTCCGAGTATCTACTGCCGGGATCGCGGACCGTTGAGCGATGATCTCTTCGGATTTCAGTGGCTTGTGTTTCTTCTCGATCGCCTTGCGGACTTCTTCTGAACCAGTGGTGTCGATTGTGAACAGTTCGTCGGACGGTTTCTCGGCCAGAACACCACTATAGTCGAGGGAGAAAGGATCAGTAAATGAAAATTGCGATGTGAGCGATACGGATTGCTGTTACCCTTTAATTTCTTCCTCTTTCAACGCCCGGAGGCCTTCTTGGACCTCTGTGACATCCACATTTTTTCTCCAGGCTTTCTTGCCTTTACGAGAAGGCTGATTATATTGTCGCGGTGCGTCAATTGTAGACGACATTGTGAATGACCCAGTATTGGAATGCAAATGCAGGGTTAGTATTCTTGTCTATCTTTTTTTTTTTTTTTTTAAAGTAAAGATAGATAACTGAAAATCTGGGCCCGCTTACCTAATGACCCGCGGGGCGACGCTAGTGCGGTTGCCGCGCTAAGACTCGGCGCGGCTATAGCAGTTCAGTCTCAACTCGCTTTTCTCCCGCGTCGGTCCTGCATCAACCTTGACCAGCGAGGACACCGGAGTCCCTGGATTTTATTGGCGCGAAGGGATTTTGGGTCCTTCTTTATCATATTAAGTTTCCATTAATCGGGCAGAGTTTATTAAAAGCGACGTGTTGAACCTTCATCACCATGCCGGTTGTCAAAGGAGGTGTCTGGTAAGGATTCTAGTGCTGTAACGAGCTCTTTGCGCCATTCATCTGCTAACATTCGAGCAGGACAAACATCGAAGATGAGGTGCTACGGGCAGCTGTAAGTCAGATCTCCCTATCAGATTACCGACGGAAGCAGAAACAAAACGCCAGAATACGCGACGCAGGTGAACTAAATACTGATCATGAATGTCTTGCAGGTCTCCAAGTACGGTCTTAACCAGTGGGCGCGAGTATCTTCGCTGCTCGCGCGAAAGACTCCCAAGCAATGCAAGGCGCGATGGATCGAATGGCTGGACCCCGGCATCCGCAAGGTCGAATGGTCGAGGGAAGAGGATGAAAAGCTGCTGCACCTGGCCAAATTGATGCCGACTCAGTGGCGCACAATTGCACCTATCGTCGGCCGCACGGCAACGCAGTGTCTGGAGCGTTATCAGAAATTGTTGGATGAAGCCGAAGCTCGTGAGAATGATGAGCTGGGATTAGGAGGTCCCGGCGAAGAGACCGCGGCCCCGAGTGCAGACGATGTGCGCCGTCTACGGTAGGTTCATCAACAGATCCATTCGGTCTTCATTCTTATCGACTCTAACATTATACAGGCCCGGTGAGCTCGACCCCGACCCGGAATCGAAACCCGCTCGTCCCGACACGATCGATCTCGATGAAGATGAAAAAGAAATGCTCAGCGAGGCCCGTGCTCGTCTGGCCAACACCCAAGGAAAGAAGGCGAAGCGCAAGGCCAGAGAACGACAACTGGAAGAATCCCGGAGACTTGCAGTCCTTCAGAAACGTCGTGAACTCAAGAATGCCGGGATCAACATCAAGGTCGTTACACGGAAGAAGGGCGAGATGGACTACAACGCCGACATCCCATTCGAAAAGCCGGCCGCACCTGGATTTTACGATACGATGGAGGAGGAATCCCGGAATGAGAGGCAACGAGAGATGTTTGATCCTCGTAAGCAACAACTGGCCAATAAGCGGAAAGGCGATCAAGATGATGAAGCCGAACGAAAGAAGAGAAAGAACGACAAGAACAGTACCTCGGCTGCATCGGCCGCTGCTGCTCGCGCTGGTCAGATGCAAAAGATCCGTGAGGCGGAGCAAAGTAGCAAAAGACGCGCCCTCGTTCTCCCTACCCCGCAGGTCAGCGAAAGCGAGATGGAGGACATAATCAAGATGGGCATGGCAGGCGACAAGGCTAGCAAGATGTCCGGAGATGAAGAAACCACTCGCGGTCTGATTGGCAATTATTCGGCCATTGTTGGAGGAACGCCTATCAGAACCCCTCGGGCCGCACCAGAGGAAGATCACATCGCCAACGAAATCCGCAATATCAAAGCTCTCACCGAAACGCAATCGTCGTTGCTCGGTGGCGAGAACACCCCTTTACATGAAGGAGGTTCTTCCACCGGGTTTGATGGTATCGCCCCTCGCCGTCAAGAGATTGTGACCCCCAATCCTATGGCAACTCCTTTCCATCAAGCCAACGGTGTCGGTGCAACGCCCATGCGGGGAGGCGTTGGCGCCACGCCACGCGATGGTCCTGGAGCCACACCCTTGCGGACACCTCGGGATCATTTCGCCCTGAACAAGGAGATGGAAGGCGGACAACTTGTGCCGAGTACACCCAGAGACCTCAAACTACAGGAGAACCTCGCCCGCGACAGCATCCGCAACAAGCTTGCCGCCCTTCCGAGGCCCAAAGAAAGCGAGTGGGAACTGGAAGAGCTTCCTTCCGAATCGGCAGAACCCACAACAGCAGGCGAGTTCGTGGAAGAGGATGCCGCCGAGCGCGACCGGAAAGAGCGGGAAGCGAAGGAGAAGGCTGCTCAAGCAGAGTTGAAGCGCCAGTCACAAGTATATCAGCGATCATTGCCGCGGCCGAGCGTTCTCGACATTGATGCCTTGATTGAGCGAGCATCGCACGTAACGGATCCCATTACCGCCTTGATTGCCAAAGAGACTGCTCTTTTGATTGCGAATGACGCCCGCAGATTCCCCGTACCCGGCGCTAAGGTAGAAGGGAGGGCTCGGAAGCTAGAGCAACTCGACGATGATTTGGTTGCTGCAGCTCGTGCGACTATCGCCGCCGAAACTGTTACTTCGGGTCAGCAACAGGACTGGCAGGAAGGATTCGATACTCAGTGGTCCTCGACGCATTCCAGCACTCTTCCCGGCCTCTCCAATTATGCCGATGACGAGGAAGATGAATATCAGCAGGAGCAGCGCATGATCGGCGCATTTGATAGCGTACAGACCTCTATCTTTGCCACGGCCGAGCGCGGGAACAAGCTAGAAAAGAAGCTTGCTCTGCATTATGGTGGATATCAGAACCGAGCCAAGATGCTTCGCACCAAGATTTTAGAAGCCAGCTCTGCCCTAGAGAAATCCAAGGACGAGTTGAATGCCTTCCGCAACCTGCAGATTTCGGAGGACTCGGCCCTCGCACACCGGCTGGAGCGGTTGCGAGACGAGGTGTCCTTTACCATGAGACGAGAGCGCGAAGCTCAGGAGGTTTATCGCACACGAAAAGACGAACTGGACGAGTTAGTGGCAGGGACTGGGGGGATGGTCGATGGATGGCATTGAGCGCTTTGATGGATGGATGAGTGGGCAGGTGATTAAGAACAAGAGCGAAAATACTAGCTTAATACTTATTTGCTTATGTTCCAACAGCTTGTCTTCCGCCATTCTAGACTTACTCAAGAGGATACTCTGGAAAGTAGATATCACAACTCAACAAACCAAACCAAACCAACCTACGCATGTACAAACCTACAACAAAGGTTTGGCGGATTGCCTCAGCCATTAACGAGTCATCCCTTCCTTCATATCTCTTTTATACACCAGTAATTCGCGTGGTCATCATCATTGAAATTGACATCTTTGTGGTCTTGTTTCGTCCCCTCTTCTGGTCCATTAGTAGGCCACTGAGAGGTCAACCCGAGAAGGCAGTGGATTGGCCTGTGTAGGAGCGACCGTGTAGCAGCTATGCAAATCGTCTACAAAGATGAGGGTTTTTACCCACTCCTCCGTACCTAGGTACCATCTATGTATTTATGGCTCATAGATTGGTAACTAGGTGATTGGAGGAGTCATTCACTCGGCTGATGCCTTTGGGCAACCCCCCCCCCCCTCTCCTCTACTTCCTTTCCCCATCCTCCCTCCACCCGTATTACTTACGACATCCTTGATCCATTTATCCTATCATTTCTAAGTGGTGGAATCTACGTCCCTCAAACAGCGGATCACACAAGATTAGCTACTCTATCCCTAATACTCCTAGTCTCTCACCCTACATTATACCGCACTTTACTCATCGACCCTCTTTCCTAGCATCATCCACGAAAGCGACACCAATGTCCTTAACAAGAGCCGATGGACCGTCTTGATACGATCTGCCTACAGAGATCCGGATTCTGATCCTGAAAGCCTTATTGTAAGATGGCTGTGGCTTGGCTAGCTTCGCCATAGTGTCTTGAGAGTGGCAGATAATTTTTGAGCAGCACAACTTCGCCCGAATCAAACTCACACCTGCCCGCCTCACTGAGTTTGGCTCATTTATTTACCGCAATCAGGCTCTTGTACGCTATATATGGCTTCTTCTGGAACCTCAAGAATACGATTGCACCCAGTGTATGCCTCAAGAGCCAAAGATGCTAGCGATCAATATCACAGATAATACCCTAATAAGTAATAACCACAGCAATCCAGCATTTGTTCTCAACTCTCAGCACATGGAAACCAAATGGTAACTTGCTGCTTGATATCAGTGTTCATTCTCCTGGTGACTCAGAGCATTGATTTAAATACCTGACATTTGGACCTGATATGCCCTCTGATAAATGTGATCTGAATTTGTACGCAGAGCAATCGATACTAGCCACACTTGATGACCACCAGCATGGTTGGATTGCTGGGAATCAAAGTTCTGTCCCGCCCCAATATGGTATCCTGAAGGTTTTTGACGATATCATGGGTGAAGGGTCACATGGAACTGACGAAGAGGAGAACCAGTGGTGGCAGCAACTGCCATTAGTCCCAGCAGTAACAAGTGTACTTTTACGTCAACAGAACCGCCGACGGTGGAAGGCAAAGGCATTGGCACAGATGTTTACCCGTTTTCCCAGGCTCCAGGAGATTCACTATGAACCTTGGAGAGAATGGGATTCTATTTAACAGGAGGTGTCTGATAGATGTGAGTATTGCTGCATCCGTTCAACATTTTTTACCATATATGTATTCATTGCTGTATTCTTTTGCACTGACAATCTACCTATCGATCCTATCTCTGATCTAGCTTTCCGATCACTTTTTGGATCGCTCGCTTCAAACAAACTACGAAGACTCATAATCTTTAAGAATTTCGATCAACAATATGCGCTATCATGTAGAGATTATTGCGACTCTATCCGCCTCCCGACCCCTGATGTCAGCTGGGCGGTCGCCAAAGCCAGTCTCAAGCTTGAGCACCTCTCAGCATCATTTATTGTGGATGCCAGCTATTTCTTCCATGCTTGTTGTGGACCTTCCTGGAAGTGGCCCAACATGACTTCACTTGCGCTGACCTCACAAATACTTACACCAGATGAGAGCCCAATTGAGATTGATAGCATGCTCCAGAAAGCAGCAGTAGCAGCAGTTGTCATGAAAATGTCATATCTTGAATCAATGGAGATATGGAATGGGCGAGAGGGGTCGGCAATGCTCTTCAGATACTAGCGAACTGGGGAAGAGCAGCCTGCCGTGTTAACCTGGAGAGGAACACGGCAATTCACCCTGCGACCTCCTGTTGTCCAGGCTTGGGAAGCCGTGGCACGAAAACGGTGTAGCCACGGATCCATTATTGTTGAAGAGTTGCTGGATGCTGGTATTACTGTCAAGTCTCGTGGCGACGCGCTCCGCCATTTGAGGTTGTTAAACCCGGTAATTCGGACCGTTTCATTACAGCAGATTCAGATGGAGCATAGAATGCGCGAGGGAGCAGTTATGACTAGTAGCTCGATTTCTGTGATCAAATCATTTCCCTGGTACAGCGTGTTATTTTATTTTATGCGCGTTTTGATCTATAGTGATACTTCTCACCCTCTCTATACTCAATGTAATTTGCCCTCGGGCTACTCTTTCTACTCCTTTGGCTACTATATTATCTACGATGTGACACCAGAGTATGGAAGAATCCAGGGCAATAATAACGTGAATGACGCACCCCTACCGGAGGCCAGCCAAATGCGGTCGGGGACCAGAAAAGGCGGTCTCGGCCTCTTCCGGCGCAAATTCGTTCGGTCTTCCATCTCCGCCCGGGCGACTGAACAATCCCCCTTTGGGTTCTCCATCGCAGAATCCATCCAACCCCGCCATTTCCATCTCATCTCAGCCCACCGATCGCTGCAGAATCGCTCACCGTTCACCATGGGTGTCAGAGATTCTCATGGCGAGGCTACGGGGACTCCCGACCCCGTCGAGAAGGGCTTCGCCACCCTGAACACCATCCGGTATGTTGCGAGAAATTACTATATTTTTCATTTTGAGCTCTAGAGGCTTGGTTTTGTCGGTCGCATGTGCTGATTATGCCTGTAGGATCGGTGTGAAGGCCATGGTGCAGAAGGTCGGTTTTTTCCACGTCGGGTTCTTACCTAGAGTCACGTGATGGAAGACTGGGATCCTTGCGAAGGATATATGGCTGACATTCTAGTGCACAGGACGGAGAATTGAGGAAAGCTGAGATTCTCTCCATTAGGCAGCGAAAAGATGGCCCGAGTTTCTAGTAAGTGATCGACTCTTGCCGCTGGCTCATTGGGCCTGTTGTTGACTTGGTATCCCAGCGTTCATTATGTCGATTTCAACAAGCGTCTCGATGGTAAGTATCTCTCGCTTACAGGCTCTTTCCTGAAGTGCCACGGATGTGATGCTTACATGTCTCTCAGAATGGGTTGATTCCGGAAGGCTCGATCTATCCCAGGAGGTTGAGTGGCCGCAGCCCGAGAAACCGGAGAAGAAGAAAGCCGGTCCCGGCCAAAAGGCACCCAGCAAGAATACGCAGAAGCGTCCCAGAGCAGGGAGCCGAGAGGTATCAGCAACGCCAGATCTTCTGATGGGCAAGAACGCCAATGTCGGTAAGGCCTCGCGGCCGTCGAAGGCCGGTGGGAAGGAGAACCGCGGCGAGGACACGCCGTTGAACATGTCCATCCTGGGTTCTGAGGCCGTCTCGGCAGATGGGACGCCCAAGGGCGAATCTGACGATGTCGACATGATCGATGTCGGGTTCTCCGAGATGAAGGAGGAACAGGGCAAGATGTCCCGGGAGGAGGAGATCGAACGGTTGCGGACCAGCGGCAGTATGACCCAGAACCCGACGGAGATTCATCGTGTGCGGAACTTGAACCGCCTGCAGATGGGCAAGTTTGACATCGAGCCCTGGTACTTCTCTCCCTATCCCACTGAATACTCTGATGTGGACATCATCTACATCGATGAGTTCTGCCTCAGCTACTTCGACAACAAGCGTGCATTCGAGCGCCACCGCGCCAAATGCACGCTCGTGCACCCTCCCGGCAACGAAATCTACCGCGATGACAACATCTCCTTCTTCGAAGTCGACGGCCGCCGCCAGCGTACCTGGTGCCGCAACCTGTGTCTGCTGAGCAAGCTCTTCCTCGACCATAAGACTCTCTACTACGACGTCGACCCGTTCCTTTTCTACTGCATGTGCACCCGCTCTGAAACGGGCTGTCACCTGGTCGGATACTTCTCCAAGGAAAAGGACTCCGCCGAAGGCTACAACCTCGCCTGTATCCTGACCCTCCCTCAATACCAACGTCGCGGCTTCGGTCGTCTTCTCATCGCCTTCAGTTACGAGCTCAGCAAACGCGAAGGCAAACTCGGTTCGCCCGAGAAACCGCTCAGTGATCTGGGTCTGCTGGGATACCGACAATACTGGCGCGAAACGCTGGTCGAATTACTCATCGAGCCGGGCCGCGAGTCTATCAGTGAAAACGAGCTCGCGGTGCTGACCTCCATGACCGAGAAAGACGTCCATGAGACTCTGGTTGTTTTCAACATGCTCCGATATCACGTACGCTCCCCTCTTTCCCTTCCTTCTCACTCCCCTTTCTTTTCCATCCACCACCGAGTGAACAGCAATGCTAACTAACCCATAGAAAGCAAACTGGGTCATCGTCCTCACCGACAACGTCGTCGAAGAGCACAAGAAGCGTCTCGAAAAGGAGAAAATCAAGGGATCCCGCAAGATCGACCCGACGCGTCTGCAATGGAAACCGCCCGTCTTTACCGCGTCCAGCCGAACCTGGAACTGGTGAGAGAAAATATTCGAAGTAATCGCACAATCGGCCCCGAGTTGGAGTCACGTCATGTCAAGTGTTGGTTGGGACTCAGTTACTGAAATAGCGTGGATGTGTGGCGTTTTGATACCCAGATAATTGGAGTCATGGCTTATTTTTTGTTTCTTTTGTTCTACTTTGTGCTGTACACCCGGTTTGATACTATAATATGTTTCTTTTCCTTTTCTTCTAGGTGTATCGGTGTTGGAGATAGGGCTGGGGTTGAAGGTGGTGTTTAGGGATATGCATACTATTAGAATGGTTGGGTGGGTGAATGGGTAGGTTACTTGTGAGATTAACAAGAGCAGTAAAGAAAAATGCTGGCTTAATATTTATTAACCTTTGTACCAATAGTTAACTTCTACTCCGTCATTATAATTACAGATTTATTCACAAGAATGTCAAAGCTCAACAATCCAAACCTCATCCGTTCCAGAGGTTATTCCGGAAAGATTTCAACCCCTCCAAGACGGAGAAGGATCCATCCAAAACAACCTACAAACCTACAACTAACTGCATATCCAAAATACGAGAAAAGTAGTTCATGATAGAAAGACAATGAAAGAATTGAATGCACATCTTGCACAGAGAGGTAGGTCTAGGTACATGGCATGGTGACACTTCACTCGTCCTCTTTTCCAATTCAAAAACTCGGTCACTCAACTCAATCACGACACCTGACCTTTCTCTCGTTCCATTCATTAACAGAATCGCCTCTGATCTGTATTCCGACGGATGAATCTAAGGAACTCTGAAGGCTACCTGTCCCCCGTTCGGTTTCAAGGAGTAGATTGCAGTACCGAGGAAGACGAGAGAAAAGGATATTAGAGGGCGTTAAGAGAAGATGAACGACGATGACGAGGAAAGAATGTGAGGGCGGGAGCGCACAAGCCCGAGATAGATAGAGCCAGTCAGCCGACTCGGCTCCATTCAAGGAGGTAATATGAAGAGGAAGAAATGCGTCAGTTTGAAGATGCTAAGAGGCAGGGATGAGGGGACGAAGGACCAAATCAGTACCATCGACATTATTGTAGTCACAAGAGTCGATAGTTTGCATGGGGCCGTTCAAGCTCGCATATCAGTTTGTTTAGAAATCCCGCGTTGGTATGTGAGAGTAACAAAGTGCACCTTCAGAAAGCGAGTAGTAACAAAGTAGATAAAGCAAGAGGGAATAATATACGGAAAAGGGAAAGTTATGAAGGAGAGAAAAAGAGGAGGGCATTAATAAGAAGCACTAGGAATTCAAAACCAGACCCTTTCGAAATTTCCCTCACAGGCGTAAACTCATCAAGACCGAAATGAACGCTCAACGAATATTGGAAACCCGGTGAAATAAAGGAAAGAACGGACACATGCTCCGCGGGAGAATACCCCTAGCGAGATCCACTGAAGGTGCGTGGACCCCAGGATGCGGTTCGCGACTGGTGTCGCGGAGACCCGTTGCCATTTGAGTGCTGGGATTGCGTTGGCTTTTTAGAAATTGAACTGCCAGTTCCTTCGCGAGGCTTAGTGGTCTTGCGAGGTTTATAGCTCGAAGAACCGCGTGATCGTAGCGAATTATGACTGCCTGCCTTTTTAGGGAGAACCATAGTCTTCGCCATGACGGCTCCTGGAAGACGAATCGAAACTCGGAACCCTCCTGTCGTATCCTTATCGTGGAATCCGAATGAAAAGGGCTCAATACTGTGAACCTGCATGGGCTTCAAATGCTTCGACCGCAATCGAGACTGCGAAGGGGCCGGCGCCGCTTGCCAAGCGGCAGCAGGCGCCATGGTAGGAACCCGAACAACAGGTAGAGATCCGACTTCACGATCTTCGAACATCTCTTCTGCTTCTTCAACTTTCCGGGCCGAAAGTTCGCCGTCACCGGTTGGGAGGTCATCCTTTTGAGGGAGCGAGACAGAAACCGAAGCGATGTGCAAAGGAACATCAAGGGGCTCTTTGGAAGCCGATGTAACTGCCAAGGCGTTCTTCTTCTCGGACACCGTCTTCTTGCCAAAGAGGCAGTTGATCTTCTCCTGCCAGGACGTTGCCGTGGACACCGGCGTGGCCCGCGGCGGCGCAGCGACCATCGATGCAAACGTAGGTGGAGGAGGTGGGGGAGCAACTACCTTAGGAGGGAGCTTCACAATTGGCTTCGGTGCAGGAAGGTGGACAAGGGGCCGGTTCGTGTCTCCGGTGTACACAGGATGGTTCGACATGTCTTCAGGAGGAGGCGGTGATGGACTGCGCATATCGTCGCCCTCCTCAAACGCCGGCTTCTTGTGTTGCTCCGTAGCTTGGGGAAAGAATCGCGAACTACGGGCCGGAACGGTTCCAAGCGGACGTGCAGGGCTCTCGGCGAACGGCAGAGGACCAACGGGGTGATCCAACCCGGGAAGAGGATTCGGTAACGGTGGATTGTTGTCTGTTGGCCGTGAAATTGCAACAATCTGTCTCTGTCCAGCTTGGTCTCCCGACCGAACTTGCCTCCAAGTCTCATTCAGCGTCAACGGTAGGGAAGATGGTCCCTCACGCATGGTAGTCATCTCATTGCGAAGCTTATCACCTTCTTCGGCCTCGCGCTTAGTGGCAACCGTATGGAAGTTGTGCCAAGCTGCGGTTCCTGACACGCGGTTGTCATGCTGCCAATGAGAATGCTGCAAGGTCGGAGGCCCAATAGGTCCTGGGCGTGCAATGGGATGGATAGGCTCGTAGGATGCATGTCGGACTTCGGGAGACGGCAATGGCGAGATAGATGCACTTTCTTGCGGTGAGCGCGAAGGTGCTGAGAACGGCTGCGCCACTGGCGTGACAGACGACTGTTCCAAGCCAAGATGCCCACGCAGAGAGATATCCCGTGCAGGGAAGCCTCCAAGACCTTGATCGAATATCCCATTGCCCAACGTTTTATCATTGCTGAGGGGTTTCCAAGGGTTCATAATAGGCGGCGGTCCGACAAGCTTCGTGTTTGCAGTCCACGGTGAATAGGGACTGGAAACATTGAGACCTCCTCGCCACTGTGCGTTTTGCTCCTCAAGTTTGGCCTCAGGGAACTTCTCTGGGGTCTGCACCTGTGGCTCACCAGATGGCTGCAAACCATTGGCCATGGAAGCGTCAGGCTTGGGCTCGCGGGTGGGAGATGGGGCGCGTCGACCAGTGGCCACTGGCGTGGGCTTCTCGGTCGCACGTTCCTTCTCAATGCGCTTCTTGACAGTATCTGGGTGATGAACCTTCATCATTCCATACTGTTTCGGTTCGCCCGTCGGTTCAGGCACGGGAGGCTTGGGGGGTGAATGCGAGGGTTGCGTCGCAGTGGATGGAATATGAGCCTCTAGTTTGTTACTCTCCATCGACTCCCGGCGTGGCTGCTTGACTTTGTCAGGGGGCGGGCCAAGCGCTTCAAGCTTCTGTCGGATTCGTTCGCGTTTTGCGGCCTCTTCTTTCTCCTCCTGCTCCAATCGTCGTTGCCGAGCCTCCATTCTCTTTTCCTTCATGATGCGCTGCTGCATAAGAACCGGGTCTTCCTGGAGTCCTTGGGGTTCTTGCGGTCCCTGAGGTTCCTGAAGTTCCGGTGCCGCTTGTTCGCCAGCCTGGGGCTCGGGAGGCGGCTGAATGGTGTGACCATGAGTAACTGGGGCTCTGTCATGCAGAGCAGCTGGCTGGCCACGCGGAGACCAGGGCATTCCAGGACCATGTCGAGTAGGCGAAACTTCTCTCAATGGCTGGTTTGCAGGTCCCAGGTCTCTACCAAAAATCGGTGGTTCCATCATTCCATTTGCCTGGGACCCTCTCCGGGTTTCAAAGGATCGTTGCGCAGCGTCGGGCCTGCCAATAGACATCCGACGCCCAAAACTGCCACTTCCTCCACTCACATTGGATGACGTTCGACGCCGCGTCCAGTGAGTACCATCCGGGCCACCTGATCGGTGGGTTTGGAAGGCCGCCGAGGGCTCCGCCGGGCCCATGGGGCCCACGGGCTCGCCCGGAACGGGCCGTTGTAGCAGAGATGGAGGACGCATGCCTTGCTCGGCACGCCAGGGCCCTTTGCGGTTATCGGTTACGGGCTCATAGCGGCCTGATCTTGAATTATAGAGTTCGCGAGTACCATATTGCGTTTCTCTCAGGGATCGATTGAAATCGTCTGCCGCAATCTCCTTGAGATGTGCGGTTCCAGCGCCACCGTCCTGCAGATGAGGTGGTTCTCGGACAGGGACCCGCATGGGTTGCTGGTGTAGCTGGACAGGCGGCATGACGGGCGAAATCTTCTCGACGGGCGGCAATGGAGCCCAAGGCGACTTGGCCGGAGGAGCCGGACTGGAAGAGAGTAATGGGGACTTCTCATTAGGACCCCTGGACAATATGCTTGCGTTCTTTGCTTGTCGTTCCGCATTGGCACCAAGCCTGAGAACGGTGGGGTTGGGTCCGATCGAAGTTGTCGGTTTTGGCATGAACTTAGGGGCTTCCCTGGCAGTGGATATTTGCTGGGGAGGTAGGGGCTCCTCCTTGGGCTCGGCAGGTACTCGGGTCTCCTGAACAGTTGGCGGCGCAGGCTCCGGTTGAGTGAGGTTGGTTTTGGTTCCATCGGTCCATTCTATCGTCTCCGGGGCCCAGTCATCCTCGTCGTCGTCGATGTCGGCCCATTTCGATTCTGTTCCGCCACCGTCTTCCTGAATGCGAGAAGTCATGTGGATCCCATATTGTTGCTTCAGTTCCTCGTCCGTTAGGTGTTTGGGAGGTGCTTGCTGGACCGCTGCGGCAAGCAGAATATTAGCTGAGATATTTGGGCAACGTTGCAGCGTTCTTACGTTGATTCCGATTCCATACTTGGCTGGGATCAGGACCACCTCCGCCCGCCTTAGCCGCATTCGGTCCTCCCTTGGATAATGAATCGCGCAAACCCGTCGTCTTGGCGACTAATCGTGGGCGTAGGTTTTGCGGCGGCTGACCCAACGGGGTACCCGAGGACAACGGAGCTACCATACGTTAGACTCGTATCTTTTCACTACTCTCTTGCGATCGATGTATAAATACCTTTCTCGGGCGCCTTCGCTGCGGGAGGCGTGCCTGGGGCCTTCGGTACGGAAAATTTGGCGAAGCTGACAGGTTTGAATGAAGTTGGTCGTTTCGTCGACGAGGCACGCGAGTTCAGCTTGGAGTCCGTTCGACTGGCGTCCGATTCCGACCCACCCTGCGAAGCCGTGTCCTCTCCGCCGTCCGATGCAGAAGCCATTCCATTCATTTCCAGTGCCCTTGATTCCACGGGTCCGGGCCCAGGTCGCGAGAGATCCTAACAACAAACAGTATTCAGTAGCTAATCCGGTTACGTTCCATGTCGCCAAGACTCACGGTCGACGGCCGTTCAGTACCCGGCTCAGCTTCGTTCTTGTGCGCTAACGATTCGGATGGTTCCATTCGTTCGCTTGGTGCAGGATTCGTTGTCGTTTCGGATTGCGTTGTTGTAGCGGTATGATTTATCTCCCCCACGTCCCCTCCGGCAGGTTGCTTGTCGTTGGTGCTCGCAGGAACGTCGGAAGGCGAAGAGTCGCCGCCCGACAGGGTTTGATTTACCACATCGTGGCTGCTCTGCTCTGCCATAACAATTCTCGAGTCTGTGGGAACAACAAGCGGTTGCGACATCTGTTAGACCAACGTTCTGTACTTAGAGGTATAGGAAGCGGCGACTATAATCCTAAGACATGGGGTGATCTGAGAAGTACCTCTTGTCAGGTCTTATTAAGGCACGCCACTGTCGAAAAGCTCAACGGTCTTGAGCCAAAAATTGCTCCGGAACCCAGAGGGCGGCGGATGGAGGAAAGTGTTCAACAAGTAAGAACGATGAAGATGAAGCGAGGTGGCTGTGAAGAGAAGGGAAGCTTGGGGTGAAGATAGATCGGGTAGAGGAGGTCCAGGGAAGAGAGTGTAGTAGTAGACACGGAGGCCTAGAGAGATCCCAAAAGGGAGGGGGGTGGACGATAGGAGTGATCTTCCTCAGGTTGATGATCGGGTGATGGCTGCTGCTGCGGTCATGAATGAACGGGAGGTGGAGGGTTGGGACCGGCTGTTTTCGGTTAGCGTGGCAGCCTGGCCCAAACTCTGACGGCGCTCTGGTTCTTATATGTTTGACTATCTACTGCTGCTGCTCGACGTGTTGTTCCGAATTTACGTTTATGCACAGTGTGAGTACAGTGTGAGCGTTGCCAGTGAATGAGACCATTCTGTCAAACAGGAACCTGTCGACGGTCTTAAGGGGTTTGGTGGCTGCTCTCATAATTGTGGTATCATCCGGTACCCTCATGTTTGCTTCCTCCTGCACCACCCTAGCTACGTCTCCTACTTTCCATTGATAGATGGAGTATTATGTAAAATCCACATGAATCACCAGTCTTGCTTGAAACTAGTCTTCTACATTGTCCTCAACTAGTAATGGGTCTGCGGTATATACATGAAATCCTCCGCGCCCGTCAACATTCCGGGGAAAGTTTAGTGAGGGTGGTTCTTGTGGTGACCTGGAATTCCATTAGCCATTCTCTCTTCCTTCAACGATGTGCCAGGAGGGGAGAAATAACGTACGGAGGTGGAAGTAGTACTCCATGCTGTATCCGAGAAGGAGAATGCCACCGATGGCGTGGGCAAGGGCTATTTCGCAAATCGATCATTAGTCAACGACACAAACATCTGATCAGGTCGGTACATCACTTACGAGCGGCAGAAGGGTTCTTGCCGAAGTAGCGAGCCTGGTAACGGCCGATGAGACCGGTAGGCTTGACCTCAGGGGCGGAGCCACGGGGGAGTTTGGCGTAGAAGTTCACCACGCGGTCCATACGGGCAGCATCCTTGGCAGCACCGATCGCCTTTATGGATTCAAGAAGGTTAGTTCTGACGAAACTCGCAAAGTATATCAAAGTATGTAGCGCTGAAGCGGTGGAGTTGGAGGTTCAAAATGCGACGAAAAGATTGTTTCGCACGAAGGGAGGTGACGCTCGGTCGGAAACGCAATGCATGGGGGTACTTGAAGGGGTCTCACGTTGGGGGAAGCGATCTAATGACATGTTAGTATTTCGTTTATCTAGCGGATTTCTGGGTATTCGCGGTTTTGTATTCGTCCTTACCTTGGGAGGGATGAGGGTCGAGAGACCTCGGCGGGTGATGTAGCTCATCTTGTATGGACTGAGGCTCGTTAGAAATGAATGACCTTTTTCAATTGTCCATCGGACATCACTCTGCAGACAGAAGAAGATCGGCCTTACCGGAAGAGAAGCAAGTGAACCTGGCAGAAGGATAATGACGGAGGAGAGGAGAGTGCTTGAGAGAGCGGGTTGTCGGATGAGCGGTTCCTAGCGGTTGCGAGCCTCATTATTGCGCTAAACCACATTCAGATTTGCCTGGACGACCGGCACTCGCCGCATACCTCACCTTTCAATTGCACTTCCGCTTCACCTGGCCCTGTCTACCACCCCCGACGGATCCAATCGCCATAATGTCGCTCATGAGAGCAGGAACCGCTGCTTGCTTCCGGGCAGGCAGGCTCGCCGCCCCTCTGAACGCCCGATTCGTGGCCACCAACACCGGTCGCGGTGATCCCTCCATGAAAACCAACCCTTCTGACGCCCCGGCTGTCCCTCCCAAGGACAGCTCCCTCATCCAGCAGGAGACGCCTGCCCAGGCAATGGCTCGCCACCAGCCTGACTATGAGGCTACCATTGACCACGGCACCTCGTACGCAACCCTTTTCCGCGGGGTTGCCCAATCGCCCTCCAACAGGCCATGGCTAATGTGAACACAGGCTGTTCTCTCCCGTTCCCAAGCGCGTGATGGATGGCAGCGAGCCTGGCGAGACTGTTCCTGCTGCCGTCCTCTCCGGCGCTCCCACCGATCTGCAGGCCCGTACTGTCCGGTAGGTGATGCAATATGTGAATCTTCAAATTTGCGGCTAATTGTGTTCACTTAGGATCTACCGTCCCACTAAGCCCGCCACGCAGTCTGGAAACTGGCACTCTCACCACTGGAGAATGGACTGGGATATCTTGCAAAAGGGACACCGCTGGGAGAACCCTCTGATGGGATGGCAGTCGTCTGCTGATTGTATGCAGGGCACGAACTTGAAATTCAAGTCGAAGGAGGATGCCATCTTGTTCGCGCAGAAGCAGGGATATGAATATTTCGTTCAGGAGCCGAACGAGCGTCGATTTGTTCCCAAGTCTTACGCCAACAACTTCAACCACGAACCGAAGAAGCTCAAGCACATCAAGACGAAATAAACTGTTACCTCCAATAAAATGTATTATGTACATAATCGCTCTCGCTTTTGCTCATTCGGAATTTTTTTGTGTTTCAGATTTTAAATGATCATTTTTTTTCTTACATGCATCGCCTCAGACTAATTCGCACGGTCTTCATATCAGGGATTGCACAAAAAATGTTGGGACGGGAAATGATATACTTAGTGAAGTCTGATATTTAGCTCTTTCCACCAACCGCACCAACCTTAATTCTGTCAATATCGAAAATTTCCAAACTGACGAGGCTCTAGCCGATGAGGGGGATATCGAACCAATCTGTTTGGATACTCATTTTCACGCTCATTATCGGGGGTGAGGATGGCTTCAAATGCAGGAGACGGTCAACTCAACTTGCCTTCGTGCACACTTCAATTCCTCGACTTCCTCATCAGCTTCTCCATTTCATTAAGGGACCTCTTACCTACGCTCTATCCCATTTTTTCCCAGCGATCATCTTTAAACCGTTTGACAGTCCCGAACAATGGCTTTTTGCAAGCAGTGCATCTTATCTCGTGTCGTCGACCACATGATATCCTTTAAGTGGAATCCGTATCCCTCAACAGCAGGCCACACAAGTCTAGCTGCTGCACTCCTAGCACTCTCACCCTGCCATACGCCACACTTCACTCATCGACCCTCGTTCCTACCATGGATTTCTGCAGAGACCGAGATTATGGTTGGAAGCCTTGCTGTAGGATGGCTGTAGCTTGGCCGGCTTCACTACAGTGGCCCAAGAGTGGCAGATGATAATTGAGCAGCGCAACTTCGCCCGAATCAACAACTTCACATTTTCACGCCCCGCAGATTTTGCATCAATTATTTACCCAAACTGGGCTCTTGTACGCTATATGGCTTTGCTTGGAACCCCAACCACACCATGATTGCACCTACTGTGTGCCTCAAGATCCAGAGATGATAGGAGGGGCTCCAGCCTAGCACATATATATACAAGGATGGGGCATGTAACTCCAATACACGAGGAAACCTCCTTTCCAACCTACCATTTGGCTCTCTTCTGTCTCCGAGGGGGTCCCCATGTCCCGTATGACTAACGACTGATCAAAGCATAATTGGCCGGGTCTTGATTTCAGCCGGCTCTTTCGAACTGGGTTACTTATCTGAAACACCGCGTAAAGGTGCCCGATTATCGTTCTGGTGCCTCCACTATGCTCTCCTGAGATAGCTTCGTTGGCTTATCTAGGTGCAAGGGCTGGTCATTGGGATGAGGGTCGTGGCAGCCGTGCGGACCCCAAGCTCGGTCCTAGCCCCTCCCCAGTCCTCGATGCTTCTAGTCTCGTTTGCAACGTCCTCGGCGACATGGATAGTATGCTCTGTCACTTTCTCAGGAGCTCTCTCGGCGGCGGCGAGAAGATCTTTGATGGCTGCTGTGGTCATGAATGAATTGAAACGGTGGGGGGCTGAGACTAACCCCGGTTGTCTTGGGTAACCACGGTAATCCCCGAACTCGGCCTGAAGATACGCAATAAGGCCCCCTGCTGCAGTCTTACTGAGAGTCGTAAGTCTATTTTTGTGCCTCTGCGAGCTTTCGTTGGGCCGCAAGGATCCTCTCATCAGCAGCTTTCTCTTGTTGTCTCGCTTCTTCAATAGCAATTACCTCGTGACGGAGCGAGCCCTGTAGATATAAAGTTAGCCAGAAACCGACATATATACTTCCAATTTGATTTTATTCGGAACTTCAAATGGCAAACGAAGACATAGGAGAGACGGACAATCCACATAGGCGATGATGGCTGGGGCTTTTGAGGAGAGAGGAGCACAACAGGATGAGCCTTACTCCTCTGTTAGTATGACTGATAAATAGAAAGGGTGAACTTAGTCACCATGGTCGAGAAAGTATGCAATAATGACAGCGGCAATCGGTGGATCCAAGACATGCTCATATTACTATCATATTACTTTAAGGAAAATCTAACGCTATTTTAGAGTATATCAATAGATATTTGAGGAATACAGATATTTTTTAATAGTCATAAGTATTTGTTGCAGGTGCGTTACAGTACAGTCTTGTATCTAGGACAACTACAGTACAAATCCAGTATTTCGTTATTTGAAGCCGCTTAGGTAGTATTGAGGTAACCACCCTATCTTTTTTGTGGTATTGCTGATGTCTTGAGGGGCTCTGTCTACCCCTTCACTTCTACTAGGCCCTGGGTAGCTAGTGTCTCATTTTGTTAGAGGCAGTACTTGCAGCTGGACTGGACATGGGTGTTCGGGTATTAGGAAAGTATAAGGACCTGCGCATATTAGGGCAACTACGAACCAGCCACTCAGCCCAAAAGACTCTAAGGAGAGGTCTCAATGGAAATTTAGGCAACATTGAAAACACCATGAAATTCCTTGCAGCGTTGCTGTCAAGCTTTGGCTTGGTCATCGCTCTGGGCGGCCAGTTTGACCCCGAAAGCTATGACAGAGATGATGTGGTTACAAGGGACATTGTTGTCGTTGGTGGTGGCTCTACCGGGACGTACGCAGCGATTAACCTCCTCGATCTGGGTCAGAAAGTGGTTGTGGTGGAACAGGAGTCAGTCTTGGGAGGACACACGGGCATATACATCGACCCCCAGACAAACACCACGATTGACTATGGGGTGCAATCATTTGCAAATTTCTCCGTTGTCCGGGAATTTTTCGCCCGTTTTCATATTCCTTTGGTCAGGTTCTCGGTCAATGCTTCCACAATATACGCCGATTTCGAATCCGGTGAGCTATTTCTGAATTCGACGCCTAGTTATGACTTCGACGCGTATAAGGCCCACCTAAACAGGTATCCGTACCTCTCCACAGGCTGGGATCTACCTGACCCCGTTCCGGAAGACCTACTCCTACCCTTTGGAGAATTCATCAATAAGCATTCTTTGCAGGACATAGCATATGCTATTTGGTCCAGCGCGCGAGGATCCGGAGATATCCTACGCCAACCCACCGTCTACATACTGAAAGCAGTAGATGGGCCGTTTGTCAAAGGGTTATCAGAGGACACACTGACCACGGAAGGTCACAATAACTATGAGCTTTATGAAAAGGCCCTACGGGAACTTGGGCCTGACGCGATTGTCTCTTCCACCGTCATTGCGGCACAAAGATCAACAGATGGTGTCAAATTGGTTGTGAAGACGCCTAATGGCAAGAAGCTCATCTCAGCATCGAAGTTGCTTGTCAGCGTACCGCCGAATCTCGAAAATATGGAACTTTTTGATCTCGATGGACGGGAAAACGGGCTCTTTCAGAGATTTAACCATAGTGCTTGGAATATTGCTGTCGTCGCCAACACGAGTTTACCTACTAGCTACCGATTTCTGAACATTGGCACGGACAACGGCACCTATCGCATTCCTCAGCTACCTGCAATATACAGCATCAACCCGACGGCTGTGAAAGGGATCTTTTATGTTTGGTATGGCGTGTCCCAGGCCGCCGCAGAAGCCGATGTCAAGGCCGACATTTCTACAACCATCGAGCGTCTATCCCGAGCTATCGACGGGTCCAACGAACGGACGAGGAAAGTTCGCTTCTTAACCTACAAGAGTCACACTCCTTTCCAACTCGCAGTGTCTATCGAAGAGATCGAAAGCGGCTTTTATCGGGAGCTTCAGGCGCTGCAAGGATACCGAAGCACGTGGTACACCGGAGCGGCGTTTCTTTCACATCATGCCGGTCAATTGTGGAATTTTACTCAGGCCTTGCTGCCTAGCCTTGCTGCCTAGCAATACCGGCGACTTTTCTGTCTCGTGGTCGAGAATGATCATAAGATTTGGCTGCACTGGCGTCCACTATATGTTCACGGACAGTCTACTCTTTCCAAGATGATGAATGAAGTCATACCTAGGTAAAATAGGTCCTAAGGCATACCTACTGTAGTATTGATCTCCGATTCCTTTGTGCGTGTGTTGGGTGAGGGTACCTGCATTTTCAAGCAGACAGGCCCAGGCGCCCCTAAGAGAGGGAGCGACTACCCCGCCACCCCCACCTAAAATTTATTATCTTTCGGTGATAAGATCTTCTGAGGGAGAAAAAAAAAATCAAAAATTTCCCGAACTATACTATACCCCTCCGTACTCCTGGCGATCGTCTTTTCTGTTTGATCTTCTTAATTTCTAAAATCCCTTTCGACAATCCTTTCTTCAATATACATCGAAACGACATCATGGCCCCTGTGGTACCCAACCCCGAGGCTGGCGTGGACGCGACCATTCTGAACCTTCGCAAAGTGATCACCGACGAGTCCGAACCCCTTGCTCGCCGATTCCGCGCCCTGTTCTCCCTCAAGCACCTGGCCTGCCTGGAGCCTCACACCGAAAACACCCTGCCCGCCATCCAGGCCATCGCCGCCGCCTTCACCTCGCAGTCCGCTCTGCTGAAGCACGAATTGGCCTACTGCCTAGGCCAGACCCGTAACCCGGACTCCGTTGAATACCTGCAGCATGTCGTCAAGGATACCCAGGAGGATGCGATGTGTCGTCACGAGGCCGCCGAGGCGCTGGGGGCGCTGGGCTACGACAACAGCCTGGAGATGCTGAAGGCTCTGCGCGACGACGAGAACGAGCTGGATATTATTCGGGAGACTTGCGATATCGCGGTCGATCGGATCCTCTGGGAGAATTCGGAGGAGAGACAGGCGGAGAAGTTGAAGCCTAGGTAAGTGATTTTCTTTCTTCGATCTGGATATGCTTGCAAATTCTTGTGGAATCTTTCTATCAAATGTCCTTTGAAATGTACACGCCGCTAATGGTTTTCTCCCCAATGCAGTGATTTCACCTCCATCGACCCGGCTCCCCCGCTTCCTCTGGCGTCTAGCCAACCCTCTATTGCCGACATGGAGCAGACATTGCTCGACACCAAACTCCCCTTGTTCCAAAGATACCGTGCCATGTTCGCCCTGCGAGACCTTGCTTCGCCTCCCGATCTCCCCACGGCTGTCAGTGCCATTCAGGCTCTGGCCAAGGGTCTCAAGGATCCCTCCGCCTTGTTCCGCCACGAGATCGCATTCGTTTTCGGTCAGCTGTGTCACCCGGCCTCCGTGCCCAGCCTCACGGATTGCCTTAGCAACCAGGAGGAAGCCGGTATGGTGCGACACGAAGCCGCCGAGGCCCTGGGTAGCTTGGGCGACGTCGAGGGTGTCGAGGAGACACTGAAGAAATTCGTGAACGACCCGGAGCAGGTGGTGAGAGACAGCATCATCGTGGCCCTCGATATGGCGGAATATGAGAAGAATGGAGAGATCGAGTACGCGTTAGTGCCAGACTCGGCCCCCGCTGCCGTCCCCGCCGCATGATGGGTTTTCTCCCTAAAAACAAAGGATCAAAGGGATTACAGTGCCGGAGTGATTTAACGAAAAATGCTTGCTTTCATAGATGTACAGTCGTAAAGTTTTATGTGCTTTGCAAAAAAATGAAGAAAATAGAGTCGTTTCTTTTGGGTGTTTCCGTTTAGTTGTTCTGGGTCTCTCTGTGTCAATTGGTCAGTACTGAATTGATCTAGAGCCAGGATGCAACCAGTCAAGCCATACTTGTAACCGCAAACGCAGCGTAGGAAAACCGTGCTTCCTTCGTCTGCACTTCGCAATTGTACCGTCGTGAAGTACATCTCTTTCCGTCCACACTGGGCGCAGGTATGCTGCGTCAGCGCCTCGGTCTTCTTGTCCTCGGCCGTCAAAGTCTGGACCGCAGATCTTTTCGCGCGGAGGGCGGACGGGAATGCGCTCGGTTTGGACTCGGAGACGATGGTTTTGGGAAGGATATCTAGACGCAGATTTGGGTTAGCACAAGTCGGCGAAGAACAAATTGACATTTGTTTTAATTCCTCCGAGAAAGAAGCTCCGCGCACCTTTGTTGCGGGTTCCGCAGACGCTGCAGACCACGATCTTGGTGGGATCGCCCGAAGACTCGTCGAGCAGGTTTCCGCAGTCATTGCAGAAGATCAGGGAGCCGATGGCAGACATGTTGAGAGGAAGGGTCCGGAAGGAACAGAGAGGACGGCGAATGGCGGATTGGAGAGAAAAGCAATTAGAACTAGATTAACTTCATATAATTTTTCCCATCGGAAAGAAATCGGCGCACGGACGTCCCAAAGTAGTGCCGGGCGGTCAGCGACGGCAGCGGCAAGAGCGAGCGTGCCTGGCATGAATAATTACATCGTTTGGAACCTCCGAACTGCAGCAAAGGAAAAAAAAAGAAGAAAGAACGACTGAGCAATTGGACTTGTCCGTTGTTTGGTATGGGATTTCGTTCTCTTGCCTGATAGCCATGTCTTGGGGCGGAGCATGTCTCTTTCTCTCCCAGATCACTCTTATTCGTCTCGTTTCCACCCTACGACTCCTCCCCTAAGGGGATATCTTCCGCCAAACCATGGACCCAAATTGGCATCCGGCCGTGCAGGTCGTCATCAATGGCCATCCTCAGGCACCGGCTCACCATCCGGCTGGGCTTCTGCCGCGTCGGGACCGGCCGTTGTTTGTTGAGGAAGCGCTGCAGTATTCTCCCATGTCTAGCTCTCCCGTCTTCGGCTTAGGTATGATATCCATAGATCGACAGACCCTCTGAGTGATATGTGATGTTTAACTGACAAATCCTCTTGGGTTTCTCTTTTAGACTGTATTCTACGTCCTGACGTCGGCCGTCCTCCACATACAACTTCCATCAATCACATTCTTCAATCAGGTCGGACCGCTTTGAATGACCTGAACGCCGAGATCCAGTCCGGACATGATGATCGTTTGGAGACGTCGCGCGAATACCTGCAGCAGTTGTTGGATGGAGACCACTTGACTGAATTGTAAGCTTGATGGATGCCTCAACATGACGACACTATACTTACTCGCTTGGTCCTCCAGTAAGTTTAAGCTGCCCGCAGGCATCAGTAGTTCCCAACGTTCGACATCCGGTCCTGATCAGGCTTCTGGCCGCGACAACCTTGGCTCGTTTGCAAAAATGATGCTGGACTCTACGGACATAGCGTTTCGATGTAAGGATGGTACTGTGGTCAAGAAATACATAGAAGCTCTACTTACCAATAGCAGATCCTACTGTGCCCCAAGCTGAGACCGGAAAGCTCCCGCAGACCCCCAATTCATGGAACCAGAAAGCGCATGCGGCCAACAAGCAACCCCCCGCGTCTTATCACCAGCAAGGCCCTCAAGCCAGTCATCTGTCCGTCGTTATTCCAGTAAAGCCCATCCCATCTCACGACAACCGAGGAGTGTCAAAGAGAAGAAAGCTCAATGTTGAAGGGGAAGATAGTCTCGCCTCGATACGTTTGAAAGACCAAAAGGAAGAAGCAGATGCGGCTTTGGTAAAGCTCCAGGATCTTCTTCACGAGGTCTTCGAGGCCGAGGATCAACTCGAGCCCGGAACGTCGAATGTAGCTGCTGACCAGTCGAGCCCCGTTTTCACCGCGGCCCATGCGCTCGAGGTCAGTGGGCCCATTCTCTCTTCAGATGCGCATAGTCGCCTTCAGAAGGCTATGAAAAAAGTTGTTGGCTTCAAAAGGCTCCAAGATATTCCTTCCGACTACCTGAAAAGAATTCAGAAACTTTGTGAAAAGCCCATTATTGCTGCGCAGTCACCGGAATTGAGACTAGATGACCCTTCGAACGAAGGCGAAACTCAAGAGTGGTTAAAAAAGTTGGAAGACATACATAATGCCCTTCTTGCCGTCAGCACGTTGCTGCAAACCATGTCGGGCTCGCAGACCGAACGAGATCTCTGTCCCGAAGATCTAATCGAGGCCATCCCGAACGTACTGAACCAGTCCTTTGATCATTGTATTATCCCCGCGGTGGAAGCACGCCCCAATGGTAAGGATGAGAAGCTCTTTGGGTTCTTCTCAGCCCAGAGGCGAGTCATTGGAGGGGTGGTCCAACAAAACAAAAAAGTTCTTTCCCTTTTCGCTGATTTCCTCTCGCGCATTGAGGTCTCCGAGGGTACAGTAACGGCCACGGAGTTCTTTGCCGCTAAGCTAATCTTCGTGGAAAACGCACACACGGAGAAGGACTCTGCAGTTGGATTCCAAAAGTACGAGTCCGTTCGACGTGGTGCAATGGATGTTCTTGCCAAGATCTTTTCCAAGTATCCTGCTCAACGACCTTTCATTCTTGATGAGATCCTCGTGTCACTGGAGAAGCTTCCGTCCACGCGACAAAGCGCCAGGCAGTTTAAACTCTCTGACGGGAAGAATATCCAGCTGCTCACGGCGTTGGTGATGCAGCTTGTGCAGACGACTGCTTTGGAAGTACCATCTTCTCGAAAAGGGAAGACAAAGCGAAAGCTATCAGCGTCTGGCGATGATGCCGGAGAAGATGACGATGAGTCTCATGGGGAGGAAAATGGAATGGACGACGACTCCGAAATTTCACTCGAGCAGCTTGCGACCAAGGTCAACCGCCTTTACGATAATGCCGTGCGCAGCGCCCAGTATATCGTCAAATTCATTGTGCAGCGAGCGATGACATCCACCAAGGCTGGCGACCAGCCATACCGCAATATTCTTGACCTTTTTACGGAAGATTTGATCGGGGTACTTGGCTCAACGGATTGGCCAGCGGCCGAATTGCTTCTTCGTATCATGGCGTCTCACATGGTTGGTATAGCTGACCTGGATAAGAGTCCTGCCACTGCAAAGAGCATGGCCCTGGAGCTGCTTGGATGGATGGGGTCCGCCATATCCGATCTCATCGTGACCGCTCAGCATTTGCTTCCAGCGATGGAGGAGTCTGACAGTGAGCTCACCGATCCTTTACGACAATTGTTCGATGATTATTCGAACCGTGCTTTGCATCCTCAGGATCTCGTGGTCGCTGAGGGACCTTACCGAATGACTTTGGAGTATTTCATACAGGACCACAACTCCGATACCTGGCAGCTCACCAGCGCTCGGGGCTATTTCCTGGCGCAATGGACGAAAACATTCTGCTCCGTCTATTACAACCCCGAGGACAAGGATGAAGTTACCTACGACGTTGAAACCGAGGACCTGGTTGATCTTTTTGCGAAACTTCTGTCAGACCCGCTGTGGTTGGAAACCCATAAACGTTTTGATAAAATACCTTCCGCACATGGAAAATTCGCCTACATTCTAACAGTTTTGAACTCCAGCTTCTGCAAAGCTTTTGACACTATTCTGAAAGTTCTTCTCAATTCCATCACTAGTGACCAGGCCAAAGTTCGGAGCCGCAGTCTGAAGAGTGTGATTTACATGCTCGAGAAAGACCCGAGTCTTCTTGATAGGGATGCATCCGTCATGCGCGTGATCCTACGATGCGCAACCGATGCATCTCCCATGGTGCGCGATTCCGCACTCTCGCTGATCGCCAAGTGTATTACGCTGAAGCCAAAGCTTGAAGAAGACGGGTGCCGCAGTATCTTAGCCTGCGCTGCCGACTCCACTGCGGGTGTGAGAAAACGTTGCATAGGCTTGCTCAAGGACATCTATCTCAAGTCTTCTCGTGCCGAGCTGAAGCTAGCGATACTGGACAGCTTTCTCCAACGAACTGGAGACCTCGAAGAAAGTGTAGCTTCACTGGCTCGCCAGACATTCGAGGAAATATGGTTGGCGCCGTTCTACGAGCTGGTCGACTCCGCACAGGATGGCCCGAAATTGAAGGTTGGCCTCGGTGAACGAGTCACTTTAGTTGTCAAGTTGGTACAACGGAGCGAAACAGCACTTGACACCCTCGGAGACTGTTTCAAGAAGATCCTATCCGACAAATCCAAGTCCGCATCCCTGAACTTCAAAGTCTGCAAGGCGCTGGTATCCATGATGTTTGAGAAGCTGGTTGAGGGCAACGACGCTTCGGGCAAAGAATTCCAGCAAGCTCTTTTGCAGACTATCACCGTATTTTCAAAGGCAAATGCGAAGCTTTTCCGGCCCGATCAGCTCGAAACTCTTCACCCTTACATTGGACATCTCGCAACGGCGGAGGATCTCTTCCTATTCCGTTCCGTCGTGGTCATCTATCGTTGTGTCTTACCATTCTTATCCGCGGCGCATCACACCCTTCTCAAAGAAGTTCAAAACGACCTTTTCAAAAGCGTCGCCAAACTGGCTCGCTCCGAGCTCAATGAAGTCATGGCTTGTCTCTGGACCATCAACGGAGTGCTTCACAATACAGACAGACTTGTGAAGCTGACTATCTCCGTACTGAAGCCTATACAGCACTACAAGAACATCGATCTTTCAGAGAGTGCCAATACGGCCGTCCTAGCAAGGGCCAAAAGCTATATACGAATCGCGGGCTGCGTTGGGCGGCACTGCGACCTTGAGAAATACGAACCGCACTTCAAAAATGCATTTCCTGGGTGGAACGGTGGTTCAGTTGCCGGCTTGATGGTTGACGCCATTATGCCTTTCACTCTACCTCGACAGCCGCTGGAGCTCAGAGTGATGGCCCTCGAAAGTTTAGGCTCGATTTGCCAATCCTGGCCAGGTCAATTTAGCCGGGAAGAACCACGAAAGATACTGAGCATGGTGTTCAAGGAGGATAATCCCAGCCTTCAAAACATCGTGCTGCGGGCATTTGCAGATTTCTTTGCGATGCACGAGGGCCGGGCCGAGAAGTCGGTCATGCCCGTTGCAGAAGTTGCTGATCAAGAGAACTCCACCAGACTTGGAGGGTCCTTGAAAGCCAGCGACAACGACGGGGCGGCCGCGTTGATTGCGCAGCATTTCCTCCAAAGCATGCTTCGTGTGGCACAATCTCGACAGGATTCGTACGCTTTGACTGCCATCGAGCTGATAGCCAGCATCAACCGACAAGGCCTTGTCCACCCGAAGGAATGCGCTGGCGTCTTGGTCTCCCTAGAAACATCAACCGTCCCGGCCATCGCGAAAATTGCCTTTGACACCCACAAGATGCTTCACCAGCAATACGAATCCATGTTCGAGAGAGAATACATGCGAGCTGTTCAGGAGGCGTTCTATTATCAGCGGGATGTTGTGGGGGACCCTAGCGGTGCGCTCAGCCGCCCGTTCATTGCCAAACTCGCACCGTTGTTTGAGATTGTCAAAATTAGCAACAGTCGGTATCAGAAAAAGTTTCTCGCCAACCTGTGTACCAAGGTTGATTTTGAATTTAAAAAACTCGACTTTACGGGCAACCCTCCGGAGCATCTTCTGCTGGCTCGGTTTGTGTCGCAAAATCTAGCTTTCTTTGACTACGCCCAGCATACGGAGCTGGTGCCTACGATTGGATGTATGGAACGCATTGTGTCTGCAACTGGTACGGTCGTGGCCCACTCCATCGAGACGGAGATCTTCCCAGCCAAGTTAGAGCCTCCGCAGGGTCCATCAGCGGACGGATTTTCTATGCCCGTTGTTGAAGGTCCCGGTATGATGGCGTCGCCGCAACAGGTCAACCCGGGAACATTGAGGCTACTTACTACAGCCGCGGCATCCCTGTCAATGCTCTGGGAGGCTCGAACCTACCTTCGGCGTCTCTACGGCGTCACTGCGCACGTGCGCGACAAGGGACAGAAAGCTGCAAAGGATCTTCATAAGTCAGCAACCAAGGTCCACGGGGTAACCGGTGACAAATTCTGGGACGCCATCCAACGCAACTTCGCAACGCTAGACAGCGAGGAAAACATGATCAACAAGTGCCGAGAGTTCGCCACGTTGCTTGCCATTGACGATGAATTCAAAATCGGGCAGGAAGAGGATGCCGACGGGGACAGTCTTGACGATATGGATGACCCCGGTACGGCCGGGGCCCTCGCCGCTGCACCGCGCCCTGCCAAAAGAAAGAACTCTATCCCAGGACAGAATCCTCCCAAGCGATCTCGGGGGAGGAAACCTGGATCCGGAAAGAAACGGGCCAGCACGGAGCCCGAAGTAGACCTGGATTGGAACTGAGAAAATAGGTTCCAACCTGTTGACGGCTACCAAAGAATCGTCAACACATTGTATCTTGGCCGTTGTCATTTGCTTTAGCTCATAGACGTCGCATATGGGAACGGAGACTGGCGTTAGGAATATCCGGCATGCTTTCGTTTATTTTGCGACATTTATATCTGTTTTTGTGACTTTTTTTAAGGGCGGTATGGGAGGCAGGCTCATCTCTTTTATTTCTTTTCTAATTTTTGCCCCCGGATTTTCTTTCTATTATATTATTTCTTTGTATTTTCTTTTCTCAATTTTTTTTTTTTTTTTTCTTTTTTTTGTTTTGATCCAAAATCTTCGGGCAGGCATTTTCGATTTGGTGATGGCGTAGGAGGGAGTGACCGTGGTCATCTGTGCCATTTATACCGCATCTATCCTCAGCGCTAGTTAGTATATCATACTACAGAAATTACTCAGTGGCAACGAACATCTTCAGCTAAGAGTAAGATCCCTACTCGAACAGATCGCCAGGAGATAAGAAACTGGCGCCAAGACGGCAAGGCAGGCCGGGCGGGTCTGGCAAGGCTTGGGTCGAGAGGGTCCCCTAAGGATGACGTCGCGCCGGAAGCTCCCTGCTCCCCGTGATCTGATCTCTTTTCCTCCGTCCGTCGGAACCCGCTGCCTGCCACCTTGTTAGTCCTCTCTAGAACGTTCATCAATTTACTTGCGGCACTTTTTTCTGCTTTAATTTAGTCTTCTTCGCTTTCTCTTTTTCATTTTTTTTAGAAGCCTAATCAGCTTGTTCATCTCCCCCCCCCCTTTTCTAGACCCTGTGTTTGGCCGAGCATAAACACTCTCCCTACACGCCATGAGCGCAGTGTTGCTCCGGAGTCGACCGGAGACCACAGCGCTGAGAAGAGCCGGACTATCAATAGGTCGACTATATTCATCGAAGCCAACTGTTTCTCCATCCAGACTCTCGGCGGCCCGACTTCTAGCTCCTCGTCACAATGCGGTACCTCAATGTCTCGCGTCGCGCACCTTCTTCAACAGCCACCTCTCCGTCCGACACAAGTCAACAACGACAATCGACACTCCGAGTGAACCTCCGCGAAAATCGTCTACCCTCAATGCCGTCATCAAAACGTTTACATACTGTGGTTTCTTCATTGTCATGAGCGGTGCAGCGGTGGTGGCATTCTTTGTCTACGATGCGACGACATACCGCGAACGTCCCAGTGCCGAAGACATCCCGGTCTCCGAGCTGGCGTTGAACCCCCGTCGGGGCGGACCCAAGAACTTGCCCATTGCCGAGGCGCTGGTCGGAGATTATGATACGGTGGAAATGGCGGAGCAAAATGAGAAACCGCGGTTGGTTATCCTGGGTACGGGCTGGGGTAGCATTGCGCTTCTGAAGCAGCTTCATCCGGGTGATTACCACGTCACGGTTGTGTCGCCCACCAACTACTTCCTGTTTACTCCTATGCTGCCATCTGCGACCGTTGGTACTCTGGGACTGAGGTCGCTTGTTGAGCCCGTCCGACGCATCATCCAGCGGGTCCGCGGCCACTTCTTGAAGGGAGAGGCAGTAGACGTTGATTTCTCGGAGAAACTGGTGGAGGTAACTCGGGAGGATGCTAATGGAGAGAAGAAGAGCTTTTATCTTCCTTACGACAAGCTGGTTATCGGTGTTGGTACGTGTTACTGTTTGGACAGCTGCGTTTCGGGATGTTTACTGACAAGTACGGTTTTCCAGGATGCATCACCAACCCCCATGGCGTAAAGGGTCTCGAACATTGCCATTTCTTGAAGACAATCGATGATGCCCGTCAGATCAAGAACCAGGTGTTGGAGAACATGGAATTGGCTTGCCTGCCTACGACCACCGACGAGGAGCGTAAGCGGCTCCTATCCTTCGTTGTTTGTGGTGGAGGCCCGACGGGCGTGGAATTCGCGGCCGAGTTGTACGACCTGCTCAACGAAGATCTGCTTCACTCCTTCCCGAGGATCCTGAGAAACGAAATCTCCGTCCACATAATTCAGAGCCGAACTCATATCCTTAACACTTACGATGAAGCCCTCTCTAAATTTGCCGAAGTATGCCCTGCCATTTAAAGTGTCATTGGAAATTCTGAGGCTGATATTTGCAGGCCCGTTTCGCCCGAGACTCTGTCGATGTCTTGACGAATTCGCGCGTCAAGGAAGTCCGCGACGACAGGGTCGTCTTCACTCAAGTGGAGGATGGAAAGACGGTTACGAAGGAAATTCCTATGGGCTTTTGCTTGTGGTCTACCGGTGTCTGTGAGTAAACCCTTCTATCACCCTGTGCCGGGTCGCCCGCTAAACCGACCTCCAGCACGGGCCGAACTTTGCCAGAAGCTTTCCGACAAGCTGGACACGCAAAATAACAAACACGCCCTAGAGACAGACTCTCATCTCCGCCTCATTGGAGCTCCTCTGGGTGATGTCTATGCCATTGGCGATTGTTCTACCGTTCAGAACAAAGTTGCAGACCACATCGTCTCTTTCCTCCGGACTATCGCGTGGGAGAGAGGCAAGGACCCCGAAAAGCTGCACCTCACCTTCCGGGAATGGCAAGACGTTGCCACGCGAGTGAAGAAGCGCTTCCCTCAGGCCTCCAACCATCTTCGGCGGCTCGACAAGCTGTTCGAGCAATATGACATAGACCACTCCGGCACCCTCGATTTCGGCGAGCTCTCTGAACTCCTTCACCAGATCGACACCAAGCTGACCTCTCTGCCTGCCACCGCTCAGCGCGCCAACCAACAAGGTGAATATTTGGGCCGCAAGCTGGCCAAGATGGCCGCCGCTCTTCCCGGCATGAGGATCAACGAAATCGACCATGGCGATCTGGACGATGCCGTGTACAAAGCCTTCCGGTATCGCCACCTGGGCAGTCTGGCGTACATCAGTAACGCCGCCGTGTTTGATTTCGGCGGTCTCAACTTCAGTGGTGGCGTCCTGGCCATGTATCTCTGGCGTAGCGTGTACTTCGCCCAGAGTGTCAGTCTTCGCACCCGAGTGATGCTTGCGATGGACTGGGCCAAGCGCGCGCTTTTCGGAAGAGGTCCGTTCTTTCTTAATCCCTTGTCCCCTTGAGAATCATCAAATACTGATATCAGAAACCTATCTAGATCTCATGAGCTTCTAAACACTTCTCAACCTGAACCCACTCTATTAGAAATCTGTCGATCCGCCCCTTTCCCTTAGACGAGCGGCCACCTGCTCTAATAATCTTAGGGAGCGCACCTGGCACCTTATTTACGTGATACGCCTTCCTACCTTCTTCGATCCTACCTTTCCTTCATACAAACCCCGACTCACATAAAAAAGCATATTTTCGCAAGCTCTACCATCTTAGCGTTCTGAATTGGACGGGATCGACTTGGACATTGAGGATTTTGAAAAGATTAACTTACCCTTTTACTCTGCCACTTTAGTATTTTTTTCCTATGTTGCATTTGAATGGCCGATTGTTAAACTCATGTATTCAACCCTTTACCTCTACTGTGGTATTTTCAGATGTATGAAAAGAAAATACATTACTGTTATAGATCGGATTCTGTCTACTCGTTTTGATTTGTGATATAATTGTTTGTCGGGTTTGAAGTTGGGGTAAAATTGAGTGGTATTTATTTTCTGAGGTATTAAGAAATATATACCTCCGAGTGGCAATTAACTATTACTGTTGCTGGGCCACATGCTTTTTACAACGAAAACCCAATGTCTACAGTACAACATCGAATTCAAATGCGAAATTTTTAGTACCGAGTCCAGTTCTTCTAAACATTAAGTCCCAATTTCCTAAACAAAGTCTCTAATCTCTACAAAAAGCCCTCATCCACCATAAAAATGAGAGTTGAAACCGCTCGACGGGATGAAGAGATAGGTACTAGTAGGTACCTACACCTAACTACCCAAACCTACTCCGTAGTAGCCTAGCTACTACTAACCTAGTCCCGACACTGAGTCAGTGTCTCAGTGATCCGCCGACGGAAGAAATATCGAGCTGGGCGGACCGATTGGAAAAGCGACTAAGCCGTGAAGGTTCACCGAGCACTCATTCCGAGGCTCCGAGTCCGTGGACAGGGTCGAACCAGAGATGTACCTCCGAGGACAGGACGAACGGCTCTCCGGATCGGTGAATGAATAGAAGAGATTTCTAGCGAACTTCGGCAGACCGAGGACAGCGATGAGACAAGATTAAGAATAGAAGAGAAGATGGTTGCACAAAAAAAGCCGTAGTATTGGTATTAGAAGTTCAAAGTTACAAGAGCATCACTGCCAATGGAGCCCGCGCCAGAAACACCTCGCTACACAGAAAGGTAGTAGGAACAAACAAAAAAAAATTATTGACCGGGTCGCGGTTCATCACTACCGGAGCGAAGAACAGGAGACCTTTAGGAGTCAACTTCACGAGATCATCGGGTCGACGTCTCCGCTATTGGTCATTACGGTGTCATTAGAGCCATTGAGGCCGGCTTTCGTGGCGTCTTTGTCATTATTGGCGTTCGAATCGCCGAGCCCGAGGTCCAGCTTCTCGGGAAGGTCCTTTTTAGCTTCGCGGGCTTTTTGCTCAGCCCATGCGCGTAACTTGACTAGGTTGCGCAGCCGAGCCTCTTTACGAGCGCCCTGGCTTTGCAAGATGGCTTCGTTCACACGGGTGGCGATCTCTTTACGTAGGTCGGGGTGCAGAAGAGGGGCTAGGGATGGGGTGAGATTCTCAATCGGGAAGATCAGAAGGGCCAATGTCCTCTCGAGATCTTCCAGAAACTGAGGGTTGGTGGGCGCCCGTGGAGCAAGATGCGAAGTCGCAAACTCTAGAGCAGGACTGATATCTCCATTGGGCTGAGACGTGCAGGTACGAATCAACTCCACCAACTGTAAACGTAGCAAGGCAAAGTGCAACGAGGGATTTTCATCCAAGATCTAATTTGTCAAGCACGTTAGTGATGATTCGACCAAAGCAAATGCTGACATATAGCGTAGGTAAATGATTTGCATCATACTGAGGACTGAAGATGTTTGTTTTTCGTCAAACCCCCGAAGAGGTTTTACGAGTGGTGCATGAAAACAAAATATAATCATAGCAAAAAGGAATGAAAGTGGGTGAAGATGAAAGGAACTGAGAAATCTTACCTGAGGATTGAGCTCGTTGATTTTTTCGATCGCAGACTGGATATTGCCAGAATGGATCGCAGTTCGAATGGCTACCCTTTCCTGAATAGACTCCACATCTGTCTTAGGTTGGATGTTGGCCTCGACTGCAAATTTCTTCGCAGCGGCGGGGTAGCCATTGGTGATGAGGTAGTCCATGACCAAGTCATTAATATCACTGTATTGACCTGTTAGTCACTGCCGACTGAACAGATCACGTTCAAACTCGAATGAGAGTCAATGGGTTCAGAAGGACAAGTTAAATGTTTCTCCTCAAATGGTTTCAGAGAGATTCCCAACTTGATTTTCAAGATGCATCATATGGAGGGGCAATTGTGTCAAAGAAAGACAGGGCGGAACTCACGTCTTGGATGGCTTGACCTCGTCCACCTTCCGTTCGAACTGATGCCATGTCGGCGTCGTGGTCGAGGAAGTGGGAGACATCTGTTTCGTTTCCCGTTAAAACCAAGCAACCAGGCCCGCACAGCATGTCGGGAAGCATACGTAATTAGCAGAAGCCATGGTGTGTGCTTGTGGTAGCAATAGTACTGGGGCAATCCGATCAGATGCCCTGGGACTGAAGATATGGCCGTCTGTGAAGATGGAGAGCTTCGCAGACGGGAGCCATGAGGATGCTGCAAGGAAGAGGCAGTGAGTGAGGAAGAAAGAAGAGGAAGAGGAAGAGGAAGAGGAAGCGGAAGAAAAGGTTGGGAAGAAAAAGCAGCGGGAAGCTAGGTCACGTTTTGCCGCAAGCGAAAAAGTCACGAGGGCCGGCTAGACCCGAAGAACGCAAGCGCCACGGCTAGCCGCATTGGGCGTTAGTTGGTCTGGCGCCGGCACAGAAGTAGTAATTCCTCGCTCTTATCAGTCGGCTTTGTGCGTGCTTCTGCTATGTGGCAAAGGGCCTGATTTGACCCTGTCGACAGGTCCGGAAAAGAAAGAAAGCAAGAAAGAACAATGGAGTCCATCTCGCCCGTATACTCGGCGGCCACCGAGAAGCGCTACTCTCCACCATGGGCGGATTTGAGTATCATTGGTATCGCCGGTAGCTCGGGCTCCGGCAAGACCTCGGTGGCTATGGAGATCGTGAAGTCGCTAAACCTCCCCTGGGTGGTGATCCTCGTAATGGTATATTATTGCCTTGATCTCCTTCACACGCCATAGAAATGCCAACTGTCGAAAACGTGCCTGCAACGTCTAACATCGGTTGCCACAGGACTCATTCTACAAAAGCTTGAACGCGGACCAACATGCCAGAGCGCATAGGAATGAATTTGATTTTGATTGTCCGGATGCCATTGATTTCGATGCCTTGGTGCACACCTTGACGGACTTAAAGCAAGGGTACTGATAAAAAGTCCTCTCATCGTAACACTGGCCTCTAGACCAGCAGCCATGGTTTGTAATGTAACTGACAACTCTCGACCTTTGAACAACACAGGAAGAAGGCAGACATTCCTATTTATTCATTCGCCGAACATCAACGTCAGCCTCATACGACCACTCTCTATTCCCCTCGAGTCTTAATCCTGGAGGGTATTCTAGCTTTGCATGATCAAAGGATCATGGACCTGTTGGATGTTAAGGTAGGATATCCACCTGCGTAGTTGAAGAGTCGTTCTACCCCTGCTCCTTATTTTATCTTACTTTATTCTCTACAAGGTGCTGACCAGCTATTATTCAGATCTTTGTAGAGGCAGACATGGATGTCTGCCTGGGACGCAGAAGTGAGTCATCTTTTCTGATCTGAAGAAACTGCTCTAACGGAAGAGGGGGTTAGTCATGCGCGATGTTCGAGAGAGAGGAAGAGACATCGATGGAATCATTAAACAATGGTTTCAATACGTAAAACCATCATACAAGTACTATGTGGAACCCCAGCGATCTGTCTCCGGTGAGGATGTAGTCCGAAACAACGCGATCTATTATTCTAACAGACCCAGATATCATTATCCCCCGAGGTATTGAGAACAAGACAGCCATTGGTAAGGCTTATCGCTCATATCTATCGTTGCAGCCTACTGATGCACTTATCCAGACATGGTGGTGAAACACATCCAGCGCAAACTTGAGGAGAAATCAGAGAAGCACAGTGCAGACCTGCGTGAGCTGAAAAAGATCGCCTCTGAGTTGAAGCTTTCTCCGAATGTTTTGATGATGCCTCAAACGCCCCAGTTCATTGGCATGAACACAATCCTTCAGAACCCGGACACGGAGCAGGTTGACTTTGTGTTCTACTTTGACCGTCTGGCTTCTTTGCTGATCGAGAAGTAAGTTGCGTGGAACATTTAACTCCAATTTAACAGTTGCTAACTCTATTGGAACAGAGCTCTGGACAGCGCGGCGTACGACCCCTCATTTGTGCGAACGCCTCAAGGAACGACATACAACGGCCTGAACCCGGCAGGTGTCATGTCTGCCGTTGCAGTCTTACGAGGAGGCTCTTGTCTCGAGACAGCTCTCAAGCGCACTATTCCTGATTGTATTACGGGTCGTGTTCTTATCCAGACAAATGCGCGAAATGAAGAGCCCGAGCTGCACTACCTCAAATTACCCGACGGCATTGAAACCCATGCTACCGTTATGCTGATGGATCCCCAGATGGCCAGTGGTGGCGCTGCCTTGATGGCCGTTCGCATATTGATTGATCACGGAGTGGAAGAGAAGAAAATTGTCTTCGTGACATGTGCCGCCGGGAAGATTGGCCTTAAGCGATTGACTACGGTGTACCCTAACCTGAAGGTTATCGTGGGACGGATTGAAGAGGAGCGTGAACCCCGATGGATAGAGAAGAGATATTTTGGGTGCTGAGTTCTTGAAGCATTGATACCACACGTCCGGTACATGTGATGGAGTTGCATATGAAATGCGCATACAGTTACATATATTTTGACTAGTACATACTTCGGAATTTACAGGTTGCTCGTTCTTACATACGGAGTATTTCTCCCAAACCCAAGGAATTGAATGAGATCGGCGGCAGCAAACTAAATATGCTGGCGGTAGGGGAGCCTCCGGCGGAGGAGCGCACGGACCACATTCCTCGCAGAAAATTATCCTTATCGTCGCTTTCAATCGGCCGCCTTTTTTTTGTTCTGCCGTTGGACAATCCAACTTTTGTTCTTCCCTTCCCTCTCCTCCAACAATATTCAGCTGTGTAACACAATTGAATCGACTCTATCTTTCCTCCTTCTTTTGCATGTGATTCGTCACAATGCCTGACCAGAAGAAATCGAAAAAGGGCGGCGCTGGCAAAGACCAGGCCGACTCTGTCATCAGTAAGCCCGTCCGCTCATTCCGCGCTGTTGAAGGGCATTTTTTGAACTAACATTTACATCTGCGTGTTACAGAGGATCCCCGATTTGCCAATATCCAAACAGACCCTCGGTATCGTCTTCCGAGCAAACGCCAGACCCATGTGAAACTCGACAAGCGGTTCGCGCACATGCTGCGCGACAAGGACTTTTCTCGAAACGCCGCAGTTGACCGCTACGGACGCAAGCTCGCCCGCGACGACACGAAGAAGCAATTGGAACGATTCTACCAGCTGGACGAACAAGACAATGAAGACGACGAAGAAGCAGAAGTCAGCGGCGAGGACGACGACGTAGTCCTGAGGGAATTACAAAAGGCCGAATCGTACGATCCCGCGCGAGATGGAGGGTTCTCGTCTTCTTCGTCCGAGGAGGAAACTAGTGACGAAGAAGACGACGAGGACGAGGCCGAGCTTGGTGCGGGTGAGGAGCTTGACTTCCCCGACAAGGAACAGGCCGGTATACCCACGGGCGATGTGACCAAGCGGATTGCCGTGGTGAATCTGGATTGGGATAACATCCGGGCGGAGGATCTGATGGCAGTGTTTTCCAGTTTCGCGCCCACCGGTGGCCGTGTTCTGAATGTTGCGGTCTACCCAAGTGAGTTTGGAAAGGAACGGATGGAGCGAGAGGAGGCGGAGGGTCCTCCTCGGGAGATCTTTGCTTCTGGCAAGGATGGCGAGTCCGATGAGGATTCAGAGGAGGAATTTGATGAGTTTGGATCCGACGAGGACGACGAAGAGATCAAGAAGTCCATGTTGAAGGAAGACAAGGGCGAGGAATTCAACTCTACACAGCTACGAAAGTACCAGCTGGAACGTTTGCGCTACTTTTATGCTATCCTCACGTTCTCGTCTAGGGAAGCTGCGAAGCATGTTTATGACCTGGTGGATGGAGCTGAATACCTGTCGAGTGCCAACTTTTTCGACCTCCGCTTCGTGCCGGAAGAAACCGACTTCTCCGATGACAAACCCCGGGATGAATGCAGCCGGATCCCAGATGGGTACCAGCCCAACGAATTCGTCACCGATGCCTTACAACACAGCAAAGTCAAGTTGACGTGGGACATGGAGGACAAGTCGCGCAAGGAAGCCCAGGCTCGCGCTTTCCGGGGCAGCCGGAAAGACATCGACGAGAACGACTTGAAAGCCTATCTTGCAAGTGACAGCTCCGACAATGAGGACGAGAGCGATGAAGAGGGGGGCGTGGAGATTGTCGACACTACGAAGGGCGATGGAAAGAGCACCAAGATCTCTAAGAAAGAGGACGAAAGGCAGCGTATGCGAGCCCTTCTGGGCTTGAGCTCGGAGCCGTCCCGCGCGTCCAAATCAGATGGACCCGTCGGTGAAATGGAGGTTACGTTCACTTCTGGTCTTGCGGGAGGTCCCAACAAGGACGGAATCTTTGAGAATGAGCCCGAAAAGGAAGAGTCTACGATTGACAAGTACGTGCGCAAAGAGCGCGAGAGAAAGAAGCGGAGAAAGGAGAAACTCAAGGCGACCAAACAAGGAGATGGGGATGAGCAGGACGAGGATCAGACTGTGGTGGAGTCGGGCAAGAAGGGTGAGGATGCATCTGAAGGAGAGAAAGAAGACCTGGGATTCAACGACCCCTTCTTCAACGATCCTGGTGAGAAGGTGACCGCCGCAACTCGCCGCAAGGAGGAAAAGCGCAAGAAGAAGGCAGAGCGGGAAGCAGTGGAGGCGGCGGAAGCGGCTAAGCGTGCCGAGTTGGAGCTTCTGATGATGGACGACGAGAACAAGGGCATCCGGCATTTCGACATGACCGCAATCGAGAAGGCCGAGAAACAAGCCGGCAAAAAGAAGAAGGGCAAGGGCAAGAACAAGGGCAAGCCGGCTCCCGAGATCCAGGATGATTTCCAGATGGAAGTCAGCGACCCTCGATTTTCGCGACTGTTCGAAAGCCACGAATATGCGATCGACCCGACCAACCCTCGGTTCAAGGGTACATCGGGTATGAAGGCATTGCTGGACGAAGGACGCAAACGGCGACGGGACCGGGACGAGCGCGGAGACGAAGACGAGGGTCCTACGCACGACAAGAAGCAAAAGAAGAAGCAGAAGAAGGATGCTTCCAAGCCTCAACAAGGCAATGAGGAACTGAAGAGTCTGGTGGACAAAGTGAAGCGGAAGGCACAGCACTAGGTAACTAACTAGATGGAGGGTCAATTAGTAAAAGCAGGATACCATAGTTAGGGTAAATCATGACCATTCAATCAATCGAAAGCGAGCATGTTCTCTGAGTCATTTCTCCGCGTTCGAACCGGGAACCCTGGAGGACAAGAGGGACGCCTATTGGAAATCCTCGGCCAGGATGGTCTGCAAGATGAGGTGGTTTGTGTCACCGAAGCGTCCGGCTGCATGCGATGAGGCTGAGATCATGTGCCTCCCTCACCGCCCTTTTGCATTTCCGATCTTCCCTTCGTTTCTCTTCCCTTTTCCCTCGCCCTCGCCCTCTCCCCCTCGTTCTCTATCCACTCCCTGCTCTGATTGCTCCGGCTCGGGTGTTCAATTCACTGCTGCTCTGCTGCCTCACCCATCCGTTTTGGGTCCTAGCCCTGAATCCACGTTGATCGGTCCCACTCTGCTTGGGAAAGTACCCCTCAATTGTCTTCATCTACCGCCACCTCTACTGCACATTAATTCTTTCCCAAGTGGCTCTTCAATCCTCTGATCATGGTTGTTGCTCGGTAGGCTTGAAGAATGGGTAACTACAGTTCATTTTAATTTAACTGCTTTCTTTCTTTCTTTTCCACTGCTTTCCTTCGTTCCTTTTATTCTGCTTTTCGTACGTTATTTTTCGTTTCCGTCACCATGCTCGGACGGTTGTTAAGCAGCGCAGCGTCCACGTTGAATCCTGCGGCCTACTCCACCAAGAATGGCCACCAGCTTGAATCCGTCACGGAAGAGGAGCATACCTCTGGCCTCTTATTTCCCGATGCGAGCCTTCTCCGCCACTCGAACACCTATGCATACCCCCTCCACACCACCGTGAATTCTCCGAATGCCTCATCGGCCGGTGCCTACGATGACCGAGGGGTTGGGGTGGACTTGGACCCAATGAAGGATTTTCGTGTCATCATCGCCCAGAATGCCCTAGGAGATAAGGATGCTTGTGTTTTATTGGATACTCGCGCATCGGAGACAAACGCCCATGGTCTTGGGTTGGATCCTCCGCCATTGGACAGCTCTGGTGCAAGACATGCTCGGACGGTCTCGACTCTCTCCCGAGGGGCTCGACGAGGTTATCTGTCTCAGGCATCAGTGGTCGACCCGAGTCCCTTTTCACTCGCCGCGGAAACACGCCGTTCTCCTCCCCTCTCCTCCGGCGCTTTCATGCGCGCCCGTGGCCGCAGCTCGACTCTTGCACCTGCCGGCGGCTTTCATGATGCTGGTAGCTCACGCCACTCGACTGACTCTAACGACACAAGTCTCTTGAACTGCATATTTGGCAGCAGTGCTTTCAGCTATCGGGGTTCTTCGACGAAGATGCATATCATATCCGCCGATGAGGAACCTGGAAATGCCTCGACCACAAATCAAACAACCCGTAATCACATGTCTCGGGCACATACTACTGGAAGCCCAGAATTCGCAAGCCCCAATCACCTCAACGATACCAAGCCGCCATCCAAGGTGACGATCCTCTTAACGAGAATGTTTAGCGTCAACTTGCCGGAGACTGGTGATGCATCCCCCGACAAACCAGATATGCCGGCATCCTACTACCAAGAATCATTCGGTGAACCTGGATTTCCGTTTCCCGACATCACCAAGCGCAAGAAAATCAAGGAAAAGAAGACCCCGATGTATGCTGTGGCGATCACGATTCAGATTCCGCTTTTGGGTCGCAATACTGGCCGGCCCGTCTCCCGGTTTAGCACCCAGGGTGCAGACTCGCCCAAACCAGGAATGTCTTGTTCGCTGGATTCGGATTATCGTTGGCGCCCTGGCTTTCTAGATGATAGCCTATCAATGGCATCGCCACCGGCTAGCTTGGATGAGCGGATCGATCTGCTGGTGGATCAATGGGACGTCATCAATCGTGCCCTTTCGCATTTAGAGAGGCTTTCACGAAAGGAACTTCTTTTCCTCTTGAAAAAGGTGGACGCGTCCTCTGGTGCACATCCAAAGCCGGCGAAAGCCCCTAACATGCAACGCACGAATCAAACCATAATCCATTTGCCGGCAAACATATTGTCTGTGAATTCGAAACTGAAAGAGGAGGCAATTCGAAGCACCCGTCGTATCAGTACCGCGCTGCAAACTCCGCATGTCGTGACCGGACAGAGTCGGTGGGGTGTTTGGCGCGAGGAAGGTCGGTCGATTGTCCGCAGCCTCGGAGATAAAGAGCACAGCTTCTTCTTCTTGGTTCTCATTACGGCTTTTCTGGGGAACCACACCGAGTGGCTCAATGTTCTAGGTCCGGACTGGTATCGCCGTCGACACTTTCTTCAGCAGAAGGCCCAGCAACAGGAGGCGGATCCCATTCTCGCAAATCGTACTGTGATTATTTCACCAGATAAAATGACAGCTCGCCGTCTGATCTTCCTGCTAGCTGCATTCCTCCCACCCAAACAGCGTTTTGAGCCGCTCCCTTCCCCCCTTCGGCCTGGTACATCGGCTTCTACGCGCGCAATTTCACAAAGTCCCCCCAATGTACCTGTCCTCCGGCAGGAGTCCCTGCGAAGGGCCATCGAACGGCGGTCACGCGCACAACGTCTCACTCTCAATGATAGAGATCCACACCAACGATCCGTCAGTGTTTCGTCTACCGAGACTGCGCACCGCTCAGCGGATGAGACAGACACCGTGGGGCCGATGGATACGAGCTCACGCCGGAGAGGGTCCGATGCACGTTCCATCCGCACCATCGCCGTGCCCATGCATGCAAAGGATCCCCGGATCAACAAAAATACCGGGGTAGCCACGACGTCTACCGCCACTCCTAGCACGACTGTACCGGTGCCACACTTTGCCTCTCAGAGTCGCTCCGAACGGGAGGGTGCGGATCCCGCTGTGGCTGAAAGTAATGATAGTTTGGCGTCTGAGAACCTTCTCAAGAATTTGCGAAGAAGTGATAGCTCCGCGATTTGCACCAACAACAGTCTCCCATCTACTGGTGGCCGATGGGGCAACCTATTCTCTGGCCTGTGGACTCGCCAGGATTCAGAACCGGCTGCCTCGCAGGTCGAAGCTCGCCAACGCTCCGTCTCTGTCTATGCAGGTCCACCAAAACGAGGCCCTCCCACCCTTTCCCAAATGGTTCAAGAAGCATCGGTCACTATGCCGAAGGAACCTGTTCCGTGGACGTCTACTAGTGGCAACATTTCTATCCCTCACTCTTCAAGTTCCCAGCGTCTCGAAGAAGACACACCCGATCTTTCTTCGACGACTGATCAAACTAGAGAATCTTCCTTGAAGTTATCCGTGCGCGGGGATGATGGAGTTGTCGATGTGGACCTTCCGCTACCCGGATTCGTTTCCCTCTCTTCGTCCGGCGACTCCACCATCTCCTCTCCGAAGAAGACGCGTACTTCAGTGACCAGTGTTGATGCCTTAGCTTCCACGCACAGCAGCAGTTCTGGATTCCACGGTCCACTTAGAGACAATGAAGGACCAAGTGTGAATGTTGCTGGCTGGTTAAAGAGCTTTCACGAGGACTTCCTGCTTCAAGCTGTCCGTCCGTATGCCAACTTAGAGGCCGATATTAAGCGTGCCATGCAGGCGGAACCAACACCGAACCCGTCATTTGGCGATGTGGATGGATCGGAAAGATGGGTCGATGTTGCGACGACATTGGTTGCGGATGCCAGGACATTTACCGTGAAACGCCTGCGTTTGAGGCGCAAGGTTGTTGGCAACGCCTGGCAGACTCCGTCTTCACCGTCGGTGCTTTCTCATCCATCAACTCCGAGACACATCCCGGGAGGCTCTACGTCTGCTTCTCAATTTACGAACTTCTTCACACCCGGGACCGGTTCCAGCAGGACCTCTGTTCATTCCATCCTTGATGGGTACGATCCCAATGAAGTTGAGGAACGTTTCGTCGAGGAGCCCGTCATGGATCTGGATGGCACCTTAGTTGATGCATTGGAACGAGTCCTCGCCCAGAGTGGTCCCTCCTCGCTAGCACCCACGCGGGCTCCCTCGCCGTCTCGAGCTCGCAAGGGAGATGACAAATCCACCTCGGACGCCGTGAGCCGGGATGAAGTGCCTCCTCTCGAAGTTCCCCGTACAGAATGCCGCAAGTTGGTGCTGGGTGCCTTGGAAGAGGTTGTTCGCAGCGTAACTGCCGAGCACTGTCGAGAGGATGTCGACGGGGAACTTGGTTTGGCTGACCGAGAGCGCAAGCGATCTTTCGCTGGGCCGGACAACACACTGAGAGAGGGAGTGCGCAAATGGCTTCTTGATGTTGAAGAAGCATGGTAACTTCAGCATCGGTTTAGTCAGCTTTAAGGGAAAGGGGGTTGACTGCTGATTTTACGTTTCTTTCCCTTACCTTTGTCGATCTTCTTCTTTTCTCTTTCGCCCTATTCCATTTTTATTCTCTTTCATCTCTTTCTCTTCTCCCCGCCCCCCTCCCCGTTTATTTTTCTGTTTCTTGTCACATTTCCCATGACATGACCAAGTCTTGGCCACCTGGTGGTTGGATCTTTTCTTGACTTTTTACCTTTCTTGCTGAACATCATGATACCCATATGTTTTCTATTTTTGATTCATGCATGACTGACTCATGATATACGAGCATGAGTGATGATGCGAAGCGCCAGTCACGTCAGTCATCATAGCTGTGAATGCATACATTAATATTCGAATGTCAGATTTTAAAGATTGAAGGTTTTTTCTCTGTAGATCGTAAAATAAACTATACTTAACTCTAACCCGAGAATTACGGTACCTAAGAATGACACTCTGCCATAGATACTAACCGTGATCATTCATTGAACGTTTCCACTATATCGTTACTGACTCTGTTAAACTAAACTTTATAGATCTATAGGACGGGCAAATGGATGGACATAGGACAATCTACCGTCCCACCGAAGTGACCTTCACCCCGGCATCATCAGCAACCACGGCCCCATCCTTGACCCCGACCGTAACCACCTTCAACACCTTGCCCGTGTTGCTCGGATCCACCACATCCAGCTTGAACTCGTCCTGCAGCGATCCATTGACCAGCACCTCCAGCCCATCCAGCGCATCGCCCTGCGGCGCCTTCAACTTCGCGTTGATCGGGGTCACCGACCCGGGACGGATCAAGATGGGGAGGGTCTCGAAACCATGCGTCTCGGTGTACCAGCGACCAGACTCGTAGGACTTGCTGTGGTCGAACCAGGAGATCCAGCGGCCAGCGTCGTCCTCCGGGGTACGCGGCACGTAGAACGTAACGGAGCCGTTTTCCGAGAAGACGGGCGCCACGAGCAAGTTAGGACCGAACATGTACTGCGTGTCGAGCGGATAGGTGGTCAAGTCGTCCGGGAACTCGAGGAACATGGGTCGCATGAGGGGCACGCCCTCGTTGTGGCCGCGGAGGGCCTCGGCGAGGAGATACGGGGTGAGCTGGATCTTGCGGTTGACGCAGTCGCGCAGCACGGCGCTGCAGTCCTCGCCGTAGATCCAGGGGACACGGAAGGACGAGGACCCGTGGAGACGGGAGTGCGAGGACAGGAGGCCGAATTGGACCCAGCGCTTGTACAGCGCGGGCGGCGGGGTGCCTTCGAAGCCGCCGATGTCGGAGGCCCAGAAGATGTAGCCCGAGAGCATGAGGCTGAGGCCGCCGCGCAGGGACTCAGCCATGGCTTCGTAGGTGGACTCGCAGTCGCCGCCCCAGTGGACTGGGTAGATCTGGCCGCCGGGGGCGGTGCTGCGGGCGAAGAGCAGGCTCTGGGAGGCGCCGTAGCGGTCGATCATGGTGTCGTAGACGACCTTGTTGAAGAGCAGGGTGTAGTAGTTGTGCATGCGGACGGGGTCGGACCCGTCGTGGTACTGCACGTTGCGGTAGGGGATGCGCTCGGCGAAGTCGGTCTTGAAGCTGTCGACGCCCATGTCCATGAGGCGCTTCAGGTGCGAGGAGAACCAGGCGCAGGCGTCTGGGTTGGTGAAGTCGACGACGGCCATGCCGGCTTGCCAGTAGTCCCATTGCCAGACGGAGCCGTCAGTGCGCTGTGTGCGTGTGTTAGGATGTTTTGCGGTGATATGGAAGGGTAGAGGGGAATCACCTTAATGAAATAACCATTCTTCTTGCCCTCCGCGAAGAGCGGCGATGCTTGTCCGACGTAGGGGTTGATCCAGACACTGATGCGGAGATCCCGGTCTTTCAATCGTTTGAGGTAGCCCGGGGCATCGGGGAACATTTCGGAGTCGAATTCAAAGTCGCACCATTGGTAGGATTTCATCCAGAAGCAGTCAAAGTGGAAGACGCCCAGGGGGATGTCCCGGTCCCGGAACCCGTCCAGGAAGCCGGTGACGGTCTGCTCGTCGTAGTTGGTAGTGAAACCTGAAGATAAGAAAATACAAGGGTCAGCGTCGGGCTAGGTAGACAACGAGGGATCTCGGATGAAAAGGCCGCTCACTGGTAGTAAGCCACAGGTTATAACTCCACGACGGGACCAGGCTAGGACGACCCGTCAAGGCGGTATACCGGTTGAGAATCTCCTTGGGCGTGCTTCCGTACACGACAAAGTATTCAAGCTCCTCGCCAGCGATGGAGAGATTCACGCGTGTAGTCCGCTCGGACTGAATCTCCAAGCTGACCTTCCCGGGGTTGTTCACAAAGACACCGTATCCGTTCGAGCTGATGTAGAAGGGGATGTTCTTATATGCCAGCTCCGACGAGGTACCGCCGTCCTCGTTCCAGATGTCGACGGTCTGTCCATTCTTGACGAGGGGCCCGAATCGCTCTCCCAGTCCATAGACCCGCTCGCCGACACCCAGGTCCAGCGCCGCGAGCATGTATCCCTGACGCTCGAAGAAGATGCCATCGTCCCAGCGGGATTTCTCCGTCGTCTGGTCGCCGATGTATCCGATGGATCGCCACGAGTGACCGGTGAGCTTGCCCTTGGCGCCTGAGAATACGAAGTCTAGCTCGTTCGGCTCAGTCTTGATGTTCAAGTCTAGGGGGCCACTGCTGTATTGCAGCGTCTTGCTCTTTTCGTGGTGGATCTTGGTGTGACCGGAGGAAGAGGCCAATTTGTAGTGAGGGCCATTGTCCACTTCGCCCGCCCTATTGTGCAGAGAGAAAAACAAATGAGAAGATGAACGATAGGGAAACGGTAGAAACGCGGTCAACACCAAAAACGAAACAGATCAAAATCACATACCAATGGCAAAATTTCACCCCGATAACACCCTCCAATGGAGAAGTGACATGAGCTTGGATGGCCGCTAAAGAAGATAAAATCGCTGATCAGCCATTGAACCTCCCCCACACAACTCCACGATAACGGGACGGGCGGACCTGAGTTTAGCGTGTCTCCACGATGTCTCTGGAACTTATTCAAGAGGAGATCGACCGAGTCATTCTCAACGCTCAGTCTCTCGACATTGTTCATCCAGTCAATGCGAATGCCTTCCTGCACGCAAAGTCAGCCAATCTGGCCTGGAATTGCAACCAAGCCAGAAGAATGGGGAGAAGCTGGGATGAACTCACGCGAAGGCGCCACATTCCCTCGGTGAACTTCATGCTGGGCAATTGAGCAATCGGTCAATTGTGCTTGACAAAAGAAGAGAGAAAACAAAAAGAGGATGAATTGAAGACCCCCAAGCTCGGAGGAAATACCCCGCCGGAGGGCCATTTAAGTAGTCGGTATTCCCCAAAGCACCGGATAAACCAGGCGCGGAGCCGATTAATCTATTGTCGAGCCCATATCCGTAAAGGGCTAAGGTCCGAGGCCAGGACTGAGCGTGGTCGACTAGGGCCATTCTTTTCCCCTCAGTCGTCTAATAATGGCAGCTAACGCGGGGCAAGCGAGGGACGATTGGGAAGCTGAATCGAAGGAGGGAGTTGGATGGGCAGAGGAAGCCGGTGGAGATGCCAAGCAACCTTGGATTGTATTTGCCTTTTAGCCTGTATCCGGCTAATTTGGCCTTATTGCCTGGTTCCTCAGGCCATTAGGCCCAGTCGTGTTCCTTTCCTTTCATGGGAAAACCTTTCATGAGAGCCCAGTCTTCTTGTACAGAGATAGAGGTACCTTGGAGACATGAATTTGATCAACTAACTCATTACATAACGGACAGATAGTGTAGTACATCCTTGTCATAATACATAACCCGTCATCATACCAATCGAACCGGTCGCAGTCCGGTACTTCGCGGACTCCGATGCCCACTTGGGTCCTTTCGCGGACGCGCGATCGAATCCAAGGACGAAATCGTCGAGTGCTGTACTCCTCGAGAGAGTGCCGGCGGAGGGGAAATATGATGGCTGACAACGCTGGCCGGCAATTCAAGTGAAGGAATGGAAGAATCCATCAGAGGCGTCTGGGCCGGTTCGACCTTGGTGGATACCGGTCGGATCAGAGACTCGCCGTAGAATTGCTCCAGCTTGGCCGAGTCGCTGCAAAAGTCCACGAACCCGCTCAAAATGTGCTCAGGGGCGCGATAGAGGTTAGCCGAATCGATGCTGGCCGAACCCTGAGGGCTGATGGGACTGTTGGGGTCGTGGATCGGGCGGGTGATGGGAGATAGGCGAGGAGATACCCGATCGATAGGATCATACGTGCTTGCCCTCGCTCGGTATTGATCGGACCGGTCGTGTCGAGGCATGTCGCGGCTGGCGACGCTTCGTGTACTGACTAGCCGATTGGCAAGGAAGAGGAAATCTCCCTCGTCGGTAATCTGTGCTAGAACGCTGCCAGATCGGTGGATGTACTGCGGAAACCGGTAGTCAGGGATGCCCCAAGAATAAGACACCTCCACGTCGGCAGGGAAGGCGGACCGCGCTTCGAAGTCTAGGACGAATTCGAATTTGCGCAAGAGTGCTTTCTGGAAGTAATGGCGGTCGGGGGTACCCTGCTGCGAAAACGATCCTTGGTGGAACAGCGTAGGAGCGGGCGCCTTGGGAGGGGGGGTGGTGAGCCGGACAAGGTAGGGCTTTCGGAACGGTTGCGTCTCGTCAATGGCACAGGCCTCAGCGATCGGGACTTGCACAAGTTTGAGCCCGAACTTCTCCGCCGTAGCAGCCCATGACAGTACGGTATCCTCGATCAACTTCGCGGTCGTGTTCATCCAGCTGAGTTCTATGTGAAAACAGTTATCCGGGTTATGCAGCCGATCGTAATGGAGTTCGATGACCTCGGGTCGGTTGGATCGTTTGCGCGGGTCGACGTCATATTTCATAGACTTCGACAGCATGATCGTGGCTTTGTTCTTGGTTTTGGACGGAGTATTTGGCGTCTGCACTGCGGGCTCGTCGGTGCTTTCTGTTCTAGCATGAGCACTGGGAATGCTAGCGGGCGAGTCTCGGGGACGTTCGCCGGCCGGCGTAGAAGGAACCGACTTATCGGTTCGGATCTGAGGGAACCAGCTGCCGCGAGACTCAGGACGCGAGATCCGATGCTCGCTAGAAATCTGGTAGAAGTAATTACCGTCCCGGAAATTATGTCGTTTCTCGACGTGTTGGTACAAACCATGCTTCATCAGCTCGTTGCCGAATTCAACTGCTTCCTCGCGACTGTCAATATCGCGGAAATTTTGAAGTAGCCAGGTAGTGAGCTCGAAACCGATGAAACAATTGTAATGCAATCGCCAGTGCCATCTGCGGTCCATCATTCGGACACCTTTATCCCCCTGGATAATTTGTGCCAACGACGAAAGGCTGATACTCGAGCGCTCGAGTAACTCTGACTCGGGCAACAGTTGCGCAGGGGAATTATCCAGACCCGGGTCCGTAAGCAAGATTCGATCCAGCTCCGCCGCAACCACTTCAGGTGGGTTCCGGGTTTGATACATGATGTTCAGGGGATTCTGATCTCTCTTTTTGTTGGAGCTCTCGAACCTCTTCTCCTCCGGGGGGACGTATTTGTGTCGTTGCCATATATGAGTGAGTTGGTTGATTCCGAGTAGATGAATTTCTTCTTCGTTATCCTCGTTGAAAGACTGGATATGCCGACGGGATCCAACATGCAGTTGCATCGGTATGAGCACGTAACGTACACGCCAGAATTGTAGTTGCTGGGCTGGATTAAACAAATAATCTCTATGCCCGGCAACATAGTTATCGGCATAGTTCCAGTTATACTCCTCGGTAGTTGAGTCGAGTCTTATGTCCTTGATCCTATATTCGGGACTCAATATTGTGCGCATGGCCGGAGAATAGATGCTGAAATTAGGCCGCTTTTCAGACGAGAGAGAAGAAGAAACCCGATGAGTAAACCGTGTGACTTCAATCTCTGCACTATCAATACAGATCAACCGGTGGATAGTGTTCCCTTTCGACAAGAAAACATAGGCCCCGTCCTTTTCTAATCCTTGGGTGTCAAAGACGTTGGGAGATTGCAGCGCATACTGCCCCGAGACTTCAGCCACATTTTTTCCGACGACGATCTGGAATCCGTGAGAGAGACGAAGAGAGATCATCTCTCGCAGGAGCAGGCCGCGAGTTTTGGGAGCTTCAGTGCCCTCAGGATCATCGTTCGGGAAGACACGATATGGTGTTTGCAAGTAGTCCGACGCAAGTTCACTTGCATTTGGGAATTCTTCCGTCGTGAGTGGTAGAATGGCAGGTGACTTTAAGCTCTTCCATTTGACAACAGCGACGTGGGGCGGTCTTGGATAGGCATGTTGCCAGCGTCCAAACCAACTAGTATCCCGCAAGACATCTCGAGGGGTGTTGCATGGATTGACCGAGCGAACCCAGGGAGCCAGCGCTTTGCTCTGCGGAGATTTGGGTGCTCCACCGCGCGAACCGCCGCTCACCGTTAATTCAAACCTAGGACCACGCTTTCTCGACTGAGCCTCGTGACGGGCATCTTCATTGAGGGGGATCTCGGTGCCGGTTGTTGAGTAGGACTCTGGAATCTCGGTACGTTCTGGTTGCTCCGAGTTCTCGTCGGGTTGTTTGGGAGGCACTTTGATAGAAATTGGTCGCGTGGGTGTCATAGAGGAACTCTCGATGGACTTTTGGGGTGTGGGGCTTGGGGCAGAAGTATCAATCACGGTGGACGTCGATGCACTATCAGATATGCTCGCAGAATCTGCACTTTTGTTGTCTGCAAGTACGCCCGTGATCTTCTTCTGGTTTGACGTTGGCATGCCCCTCGCATGCTCTACATTGACCTCGGTGCTCGCCTGAGCTCGAGGTGGAGCGGCAGTCAGACCGCGCAGAGCAAAGCTAATCGTTCGCGATATGCGCGGCAATTTTAATGAAGAAGTTGACTTTAAGGCAGGCTTTTTGGGGGATGCGCTTTTTGTAGAAACTGGACTCTTTGGAACTGCGAATGGCCCGTCAATGTTCCGAGGCTCGGATATGACGGTATTTTCGCGCTCTTTGGTATCGGTTTCATTTTTCCGAAGATGTGAGATTGATCGAGCTGAAATACGGTCATGTGCACTGGAGATCTGCACATCGGGTTCACTTGGACGCTTCTGTTTTACAGGCTTCCGGCGTTGGCGCCGTTTGGGAAAGGGATGGAACACGGTATCGTCGTAGCTGTCCATCCACGCGAGCGTCGAACTCGGTGCGAATTTCTTGGACTTCGCCATCATCACGTCCTTGGGATTCGGCATGTTTTGAAGAAATGGTTCGGGCCGTAGGCTATCACCTAGTTGATGCCTGAAGGAGGAATTGCGAGTAAGAGAAGCTTTAGTAGGAGCCAGAGTGCCGGAGCTCATACTGAGACCAGCACTGGGTCCCCGGGCGGTACCTTGTCCCTCCAGGAGATAAGGGATGGAAATATTAGATTGTTCACTCTCCATGATACCATTCATTTGAATTTCGTACATTCGAACCCTGGGTACAAACAATTTGGATTTCCTGGTGACCGTGAATGGTATCGGTGCATTGGGGTCTTTCTTCAAAATCCGTCGAGCTTCCCTGTACGTTACAGGATTCCAGTACGATATGTCCAACCAGTGAGGGATCCCGTAGTTCCAATCTCGAGACCCTGAGGACCACGGCTTCTTGAAACCCATTCCCGGAAGGGAGTCATGCAAGACCGATTTAGGAGAAAGATGCGTTGTGCGATTCACCAAGCTAGCGAATGAGTGCATCTCGGGAGAATAGCCACCATTCTGGATCTCAGTAAACGAGGAGCCCGACGGTCTTCGAACAGGCTCTCGGTATTTGAATAGCGGCACGGAGTGAAGGGGCATAGGACTGAGGCAGACCAGATCGATGGCGATCCCGCGATTGGTGAGAGCCTCTGTAGTAGATGCCAAAGACTCATATGACACCTCAAAAACACCACTTCCGGGAGTAATGACTATAATAGACGTGCCTGTATGCACCATGTCCCGATCTATGTGATCGTACGCCAGATGTGACGACGCCAAGTGAATTGCCTCGAGAATATTGCCACGAAGAGCGGTACTCGGTCGTCCTGCGATGATTGGCGGCTGGTCCTGCGAGGTTTGTTTGGCGCCGCTGGCGGTGGGAGTATCGGCATCATGATTATGGTGAAGGATTGAAACATCCCGCAAGAATGACCGGAAGTCTTTTTTCAGCTCATCCAAGATCGTGGTCCAATGGCCACTTGCCATATCGTTTACCACTACTCGATAGAAGTCTCGCGTAGGCACGTGGTTCGGGTTAAACATGCTCTTCAGATTCTCCGAGCTGAGAGTGGTCGAAGTTCCCATGGCCGACGCATCGTATTCAACCCGTGTAAACAGCACGATGGTGACTAGATGTCTAGCATCGGTATTGGCCCACCGCTTGAAAAGTTCCGGTAAGAACCCGTTGATGACCCGGCTGAAGAGGATGTCGCCCGTGCCTTCGGAATCAAAATCCCACATTTCTCTTGACATCTGGATGAACAGCACATACTTCGCCGATTCGCTGCGAAACACCGGGATGGTCTGCGGGGAGAAAAAGCCCGAGAGCGCCTTCTTCTCGCGAATGAAGATATTCTTTACGGTTGCCTTGATACTACCCATGAACACGATCTTTTGGCCCTTGTAGACAATCTTCTCAGCCAGTTCCGACATGACCAGTCTCCACATGTCCGAGCGAACCATGTACTGATCGCGAAATGAAATGTCCACATGGGACGCGGCGCACTGCGCACGATCCACGATCGAGATGTGCACGGTCGAGCGATTCTTAAACCCGAAGATGTTAGCTATACTAGTGGTCACCGAGATCTCCAGCTTCGGATGCCGGGTCTTGATATCGTGCGGCAGCAGCTTGACCACAAAGAGACACCGGTTCTGCAGCGGAGTTTTGAACTTCGACAAGGGGTCCGAATGAAGGGTCGAGCTGGATTCCACATGGCTATCGCGCAACGACCTCGAACCGGCATCCGTCTTCGCTGGATGCGCACCATCCCCAGGATACCGGGCAGGGAGGATCTCGACGACATCGCCCACATTCACCTCGGTGTCACCGAAGGCGGCGGGATTGAACAGGATCTCCTCTCTCGAGAAGGTTTCATCATGAACCCAGAGCGAGCATTGTCGTCGATCCAGACCGATCGAGGGCAACCGGACAGTCCTCTCCTCCGGCGTGGACGGACGATCACCGAGAACGTCATTGTGAGACTGTGAGCCCAAGGAGCGCGAGGTGGAAAGCGTGTCCAAACTAGCAGCGCTCACCTGTCTAAGGTGAGAACGCTTCATGGGACCGCGCAACGACATCCTCTCTACCGGTGCAATTGCATTTTAGAACTAGATGTGTATCATAACTATCAGATCATTAATAATAATGCATCTGACAGACAGCCAATAATCGCTCGGCGCGAAGGAGGGGGGGGGAGAGAAGGTAGAGAGGGGGGAACGAGTCGATCGGAGGTTATCCATGAAATCCGAATCCAACCTCCCGTTGGACTCGCTTTTCCCCACACGGGGGAGAGTCTGGAAAGAGCAGGCGGTGTGGCGGCGACCGTCATCCGCTCGTAGTTCATGCCTGAGGCATAACTCATCCGTCGATCGCCGAGGCGCCATTACGACGTGCTTTCATTGCGAGTCATGAGCGTCTTACACCGATGCATAATTGCGTCCGGTGGACATCATATTGCATTCACCACGTCGATCATCATGTATATTTACCTAACCGAAACAACAGCAGGGGTCCTTCCACGTCAGATGAACCGCCTGTGGTGCCATTTAATCTGGGCTGTTATTGCCACGGGTCCTGGGCGTCCAGGGATCAAGTGAACAATATATATTATTGTTACGCACATACGACCTATCAAGAACGCAAGTGCAAAAGTACCTGCTGAAAGCTGATCAAGAAGACGTCAAGCGAGAATGGAAGGTCGGGGGAGAAGATGGCGTCGCAGCGTTGGCCAACACCATCAACGACATGCAGTACATTATTATTGATGGAACACCTCGATGGCAGCGGATGAGAGTGACCTGATAAATGATGCCTACGGTGTACGAAGTACTAAGATAACATGAAACAACCATCCCAGACACCTCCCTTCGCTAGAGTGCAGTACATGCGACACTGCTGAGCGACAACACACCAGTGAATGCCCCTTCATCTCAGCAACTGCAGCTATAATGGCCGGGATTTGGAATTCGTCTGCTCATGTGGATAAGCCTGGTATAGTTATGGAAATGCGGATCCGCCGCCTGTTAATCTTGTACTGCACTCCGCAGTCGACAAACGCAAGGCGCCGTTCGTGAGGTTGGATCTCTGAAGTGCCCTGGACTGCTCCACGGAGTACTCCGTATGGCGCCAATACTCGGTGTACTCCGTATTCGAAGAGAAGCTGGGAGCTGAGGACGAGATTTGATTTGAGTAGCAGAAATTGTCCGTGCTTGAGATCGCAGTCTATCTTCCAGAATTTCAAATCTTTGGTAACTTTATCGGGACTCGGCGGAGTGAGGCGCTCGGCAATGGTTCGAGGGACCAGGCTTGGAAATGTGAACCATGGGTCGTGAAATGAGGTGGTCCGGAGTCCGGAGTAAGATGTAGATAGAGATTGATTCTCAACTCCGGCCTTAATTTTGCGAATGAAACTCACATTCTGGACGAGTCTGAAAAATGAAAAGATAGTATTGATACTAGTCATGGATAAGAAAGTACTATGTAAACTCATATGATGTTGGTTTATTACTTGCTCGGTTAGCGTAATTATGGGCGTTCTCCGTACTCCGTACGTGCATATCATTTCCCCTTTTCCGACTGGTCGAAAATTGATCATTATGGATTTCAATCCCTCTTTCATTCGACTTGGGATGCTCAGAAGATGCTGCCGAAACAAAGAAATGTAAAGGAGCTCTATGGTCCGAGTGATCCTGTCATCTACAGCCTGTCAATTAATTTCATAGCATGCCTTGTATGCAGGGGCAATGGTGTCGTTCTTTCCCAATCCCTTTCTTCCCAGTACGTCAGTTAGGGTAGCGTAACGGGGAATGCACAGTGTGGATACTTCCTCGGTATTCATCTGGTTTAAATTTCAAATTTCGAAGCATTGCCGAACGCCAACCGATGATATTCCGACATTCTCCAGAATGACGAAGTGATCCACATTCTGTGCTGGGGAAGCGGCCGCGGTGACAAGTTGTTTGCAGGTGCCAAATTTTTTTTTTTTCAGGCGTGCTGGTGCACAATACGGAGTTGAAACGATTTTTTATAGGATCGTATCAGTAAAATACGATGTTTCTAACGTCTTGGTCGTCAACGCGAAGCCTAAGACGCAAGGGGATGAGTGCCCAAGCAAAGATGCAGCAAGGGATAGCAAGCAGGCCCAGGAATCAGTAGTCTGGTCAATAACTAGACTACGACTGCGTATGTAAGAATGCCTCATAGAACGCCACGGATCGGACTGCCAGCGAATGGCGAGAGTTGTGGTGGTGGGGATAGACCCACTGATAGATTGGACTTACGGAGTACCCACGATGTCCACGGCGTCCATTATTTGCAGTTGCCAGTGAAGGTGTCTTGAGAGATGCAATTACTTGGTTCCTCGTGGGGAATGTTATACCTCTCTGATTAAGAGAAAGATAAAGAAGAAGATAGAGAAAAGAGTGAGAAAGTAAAAAAGTAAAAAGTAAAATTCAGAACAAAGAAGAGCAGGGAGATTCGGGATGCTGGCGAATATTCAATCAAGAATGGTAACGGCTCTGATTTCTCGACATATCAAGGGAGACCTGGAATATACTCCGTTAGTTATGTAGAATTCGTGTCTCAGCCAGCCTTTACTGTGCAAGGGGAGCAACGAGTCTTAGTTATACATCGTGGGCTGGCTAGGCACTGATGCCATTTCGTTTTTTGGTTTTTTCCCTCGAGAACAAGTTACGTTCGTGTGGAGACCACATGTTATGTGAGACAAAATATCAGTCTTGTACTAGTAGAAGCATAACTGGCAGCTCTTGAGACATGGCACGATCTAAAAAGGGCTAAAGAAAACCCGTTCGGGTGTGTCGAGATGGACGGATGAATGATGGGCTAAAAACATGAAACCCCATACGGTTATACTCACCGGATGTCAAGCATTCTATAAACGGCGACGGGATCGAATATGACGACGGGTGTTGTCACACGCTACCGAGGAGGCAGGTACCGGGTAGATGTAAGGCGATATTCTCATAGACTCCGCGTCGGCGCGCCTTAGTTCTTTAGCAATGATGGGCCCGTCGCTGATACTGATTGAAAACGATCACACGACACGAATGGTCGACCGAGTTATATGAGCACGAGAAGGATAGAAAGCTTAGCGCGAAATCAGCGTCCCTCACGGTCCCCATATATTTCCATTGCAAGTTGCGGGTCGTGTTGGGTAACCAGTTCTCTGCATACTTTCTCGCCCCGCTCAAACTCAGGATCCTTAGTCGAAAGCTCGGCTAGCCAGCGGGTCGTTTTGGAAACAACTCTTAACAGTTTCCTGCGCTTGGTTGTGTCCGGCTTTGCAAGTAGTAGCTCAGTCAAAATGATGGTAATCGGTTGCATAAGCATGTGCAGCATGCACCACCAAGGAGAGATGCGATAGATCCAGGAAAAATTCGGGTGCTCGGGCACAAGTTCGAGCATCTGAACCGCCAGGTCAATGCATGCGATGGCCGTTGATTCACAAAATTTGCCCGCTATGTCGGTTCCCGAACCCTGTCGAGTCACACGGCTGAAACACGGTTGCGTGACAAGGATTTTGGCGCTGTGGAAATAAAATGCCATATTTGTTCGCTCTCGCTCAAACTCCCGAGTACCCCGAGTGAACTGAAATGCGACCGGAAGCCTTGTGAGCCAAGCGTCTAGCTTTCCGTTTAGGGTAGAAATTGCCATCTCTATTTCCCCCCACAACATCCGAGAAGCTCCTGGAGCATAGAGCGTGTCAATCGTTTCCCTCACAATGAAAGCCAGGTCGATCACGTGGAGAAAGTAGAGCGAAGAATTGGGTTCGAGAGCCTCGACAGCACTGGAGGCAATCTGCTCGCACTGTTTACTGAGGCTAGGGAGCAAGGGGTCGGAAGTGTCTGGCGACGCGGTGTCGGAGGCTAAGTATCCCGAGCGACCCAGACCGAGGGTTTCCATGAAGATGCCCCGTGCCTCGTTGTCCTTCATGAGCTGCTGGGCGTATACTGCTTCCTTGAAAGTCTCCTCCTCGAATGGGGCCGGAAGTGGTGTAGTGAAAAATTCGTCGCTACAACTCGGAGGGCGGCCGGTCATCACGCAAAGAGTGAGGTCCAGTGTGTACAGAGACCACCATACCCTATAACGTGCTTCTTTCGACGGAGGGTTCAGCGATTTGCTCTCGTTCCGAAGGTTCAGCCCCATTGTGCCAGCGGATCGTAAAGCTACGCCACAGATGCGCCACGACCTGGAAAGTGAAAGAAAAGCGAAAGGAACATCAGCCAGGAGTTCTCTAGATTGAAAGGGGACAGAAGAAACAGGGCGCACCGGTTGACCTGGCCTATAGATAAGAGATAAAATGATATAAGACCTTCCACCTGTACCTGCTGTAGATTGGGATGCTCTAGTAGTGCAGCACCACTCATGCTGAGCTTCCACGCCCTAGAAAAGTATGTGCGGTCGTCATCGACGGCCTCCCCCAGACCTGCTCGGGTTTGACGAGTATACCTCACCGCAATAGCAAACACTAGATTTAGAATGGCCAGCCATCTATCTCCCGGTCGTACCGAACGGGCATAAAAGAGCTTGTATTGATCGAAAAACAGCGACCTGGCGATGATAGGGAACGAGTGATTCACGACATTGAAATAGATGTCCACTAGCTGGTCAGCTACTGCCTGTGGAGGTCGCCGCCCAGGATCCGCATCCTGATTAATCGGGACTTCGGAGTCATCTAGAAAGAAGTTTGAAGACGCAATGGATGGCTGACCCGACTGCTCTTGTGGAGATGCTGGATGAGAGGAATCGAGTAGTTTTTGCAGCCGATGTAGCCAGGCAATTTCCGAGTGTTCCCCTACGAACCCTATCGCTTGGACCTTCTCATCACGGTTGAAATCTTCGTTGGTGTAGTCTAAGCCCCCGAGTAGGGTATTCGGATTAGGGGTTTGAAGGAGAGAAGCATCTGTTCTGGAAGTTGAGGATATCGTTGAGCCTCTGCGATCAGGTGCTGAAGTGTTATTATTGAGATTTTGCTATAGGTTTCGAATTAGACCGAGCCAAGATGGGGAGGGGGGAAGAAATACAAAGGGGCGGCCCGCGGTGCCACGACAGGGCAGGCCAGGGCAGGCCAGGGAAGGGAAGGGAAGGGAAGGGAAGGGCAGGGGGCGCGCACGCGGGGGAAACAAAGGAGGACGGGAGAAAACAGGACAGGATAACAAAGGATCTTCTTACTTTCCCGATCACCTGTTCGACATACTCGACAGTCTGCGAGTCCAATTTAGAACAGACTTCTCTCAGTAAAGCCTCATACACCTCGACTTGGGTTGTCAGATCATTGAGTTGCCTGATACCCACCGTCAGAATTCCCGATAGCAAACCACGAAAAAAAATCATCACAAAACGCACTTGGCCATCTTCTCCCGCTTCCGATCACCGTATGAACACTGAAGCCCGGATTCCTGGCATCGCTGACAAGTTGGGCGATGTCCACTACATTTTGCCTTTTGCTCGCGGCAGTTCTCACACGCCCGACTAACTCGTCCGCTGGTGGTCCATGTGCTGGAGTTTGCCGACCTGGGAATTTGCACCTTTTTGTTAAGAGATCCGTCTTCGAATACGACCCGAGAAGCATTTGGGCTGGGTTCCGAAGGCCCAGATATCACGTCGTAGTTGCTCGGAGGACCAAGAGGGGTCTGAATGTAGCCGGGGGGGGCCCCGCCAAAGAAAGGCTTTGGTTCATTCTCATGATACTCTGCAGAAGACTGGTAGGGATGATAGTGAAAGGGCGGTTGATTCGGGTCACTCATGGTCACAGAAGATGCAATTTGGGTTGCCACACCTCTTTCGTCCTTAGGTACCCTGGACAGTGCGCACAACTCAAAGAAGGACACACTAAACAACTAGTCCGACTCGAAGCAAACACTGGGTGACCGTAAGCACGGGAAATCGGTAGCCTCGATTTTTTTTTTTTTTTGCCGTCGCAGTACCAACATAGAACAGACATATAAAACGGGGCGTGTTAGCTGGGAGACCCAGATCCGTAAGAGAGCGAGCCGTGGTAGGCTGGAAGTCGCAGCCGTGTGCCCTTTTGGCATTAGGCGGGCGGGAATCGGATCGCTTCCGACTTTCTGTTACCATCGATAGTACAGCCAAATCGGTTTTTTATCAGTCCCCCCCTTGGAGGGGATTTCGTGATGTGGCACACCAAATTCAGTCGGTCGAAGGAGTGGAACGAAGTAAAAGAGAAGATGGATGAAACGGCGCGAAATAAGAAAAATAAAATCAAATGAGGGGGAATTGTATGGTGAAAAAGCGTGGTGTGAGGTAAAAAAAGGAAGAAAATAATGAATAATAATAAAAATAATACCAAGGCTGCCGGGGGATTCCTGAGACAGCCTCACGTACCAGCGATCATCCGACCGTTACCTACTGGCACCTTTTCGTTTTCTTTTTCTTTCGTCATTTGCCATCCCCACGGCTCGAAAGCACGAAGCATTCACAGATTGACGCATCCGTTCCTTGCCCCCTGATAAGCGCAAAGACGACAACGAACCTTCACGAATCTTGCCGCAATTTCCAGACAGCATTGTGCCTCGAACAGCGCTCGGATCATGACTGCCTCTGTTCATCACTGATTGTCAAAGACAATGATCAGCTTGTCAAATTTCGCAATCTCCGCTTGTGCGTGGCCCTAGGATAGCGAATCCCCAAATTTTGCCATGATGTGAAGTGTCATGATCAGCCTTGAATCGTTCGGTGACGCTTGTTCCGCTTCTTCCGCTCGCACCTAAACTGCCTTGGACAACGATGTTCTCCGCTGGGTGAAAAGAAAGTCTCTGCGGCACCGAGTACTGGAGCAAGGAGAGAAGGGATGAGCTTCTGGAGCCTATTTAGCTGAGAGAGATCACGAAGACATGGTTGTCCTGAGTCCGATCCTGTAGGTGTTCAGGGGGGAGTTCGACAATCACACTCACGCATGTGCTGACTTGCAGTGTATATAGGAAGCGGTGCAACCCCATTTTAGCTCATCCTGTCCTCTATTCGCCTATACCTCCGATGGTGTTGTGACTCAGTCTTCAAACTCGATTCCACATTTGGGTTAACGCTGTTGGCGACCCTAGCCTTTGACGTCCACCGAAACCTTTTTTTTTTTTTTTTAAAAAAAAAAAGGGACATCCCGGCGTTTTTTCGACCACCGAATATGATACTATGCTAGAGGGTTCCATTGAGAGGGGGTCGTCAGAGGACAGAAAACACATGAAGAGAGGGCATAAGCATTGCACTCTGTTCAACACATCTCTGCTCTGACAGGTAAGGGTTCGCTAGCCTGGGAGGATCATGATGTCTATTGTTGAGCGAGACGGTGATCTAATACTCGTCAGCCGTGAAGCGAACATCATGCACCCAGAACCATGGCAAAAGAAGTCGACGGCAAAGAAACGAAGACCATAGATACCCGCGGAGCATACCCACAGAAAACTTATTGCATTTTATGCTGCCATGACATGAAAGGAGGCAGGTCAAGTTAGGTGCATGTGGACTGACGCTTAGACGATTGACGAGCATTTTTTCTTCACTGAATCATTTCGTGGCGCTACGTACATCTCCCAAACATCAAGACAGGAGAGACGAAGAGAAAGAAATGGAAAATGGTATATGAAAACTTATATTGCTGCACTTGTCCGCCTGAAATGCAATTTTGCCGCCATGAGAAACTGGGCATCGGACTGAGACAGTCCATAATCATGCACAAGACATGGCGACACCTTTGATGATGATTAGTGATTGTGGCTTCAGCAGATAGATTGAATCAACCGCAAATGCTGATTCAGTAGCCTGGGCTCATCCGTGTCTTTGCCACCCGGATTTGATGCCGAAATTGGGGTTTTTATCCAGCGGACCTCGTCCGAGCTGAATGGTTAGTACTGACGAGTTGGCTATCGAGATATGCATTCCCTATTCGGATTCAGACAGCTTGAACCATCGTAGAAAGCTAGACACAGGGTTTGAAGATACAGCGTGAGAATGACTTGCATTCCCTCACGATACTTTGTGATGCCCACCTACAGTCGCCGCGAGGAAGCCCCAAGAGGAGAGGGTGTCAAGGAGCTGTCAACAAACAGACCGACAGACAAGACCAAACAATCGATACAGTGGTGAATGCACGGGTGATATAATTGCCACAGTCAGGGGCGATGGCGAGAATCGCGAAAGAGTCGCGGGAGACTACCGACGAGGAAATGTTGTGGAGAGCAAATGGCCTGGCAAGGGTGGTCAAGTCAATGTTAAGGTGCCCCGTGCCGAAGGCCCGTCGGGTGTTTCCCGTTATTGGCAAGGAAAAAGGTTCCGCAGGGGAGACAAGTGGGTTAAGTAAGGCAGTCGCTCGCCACCAAACTTCCATTTCTCAATTTGCCCCGGAGCAACTATTTTTCCTCATCAACGTCCAGACTTGCCCTGCCACCGTCGGCCGATGAGGCTTCGTTCTTCCATTGCCGATCAAGTGAGAATATTCCCCGATGATAGGTGAGAATTTCACGGTCAAATTAACTGGCCAATCGGTGTCACTTGCCTTGAGGGTGTTGGATCCCCCCGAATTGGATCTAGCCACGTCCAGAATACCGGTTGGGATTTCTGAGCTGAGCTGGCTCTGCAACAATTCCTTCCCATCTATCGCATGACACTCCTCTCCGTTCTCCGGATTGTGGCCGAGTCATGTCGTTTCTGTTGTCCGCCTGGATTTCTCCTGACATTACTCACTACGCCTAGACCGATCCTCCTACCGGCTAGGATCAGTTGGTGCATGTTTGACCCATAAGAGACAGGCTCCTTTTACAAGCCATAAACAGTCGTCGATCGACAACATACGAGCTCACACACGTGCACCCAAGACCCCAACTGCGCCGGTTTTGGATATGCCAACAATACGGAGGCTTCCCCGCCGTACAGGGACCGGTCGCATACAACCAGAAAAGACTCAAAATGCTCGTCTCTACTTGAAATGCGGTCTCTCGGACCGGAATATGGATGTGATATATAGCCTGGGTTACGAGCGAGAGACCGGGGTCGAACAGCTGAAGCCATCTAGAACTAGGTAGGAATGTGGCGGTTCCTTGATTTTGTGCGCTTGACCCCTGTTCACGTTTCAGAGAAACCAGCAAACTGGCCACGGTTCGGTCCATTCCTGAATCATTCCGGAAAGAATCCTTGGAAGCAGATCCAGCCTACGAATGAGTCTGCACATAATCGTGGTCTTACGGGGGCTCGCAAATAAATGTGGGGGTTGAAGTGCCTTTAGGGTAATAAATTACTCCAGGGGTAGGTTTACCGGACAGCATTCGGTTTAATAACTATGATTGTGGAAGGAAGGGAGCTGTACGGACCAAGGTCTCGAAGACATATGCTTCATCTCCATCAAGCAACGTCAGCCCAATCGTGGATGTAGAAAGACGAAGTACCCTAACTAACCCGCTTTATCGGCAAATGATCCAGGTTCTCTCGGCTTCAGATAACCAGACTCATCTAATTTTCTTATTGCGTCTCTTGTGTCATGTGTTTTCTTCCTCGAGTACGTGGCTCTCCCTCGGGCACCCTGGCCATTTATGCAGGAACCCATAGGAATAGAACCTTCTGCTCTTCAACCCCCAATACGCAATGAGCAAAACATCTCACACAATAGACTGATTATTTTATCTCGTAGGTATTTTAATTGTTGCACCTAGATCTTCTACAAGCAGAACTACCTCCATACGTACCGAGACGAGACGTCAATGGTAGAACAGGGTTAGAGTTTGCTTACATTGACTCTTACAACCCGATATCAACAAAATAAAGTAACAACACAATACTTGTCCGGCATACAGCTTGCTGAACAGGTCCTCATACCCATCTATTACTAGTACTCAGGTTACTAGTAGTCAGTATACCTTCAAGGTCTTAATCCCGCCTCATGAGCGCCTCATGCGAAGATCCCGGGCTCAAGATTTGCGCTTATCACTGTTCCTCTTTAAAGGCATTAAGACCCCGTCGAGATCTTACTCTTAGGGGGGGTTGGACCCCATACTGCCGTAAAGGTGCGACCAATGAACCGTCATACCGAGCATTTCACTGTACCCAATTCTTCCTCTACGCCGGCTAGACGAAACCTCCCATCGACCACTTTTTCCCACACACATCACCTTAGACCACTTGAACCCTGGTCATATCTAACATCCTGTAGAGCCTGCATGACAAATATCCAGCGAAACTCAGGTTAGACAATACTCGACAGTTGTTGATAACCCGTAGATATAGATGATTCACTATTAATTTGTCTAAACGAGTTGGGCATACGTGCTAGGAAAGGAGCAATATGCCACAAGCATGCAGAAGTTTTAGATGCCTGAGGTACATGTCCCAAGCCGTAGCACTGTTATGCATGCAACACTATACAAGATCACTTTCTTCCTACATCAGCCCACTTATCCGGAAAGGAACTATGTACAGGGCTCCAAACCCCGGTATAAAGCATCCGGAAGCTTCATGCATACATGCACTATTGGTCAATCTACGAAATGACTAGACAGCTCGAGCAAATTACCGTTCAAAGAAACCCATAAAAACCCCAACGGACCGGGGAGAAGAATCCGCGGCTCTTCACTCTAGGCAAGTCTAGTGCGGCGACAACAATTGCATTGTTGAATTTTTTGCGCCGTCGTGCCGTAAATTGGTACCCAATGAGGAACCCTGCGATAGATCTCGGGAGATGGAGCTGACAGGATGAAGATCTGCTATCTAGATCGGTGGTTCGACAGGCATGAAGATGCGGATGGATACGTTCATATGTATGTACATGTATATTGTTTGATGACTTTCAAACTAAACACTACACAGTAAGGCCACGTCGACATAAGTGATAGATTTACTTGTTGCATCTGTCTTGATTTTAATCCGGATTGATAAGCCGTCGAAAGGGACGCCTACTGCAACCCCCGCACGAGAAACATCAGTCGTCATAGGTAATCTCGGATGTTCATAATTAATTTTAGACCGCGAACAGTGACACAGCCGACCTCGTCGTCAGTCGTCAGCCAAGGGCGCACAACAAAAGACGAGAGGAATCAAAAAGCAAAAATGATGAATCAAACCGCGCCCAACCAGGGCGAGGGTGAAACTAGGCGAGTTGGTGGGAGACCAGCGCTAACCGGGATGGCGAGACTACGGAGTAGTGCGCAGCCCGCGTCGTCGCCAAGTCGGACTGGCAGGGATCACTCCGTTTCCGTGTCCTTTTCCTTGTACGAGATTCCTTTGAATCCTTTGGCATATCAAAAATACCCGATTATTATCCTCGGGGGGAGATACTGAACATTTGAACGTCGAAATTATCGCTTGCGATCGTCGATCGTCCTGCAGGGAGGGGAATAAACGACACGGGCAGGCTGTATCGTCAGGTTGTGGCCCCTACGAGATGAATGAGCTCTAGTTACACCGTATGTAGCTAGTCCCCTCCCCCCAACATGCAAATGCCGTGTTGGTAGCACGGTACGTATTACTGGCTGCGATAGTTGATTAGAAATGCGTTGCTTGAGCGAGGGGACAGCCCCAAAACGCAAACACTACAGAGTAGTCATCAAGTCATGTCCCTGACTATCCAAGGCGTGTCGAGATTTGCACGACCCCGTCCCCGTCCCCGCCCCCGAAGAAGTCGATATAAGAAATGATATCGACGGCTATACAAGATCCACCGACAGGATGAACGGCAAGGAAGCACGGCCTTATCCACCCAGGACGATTGGAAATCCCGTCTCCGTTCATCATGTCATCTCAGATAGACTTATGGGTCGTCGCAGCTTGGTGTACGGCATGATTCGCTCGCATCCAACGCAAGGGGACGAGGAATCCACGATCAGGATCGTACGGGGCCCTACACATCTCCGCGTCCGGGCCGTTCCGTTGGCCAACGCTGGGTCTATTCTTGTATCCTTTCAGGGACTGGGTTCGTGATGATTTCAGCTTAGGGGCTGTTGAGATGTCGGTTGTTTGTTGAGATGGGGGAAGGAACCGAGGCCGCTCACAGCCCAATAATGGACACATACGGTGGCGGCAACGAAGAGCCGTTGAATGGGTTGGTTCCTCAAGAATGATAACTAGCGCTGGTTAAGACATAAAACAAGAGATATATAAAAAAGTTTGGATGAAGAGTTAGCCTCCGTCAAGCATTTGACGCAGTGAGATCGTATTCCCCGGAAGACCGACCTGGACCGATCGCCGAGTTCATCTGACCATCCCTGTCTCCTTGTCGCCTTGTCATCCCTACACAGTAAGGTTCAATAAAAGCTGGCCATGACGACGCCTTGAAGGTGGTCAAGCGCCGGCCGGATCAGCTGAGTCGGTCGGCGGATAGTTTCCGTGGAACCGATGCGGAGATGTTCGATCAGTGAGAACTGAGAACTGGGAAGAGAGCGACCATGAATATGGTCATCGTCATGATCATTCAGAAGCCCCAAGGGAGCACGTGGGAGACGGGCTGCAGGATGGCAAGAAGCCGTTGAACCCAGGCCGGGGGATTCCCTGCAGCTGAAGAATCGAAAATCCAAAAAAAAAGCCGTGCCAAGACCGGCGTATCCGTGGCGCCCGTATTGCGCCAGCAGAAAATAGGGAAACATTGACGAGAAAAACTGACTTTTTTCATTTTCACTTTTTCAGTCATTCGGCAGTCCGTGGCAGGATCAGTAGCCGTGTCGCCCCCATTTCCCTCCCTTTTTCTCAGGCGGTTTCGCAACTCAAAATAACTAATCCTAACGAAAAGTGATCGGACCACCGTGGAGATGCGACCAAAAGGGTGGGGACCGAATTAACACACCCTTGTGTCTTTAGAGCGCCTGAATGACCGGGATTATCATCCTCTGGATTTTCTGCTCAAGTCTACAGGCCCTCAAGAGGGAAATCAGAGGAAAATAACTCCAAGCCTCCTATTTCTAGTGTCCTCCTCCACCCACCCCACCCAACTCGCCCTCACACGGACTCGGCTGTCCGCTTGTCCGCCGCTCCAAATAAACTTCTTGCCTACCTGCATCGCGGCCTCTCCTGTCCGCGTCCTTGTCCGGGCTCTAGCCACGTGGAATGGACTTCCTTTGATGATGGTGATATCGGCCTCAAGTTCACCGGCCTCATCGCAGGCTCTGGTGAAGACCTGCGAAACTTGTGTTCGTGCGAAGATTCGCTGCCTGCGCACTCCCGGTTCTCCGGTTTGCGACCGGTCGGTGATCCTCTTCCCGTCGCAGCTGTACGCTGCCTCCTCAAAGGCGTCGTGATTACTGACCTCGAGATTCCTGCCTTAGTTGTCGACGATTGAATAAAGACTGTTACTTCCGTCCTGCCCGCTCCCGCTACAATCCCGCGAAAAGAGAAACGTAAGGCGACTTCCTTTCCCCCCACTCCCACGCCTTCGCAACTCCGCCAGAAGATCACACGGGCTTACACGATCCATCTTCTCCTGGTTATAGGCGCATCGAAGCCCTCGAAGGGAAAGTAAATCAACTTCTTGGTCAAATACACAATGAATCCCAAGCCGGATCCAGTCCCAGCGTGGACGGTGACACCATGCCACTGGGGGAATCCGGACAGCCGGCACGAGTGTCGCAGGATGTGATCTCCAGAGAGATCATCACCTTCGACCATGCCGCTTCCCTCTTGGACGGCTTTCGTCGAACCATGATGCCGCACTTCCCATTCGTTATCATCCCCGAGAAAACGACACTGCAAGAGTTGCGCGAACAGAAACCTTTCTTACTGCTGGCGGTTCTTACGGTTTCCCTGTACCAGAACCTCTCGCTGCGACGCATTTTCATGGATGAGTTCCGGACCGCGGTAAGGGAACGGATGCTGTTCGGATTGGTAGATTCTCCTTTCGAACTTCTGCAGGGGTTGCTTGTTAGTCTCGGATGGTAGGCTTTCTCCCACTTTGAATCCTGGGAAACTTTTCTCAAGCCAGATCGGCTAATGAATCTCAATAGGTCACAATATCTATACCAGCCACGCCAGTTCACGACCTACTTCCATCTGTCATTGAGTATCGTTGTTGATATGTGGCTCGATCGACCCCCTGAACTACGAAGCTGCTCTCGATCAGAGTTCGGGCCCAACCAAATGTCCCCGTCTCATATGGCGGCGGTTGCGCGGGATGAAAAGAGAGCAGTCATCGGATGCTTCGTGATTTCGTCATGGTACGTTATAGGCGCTGCTAATGGCATCTACCGTCTGCTAACGGGCCCCCCACAGTGTGTCGATAATAATGCAGAAGCGGTGCACCTTCCCCTGGACTCCCCACATTGAGCGATTCGCCATGGAATTGGCACAAGATCCCGAATATCCAAGCGACCAATTTACGATCCATCTCGTACGGCTCCAGCATGTTCTCGAGAGAATTGACGAGATGTCGGTTGGCCATCCACCAGGCATGCAAGGCCGGATTGCAGAAATAGAACGTCACATCTATAACTTTCGACAAGAGATGGAGGACTTCAAGGCCCAGCTATCGTTTACAAAAACGAATTGCCGTAAGTAGACTTTCATCACCCCACACTCCTGTATCTTTCCCTCTGAGGAGATGTGCCCAATTCGGGCCACAAACGGTGGTGACGTATCTAACGCCCGTATAGTCATAATCAGCATGCAACTCCACACCTTAGAGTTGTACCTGACCCAAGTCAGTTTGTTCGATAAATTTCATCCCATATCATCCTACAACTACCCTTCTCCGACAACCTCCAATCCGGATGCACCGCCATCTTTTCATCCTCGACGACAAAGAGAGCCTTCAATGCTCCCTACTTCCATGCCGTTCCGAGTCGACTCGCTCTGCCGCGGGCTTATTGCCGCAGAACGTTACTTTGATTCCGTCTTGACTTGGCCGGTCGGCGTGGAACATAACACCAGCTACATGCAGTGGGTCCAGATCGGGTTCATTCTCGCTATCTCCGCAAAACTAGCGGTAGCGGCGTCCGACCCGTGTTTCTATCGAAACGAACGGGTTGGACCGCTGTGCGATGCGCTCAACATGCCCGTGGTTCTTCACAACTGCAGGAGGCGTATGCAGGCGCTTTCCAGTTACGGCATGGACGAGGCGGGTGAGCCAGATGTATACTACCATTATGATCAATGGCTGCGGCACATTCATGAATGGTTCGATCGGAATTATTGTCTGGCACAGCCGGATGGCCTTCCGGCCCAGGCCCGAGTCCCATCGTCTGTCTCGTCATCTGTGCCCCCGTCTGTGCCTCCGTCTGTGCCTTCATCTGTGCCGTCATCTGTACCGTCATCTGTACCGTCATCTATGCCTGCTTCTGGCCCTGTCCAGATGCCTCCGGGAAACCCGCAGGCCACGATGCACGTGGCGGCACCGTACTTCTCTCCGCAATCGCGCGATGGGAGTCAACCCGCACAGCTCTGTCCACCGGACAACACAGGGCTCTCATGGCTGGATACCTATCAAGATGCAACTACGGAAGAAATCATGAACGGATGGATGGCGTTATCGGCAGTACCACTATAAACGGGTTGATTTGGGGTTTGTTTTTTGGTTTCGTTTTGGAGCTCGGAGGTTCCTTTTTTTGGTTCAAAATGTGGTATATCCATGATGTATTGATTTGGGCTCAGGTTACACTTTTTATACATATTCAATTTCTTGTGCATATTAATACAAGTCTTTTTGAACACGCTAGTCCTTTCCCTTGCCATACCATCTAGGCTACTATAATTGAAACCTTGAATCAGTGTAACGCGGCCCTGCATGTCGTTCATTTAACCTGAAACTTGTCGGCGGAGCTTTGCATTAGGTGGATTATATGCCTATTTCAAGTAGAACATGGCCACTGAAATGCGTGTATGATCCTTGTCCCGACGGCCAGCTTTCAAAGCCAACCGTAGTAAGCGGGTTCAGTTTCTCTACTACACTTCCATTTCCCATGCTCAACGAGACGTTCCGTTCATCATTCCTTTATGTAATCCATTTAACATTATAGTTGGAAATATGTCGCTGAGTGAGATTTAGGTTTCTTTATACTCGAGTCGATTCTCGCTCTTCGTTACCTCGTTTCTCTTTTCTCAGACATTTTTATACCCATTGACTCATTTTGCTTATATATCTATCGTTTGGTTGATTTCGTATACGTTCAAAGATTGTAATGGCAACATGCAGTCTACCCATCTACCCTGGGAGTAACACCATAGAACCATACCGAGACCATAATGTATGAGGTTCTAGATATTCAAACTAAAAGAGCCACAGGTGAATAGTCTGAACTTCCAGCATAGCCTCACCTTCAGTGTGAAATGGAACAAAGTGGCGCTTTTCATATTCCTGTCTACGTGTGGAATGACATCGCTTCCAGTCATCCGGCTATCATAGGGGAATAACCGGGAATGCTCTACACTTGCAAGGGCACTATCCGCTCTATTCACTAATTCTCAGCCACCTCGGTACCATCATAGTATATACCATGTCGTACAATCGGTCTATTATTTCTCTATCTCTCCCATTGAATATCCCAGTCTATATTCATTCGACTTCATACCCCCATCTTCTCTCTTACGCAGTTTGACCGGACGTTCGATAGTATTCCGCACAAGAACACCAGATCCTTTTCAAAATGAAGTTCTTTCTCTACTTCCTTCTTCTCGTTTCTTTCCTGTCTCTTGCAGCCAGTTTCGCGACTGCCGCCAAAACTGAAGACAATCTCGAGAACATCGAAAGACTGACCATCGACGACGACGAGCCAGGCCTCCCGGGCACCATGACCGATCCCGACTTTGATGACGATTATGATCTGGACAACCAGAAGGATTCGAACTTGAACGCCCCGTCTAACAGTCTCGAACCACGCAAATGTATTGGAGTAAGTCAATCAATTCCAAACCAAGTCCAGCCCACACCTCCCTCCTTCGCAACGCAAACAAACCCACCGAACAAAGAATCAGTTTACTAATAGTGAAACCAGCGCTGCCGCAGCAGAACCAATGACTGTGTCTGGAAATGCTCGGACGATTGGAGCAGGGTTGTCAAGCCTTGTCATGAGTATCGATCTGTATGTATACCACCTTCCTCCCAATTCTCTTTCAAGTCTGAAGAACTACTTGTTATGCATGGGTTATATGTGAACAGCGCTGATACATGTGCTTCGATGATAGTGCACCCGCGATCGTCGTCACTGTCAGGTATTGGCAAATGCTCAGGAGTGGGCGACTTGCAGATAGATACTGGGCAGAGCCTTTTTACCTACCTATTTACCTACCTACCTGCTGGCTCGGCTAGGGTCTGGGCTTTTATCTTTCTATATCTTTCGCGAGTGGTGGAATAGACGGCGTGACAAATCCAGTATCCATGTTAAGAAGAAGAGACAGACCGGTCCATCTGAGTTTCAGCATGAGAGAGGGAGAGAGAGGGAGAGAGAGGAATATCTCAAAAGCGTATGACATATTACTAGATAGACATATCTTCACAATGCATTAATATCAGGGATTCCCACCCAACATATGAAAATTATTTCAAGCAGACTATGCGTAGGTGTATATGCTACGTATCGTAAGCTTCTACTTTTTTTTTTTCTTTCAGGCATGCTTGAAGTCGGAAGACGTGACTATAATATCTCGCAAGAGCCCACCATTTCCCTGTATCGGTGGTCAGAGTAACTTGATTCTAGACATTTTATGGATGCATTTAGGAACACATAAATTTTTTAAAAGTCAATCATATCAAGAGTTATTCGACCACGGTTGATCATCCGTGTCCATTGTTTGATCTTGTCTTACCCTTGAGGGATAACTATCCCGTCTCCGTGCGACTTAATAATAGCAACAGTAGTTTGATCAACAGGGGATGCACAGAAGAATCGGCTTACCAAACAAAGGACCCCGAATCCGACAAGCATTTTTATGTAAGTCTGCCGTTGAGATCTGATCTAGACCTTTACCGAAACAAGCTGCACTTATCCGAACCTCGGGAGAACGGTGGGTCGATGCAGTAGATGCGACTAATCCATTTCCAGCACCTCAGAACCGGCGTCGGTTCACATGCCGTGAGACTTTCTCCGACTCAGGGTGCCGTTCTGTGGTGAGTTCTGGTTTGCGATGTGACAGATTATTGATTGACAAGTTTCTTTGGTACGGATGTGTTCGGGAGTTGGAAGTTTGGGAGAGGTTAGTCTGAAGGCGGATGTTTCTGCTGACTTTTAATGAGTGCGGTATATTCCTGCACCTGTGCCCCATGATATTACTCTTGCTCATAATTTGCATATCGCATTATTGGTAAGGTAGTGGAGTTGGGGTGTCCGTTGCTCTGGTAAATCCTCGGGCCGGTCTATCCCTATCCCTAAAGACGGTTCAATGTTCCGATAACAATGATATTGCTAGCTATCAAAACAAAAAATTTATCTAAAGGAAGAAAAATAGCTTGCCTGGTAGTGAGACAGAGCAGGCCCCAAGATCGGCAAAGCTCCGACCAGGCCCTGCCCCAGAAGTTGGATCAACATGTGAATAGCGCCCTATCGGGCACCTCTAACTTGAGTCTTGACTCAGTGAAACGGACCCCGGAGTCCCCCCATCCAACTGACCAATTCAAACCGAAATATTATCTAGAAACAGTCCCCCTATTGGGAGGTAAGGCCAATGCCCAAACAATCGCCTACCACTCCGTGTTTCACTACCCTCGATTAAGCTCCCGCCCTACCGGCCCAAGTTTGGGACGCCTCAAAATTCAACCTCTTTCCACGGATTTTGGTCTGTCAATCCCTTCCTGTTCCTTTCTACATCCCGAAAAGGTGCGAACAGGTGGTAGGATCGCGTAGATCAGGTTTAGGGAATCGTGCTCCGGAGTTTCATCCCGCGATGGGGGATGTGCATGTGTTTTTCGGAGAGCGTGGGAAAGGGAAAACAGAAAAGGTATATAAAGGTCGTTGATATCCGGCAAGAACTGTCTTTTTTTTCTTCATCCCATCGCAATTCCAGTTCTCTTATCTTCAGTCCAAGTCCAAGTCTTTCGTTGACGCCTCCCCTTCGTTTCTCTTTCTTCCCAAGTACGTACCCATCTCCTTCCTTCCTCTCAACTTTCAAGTCAACCAACCCAAGCTAACCAACGCAAAGCCACCACCAAGATGCAGCTCATCACCTTCTCCGCCCTCGCAACCGCCTTCCTGGCCGTCTTCGCGGCCGCGAACCCCGTCGAGCTCGAGAAGAAGGAAGCCGACCCTGCCTACTACCGCGAGGCCGAGGAGTCCTGGCGCCGTCCCGAGTACTACCGTCCCGAGTACTACGGCCCTGCTCCCGGCGCTGGCATCGGAATCGGTGCTAACGCCGACGCTGCTGCCGATGCTCACCTCGGTGTCGGTGTTGGCGCTGGTCGTTAAATTCCCCTCTTTTTATTCTCTCTAGGGGACTGTGACTTCTGAGTCTGTCTCGGAGATGTTGAGGTATGCGATATTCTACTCGTATTTGCTGGATTATTGCTTGGCTTATGACTGATGGCTAACTGCTGTTGATGCGAACAGGGCTAGAAGGGATCGATTTGGATGTGTAAATGCCCCGGGGGGCGCTTTTGCTGTTTTTGGTCGCTTGGTTTGGTTCGTGGGCTTGAGGTCTACTTTCCTCCGAATGGACCTGCAGCCTGGTCATTCCTTATAATGTATTTGACATTTATGATTCTATTTGATTAGGTTGGTTTGGGCCAATTACTGGGGAAGACTGATGGAGGAGGAGGTCTAATGTTTGCTTGAATATGCCCCAGAAAGGACTGGACTCCTTAGACTATAATATTTTGACAATATATAATCTATTTGGGTCGAAGATATACTTGTTTTTCTTACCAGGAAGTAAAAGTTCCATTATAATCTTCTAGAATCATCCCATCGACATTCAACGAAGACAGGCCTAAATGTGTAGCCTGGGATTTGATAGACCATGCACAGTATTTGATTACCCCCTGGCGCTTACTTGTCACCTACGAGTAATAAAATCCGGCAATGGCTTGACTGCAGATAGCCGTCAACTTTCCGTGTTCAGTCAGATAATTCAAGTCGTTAACGGCGGACGCAATGCCACGCACAAGCAACCAAACGCCGATTTGGTGCCTTGAAATCCTGTAATTCGGTAAACCCTCCGTACGTCAAGTCGAAAAAAATGCACAATCGCACCCAGTCGCAATGGCCACATCGGAAATCAAATTGCGACACATTCCTCGCATCCAGAGTATAACCGTAGCCAAGGCGCCCGTTCGATCTCACCAGCCGTGTCCATAACCCTCAACCCTCGGCCAAACCGACTTTGACATGTAAGACGGCGAGAGTCCGGCAATACACCCCTTCAAACACCGGACTAAACCGAGACAAGACCCCCAAGCCCTTGCCAAGGGTAGGTGAATTCCGAACATCCCCAGAGCAACCCTTGCATGTCATCGACCCGTCCAGCCAGCCATTCTCCTTTTCATAACTCATCGGCTAATGAAGACACCCTGGAGCAGGTGGCACCATAGTTTGACCGGATCCCTCGGTGAACAGAATCCGGCAGAGAGAGGAATACTCTGGCCAGACGCGCAGACAAGCGGCATTCCCTCCCTCTTGGCATCACAGAAGATCCAATGGGAATCGAGGAAGGGTTGGACAAGGTTGACACCCCATGGGGATTCCCCGCATTGATCGACAATCTGGATCCGGGGAGATTTACTGGATCTGATGTGTTGGGTAAAAGACGGCGCGATGGCTGTTTGCTCGATTGTATTGGACTGTCCCGGGTCATGGTGAGGATTGGGTATGTTAGAGTGTTTGGAAAAGAGTATATATATGTACGTGGGTTATGGGCCTAGTGGAAGTTAGATTGAGGATTTCTTATTCATATCCCTTTTGTTATTGTTTTTTTTTTTTGAAGACATTGTTCTTGATACTGGTGAGAGATTGACCACACAATGGACCAACAAACTACTGAGTCCCTGCCCAAAGACGACCGCGACAGCGACGACAAACCACGATCAGAATGTCACATCGAAGTCCTCAAGCCCGATCTGTCCAATGCGACAGACGAAACCGAGGACATGGGCACCGGCCGATTCATCTGGCTCGTTGCCTCGACAGCCTCGATCGGCGGCATGTTGTTCGGGTACGACACGGGCATCATATCCGCCGTTTTGGTCTACCTGCACGACGACCTGGGCCATGACCTGTCCGCCAGCGAGAAGGAGATGATCACGGCACTGTGCTCAGCCGGGGCATTTATTGGTGCCATCATCGCCGGACTGATCGCCGATCGATTCGGTCGCAAGGATACCATCTACGTCGGGTGTTTTCTGTTCACCGTGGGCGCGATCCTCCAGGCGGCGGCATACTCGTTGGCGCAGATGGCTGTGGGCAGATTGATCGTCGGGTTTGGAGTCGGTTCGGCGGCGATGATTGTGCCGATGTACATTGCGGAACTGGCACCGACGAAGCATCGTGGTCGCATGATCGGGTTGAACAATGTGAGTATCACGGGCGGACAGGTGATCAGCTATGCGATCGGCGCTGCATTTGCCAACGTGGACAACGGATGGCGATACATGGTTGGACTGGGAGGTGTTCCGAGTCTGGTATTGGCAGCTTGTCTTCCGTTCTGTCCGGAGTCACCCCGTCAATTGATATACCATGACCGACTCGAGGAAGCGAGACAGGTTCTGCAGCGCATCTTCAAACATGCTACGCCGGAGCAAGTGGCCGTGAAAGTGCGGCTGATCGAAGATGCCGTCCGGGAGGCTCGATCGTACAACGAGGGACGCAGTCGCCTGCAAATGATCAAGCAGCTGCATACCAACCCGGCGTATTTCCGAGCGTTGGTATGCGCCTGTGGACTAAGTACGTTGCCTATCCGCATCTGGGTATAGTATCATTGCTGACTATCCTACTAGTGGTAATCTCGCAAATGTCCGGGTTCAACACACTCATGTACTACTCCTCGACGCTGTTCGCACTGGTCGGGTTCGCCAACCCCGTAGCCGTCGGGATCGTCGTCTCCGGCACGAACCTCATCATGACCTTCGTGAACATGATGGTCGTTGACCCGTGGGGACGACGACGTGTCCTCGTCTCCACAGCCTGGGGCATGTCCGCCTCCCTCGTCGCGACGGCAGTAGCCTTTAAATTCATCCCTGTGGACACCGAGACGCTAGAGCTAAAGGAAACACAAATACAGGCGCCCGCGATCGTGGTCCTTGTCTTTATTATCCTATTCGTGATCTTCTACGGCGTCTCAGTCGGGAACACGGCGTGGATGAGCGCCGATTTCTTCGCCATGGAGGTCCGCGCCATGGGAACTATGTATATGTCGTGTTGCTGCTGGGGCGCGAACCTGATCGTCTCGTCCACCTTTCTGACCATGATGAAATCGATTACTCCGTCTGGGGCGTTTGGGTTCTACGCGGCGCTGTGTGGCGTAGGATGGGTGGCCATCGTATTGTTTTATCCCGAGGTGTCGGGGCTGAATTTGGAGGAGATTGGGGAGGTCTTTGGACATGGGTTTGGGGTGAAATATGCGAGGGATTTGAGGAAGAGTCGGAAGATGGCTGTGCAGGAGGGTTTATAAATATCATGGTTACGATTAGGGCTTACTTGTATGGCACCCCTAGAGTGGAGGGCTTGGCAGATTTGAGATCTTTCCTTGCGGTGATTTTGATAGAACCTTCTACAGATAGATCGTCTGTGAATATGTATGAGCTTATCTTTTTAAAAACGAGCTGCTCGAAATTGGTGAATTTAACTTTCGTAGCAGTGAAAGACATTCTTCAAACTATCACTGCAATGCATATTACCCAGACATTCCCTTGAATCGTCTATCCCCCCACGTAGTTTTTCTTCTTTCTTCTCCATATCTTCTCCATATGACGAAAGCTTCTAATTTGATCCCTCATCAGAATCCTCACGATCAGTTGTTCACAGCGGACAGGCCACTGATTGACACTGACCAGACCCGATACTCTTCGATTCAGTTATGAAGCATAGATACGAACTTATCTGTAAAGTGAGGTTTTCTTACTACTCCGATATCAAGACACTCATTGTTAAGGTGCCTACCGAGGCACATGAAATGATAAGTGGGAATTAATTCGTTGACATCGGCGGGATGTTCCGTTAAACACATAGAAAAGATTTTTATCCAAATTTCCGTGGGAAATGATATTTCGTTTTCCCCTTTCCAACACTTCCATCCTCGAATGGGCATACCTGCCCCAGCTACGGGAAGTTGAGCAAAACAACCTACTTTTATAATCATTCATCATGACAATCGACCATGCTGTTATCGGTGCCTTCATTTCTTGGAAGTTGGGCACCGAAAAGACATGAACGCACCTGCCACGGCCCCTGTGGCTGCCCCCGATGGTGGCAATTATGTTCTATGCGGCCGAATCGGTGATAACAATACAATGAGGGTGAATAGGAGAAGAAACTTGGTAATTCCATTCCACGCATGTTTTTCGCTACGCCAACCATAAGTCATGTCCATCGCCTAGAAAGCACCAACGACAAGAGTCGGAACAGCCAGACATGGAGACGCCCTTCATGGGAATACCGAGCCATTTTTACGCATGGTACGATACGGGCCTTGCTGCACAAACAAAGCAGAATTATCGTGGCCCTTATGCTTATAACGCATCTGTTGATTCGCGCGGTAGTTCCGTGGCCCCTTCGGTCGACGATGTCTTCCACCCAGCAGGAACTTGAAAACCTGCGCCAGCTACACGTGGAAAAGTGGTATCACTATGGCACCCGAAAAACCAGGCAAAATCAATTCACGCGCCAAGATGGTTTATCAGAGGACAGTCACGCATCTTATAGCCGTTGAAGCCAAACAGCGAAAGAGGCTGTCACATGGAATAACACAACTTCTGGGATATATGTGGAAGTTGCATTCCGTGTTTGATTTTGATAGGTCTATGATTCCAAACATCGACAGCACCTGTGTCTGAGACCTAACCAACAGGATTGACGGGATAAGCGCCTACAACAGCCTATTGACATTCCTCAAAAAGCCAGCCACGCCGCCTTGGCTTTCCTTCTAGGAAAAAGAGACCACTACAAATCCTGCGACAAAGACTGGGAAAATTAATTCTGTTACAGTAACTCGGAGTATGTTACGATCTTTAATTCTCTTCGTCGAGAATCTGCGCTTTCCTTTCCTACCTGGTAGAGACCACGAAGGTCAATATCTGTCATATAAGCATCCGGGCTTCCCAGTTGTACGCAAGGGACAAAAGGAAGGTCTCTCAAAAGGCCCGAAACGAGAATTGGCCGTGCGACCTCGATTTCAACGGCACACCAAAGAAAGGCAGAAAGCTATGTGGATACCCTATCCTCATGAAGGGGGATTATGGTGGTCTGACTATCGCAGCCACCAGAGGTTCGTACATTCTGTGCGGCAAAGAAGAAATCGGAAGAAGAACAATCGATTTCTCGGACCTGATCGTCAACAAAACGGGACTTTTAAAGAAGTCCCCACAGAGCTAAAGAACTTCCCTCCCCGAACCATTCTCCATCATCTTCAAACAAGGCAATCGATCGAAAGACAATCAAAGATCCATCGGAGCTTGTTCTGACAGAACTGTACCCCGCGTAGTCATACCAAAGCTTCTCCAAGCTCAGAAATACTGTCCTCATAGCGCATAAAAAGCTAATGACTCAGGGTATCAGCCGACACTTTGCTTACACACATGTCTCATCAAGAGTGTTTGACATTGAGAATCGCTCTGAATCATTGTGTCAAGTGAGATTCACATTTTCCCGACATCAGGATGCTTATAATAAAGGCCCCTACTGAGGCACATGAGATCGGGCATGCAAATATGGGAAGTAAAATAATTATACAATGTCGAGCACTAATAGGAGTCTCTCAAAGAATCTGCAGCCCACGAAGAACCACCTTAGTTTCTCAGCCATTAGCTCGGAGCACAGACAGAAAATCCAAGATTTCCGAATAACAAGGGATGGATTACTTCGTTGCATTCAATTCTACGGATTGATATGCTCTGAATTGTGGATATCCCTCAGAACCGATAGGCCTTTGTGATATACAAAGGCTTCGAAAGGGGTGATCCATAGTTGCCCGCTGCATCTTATTGATCGACATGAAAAGAGGGACCTTTCGGACTTCACACACAACACCTTCCCCCTACATCCTGTGTTTCCTAACACTCGTCCATGAACGTAAGTCGCCTACCCGTTCGCCTGTTATATCATCCTGTACTGAGAGTGTAGCGGCAAGATATCCGATTGTGTTATTGTCCCTGATAGGACATGGCCGAGCATTGCGCTCGAAGTCGGGTACAATGAACCGTATGAGAAGTTATTTAGTGACGCCGATCTCCTCCTAGAAGCATCCGAGGGAAATATCCAGGTCGATTATTGCGAAACTTGAAAGAGTTATCAAGGGTGATGTTGACCTGGAGTCTGGTTTCGTTGAGGTCCACGAGTACGACCCTATCTCCAGAAAAAGGAAGAGAATAGCAGAAAGGTAATCCTAATGCATAAAATTCGCTCTATTTAGTGCTAATATGGATTAGAGGATGTATCCAGTTCCGAAGAATTACGCGAAACAATTGATTACCCTCAACTGGGAGGACGTCCTCCGAAATAATATGGACCTAATCCCCATGAACCCTGCTCCAGAGTTGCCAGAGCCTCTCATGCTTGACAAACTCCGATCCAGTACAGAGAATTAGATGGTATTGTTATTGGAGAGCTTGCTCATTGCAATGCTTAATATTAGTTAATATAATGGAAGCGCCATTCAATGGGACAACGCACAATCCCATGGCATGTATACCAAAATGTGCAAGTATAGCTGTCAACAGGAAACAGCAGTCATTGTACTGAACAGAGCATTGTCTTTCAAACAGGGACTTAAGATATTTCATATCCAAGCAGCTTGCGCCAACTGTCGCAAAAAGAGAACGAGCCGAAAGAGCATGGAAAACTGGAAAAGAGTGAGAAAGAAGGCTGATCAACCGAATCACAGAACTTGAACGTACCAAGACCAGCCTACGAGCGCTATTTTTGAACGAATAACGACACTGAGGATGACGAGTGGAGCAGAGGAGGAGTTGAATTAATTATGCTGAACTGATCGAAGAGTTCAACTTGTCGACCCAGCACTAACCTAGAGGTTTCTCATAACCTTAGGAAAGCTTGCAACCGTCGATGCCTGACCTATGGGGTTTGAAGAAAACTTTCTGCAGCACAGTTGCGTTGCCAAATATCTTCAATCACTCATAACAAACGGATTGCTTCTTTTTTGTACCTGGTGCGAATTTTGGGTTCTACCAGAAATTCGCCATCGAGGTCAGATGGCGTGTTATCTACTTCCCGGCCTTCCGCGCGACAGATGCGGACTATTCAAGAGTCCCGGACGTGGCAGTATTATGGATGCGACTGGAAAGCTCAAGTTCGTGGGGGAACTAAAAACCCCCTGGGTCTCGGCCCATTCTTTGGTGACGGACTGTTTAACTTTTAGAAAGAACCTAGGTACCATAAATTTGTGAGATTATTGTCAGGCCCCTGCTAATCAAAGTCCCCAGGCCAGCTAGCAATGTACCGGCAGCGATCAACCCTCTTTGCGACCCCGTTCAGGCACCCAAAGGCGATTTATGCATTGGTGTGTGGTTTTGGATTGTGGATTTTTTGGAGCTTAAGACTAGATACAGTCGAATCTATGCCTGATCCTTTCCAGCTGCCGCTCACGGGTAGCGATTATAGTTGCGAAAATACTCTGTTGGACTAGACCTAGAGAGTGATAGGACTTATCGTTCCTGTGTAAAACTGGTCTCTTAAGCAACTATGAATATAGTAGTTGATTAACTGAGCTTGATATAGAGAATCTACCAACTTTTATTTACAGCCTATACTTCGCAGGATAGATGACGCCATTGTCTATTTGGCGCTGATAGATGCATTTAGGCAGTAGGCGCTGCCATTCTCTACCTTCTCTCTCACTTATATTATACAGTAATACATCTACCTTTCTTTCAAATAATTCTTTACTGTCCATTTTCTTAGCCATTTAATTCCTTAGTCAACCCTCCAATGTCCGACAAATCCCAGAACCAACAAGCCGAAGACCAGCAGCATGAAGCCTCACAGCCCAAGGAGGAATTAACACCCTACGAAGTGATGCTCGCGTCCGCACCACCCGACTACCTAACCAACATTCCACAAGAGGACACCCGCGCCCTTCCCCTCGGAATACCCAATCTCCTACTTTTTCTACGGCCCGCTGACCACGCCATCAACGCTCCAAAGAATCCTCGACCTGGCCGACGAGCCGGAGCTCCGAAAAGCCTAGCTCGTAGGCTACGCGCTGGCCAGATGGGGCGACTATCCAGCGTTGATCGACGGCGAGCAAGAACAGATCGTCTCCGGATCGGCGTATCTGGTCAATAGCCAGGACGAGGCGAAGAAGTTGGCGTATTATGAGACGAAAGCGTATAGAGTCGCGAGCTGTTTTATTGATTTCATGGATGGGTGAGAACCAGAAGGGTTGATGGGGAGGGTGTTCATGTATGCGGGGAACGCGAGGACTTTGTTGGAACAGAGGTTTGATCGGAAGTTATGGGAGTTGCAGATGGGGATGAAGCTCCGATGATTGACAGACAGGCAGGAGTACGAATATTGAAGAAATGGGTTTGTTCTTATTTGCATCATATAGTAGAAATATTCTCATGTCCGTCCGATATCCCAGTGTACATTTATCCACCCAACAAGTTTATGCGGCGATCGCCTTCATGAACGCCGGATTTTCACGCCCCTGTGTGACCTTCGCGATCGGCGTGAAATGAGCCTCGGAACCTTCCTGGCTCTCCTGGAGCCAGCGAACATATGACTGAGCGACCTTGAGCCACAAGGCCTTTTCATTGGCACTGGCCCCCAAACCCTGCCAGACCCAGATTCTATTCCCGGCGTCATACAGAAAGACGTCGTTTTCATCCAAATCCGAGGGCTTGATCTGACTTCCTTCCTTGACCAGATCGAAAGATAGCTTGCCCGAAGCGTCGCTGAGACGGAAGAGCTTCTGGGGACTAGCGTCGTTGTCGGCCGGTGCTCGCTTGGTAGAGGACGAGAAAGGTCGCGGGGACTGGAATGATAATTGGGTGATCTCCTTTCCACCCAGTAGGTCGACGATGACCTTTGAGCGGGCTTCGAGCTGAGATAGAACCTCGACGTCGACGTGCTTGGCGAGAGTGAGATCGTGTACCACTTGCGCCGCCTTGCCCTTTTCCATGGGACTGCAGCTTTTGCCCTGCCAGACCCAGATCTTGTCGCCCTTGTCTAGGACGAAGACGTCGCTGTCGTCCAGGCTCTCCCAAGTGGGCTCGACCTCGTAGACAATCAGAGAATCGATACGGCCCACACCGGGGTGCTTGAAGATGCGCAGCAGCGTGGTAACCTCCTCCTTGGGTGCCTCCTCGATGTGAGTGAAGCCCGAGCGCACGCCGCCGGATCGGATGGAGATGCGGCGGAACAGCGATGTAAATTCCTCTGAGGGATGTTGCTGCACCTCGCGGTGTTGGGTCGCCTCGCCGTGCAGAAACTCATCGAGCTCGACGGTCTTGTAAGCGGCGGTGCCGGCCTCGTCCTGAGTGGTTTTGCTGCCGAGCCAGAAGAAAATGTCGTGGCCCAGCTTGTCATCGCCGAGCTTATATGAGTGCAGGACGATATAGCTGTCGCCGTCGTAGAACTCGCCCGCCCGCTCCTTGGGCCACGGTACGACTTCGAAATTCTCGATGCGCCAGATCAGCAGCCCCGGCTCCTGCCCCACCTTGCCATTGTTCCAGGCGGGCTCTGAGGCGGCCGAGTTGTATTTGACCTGGTGGTCGAGATCGGATCCAATCAGTTCGACATTGCTGTCTTTGATGTCGTATTCCTTGGGGTGAATTAGTCCTTCGTGGGGAGGCATGTTGGGTTGAATGTTGTATGTTTGTATGTTCGGACTTCGGAGATGTTTTTGGGGCTGAGGATGTTTCTATTAAAAGCGGCCGATGACGCAGGGCCAGTCACGTGATCTCAAATCGATCGGGCAAACCATCATCCGCCACAGTGGAGATGGTGAGTTGCTCCAATTCCTAAAAATACTCCCTAATCTCAGGGGTAGCCACCCACTCGTCCGGCCTTAGAGCCCACTCCTCGGGGGCACAATGATTACAGACGCCAGAATCATGCGCGTCACAGGCAGCAACGACGACATGTCGACTTGACGTCTCTTTACAGCCTGCCTCAGCTGCTGCAGAGTCCTCGGTCGAGTAGTCGGATCGTCCTCCGAGCCCAGTGTTTCGGCGCGAGCCATGAACCACTCCTCGGAGCTGCACGCTCGCCACATGCGCTCAGGGGCCGGTAAAGGAATCCCAAAGATCAAGTCGTCCCCGAGCGGTTCGAAATAGTTCTCGTTCAGCTGCCGCGCTTTAGACTCCAGGATGTTGATAATGTGAACAAAGAACATGTTCCGGCGTAGGGATTCCATGAACTTCCACTGATTCCAGTCATTCTCGTCCTCATGGTGGACGTATAGCGTTTTAGCATGCAGACTGGACAGGTGTCGGGTCATCTTAATTTTGTTAGTTCAGTCGAACAACTCCTATCCGTATGGGAATGAAAGATCAATAATACCTTCAAAAGGAACGAGCTATGCAATTCTGCCTCCTTCTCAAACTCTCCTCGTCGTCGATCCTCGTCTTCGACATCGGCCAGCGGCTTCTTTTGGGCTGCCGGCACAAATGTATCCCCGAACAAGCCCATGATCTGATAAATGCAGACAGCATGCAGGGCCGCCAGACACGGCTCAGGGGTGTCGGTGTAGCCGTGAAATTTGCGCACCAGCTTTTCCCGCTCCTCGTTAATCATGCGATTGACGAACCCGAAACTGGAACCCGCGCAGCTGGCATATGCGCCCACGCAGGCCAGCGCGTTGGCCATAGGTTCCGCCATTCCGCCTAGGGAACAGCGGTATAAGCGATGATGCACGAACGGGGACCAGAATTCCCGATCCAGCACGAGACCGGGATACTCTCGAAGATGGCCTAGCATATCTTGGCAGAGGCTGGTCGGGTCGGTGCAAATGTCCGGTCCCATTCCAATCGTGAATGAGTGCGCGAAAATAAGATGGGCCGGACTGTAGAGACGACTGGTCAGTTTCGCCGACATTGAAGATTCTCCGTCCGTGGAATTGTCGTGCCACGATATATTTGAAGGTGAGAACGTTTCCAATGGCCCTGTCAAGCCGGATGGGCTAGTCCCCTCTTCCTCTGAAATGAATTCATTTTGCTGGATAGCTGAAGCATATCCTGAATTAGAACGCCCATCAGACATTGGATGAGCGGACGACAATGGTCCACTGTGTAGAGAACCCACGTTGCTGAGAAAATTGCTCTCTGCTGACCGGAAATCCGAAAGAGCTGGAATGGCATCGTTGGATGGCAAGGAGGCAATACCCGTTGCATTGGTGGAAGACAAGAAGTCCTCGGTTAATGCAGGGTCTATGAATTGCATATCTGAGAAGTCGTAATCATTCCACATAGAGGCAGATAACGGATCACCAGAACCCAACATAGGTGCTGAGAAAACTTTAAGATGGCCGGCCTGCAGATCCTGGGACTGAGCATGAGCAGTGGTCGGCAAGACGTCCATCATGCCCACAGCACCAGATGGCTCGTTTGTCTCACCCAGTTCTGCCGGCTGTGGTTGACTCGTCGTCATCATTGACTCCCCCTGGCCAGCAATTCGCGCCGAAACGGGAGATTGGGGATACTGGCATAGAATTCCAAGTTGAGCGCATCGCAGGCAAGAAGGACGGGAGAGAGAGCAGCGAATCTTCTTCTTCGCACAGCTATCACAGGATTTCCGCTTGGACCTGCGTTCCTGGCCCACTTTGGCGATACATCGTCGTCGGTGACGATCTCGTAGGTCAGCTACAAAGTCAAATTCTTAGTCCTGATATCTCGAAACGTCAATGGACCTATAAAGGCCTATTGGGTTTTAAATCGAAGAGTGCATACGTCGGGTGTAGGACTTTTTGCAAATCTCACAACGGAAGTCCATATCTAAGGTTTGCTCGTCAGAAGGCGACTTTTTCATCTCGATCTCATCTTTGCCGCTCTGTAAGTCCGACCGAATTGATTCCGGTCCTTGAGCGACCGACATGACAGTATGAAGTAGGTGATAATTTTGAGGCAAATGCCATCCGTGCCGGTGGAGAGGTTCGGGGTCGTCAAATGGCCAGTGTGTCTGTAGCAACGCTTCCTTGGGTTCCAATGACAGACAACCGCACGTGAATTTGGGGCAGTGAGAAGGGCCCTAAAATGACAGGGATAGGGTGATTTCCGACCAATTGGCGAGATAGTTCTAGTTAGTCTTAGAACTCATTCCGAAAAGAGGACAGCGCGGTGGTATGTTGACGCGAGAAGTCTCCGTGCCGAGCGAAATAGAGTCGTATATTTCTGGCCCCCACCGTTACAAACCCAGGGGTGTACTCGTAGTTGCGACGATATTTTATTCCACCGAGAATTTTCCATCTCAAGAGCTCTGCTCAGTATGTAGTACGCTCTGCGATTCAGCCCCTATACCATACGAAGGAGAGACGTTTGGTACTTGCTTCGGTAGAAACTCATCCCTCGAACATTCGTTGGGATTAACGAACCGACTTTGGCCGGTGAGTCGGGGTAGCGCCCGTGTGCCAGTCGTGTGTTGGTCTAATTGTTTAGTTTCAATCTTCTAGCATTAGACCCGGACAAGGACTTCAGGGCCCGTCTGTTTCTCTTGCCTTGCAATTTTGAATCTGACGAGGAACGGGAAGATGCTTTCTTTCATGCATTCCGGAAATTGTAGGTAGCACGATGCAATAACAGCATGCACCGGCGCGCAGCAGTGGACATTAGACGTCGAGCGAGCGAGAGAAAATGGTCGGTGGTTGTTTTCTTCGCAGGTCTCACATATTGGACGCTGGGCAGTGGGCACATCGTGATCCCCACCAGGCCAACAATCTCCGAGGGCTGTCTAGTCTGGTCCAAAATTCGTAACAGAATAATCTGTATATGGTGTAGAATGTTCTAAGAACCCATTGTATCGTACTCCGTTTTGTCGTATGAAGGGTGAAGACAGCTTATATTCGGAGACGCGCATCCTTGGCGATCGACGCGTGAATGATCACAGGGCCCTATTATCATCACCAAGCTTGCAATTCATCTCGAAGATATGACTTGGCCCATACTTACCCTTCGACAGCGTGGAATTGACTCGGTTTCTTCAGTTCCAAGGGGGTCCTTTTAGAATGCTAAGACTTTCAGTCCTCCACGGTCGCCGATTCTAATCGCCCATCAGGGGATTGAGTAAAGATTTTCCAGGGTCGTTGAAAATTCGATGAGACTATCCAGAAACATAAAATATCGAGATGAACGGACTCAAGGGGTGAATGGATAATAGGATGAAAGGGTCCGGCAGGCGAAGGCACGGAGGAAGCTGGCTCGGACATGCCCTGGTCGCTCGCCTTCCCGTCAATCCCCGTCGGAGCTTTTTGGCACGGCGAAGTTGTCTCTTGATCAGCGTTGTTCATTTTGAACAAATTAATTCGCTAGGGTTTTTTCTTCCTAGTATTGAACCTCCATTTCTCGTGGCCTGGCGTCGGAGCTCGAACGACGAGGTCCATTCTCAAATAAGTATATATTCAAGAACACACTGCAGGTTCACGATGCGATGAAAGTATTCAATTCCTATACCAACTTTCAGAGTAGACCCCAAATGTGGCTCAATTACGCCTGTGCTAAAGATCTTAGCCTCAGTCTCTCTTTTCTGATTACCTCGTTCTTTCTTCTATTTACGGTCTACTACATTTACCTCTATATCAACCACCATCGGATCCACGTCGTCGCCCAGCAGACAACCGGTGTCCCTCATCTTCGTCTTCTTCTTTCTCATCCTGATTTGGGTCGTGAGACCCAGCCTCCAAAATATCACAATGGCTGTCGCCGGGTCCTCTTTCGCCTTCATGGTCGTCTAGGCCGCTGATGTCGCCTAGCTTCCAGCAACAATACGAACGACAAGCCCTCCAACCATTCTTTGGACTTCCCGATCCCTATCCTTGGTCCGATATGTCTTCTCCTGACTCCTCTACGCCTCCTTTCGCAGGAAGTCCCTTTGTTAACTTCCATGGCTCATCTCCGGATTCGATGTTCGCCGACTCGGCTCTACGGGACTGGGAATATGCTACCAATGGTTGTTCTCCGCTGTTATTTCCACCGGCGGTAGGGACTCCAAAGGTAGCATCGACGAGTCAATATGCAACGGCTGCGCCGGGCGCGGCTTTGGGAGTCTCTGGATTTCCCAGACCTAGCTCATACAGCGCACACTCATCCACACCCTCTACCGGTTGGTCACCGCCAGCAAACTTGTGTCCAAAAGAATCCACTAGACGGATAGCCAAACGCCAGACGAACACCGTGGCGGCTCGTCGGTATAGACAGCGACGACTCGATCGTTTGAACGAACTAGAGACCGAATTGGAGGCTGTCAAACGGGAACGGGAGGAGTGGAGAGTCAAAGCTTCAAAGCTGGAGGGCGAGACATCTGCGCTGAAGAGATTGTTAGAGTCTCAGACGATAAAGAAGGGGACTTGAATGGATTGTTCAATGAAATGTCACTAAATAGTCGGAAAAATACTAGGTTATGAGAAATTTCCAATTGTCATTATTATATCATGGCGCTCTATTTCTTTCTATACAACCACGCAAAAAGATTCAATCAATGCCAGTACGGGGGCACAACACCTCTAACGCAAGTCCATGCATCTTCCACCGCTCGAACAACATCATCCGGTAAAGACTCCTTCTCCAAATCCACTAAGTTACTCTCTAAATGCTTCACGCTGCTCGCACCCACAATCATCGCATCGTTAAATTCTTGCCTCAGCAAGGAATGGTGCTTCAACCATCGTAAAGCAACCTCCGCAACAGTTAACCAATACTTCCTAGCCGCAGTCGAAATGGCCTCCACCCCATCAAAGTACGCATCATTCCAATATCTCTTTTGATGTATCGCTCCCTGCAGAATCTTCGGGTCGAAGCGCGATCCGGCCTCGAACTCCGTTTGATGCCGCGTATACCGACCTGTCAAGAACCCGCCGGCCAATGGCTGGAACGCATACAGCGAGATTTCGTATTTGCGGAGACAGGGGATCAGCTCTGGCTCAATGCTGCGTTGCAAAGCATGATAGACACCCTGGTACACCGTCGGCTTGATCCAGCCGTTTGAGTTACAGATCTCGCAGATCTGCGCGACTTCCCAGGCCATGTAATTACTGAGACCGAAGCGGTTGAAATGACCATCTTGGTGGAGCCTGTTAACCTCGCGGAGTGTTTCAATAAAGGGCGTATTTCGGTCTGGACCGTGCAGATAGAACAGGTCAATTTCGTCTGTTTCCAAGGCTGAAAGGCTTTTGAGAAGTCCGCGTCGGAGATCGTCTGGCTGATGCGTGTAGCTCCCAGCGAAAATTGCAGTGCTGGGGTAGAGTTTCGTGGCCATGACTAGACCGCGCTTTTGCCATTCAGCTGCATTCAAAATTTCTTCGGATGATCCGCCACCGTAGATGCGCGCCGTATCGACCTCATTGTGGCCGTGGCTTTGGAAGATGTCGAGAATCTCTGCTGCGTCTTGGGTGTCGTGGACGCGGGCACCAAGTGTATCTAATAGCGATGTTAGACGTGCCTCTCTAATTAAGAAGTGGTAATTGAGGTTACCTGGCTTGCCAAATGTCATAGCGCCGAACACCACTTTGAGGTCATTGTTATTTGCCATGATTTGGTGGTTGGATGGGAAGCAGGAGAGGTTTGTACAAGAGTAGATTATGGTCTTGTTCAATCGTGATAATACAGCACAACATATTGGGTGGCTCTCGTCCTTATATAGTGCACGGGAAAAAATAGATCAAGTCAAACATCTTCATGGTTCTCCTGGGAATAGGCGTTATTTCCGAAGGCTTGTTGTGGTCGGTGGCAACGCGGCATTACCGGCGTTAAAGACGCCCGACGTGAGATCTCGTCAGCTTCGCGCCGTTTTGCCGGTTGATGTGATTATAACTAGCCCAATAAATTAATTCCCGAAGGTTTGCTCATATATGTCCGAATTTGGTCATTGGTTCTGTCCAGGGATATACATCATTTTATCGATAGTTGGGGGGTATACTCAGCTAGAGTCCTGCTCAAAGTTCCACCAGAGAAAACTAAGTATAACTAATCTCATTGATCTAAAAGATCTAATTGCAGTGAGAAAATCTTTCGTTCGGCGATTTATCATTTATATAAAAAGCACGCTCGACACGTAGACCTGCAATGAATTGAGCGCGATCATTGACGTCACCATAGTTTCCAGCTAGCCATCATCTGTTGAGGATGGACAACAAGACATGAATATCCATGGTGTGCTGAACCCATGATCGATTAACAATGCAAGTATATCAGCTGATACATTCCGGGAAGATTTCAAAGAAAAGAAGATTTATCGCAATGATCCTTTAAGCTAAATCATTTGGTCTGCGGCCTTGCCGCCTAGTAGTTCGCTTTTATACTTCCAAAGGGCCTAACATTCCTCGAAGCCATTCCAAGGTTACTCTAGCAGCCTCAAAGGTGGTTTTACTACCCGGCTTATCTTAAACAGCAGCGACTGATACCTTGGAAACATGTTAGTTACCATACACTCTGAGGTCATTGACCTTGATGAAATGATTCCAAGGATGATCAATGTAGAGTGCGAAGGTGAGAATCTGATATATATTCCAGTGCCTAAAGACGCTCTAGCCGCTAACGTTGCTTCAGATCAGGATGCAGAGAGATTAATACCCCAAGATTCTAAGTTTTCCAAAGTGGATGAGCGCGAAGAATGCACGGTCAGGCGGCCCATCAATAAGGGTATGTTCAGGGAATTCTTCCGCAGATTCAACCGATATAGCAGTCATTCTGGTGGATGGGCTAACCTACAGTGTCAGGGTCGTCTTCAAACGACTGAGACGATTACTTTGCCCAAGATGAATTTGAATGTCCCCACCAGAGAGCCATTCTCGAGTTATATGAAGTTGAAAGGGGATGCGTTAACACGGCTGATGGAGACGACATATTCTGTTTTGAAAAGAGCCAGCGAGATGCAACCTTTTCTCAAGTGAGCTCTTTATTTTTTCTCGTCCCGCGCGCCATTTTCTGGTTATAGATGACCCATGCTAAGAATAAACTTATGAAGATTTCCAACTTCTCTCCCTAAAACCAAAACCCCAGAGGGGCAGGAATCCCAAGTCCGATACTTATGAGCCCCAACACGCTATTTCCCCACCCGTAGTCAAGCCTGTTGTACAGATACGGCGCGAACAGAGGGAGCCCAAACCCCGCAAGACTGCGCACAACCACTGCGGCGGCCATCGCGCTCGCTGCAAAGCGCGTATAGTTGTCAACGATATACGCTTGCATGCATTGCAGACAGACGATGCATCCGCTGGCGAAGACTGCGATCCCAAAATTAGGCACGATCCAGTGTGCCCGGGCCTGCACGCTCCACCCGTACCAGAATATCCCCGTCGACACGAAGTAAGACCCGATGATCATGAGCGGGATTCGGGATTCTGGTCGTCCCCGGTTGAAGTTCCTCGCTTTCAGGGTCACGTAGATTAAGTCTTTCAGGCGACCCCCAATTTGAACGCCGAGCACAAACCCCACACCGAGGGAGATGTAGTTCAGGCCGGCGATGCCGGTGCTTTCGTGGTGGACCCCCTGCCATACGCCCGGGAAAGTCGATAGGAACAGATAAAACAGGCCGTAGACATAGACCATGTATAATGCGATCATTTGAACTACCGGTTGGGTGGTCAGCAGGCGAGCTGGCCGAATGAGGGAGGTCCCCAGGGCCAGGAGCCTTGGGATGGATTTTGTGGCCTCGATATTTTCTTGCAGGGGGACTCCGAGGCGTTTGGTATGGTGCTGGAGGATAACTGGAGCGAAGGATTCTTGTAGAAAGCAGAGACCCAGGACCTGGACGGTTGCGCCAAAAATACTTGTTGACCAAAAGACCCAACGCCAGGTAGATTTCTCGGCAATCCATGCACCCGATATGGGACCGATGACAGGACCCAGGAGAGGTGTGAGGCTGTATATGGCAATTGCAGTTCCCCGCCGCTCTGGCTCCCAGCAGTGACTGTAGCCAGTGTGGTCGTTAATCTTTTCTGAGATTTGAAAGACAGACTATGCATAGACAGGCGAACTTCATACCTGACAGTGCCTTCCCCAACGGCCATCGCTGCGCTCCCGCCAATGCCGCTGAGGAACCGAAAAGCAAACATCTCTGACTTGTTCTTGGAGAATGCGCACGCAACATTCCAGACCAGAAAAAAGAAATTACTTAATTGTAACATGGGCGAGCGTCCATACACTTCAGACAGGGGCGCCAGAATAACGGGCCCAACAGCAAAGGCAAGGACGATGATCGACATTGTTAATTGGTGCTGAATTTCAGTTGTCAGAAGCAAGTCTTGCCCGATCTGGTCCAAGGTTGGGGAAATCATAGGCGTGGATACTGAGGATAGATAAGTGAAAGCTGAGACAATCGATGTTGTCGCCCATTTTTTTCTCAGTGGCCACTGCCTGGAATTGATGGGAGCGTTACGGCTCTCCCAGGTGAGCTGAACGTGAGTGTATTAGCCGGACTAACTTTGCTCTTCGGAGGAGTTAGAATAACATACCGTCCCCAAGATTTCTTTCTCGCCCAGAACGTGAGAATCATTGGTGATAGGGTGCTGAGCTACATGGTGTGCTGCAGCGGGGAATTGCTGCATTTTTTTTGATGTTGACGTTTCTACATGAAGAAGGAAAGTTAGAAAGCTCCCAGCGAAGATAGTTTGTGCAGCACGGCATCTAACCTGTTATTAAAGTCTTGAGGACGTGTCAGTGGTGGACAGGGGCGCTTTTCATCCCTTGTCTGGACGACATAACAAAGCCGAGATGCAAGATCGCTTAGCAGAAATGGGGGAAGAGCGAAGTAAAATAATAGGCGTGTGTGGGTACGGAGGATGTGCCATCACATCTTACATGCGGTCCGTGATTGCTCATCATGAGCAAAAGACGAACAATCTCCTTGCTAGTACGCCTGGCTGGCAGCCCCTTGCTGCAAATGCGGGGAAAAAAAAAGCATGCACCAGGTAGTATAGTACCACCACCAAGCTGACGCTCCCATAACGTTTTAACTAATTGTTCTAAGTGGGCACCTACCCAGTGGTTCGGCCATGGGCAAGAAGGTGTGTCAGATGAAAAATATTTAATTGGGGAAGAATGAGAGCCGGATTTCACGTGTTGAAGTGCCTGGGATTTCTAAATTTTGAGTCCTACGTTGAACAAACATGTAACTAGCCCTGACGAAATTTCCCGAACACAGAGCAAATGGCCGATACAAAAGAGCCCTGCTTGTGTTGTCTACATTATGATTTGTTCACTGTAAAAAAGCACCAGAGTTTGTTTTTGTATGAGATAGGGCAAATGGTTTACTAACTCATTTGAACACCGTCTCTTTTGAAATTCCAAACACAACCGTAACCGATAATCCAACAAGGCAATTTATTGATTCCCTGTTTGTGTAAAAAACCCCCATCTTTGAAGATGATAGACTTGGTGATGTTTCAAATACCGCTCAGTTGGGCCCATCTTGGTTTCTAGACAGATCGTATACCCGCATCGAACGATTGTATGGTCTTGCAGAAATGATGCACAATATATTTCACCTGCTTTGGGCCAAGCATATGACTCGAAATCGTGATATCAACATGAAGCTCGGTCGACGAGGGTACAACATGGACGTTGGCCGACGGCGAAGGCTTATTAGGGATGCCATAGTGGATGGCCTCGCAGGGGACCCCTTCAAACCAGCAGGGCGGAGTGAATTGGTAGTTGCGAACTCGTAAAAAGCTCGGCAGTCTGGTACTCTTTGGCCATGTAGTGCAATTGTCGCGGATGTCATCAAAGCCTAGAGTGGAGTATGGCATAGTATCGACCATTTGCTGCTGAATCTGGCGCAAAAGATCGATACGGGGTGCTGTGTGGTCAACATCAACGCGAACGGGAATAATACTAATGCAGGGCCCGAGAATTCGGTCCTCATGTGGTACTCCCACGCCTCGTCCGTGTACAACTTGGCCGAAGACAACAGGAGGATTGCTCGATTGCCCAGAGCCCGCTAGACTTGTGCCATGCGGTCGGAAGATCTCCGCCAGCGTCGTCGCCCAGGCTGCTTTCAACAACGTGGACAATGTGAATCCGGAAGGTGGCACGACAGGGGTGATTTGTTTCTCAATTTTCACCAGATAAGCAGGCTCCTTGCATAGCGTCGCTTCCTCCATAACAGGCAACCGTTCCCTTGCTAGCCGAGTTACTTCGGATCCCGCTAATACTCGACGCCAGGTGTTGAATGCGGCGTCGTTTCGAAGCGCGAGTGCTGCGCGGAGATGAACTGATAGTGGGTTGGTTTGCAGTAAAGGCTGTCTGCTGTAGATGCTGGATATGTCTTCGCTAATTAAACGAATTGAGAGCCTATCGAACAAGGCATGACTGAGTCGGAAGACAAGAAAGACACGGCCATGAGGCACCGTCACCAATTGCACCTGAAACGGCGGCTTTCCACAGTTCTGAGAATCCGCCACTTTGTTATCCTGCCAGCAATGCTCGTCCAAGTCTTTCGCATGGTGCTCGTGCACGGCCACCTTTCGAGGCTGTAGAACAAGTTGAACCTCGTCCCCGGAGCTGAGCTTGAAGAAACCAGTACGCAAAATTGCATGCCTATGAACAAGCTGCTGGCAGGCCGACAGAAGCCTCGACTTGTCGAAACGAACGGGTAGGGCAATTCGATAATAGCGATAGTTCATCGCAATGTTGCTCATTCGCTGGAACTGTGTAGTGGGTAAAACCTCGACGACATGCGCAAAGACATCAGCCGGCAGCTCCTTCCGGAGCGTTTCGTCAGAGACAGAAACGAGTCTCTGCGATGGCTCGTTGAATTTCTCGCCTGCTTTGACCTTCGCAACTCTCACTAAGCTCGATATCCTCGGGGTTTCAAATACAGATTGCTCGGTTATGAGAATCCCTTCTCGCCTCGCCTGCACTACCAATTCAAGACATGTTATGGAATCACCACCTAGGTCAATGAAATCACTGCTGTTGGTGACCTGTGATTCATTAAGCTTGAGAACTTTTGCAATCAGCTTTCGTATTTGTTGGGTCATTGCAAGCGATTGGTCATGGCTTAGCTCTTTGCACTGAGGCCGTTCAATCACTGTGCTCTGAGCTAACTGTGCGAGGGTCTTGTGCTGGAATATATCATTGACGGAGATGCGTATCCCTTCTCGTTTCGCTGCCAAAGCAAACAGGGTTGCGGTTATAGAATCTCCACCAAGACTGAAGAAATCATAGTCCATTGACACATTCTGGTCATCTCTGCTTAGTATGCTGCACGCGAGCTTGTAAATGCATTCTTCGCGCGCCGATTTTGGGCCGCGTCCTGCAGCTTGGGACGCTTTGTGTGGGCGATAGGCACTGATCTTTTCTGGCAGCCATGTTGCAATCTCTTCTCGCAGCAGTGTGTGGTTGACTTTGATTGTGAGGGTGAGCGGCATTTTCCTAAGCGGGATAAATATGGTTGGGACCATGTAAGAGGACAGCCGCTCACCCAACTGGGAGGAGAGCGTCGCGATATCGTTATAGAATGAACCTCCAGGCGTGAGAAGATCTAAGTTCCCGTTCGGGTCCTCTGAGAAGCCCCAGTTCATACTTGACCCAGGGCATATGAACGCAACCAGAGCTTCTCGGCTGCTTTGCGTTTTGAATTGGATCATTTCAACCATGATTTCTTTTATGGCAGGGATCAGAGACATGATGTTGGATTCAACTTCAGCGGGTTCCAGGCGCTGTCCACGGAATTTAATCTGCAGGTCTTTGCGACCTACGAAAAACAGACTTCCGTCTTCGCCGTACTTGACGAGATCGCCGGTCTTATAGATCGCGTGTGAGCTGCTCGGGGCAGACATTTCTTGTAGCCACTGAGGAGATGAGCCGAATGATGCGGCTGATTGTTTTGGATTTTTGAGATATCCTAATCCAACTGTAGGTCCTTGCAGAAGCAATTCACCGGTCATTCCTATGGGTCGGAGGCGATCATGGTCGTGTGGGTCAACAATCCAAGAAGCCGAGTGGACGGCCTTTCCAATATTCCGCATTTCTGAGTCTGATGTAACGTCTGCTTGGATCGTAGACAGGACTGTACATTCAGCGGGGCCATAGATCTGGATAATACGAACATGGTGCTCCCATTTCTTAACAACATCAAGTGTCAAAGGTTCTCCACCAACGACAAAAGTTCTCAATGTCGATGCCACAGTCGGGTCGAGCAACCGGATGATAGATGGTGTAACCATAGCCCAGTTTGCCCTAAGCTGAAACGCTGCTTGGCTAGGGTTATCCTGCAGCTCTGACTCAGTGGGCACGCAGAGGCAAGAACCAGTAACAAGGGCCATTATAGTGTCATTGATGCTAACATCAAAGGCGTACGAAGCGAACTGAAAAACGCGGCTTGACGAATCAAGCCGAAGGCCCTGACATCGCTCTGCAATCCCTGTCGTGACTGCACCATGGTGCAATACAATACCCTTTGGTTTGCCGGTTGAACCCGAGGTAAAGACAAGATACGCAGGATCATTGGATCTAAAGGCTGAATCTGCTGCAGCGCTGGAGTATTGCTGGCCCTCAGGCGGATGTTCGGACGCTTTACCGTCGAGCACGATAACGTTTCCAGACAGCTGACGACTAGCCTCGGCACACGCAGGGGAGGCAGCAATAAACTGTGCCTCGGTCTCTGACACAATGCTTCTCAGACGCCCCAAAGGGTACGATGGAGGCAACATGACAAAAGCAGCGCCAGTTCTGAGAACTGCTGTCATGGCTACTGAGGCCCAGGGGGATTTTTTGAACATGAGAGGCACATACTGTCCCCTGCAGGCTCCCCTCGCCTTTAACCATGCTGCAAAGTTGGCTGAGAATCGATCAAGGTCTTGGTATGTCAGCGAGCAGTCAGCTCCGCACAGCGCAACTGAATCTGGCTGTGTCTGACACCGGCGTCGGATGAGGTCCACAACAGAGGTCTGAGAGCTTGATGAGACGTGATTATTCCATTGCTTAATTTGTTCTCGGTCCTCGACAGGGAGAAGCGAGATTTCCCCAATGGTACTTTGTGGCCTCCTGATCAGCTCTTTAACAGTGTGGGCGAGTTGTCGAAGAAGACGTCGGACATTGTCCGAAGAGACGACACAGGAATTAAATGACGCTTCAAGAGATACACTTCCTTCACCAATATGGCAAACAAGCATGAAAGGATGGCTCGTAAAGGGGAGCAAGTAGTCTGCTTTCCTATCCACGGGGTGAGCGAACAGGCCGGATCGCATTGACTCCATGCGTTGGCGCGGTTGAATGACCATAACATTCTGGAATTTACTAGCCGCTTCAACATCATCGCCAGCCTTTGCAATGTGCTGCAGCCCTGTCTGCTCGTAGGCAATCATTCGAAATGACTGTTCCTCAACTTGTTGCAAAGTTGAATCGACCGAGACAGTGGGACTTAGCTGAACACGCACTGGCACTAGGGCTAATGTAGGTCCACTGAGACTGGAGATACCTGCCATGGCTGCACTGCGTCCAGTTACAATGGCCCCAAAAACAACATCTGGACAGCCTGTTTCTTGGCTCAGCACAATTGCCCATGCAAGCCGGAGATATGTTCCTGCAGTGAATCCCAGTTCACCTGCCAGCTCTGTCTCGAATGAATGTGCGACTGTCATCATGGACTTTTCCTGCACAGTTGCACCGGCTGGGGACTCGGGGAAATGGCACCCTTTGAAGCCACCAAGCTCCTCCTGCCAATAGAGAGCTGAGGCCAGCCCAGCATTTTGACGGAGATAGGGGATGAATCGATTGAAAGAATGCAATGCGACTTGCGTTCCCTGGTATGCATGTTGCACCTGCTTACACACAAGGCTCAAGGACCATGCGTCAAAGACGGCGTGATGAATAACAAGCTGAAAACGTGATGGTTTTTCCAGAGTCACCGCAAACCGGATCAGAGGCCCTCTCTCGCTGCTTACCGGTTCCGGATCGTCAAGGCTTTTGACTACCCTCCATGGCATTTCAGTCCGTGTTACAACCTGGAGCATGCGAGAACCCACTCGTCCGATGCGCGAGCGGAGGACAGGGTTTGACATCCAAACAGTGGACCAGGACTTTTTGAACATGTCCAAATTCACTGTCTTTGGTAATGTCCAGGCGTGTCGTGCTATGCTTGCCCCTTGATTTCTAACGGAAGACGCCACCAGGGCTTCCTGCATTGGGGTGCACGGATAGAGATCCTCAATAAGACTCATGCCAACTGCCAACTCCTCAGAAATGGCCCTTAAAACACTTGCATCCGCGGTGTACAAAGAGAAGGGCGGCGGTGCCGGTTCCGGCATACCCGTGGAGGAAATTGCTCTCAGGGCCGTCGCCATAGCTGCAAATGTCCTTTCCCTAAATATATCGACAACGGTCAAGACAAACCCGTCTTCGTGGAGTCGTGCGCTGAGTTGTATAGCTTTTATAGAATCTCCGCTCTTTCGAAAGAAGTCGTCTCCAAGGAGAGGCAGCATCCCCAGTGTCTCATTCCATGCATCTTTCAGAGCACGCTCTTCTCTGCTATCTGAGTATCGGTCCTTGTGCTCTGTGGTAGCTTCCGCGAGGACCTGAACCGCTAGCTCAGTGAGCTTGGGACGATTCATCTTCCCTGATTTCGTCATCGGCATGTTCTTGCAAAACGCGAAGTGAGTTGGAATCATGTATCGGGGCAGGTAGTTAGCCAGCACTTTTTCCAGCGATGTACTCAAGCCCGGAAAACCATTTTCCAGGTTGGTGATCGTAGTATCCTGGTCATCCTGTTTCAACTGAGGTCCGTGACCTAATATGGCCATTAATTGCAGGCTCCGACGCTTTGCTGAGCCTCCGCCTGCTGCCGGGACCGCAATAGCAGCAACGTGTTGAAATTCCAGCGAGAGACCCTCCATACATCGCTGGACCACGTGTTCCACGTGGTTCATGTCAGCCAGCTGGCCATTGATCTTTATCTGACTGTCCTTTCGTCCGATGTAGCGGATGGAACCGTCCACGTTATAACGCACCAAATCCCCGGTACGATACAAACGGAATTCGGAAAAACCGTTAGACCATTCCACTCCCTGCAGGAAAACACGACGGTTCCTCTCTTCATCGTCAATGTAATGCCGGGCAAGGCCTTCTCCCTGAATGAGCAACTCGCCTACTCCGCCAATCGGTGCTAATCGATTCGGGTTGTTAACTTCCGTCACCCAGAGGGCTGAGTCACGAGCAAAGCCTAGATTATGCGGATCCCAGTCGGATCCTATATCAGAGGCAAGAATTGCGACCCCAGCCGTTTCACTAGCACCGTAACCGTACAGTAGTTTCACCTTGCCAGCCCATTTCGCAAGAAGAGATGGCTGCATAGCCTCGCCACCTAACAACAGGACTCGAATGCCGGGAGCCGCCTCGGGCGATAGAATAACGGCCGTCGATGGCGTCATATAGCTATAGTTAACATTATGACGGTTGATAAACCCCACCAGATCGTATATCCGCTGGTGTGCTGACGGAATGCACAGACATCCACCTACCATCAGTGTGGTGAGAACCTCACGATTACACATAGTGAATGCATGAGAGGCGAATTGCAGACGTCGTGTGTTCGGTCCAATTTCGAGCGCACCCACAGTTCTCTTGGTAGAGGTACAGAAGGGACCATGCTCCATGACAATCCCTTTTGGTCTCCCCGTACTTCCCGAAGTGAAGACAGCATACAGGGGACTAGAAGCGTGGCACAATCCGTCCGAGCGGCTCCTTTGTGAGTCCACTTTACTAGGGTCCAGGCTCAAAGGGATCGCTGTTGGGGCCAGCTGCTTAGCCATGGACAGGGAATCTGGAGCACATAGCACGACTGTCGCAGAAATAGACTCGCATATCTTTTGCAACCAGTCTACCGGATGAGAAGTTTCCAGTAAGACGAATGCAGCTCCAGCTCTGAGAATACCGAGAACTGCCACTGGCACCCATTTAGATTTTTCGAAATAGAGAGGAACAAACTCCTCGGGTTTCACGTCAGCCTCTCTCAACTGGGTTTCCAGGGCAGCAGACAATCCGTCGAGCTCGTCATATGTTATGTCACCGTCCCAAGCTGACACCGCCACAGCGCTCGGCCTCTCGTGGCATTTTTGCAAGATTACCTCGTGAACAGATCTTTCGGCAGTGGAGAAGTCACCAGTAAACTCCTTGTTCCATCTTCTCATGCGATCAAGGTCGGCGGCACTACAGACTCTGATATCCTGTATCGTCGCATTTGAGTGACTTTGAATTTCTGATAGTAGATGGACCAAAGTTTTGGCAATAATCTTAGCCTGCTCATGAGAAAGTGTGTCGGTTTTGTAGCCAAGCTCCATAGACTCAACACGCTCTGTCCTATTGTATTGAACTCGAACCGCGATATTTATCTGCACAGAAAGACTTTGTTAGATAATACTCCTGATGCAGACACCATCGAAAATAATGACTTACATCTTTCAAGCACTCTGATAGGCCGCTGTCATCATTGTAGTAAATGGCCGTATTATACGGTAGTCTGTCGGTAGATCCATTGGACAAATGCTGCACCGTAACAGCATCCAGCTCCAGAAGTGACAGCACTGGTGTCGAACCTGTCAAGCTTGCTCTATAGACGACGGGCTGGGTCGAGGCAGCTGGTCTTTCCCCTTTCATTACTCGGAAACAGACATCGTCGCTTGCCGTATACGATCGCAACAAGATGGCCCAGGCAGCTTGCACAGACCTCAAGAAACCAATTGGAGTTATCTCAGCTCCCCAAGACCTTTCTATTGGAACGGTGCAGGTTCTACGCCCAGCTCCATCGTGCATCTTGCTCTCGAAGTCGCCGGTTCGTGGGACAAGACATGGCATCCAACAACGAGGAATCTGGCTATCGTCCGTCATGGTGTCACGGCGGGAAATCTTTGAACTGAGACTCTGTTAAAAGCTATCACTGTACGGACATCAGAAGAGCGCTATATCACTGGGAAAAAAGAGAAATATATACCGGTTGATTGGGACTCGAAAAGGTTCCTCCTTTCAGAGACAAATGACTGGAAACTGTGAAGTATGATCTCACTTAGAGAAAGAGAACCATCTGACCGCAGTTTTATATGCATGTGTTGAGGCAGGGGTCAGGGCGTGTAACATCGCGATGTCGATCTCGTTCGCATATCTGGCAAATGTTTTCTCATTTGTTTCGAACATGCCCAATTCTTCAATAGTCTCTGCAGTTTGATACGCCAAATCGCGCGACTTTCTTGCGTCACTTCATCAGTTTGTTGCATCCCTAGGCGCTCAAGTTTCACTAAGGGCAGTATATGGGCCAATTCTACCAAAATAAAGCGCTCCACGGCCTACTCCGCGAATAGATCATGGGGCATTTCTCATTAGACGCCTTTAGCATAAGTGGACCCAGGTTCGGGAAGTAAAAGGGGCTGAAATTACAGTAGACGCCCACGACTGGTCTCCCATCACTATCCTGCCTGGGTATATGTTAATGAGGACTGGCACCTCCAAGACTTTCCTCACGCTTAGCTAGGTATCGAATCCGGCCTTTCACCGCCCATTTCTCCCAGTCAATTGCATGTTTGGTTGGGCCCCTAATGAGACCCATGGACTCATTACCCAAGCGAAAGCAGAAGCATGCGATCGCAGTGTTCACGGCTTTCACGTGTTACACGTATACAGAGCCCCCAAACCCCCTTCAGCTAGGGCCTGATCTTCACATGAATACGTCGGTCACGCCTTTTAATCTAAATTACCTATTGCCACCAGTTTTCAACGCTCTGGAATTACATCTGAGTTATGGCATGTGTAAGGCCCTAAGCATAGCTTAGAACTGAGAATATTCCTGACGGTATGAGCTTGTTGAAGTAAAGATAGACCTGGGCACAGCCCGCCCGTCAGAGCCCGTAGGGCGGGCACCCAACACCCAGTTCCGCCCGGGGTGCCCGCATGGCCCCGCGACCCGTTCTAGCCCATTTGATGCATAAATCTCCCGATTCGGATGTATAATTCAATGATTCAGCTGATAAATTACATGTTTTTTACACCTGTTCCGGTCTTGTTCGTGGTAGATGTCAATATTCATCTACTCCCATCGTGAAATTAAAGAAATACTGTTTGTAATTGGAGTCTCCATGTTATCATCAAATTAGCTATTTTCATATTTTGATGCTAGGCTGTGTTGATGGTGGGGAATTTTCTAAATCAGTATAGAATCTAAGTTCATGCTGGAAGTATATAGGTCAAGTCACTCATGTTGTTGTTGTTGTTGTTGTTGTTGTTATATTTTACGGCCGTGTGACACTGTCTAAGCACGTGTCCTACCGTCCCCTGTTGGGGCAAAGGCCGCCAGGGGGTAAGCCCTGGGCGTCACTAACTAGCTGCTGGTTCTATGTACAGATAGGGGACTTCGGCGCGTTTAATAGCTGCTTCAGTCAAAAGGGAAGGGTCTCTGCAATGCAGAGAAAGAGAGAAATGCCAGCTGCAAAGGTCCTCCTACACACCGTGACCATACCTACTACCGCTACCGCATATTTTTTTTTTTGGGGGGGGGGGGGATGGCAGGAAGATGGTGTCACGGTGCAGACCTAGGGTGCCTGAGGCACCCCCTCGGCGTGGCCCGGAACGCTATATTATCCGTTCCGGGCTCCGCATATCTCCCGCCTGCCTGAAGATCCTGTTGTAGCTCTTCGAGCTACGTCTTGTCTATAAGCCTGTAGATAGCTTGACCCTGTAGCAATTCAGAGATATTGTGAACTATCAGCCTACCTGCTCGCCTGCCTGCCATCAGCTCTACCACCCCGCCAGCCCGCACCTTGACAGATGGAATCTCCCGGATTCATACGAATATCGGGATCTTCCACAATTACTGATATTTTATTATAGATTAAACGTTTATACAGAGATATATATTTTGACAAGATCCCGCAGAATATCTATAGTACTTATACAGTATAAATAGTGGGGTTTCGGTCCAGAACTTTTGTTCTTAAAAAAAATGGGTGGAAAAACAAAAAAACAAAAATTTGACATCCCTATTACCCAGAGGAAATTGAGGGCTAGGCAAAGTATAGGCTGTCGTGACCCCACAGCAAGCAGCCGCTTGCATTGCCGAAGGTATGTCTCAGGTGCCTAACAGTATCAGAGACCAGACATACTCTGGGTTGCGCGCATGAATGGAGGCCTCGAGGAGGATACGGAGAAATGAACTTGATACTTCGATTTAAATGAAGAAGCCCGGCCTAATTATATAAAACCCCAGTCTTAAGAATATATCCAGAAACCAACGCCCATCCAGGTAACACTTAGCCCAATAACGCAGCGCAGACCGACGGGCTAAGTAGGGAAAAGAATCAGGAGACTGACTGACTGCACCATCGTAAAACAGAAGACCCAGGATAACGTTGGCATTGTAGACGAGGCGTCTCACGGGGGTTAAAAAACAAGCAAAGCTGCTGGACAGATATAGATAGATAGTTAAAGGACCAAAAACCAAGAGCGAAAAAGACTCCCCGACTGGGAGTCGAACCCAGGTCTCCCGCGCTCGTTCTCTATTGAGTGACAAGCGGAAATCATGACCGTTAGACCATCGAGGACTGTTGATGTTAAAAAGCTTGATTTAATGTAACATAAAACTGCAACAAAGAGCGGAGAGCAAATCGCCAGAAGTCAGATGATACCTCCTTGCTCAGACCATCTTCTTCTCAACACATCCCCATGTCTTTACTCATCTTCTCCCCATCCGAGTTGCTACGAACCTCTATTGGACACAACATTTTACGATCTACAAAGCAAACTTTACTCGCATGGAGATATGCTCATGAAACACAAATTTCGCGCCTTGTATTCACTTCCAGGTACTTTTTGTTTCGCCAGTCTATCCGCAGGTCATATCTAAGTCTTTCGAAAGTCGTTCATACAGGTCTCTCTCCCCCCGTTCTATCGTTCCGCTTGCGTCCCGGCGGTTGTTGGTCTCTCGAACGATGCTGATGACGGATGTTCGGTGTGAAAGAAAGGGACCTTGTCAATCAAATACATCCAGACGCCAAAAAATATTAAACGAGAAACCCGGGATCATTTCGTCTACATCGCATTGCCACATCGTGGTCACAGACAAAGGGGGAAAGAATAGCAAGAAAGGTAAGGGGAAAAAAAAGTGAATAAGTGAAAAAAGAAAATAAAAACATCAGGGTGTTTAACGTAATTTGATATTGTTCATGGCCATTGTCATCCAGCTGCATATGCAAGTCGTCGTCTTCCATGTCAAACGAACTGAAAAAAAAAGAAAAGAAACGAAATCTAGTGATAACGGAAGGGAAGAAGAGTTATTTACTGCTTCTCCTCGGTCTCACCAGAGGGAGTGGCATCACCGCTAGCGGGAGCATCCTTCATGTCGGCGTCACCCTCGGGCTTCGAGGCCTCCTCGGCCTTCTTAGCCTCTTCCTCGGCCTTGCGCTGGGCCTCCTGCTCAGCGCGCTTCTTGGCAGCGGCCTCCTCCTGAGCCTTCAGGACGGCCTGGCGCTCAGCATCGGCCTTCTCCCTGTAACGCTGGATGATGGGGCCCGCGATGAAGCGGATCTCATCGAGCTTGGCCACGTACACGGACTTGGTGGTGTCTTCACCCTCCTCATACAGCCAGTCCTGCAGATAAGTTGGTTAGTACACTGATCTTGGTTTCTACTGCGGAGAAAGATTATCTTACCTCGAGGTCGGTGAGCTTAGAGCGCAGCTTGTCCTTCTCCTCCTCGCTGGCGAACTCAGAGTACACTCCGTCGAGCTTGTCGCGCAGCTCATAGATGCTGGCCTCGAGCTCGTTCTTCTTCTCGTCCGTCTCGGCGATCAGCTTGTCCTCCATGTACATGGAGTTCTCACGCTCAGTCCAGGCCTCCTTGACGGTGTCGTCAATGGAGGGGCTGCCGGTGGAGATGGGCAGGTCGCCCTTGCGAACCTGCTTCTTGACCTTGCGGGTCTTCTTGGGTTGCTCGTCGCCGTTGGTAGCATCGGTGTCCATAGCCTGATGAGAAGAGTCAGCTAAGTGAATTTCGAAGGCATTCGCAAAAGAAGAACAACTTACATCACCCTTGCCCTCCTCGGGGACGGGCTCCTCAACCTCCATATCCTCGACATAGTATCCGGACTCGACGTTCAGGATACCGTGCAGGTTGAGCCTGGCCTTGAGCTTGCAGATCATGAAGTCATCGTTGGCATCGGCCTTGACGCCCTTGACGGAGAAACGGCCAACCCAAGGGTTGATCTTGCCGGGCAGCATCTCGGGCTTGGCGTAGCGAGCCTCGAGGTCGAAGGGCTGCTTACGGTAGAAGGTGAGGATCTTGGTGGAAGGCATGACGTTGCCACGGTTGAAGACAGTCAGGCTGGTGTCCTCGTCGGGGATGTCTGCCGACTGCTCCCAGGTGAACTCGATGGGGTAGTTCACAATGTCGTGCACGGAGAAGTCACGAACACGGAAAACGGGGGAGAGGATGGCGCAGCTGAAGGCGCAACCACGGGCGATGGCCTCGTCCTGGTTGAGCGTGAAGGACAGGTTCTTGCCGAAGAACTTGGCAATGGCATCCTTGATGGCAGGGACACGAGTGCAGCCACCGACCATCTCGATGTGGTCGATGTCCTCGGCCTTGAGCTTGGCTTCGGCGAGGGCCTCCTCAATAGGGGCCGTGGCCCGGTCGAGGAGGGGCTTGATCATGACCTCCAGCTCCTCACGCTTGACGATGGCACGGACGTCAACGTCCTCCATCAGGGACTCGATGCTCATAGGAGCAGCGGGGTTGGCCGACAGGACCTTCTTCATCTTCTCGGCGGTGGCGAGGGTACGGGACCAGGCCTTGGGGTGAGTGCGGACGTCGATCTTGAACTTCTCCTTGAACTCGTCGGCGAAGTGCTCAGTCAGAGCGCGATCGAAGTTACGACCACCGAAGTGACGGTCATAGGCGGTCGACTTGACGTTGAGTTCACCCTTGCGGAACTCGACGATCGAAGCGGTGTAGTCACTGTGACCGATGTCGATGAACATGACCCGGCGGGGCTTCTCCTCGGGGCCGGGCAGGTCCAGCTTGGTGATACCGTATCCGAGGGCGGTAGCCGTCGTGTCGTTCACCAGGCGCAGGGCCTTGAGACCGGCGATCTCAGCGGCATCGAGCATGGCCCGGCGCTGGACATCAGTGAACCAAGCGGGCACACTGATGGTGACATCGGAGACAGGGAGCTTCAGCTCCTTGGCGGCGGTGTCGCGGATCTTGGTCAGGTACATAGCCACGAGCTGAGTGGCGGAGAACTTCTCCTTCTTTCCAAGGTAGTTCACCTCAACACCGGCCTGGCCATTGACGTCACAGATGGTAGCGGTGTTGTACTCCTGCTCGAGCTGAACTTCGGGGTCGCTGAAGGAGCGGCCAATCAACCGCTTGATGTTGCCGACCGTGTTCTTGAGGTTGGAAGTCTCTTGCGTCTTCGCGGCCTCACCGAGGGCTCGGCTGCGGGCATTGAACCCGACAAGGGAACTGCAGGGAATACCAGTCAGCGTTTGATTCTTATATTTCATCTAATTCATCAAGCGTCACGCCTAGTCTGTGAACTCTGGCAGATGACGGAGAGGTGGGGGAGGGGAATGAAAGGACATACGGAGTCTGTCTGTTCGAAACCTCATTGGTAATCTAACACACAAAGCGAAGTCAGCGCTGTTATCCATAGGGAGGGTGCCAGAGAAAAGGGGAAAAAAAAAGAGGCCCAACGGTCGACCGTTGAAGGAGGCTAGTAAAAGGGAAGTGTGATACGCACAATATCGATACCCTTGTTGCGGGCAACACCAATCTTGGTGCTCTGGGCACCGAAATCTATTCCGACAACACTCATTGTCTGTGTAGATTTCTGTGATATGAGGGAGAGAATAGGGGAGGGGAGGGGAGGAGAAAATGCGGTAAGTAGGGAAGGGGAGGAGGGAGTGAGAGTGTGGTATCAAGAAGAGAAAAGAGGGAAGGAAAAAAAATAGGTTGGGCAGGTTCCCGAGTCCAGGGAAAAGAGCGAGAGCGGCGGCGGAAGAGGAGGGGAGAATAATTTGCAAGCAGGACCAAACGCCACTAATCTATCGGGCGGTGATCGAATCGGTGTGGCTAAGTAGGGCCCGACGTGGGCTCTTCTGGCTCGTCAGGAAGATTCGATGCGCAACAACGATCCAGTTGTTTCGCTGGATGGGGTGGAACGTGATGTGAGGGAGGGTATCACTCGGAACAATCACTGGAGCAATTATAATTCACAATAAAATACAAAATCCGGAGCAGAAGTAGCAGCGCAATAAATGAAGGCTCCGCGGCGCCGCTGAAACGATTCGAACCTTCTGGCTGCTGCTGGATTCTTCCCGCCTCCCACCGCCCGCACCCGGTGGGCCCTGCAGAAAGGGCCTCACCGCCTTGGCGGGGTTGGAAAACCTCAGGCCAGCTTATCGATAGCGAGAGAGAGAGAGAGCGACAGAGTTTTTTAACAAATGTGAACCAATGTTAGCTCATCGCTTGCTCCCATTGGGTGCCTGACGCGCCGGGCTCCAGCCCTGTTACCTAATGCCATAGCCCCGGCAATGCCTACGAAGTACCATCCCCTGCTGGGCTCTAACCTTTCTCCGTACTTTGCGAGTCACTCGACCATTCCGATTTCCTAATTCCTAAGCTATGAAAACTGCTAATTACATCAGTCTTGGGGAAGACCCGTCATCCTTTCCCCCCTGTTTCCCCACTAAGAAAGAAAAAAAGTCCCACTATCATGGCCCCGCTTAGGGGAAAAACCAGAACAAAATATACCAACCTGTTCCAAGGTAATAACAAGAATGAATGCCGCAAGGAGATAACAAAAAAAACCACTCACACAAAGAAAAGAGACGATGGTCTGGAAGAACGCCGGGAAAAGGAACGAACATCGATCCACCTTGACCTGACATACCCTGTCGATCCCGGGTATATTTCGAGGTTTCGGCCTGTCAACACGGTGGGATGTCCGGTTACGTGGCAATCTCCAACTCCGTCCTGAAGGCTTGCTCATGTGGTATTAGACCATGTGCTCAGGATCCCTTGGCATCTGGGTCCGCGTCGGTCTGTTTGCTCGACGTCCCGGCCGAGGCCACTGCACCATTCGAGACAGTCTAGTCGCAACACTGGAGGTGGGCGGATGCCCGGATTCTTGTGGCGTGGACAAAGTGCGAAGTGTCCCATCCGTCAGCTCTCGAGTGGAAACCACAGACAGAGAAAGCTCATGAGTGCTCCGGTGTCCCAATTGGGGTCTTTCGCGACATCCACTGGTTTGTAGACTTGTTTCGTCTGCGCTGCTCGTATGGTGACATGCGATCGAGCTCTGGGGAAGTACCCTGGTGCCTTCCACGGGGAGTGGCAGGGACATGGAGGTTGATTCTGAATCCGACGTGAATACTGTCTCGGAAGAACCGCCTGGGTGCACACCTATCCGTGGTACACTGGGAAGAGGTGTCATCGCATTAGCTAGAGGGATCCCGGTGCCATCTACAATGGTAACGGGATAATTGCCAGGCCGCGGAGAAGCAGAAAATCGTCCTCTGAGATTCTCCGAAGGGTGGACGGGCACTTTTCTCTTTACAGTATTGTGCCGGAAAGTGTCGACCACCACATTCAGCTCGTCGCCCTGGGTCATGGCTCGCTCAACTGCCTCCTCAGGAGTCATATATTTATCGGCTTTGGCGGCATCGGCCCTAGGGCCTCCCCACGTGCGCTGTCCCGACGTGAATATGCCGTACACCAGGAACAGCCAATTGAACAGAGGCATGAGGATAAACATCAGTAAATAGAGCAAAGCCTTCAAGCGCCTGAGTCTAATCGCCAGATAGAACATGAGCGAATAATTGAGCACCAAAGACACGCTTATGATGATGACAGGTAAGCCGTGAAGTCGGCCTGATGTCAGGATGAGAGATATCGTTTGAACGAGGAAGAGCAACGTGGTTGTACGCATCATATCGTTCATGAACCGGATGAGACACAAGAAGGGATAGCGCTTCCACAGTCTGATGTCGGTCAACAAACAAACTTCATTGGTAATGTAGCCGAGGAACCATCGTCGTCGCTGCTTCATCAGGGCAGAGAATGTCTGGACTGCGGTTGTCTTGCAAAATGCAGTCGTACACAATTGGATTTGGTAGCGCTCTTTGGCGCCGATCATAAAGAGGTGGGTGAGCCAGCGATCTTCACCCAAGTAACACTTCCCATAATCAAAGAGATCCTCGCATCGCTCGGCTTTATCGGCGAAGTAGTACTTGGACATCTTGCGGAACGCAGAGAATCGGAGGATTGTCAGTGCGCCAGGAAGACAGGTCACGGCGCCGCAGCCCGACTCCACAGACCGTTCGAAGAACTGTCCATGGATATACTCCAGATCTTGCAGCAGGGTCAACAGTTTGTTTTTCTCAGTGGTCGATGTGATGATGCCCGTCATTGCTAGCATTTTGCGCTTGCGCCCCGGCTTGAGTTCCATGTCGTACACAAAGTTCTGCAAACAACGTTTGTCCAGGAAACAGTCGGAATCAATGAACAACATAAATAAATCATCGTGCCGCTGGCTGTATTCGAAGTACATTTTGTCGACAAGTTTGAATGTCTGTTGTTGACAGTGTCGCTTGCCCCCATGTACGAAGCGAGATACCGTAATTTTAACGCCCTTGTAGGTCACGTCGATACTCTGCGGATAGCTTTCCAATGATATCGGAGCCCCAAGGTGGTGGATGACCTGGAGGTAGGATTCGTCCATGGAGACTCCGTCGTATGAAACAAACAAATGGATACGGCATTTCGGATACTCGCTGTTGACCACCGATTCAATGGTTTTGATCAATTCCGAAGGATGCTCCTGGTATACTGGCATGACGATGACAACCTTAGGCGCGGTGTGGTTGGCAAAAGCCTGCTTTATTTTTTCCGGCCGCCGCGATGATGTTGTTATGATCAGCCTGGCGACGCAAACAGACCAGGGTACAGCAAGCAGCACTGTGAAAGCCCCAAGGGCAAACCATTGGACGGGAGTAACTAGGCCAGGAGGCCAATGCCGCGAAACCTGCCGTGGAAAGGGGATTGTAAAGAGCAGAACCGGCAGAAATATGCCCCTTGACGAAACTATCATCAGCATCGCATCCATTTCTGAATATTGTTCTTCCACCATTTGCCTGCCTTACCTGAACAACAATATAAGAACCATCATAGTAACGGCAAGAACCTGGCTGCTCCAGCGATCCGCTTTCTGGAAAACTTTGACGAGACAGTATAAGAACGCAGCAAGCAAAAGAAGCAACTCAAAGGCTGCCGCTAAAAGCACCGGCGTAACAACCGCTAGATACACAATCTAGAAACACCGTCAGAGAATTGACTTTGAGTGGCCCAAAGCCTGACTTACATCGTGAGTACGCCATGATTCTGCCATAGCGACAGTCTTGTGTGAAATGCCGTTTATGATATAATGACCAACGAAAATATCTCCGCGCGGAACAGATAAAATATATAGAAGAAAGGCAATACGCGAAGTTCGAGTGACGACGAGACAAAACACTTGACCGATATCTGGGACACGCGCTTGTTATTTTCCACGAGACTTGTGCAGGAGAGGCAATCCAAGCGTAGTCATTTCAGGAAGCCGATAACTGTTCTTAGGGGTTTCCGTGCTTCAAAGAATGGGTGTCAGCTCCTGAACCCTGGATGCGTATCGACGACGACATGGCCAGACCTACCTGAAAGCCCGGTGGCTTGAATCAGAACTCCTTTCACTTCAGACAGCGAGAATCCACAGTATGCTATACCACAGAAGACTGATGCAAACTAAGACATAGGAACTGTATTTGACATAGTCGAGGTACAAGCCAGGTTCACCCACGCGATTGAGATAGTGGGCGTCCCTTTAGACGGGCCATAGTCGCCAGAAGGCAGTTGGCCTTGCACCAAAAGAGGCAGGCACTCTGTGTTACCGGGCAGCAGAGCGAGGAGCACCCCAGCAAACACCGGAATATCTTACGCCGGTGAAAGAAAGAGTGAGGGAATGAGAAATAAACCATACTGCCGAGTCACGATATCTTTTGTTTTTGTTGGATCCGTGAGACGAGCCCTTCGCGGTAGGGGGTTCCTGGTAGCGCAGCCCTCAAATCCAACCAAGCTTCGATCCCTGCCCTGAGTTTGTAGCAGCCAGATAACCTAGGGCAAGGAAGTAATCCAAAGACACAATCTAAATATCCCGATCGACTAGATTGGCTTCGAGGGGTTGTTATACGCGAGTTCACCTCAATATTGTTCGTCTGCTTGGTCATCTCGAAAGTTGGAAGGATTTAGTCTCGGAGCAAAGCGAATCAAAGCGCAAGCAAAGAAACATAAATAGTAATCATTTCGTGTGTCAGGTTGAAAATGAAGACTTCGTTAGGGATCTCGCTCATGGTTGATCTGAAGTCTGGGATGGGATGATATTGGTAGGAGATAGGAAGTTCTGTTTGATCCTAGCTGAGTAGAGATACCCCCTCCGAATTACTGCAGTTCAAGAGTAAACCTGTCTCATAAGGGTGTACAAGAACTGCCTATGATAAGTATCACAGTGGTTTCTGATAGGGTTGACTGGAAAGACAGATCTAAACTATTTTGTAGCTCTAAACGCAGCGAGTTCCGGTGGTGGATATAATGTTTCTTTTATACAATGAGAGTTGATACATCCACACCACGCCCGCTCAGTCACCAATACCCTTTTCCAACTCTCAACATGATTTTTTAGTCTCAGCCCAATGTCATCAGATATTTTCTTCGATGTACTTTTCTCCGAGACCCTCTCACTGTCCTGACTCCGGAGATGTTTACAGCACGAGAAGAGCAGGCACGGGACGCGCTAACCCAACGCGGCAGATTATTACCTAAGCAGCGGCTGCCTGGGTGCCTCAGGTGTCGAGCGTGGCCGCAGCTCCGCATCGAAAAAGAAAATTTCCCCCGCCGCGCATGAATTAATTTTCTCTGAATTGTTTTCCCCTCTTGCTACTCCGGAGGAATAAAAGAACGACATTTGCTCACAAGTGCCTGATCTCCATTCATATTTTCCTCACCTTAGGTATGGATTTCCTCAGCGTTCTTCCGTTCCCCCCATCCTTGCATCTTGAAGGCGCGCCCGCATTGGCCGTGAGTCGCGTGTAGAGGCAAGCTTCCTGCGACAATTTTACGTTGGTTGCTTGCATTTCATTTACCTTGTTTTTGTCCTCACCTTGCGACTGCTCGCTTACTACGGGACTATTATGAGTCAGATCTGCTAACGCTTTTCGAAAATTCCAGTTTTTAATTTTATTCCATTTTTCCCCCTTATCATCACTCTCACCTCTTCCCTAATCCTTTGACCTTTTGAGTCACCCGCCACACACACATACACAATGTCCGACGAACAGAAGACCGTCAACGCCGAGGCGACGCAGGACGTCCAGAACGTTCTGGCTGAGCTGAAGGGCGACGGCGAGGCCCCCGCTAATGGCACTGAGAAGAAGGAGGAGCAGGCCCCTACGGAGGATGCCGAGGAGGCTCGCATTGTCGCCGCGGCCGCAAAGTTGGGCGAGGAGCAGGCTACAGAGAAGAAGGACACCAAGACGCAGGAGCGCGATTCGCGCAGCAGCAACAACAACAACAACAACCGAGGCCGTAACGATCGGTTTAACAACCGCCGCAACAACGCCAAGTTCGACCCCAGCTCGCAGCAGATCACGGACGACCCCGTCGAGATCCGCAAGCAGGTCGAATTCTACTTCTCCGACTCCAACCTGCCCATGGACAAGTTCCTGCTCGGCAAGGTCGGCGGCAGCAGCAACCACGCCGTGCCCCTGGAGCTCCTGCACTCCTTCAAGCGCATGCGCCGCTTCCAGCCCTTCAGCGCCATCGTCGAGGCCCTCAAGACGTCCGAGACCCTGGAGCTGACTGACAAGGACACCGCCGTGCGCCGGAAGACCCCGCTGCCTGAGTCGGTGAAGGACTCGCACGACCCCAGCATCGTCAAGGTGTTCGAGGACAAGGCCATGGACCGCAGCATCTACGTCAAGGGCTTCGGCGAGGAGGGGCCCACCACCCAGCTCGAGATCGAATCGTTCTTCGCGCCCCACGGCCCTACGAACGCCATCCGTCTGCGCCGTGCGCATGACAAGACCTTCAAGGGCAGCGTCTTCGTCGAGTTCGAGAGCGAGGACAAGCAGAAGGCCTTCCTGGCCCTGGACCCCAAGCCCCAGTGGAAGGGTCAGGATCTGCTGATCAAGAGCAAGAAGGAGTACTGCGAGGAGAAGGTCCGTGACATCGAGGCCGGCCGCATTAAGCCCAGCAACGGCCGTGGCCGTGGGCGCGGTGGATTCCGTGGTGGTCGCGGCCGGGGTCGTGGCGGTAATGACAAGCGCGACTGGCGTGAGCGTCGCTCCGAGGACCAGAAGAAGGGCTTCGAGGAGCGTAAGGAGATCCAGAAGGATTCTCGGTAAGATCTGTGCTTCCCTCTCAATGATGATTCATACTAACATGTAAATATTAGTGGTGTCCCCGTGATCCAGAGCACCTCGACCGAGTCGGGCCAGAAGCGTGGTCGCGAGGAAGAGTCCGCCAACGGCGATCACCCTTCCAAGAAGGTTGACGTGAAGGAGTAATGATATCCAGATATAGTTTTCTTTCCTCCCTTTTGTTTCAATTAGTATCTTATTTTATCCCCTCGACGGACCAAACCCTCGCTTTCTCCCCCACGAATGAACAAGGGCGGAGAAAGAAAGAAAGGGAATGAATGTAAAGCATGGTTTGATTGCTTGCTTGCTTGCTTGCGATCTCGAACAAAAAGGAATATTTTCGTCTGGTTTACTGGAATTTGGAATGGCGTTTTCCAAAAAAATTTTACTGTCTTCTATTGAATTCATTATTTCATTGTGCTAGACCTAACTCCAAAAGTCATTGTTAGGATGATGTCTCCTCACCTTTACATTTTCTATTCTCTCGATCCATATCCATCCTATACACTAAAACAAAGCAAATCAAAACTCCAAATCATAAGCCAACGTATCCTCGCACAGCTCCTCCCTCAACTTATGAACCCTACCCCATCGCCATAAATTAGCCCAAACCTAACAAACAGAGAAGAGGGCAAAACCAGGTGGGGGGGATTCTACTCCAAATGCGCCGGATGCACCGCATACCCCTCAACATGGGCCGGAGTTTCCAAGACCGCCACGAGACCCATATCGAAGCCCTTGGCGCGAGGCACGGAGATGGGCAACGGCTGGTTCGTCTTTAGGGACACGAGGCCTGGGATCTTGCCGACCATGGCTTGGGACACGCGGGACCAGTTTTCTAGTTGGGAGGCTGTGACGCCTTGTTTGAGGCGGAAGAGGACTTTTGCGGGTTGTTAGGTTAGGGTAAGGTTGGTTTTGGTTTGGTTTGGATATGTGGGTTGGGTTGGGTAGGTGGAAAGAAGGTGGAGGGGAGGGAGAGAGAAGGAAAGGGACAAACCGATGTGGTAGACGGGCATTTTTTTCTTCTTTTTCTTCTTTTTCTGCTTTTTGTTGTAAAGTGTATAGAGATGTATGGATATGGGGGTTTAAATAATGGATAGATTGCAAGTTGAAAGTGAGTGAGTCAATCGATGAGGGGAGATGGAGAAGGGTTTAATTAGTATTGCGGAGTATTTGCGGAGGGGAAGAAATCGGGGTGCCTCCGAGTCCAATCCTTTGGAAAGATCGGGTAAAGTGGTCGATGGCGATCGTTCTATCTTATTCGGGATACATGGAAGTAGATCGGTGAGAATATGTCGAGATTACTGTCCTATGCAATTATGTTCAACATCATTAGGTAGTTCATTGAAAATGTGCGGAAATTGTACATATTCTTGAACCATCTCGGGATATCTACAGCCGACAGATGCCGAGGTGCTCTATAGCATCAATATTTATTTCTTCTTCTTCGTCTTATCCACCGTGTCAATCCATTGCGCCTTCAACCCTCGTCGTAACAGCGCCGTCTCCAATGCACGTCGCTGGTCACCCTGTATGAGAACCTCCATGACTCCTTTGGGCGCGCTGTTCGCCTGGGTCACGCTGGTGCTGCTGGCACACTTCTTCTGCAGCTCCTCGGCCAGCAACCCGGGGATGATCCCGAACACCTCCAGGTTGGAAACCTTGGTGACGGTCTTCGAGCCCGTTCGGCGCTCAAGGACTACATTGGCCTTGGGGGCTGCCCCAGGCCGGGGCTTCACGTCCGCCAGCGTCTGTCCGGCTCGGAGGATCACATAATGCCTGGTCATGAGGCTGTTGTCTTCCACAATTCGCTTCAGGAGACCGTCACGAGTGGTCTTGCCGCGGGCAATGGTGCTCTTGTCTTCGGCGGAGGAGGATGTGAAGATGGTGTTGGCAAGGAAGGGGTTGAGGTTGATAATGCGGCGGTTCTCCTTGCTGACGATCGGGGGGTTCTGGGCCTGAAGATATTGATCTAGTGCGTTGGAGACGTCGGGGTACTTGTGGTAGTTTTTGGGATCGGAGGTGGATAGCGGTGCGAAGATGGTCGGTATGAGTTTGGGCGTTGGCCGGTAGAGCGCTTGAACGGTGAGCGTCTGACCGACGGCAGGGTCTCCTCCATCGTTCGCTACCGGTTTCTTGTTCCCGTCGGCGCCAGTCTTTCCAGAGCCCTCGAGGGCATTCTTGTTGGGAAGTCTGTAAGGAACAAACTGCTCCACGCGGCGGTCGTTGAAATCCACGTCCAATATGACGGTCTCTTGGCCATTGCGGTCCTTGGACTTGACCAATCGCTGCTTGTCTAGATACTTGATGAATTTTTTGACGTTCTTCCAGCTCGTCTTCTTGATGAGGTAGAATTGCGCCTGCTGTGCCGTGTATATAGGAAGATACGGTGTGATCATATTCGAGATGAGAGCGGAAGGTTGGATGGGAAGGGAAAGACCGTGGTTTGGAGATGAGGGATTGTCCTGCTTGAGCTTGTGAAGGGAATAGAGGAATGCCTTTTCAAAGGCCTCGTCGATCTCTGCGCATAGTTAGCATCTGTGAAGTACTAACGGAGATTGCATGTTGAGAATACCTTTCGTAGAAGGCTCCTTTTCCACCGGAGCTGCCTCTTCTGCCTCCTCGGGCTGATCCTCAGGAGTTTCGCCTAGAGGTTCTTCTTGCCCTTCGGTTTCATTGGCGTCTTTCTCAGCTAACGTCAGATCATCAACGCCCTCCTGGATCTTCTCGGCATCCTCCTCCTCACTCTCCAGGTCCTCATCCCAGCCCTTGATATACTCCGGAGACGGTTGTCCCGGCCGGGAAGATGCACTCCACGCCCACAGCTCATCTCCTTCCCAATGCAAGCCCCGTACCGCATGTCCCTTCGTGCCCTGGACTTCTCCGAGAGCCGAGATATCAATCTCGCAAATCCCAACGAACAACGGCACCGTATGTCGGTCCAGGCTCGCCACCGCAATCACCGCGCCCTTGACCGCACGTTCCGGAAATGGCGGCTCATTCGCCAGACCCGGCGTCATCAAATCCGCACCTCCACGCAACTTCTGCATCACGAAATTTGGAGTATGCACCAGCGGAACGATGTTGGGGTTATTCCACAGGGTATAGACGGTGGGGTACAGGCGTCCGTCGGCACCAGGGCCGTGGTCCAGCCTGAACCACAGGATCCGTTCCTCGCTGCCCCCATGTGATCCGACGCACACGGTGCCTTGCACCTCTTTCAGCTGAGGCCCCGCCGTCGTCGTGAAGCGCGCAGACAACGAATTATCGGGTAGAAGCGCATTTCGAATGGTGGTGAGATTGGGCGCGGCGGGGTTTGATGCGCTGGAGTCTTCGGCCGACGTATTGGAGGGAATCTCGATCTTGTAATCGCTGATGATTTGGTCGGCGATTTTCCGACGGTCGGAGGACCGCAGAGGAGAAAGGTTTTTGATCTATGGCGGATGGAATTAGCTCTTGTTATCGCGAAATGCTTTTTTGCTTTCTTTCTCTGTTTTCCGTCGGAGAAGCAATGCGGGGGAGGGATCGCAAACCGTGGGCTTCTTTTTGAACATGGCGAAAGATGGCAGTGACTCAAGGACACAAGAAATGTACGGAATGAACTATACAGCAAGAAACAGGCGGTCACCCGTGGACCGAGGAGTGTTGCAGAGAACAGAAGGGCTGAGCATTTGAGAGGGGAGAAAAGAAATGCAATGCTTGACTCAAAAAGGCGCCGCAACAACAATCGGCCGCATTTCCCCGCCTCCCGTCATTTGGGTTCGTCTTTCTTCTCACTCCATGAATTCTACTTCATACTGTACATATGATAAATTATGTTTTATGATGTACTACAGTTCAGACAGATCTCAGGGAAGAAATAAAATGGAGGCTTGAAGTTCCAAAAAATAAATTTGTCTAGTTACACAGGTAATGATCTCGGATCCATTATTTAAAATGGGTAGAAAGTAGATTCAAACCTTCCGGTTGAAGATTGCAGGAAACGAACGTCGATTCGGTTCAAAACCCGGTCTTCTGTGACCTAGTTGATTGATTTAGGCAGAGGTGTCACGAGCGTGCTTCTTGTCGGTGACCAGCCACGAGAAGGTCTCGCTGAGGAGGCTGAGGAACTGGTCGGCAGAGAGCGAGTTGAAGTACTCAGTCAGGCTGGCACTGCTGGTGCCGGAGGGAGCAGGGGCAGAGGAGTCAGAGCTGCCGGTGGAAGTGGCAGCGGCGGCGGCAGTGGTGGTAGCGGCGTCCTGGACCTTGGTCTGCTGGGCAGGGGAGCCGGTGACGGTCACGCTGGCGACAGCAGTCGAGGTCTGGTAAGCAGTAGCAGTGCTGGTCTGGGCACCACCGGCGGCAGCCTGGGTGGAGGCAGCAGCAGCAGTGGTGGCAGCAGCGCTGGAGCTGGCAGAGCCGCTGGAGCCGGAGCCGGAGCTGGAAGAAGCGCCAGAGTACAGAGCGGGGCCGGGGATCTTGTAGGAGTCAAGGCTGGAGTAGATGCTGACGAGGATGCCGGCGTCGGTATCCTTGTAGAGCTTGGTACCAAGGGTGCCCGTGGGCTTGTCGCTGCCGCCACCGGTGACCTTCAGGTTGAAGCACTGGGGGTAGTTCTGGGCGCCGTCCTTGTTGCCGGCGGAGTGGAGACCGATGATTTCGTGACGGAGGACGTAGTTGCCGGCAGCAATGCTGTCGGGGACAGTGACGGTCCAGCTGTTGTTGTTCTTGATCAGCTCGTCGGAGGCCCAGGTTCCGGGGGCCTCGCTGCCGTCAACCAGACCCTTCTGGTCGATCTTGAAGAACTCGAGCGAAGTCTTGTCGACCTTGGAGCAGTCACCGTTGCAGTTGGCCAGGTAGGTGATGACGGGGCCGTGGTGAGACTCGGGCCACTCGGTCCACTGCAGCTCGACCTTGCCACCGGCAGCGATCTCGGCGGAGATGGCACCGGGCTTCGCGCTCTTGTGGCAGATGATGTCGGCGTTGGAGTAGTCGCTGCCGTCAACGAAGCCCAGGTCGGTGGCCTCGGTGGACCATCCGATGGTCTCGGGGGGGCTGTCGCTGTAGGCGTAGGAGCTAACGATGTATCCTCCGTAGTACTTGCCGTCAACAACGGCGCCCGAGACGTAACCGTGACCGGCGACCAGAGCGGCCGATCCGAGGACAACACCAGCGATTTTAGCGATAGACATGTTGTATGTGAAGATGATTAACGCACAGCGTAATCGAGTTAAGAGACCGAATGGGGTGGATAATAAAGAATGACGAAAAGAATGGTCTTCAATCAATGAAGCCGAAAAGAGAAAAAATGAGAGAATGGAAGGTTCTGAGACCCTGGAAAGAAATGAATGCGGTGGTGATGAGAAAGAAAGAGAAGTCGGATCAGCATCGTGAAGGACCAGCTTTTTATATGATTATGGCTGTTGTTCATCTGTCCGTCCAAACTCCCCCCGCCGGCGCTCAGACCAGGACGGTGTGCTTCAAATGATTAATGAAAGGTTCGTCGCAGGCGTTAATGCGGCACTTTGATAGATTGTCTGACAGCACTTCTCCGATCTGACTGGTTCGGAGCCCCTCTGATAGGTGGAGATTGGTCGAGAGAAGGTCACGGAGTCTGAGATTGATGAAAGACAAGCACCGGGGCCTTGTCCAAGGACGCGCCGGTAAGTTCCAGCGTTGAAGAACGAGTCCACTCCACCAGGAACGGGGGACTATTTGGGAGCTAGCGTTGCCCATACCGACCAGAACGAAGACTGCATCCACGGCCCTAAGACTGAAGGCTCACTAAAGCAGGGTTTCTTTCTGACCATGGCGAGTCAGGGGTGGAGCCCCGTTCCTGGCGCTTGCCTGCGACAGTCTAGGTTTCGGAGTATGAGCTATTCTCCAGCCTGCCAAGTGTCAATATGAAAACTTCTACCTCGTGGTTCGGAGCAATTACCCTTTCATTCGCGCCTGAATGACGAAAGATCCCAGTCAACATTAATTGCGCGGAGATTTGAGCAGCGAAGCCAAGGTCTTGGTAGTTCGTGAAAGAGGAATTTAGAACTTGGATGAGCGCAAATCGGGCGGTCGGCCAAATCGGATTTGCTCCACGTGCCTTGCCTTGCCCTGATCCCGATCCGGACTGCTGTTTACTATGAACTATTCACATTTGACCATCCGACGACTCTCTCCGGAGTATTCTTCTTTACTAATGCCTACCTATAGGAGTGAGGCAAATTACTTCGAGGCATTAGTCTAGACAACGCGGCCTATTAGGCTGTTCCCTCCGTGATAATGTCAGTCTGCTCCCTCTTGCGGCATCGTTGCCCGTGAAACCGCTAATTGCATCGTGGATTCAATATAAAGCGGACTCCATCGACCGGCCTAGCAAATTCCCCCTGCTTTTCCTGCTATGGCGCCATGATTCCATCCCGTCGATGGAGATTAGGGGTTAAACCGTTAAATTGCAGGAGCCCCTATCGAGACCCTCCTTGGCAATATCTAACGGTGGTCTGCCTACGATTTAGGCCCCATTAGCGTCCAATTGATTTACCCGTGGCGTCGGCTACCATTGTTCATCCAGTCGAGGACCATAGAAAATGTAAAAAGGTACGAGAATGACGACATTAGCTGCCATCCTGATTGATTGACTTGATTGCTTTCATTTAGTTGTCCGGGCCAAGGGATCCCCCCTTTCGTATGCCTGACACGCCCCCCCGACGAAGCGCTCGGCTTTATCTAAGACAGGAGAAGCCGCCAACGAGGTGGCTACGGTGTATATTAAATTAATCTATGGGTGGGACTGTGATCCGGGCAGCCTGCAACTATCGTCAATCACATCCTTGGACTGAAACATCCAACGGTTAGCGTTGCCGCCATGTCTGACCTAGGCCCGTCCGTTCGAATCCGCTTGGGGCCTCGTTGCGATTCGTCCAAGTTTTTTGCTCGTAGGGCTTCCGGATACACGCCGACATATGAAACGACTGTGGGCATCCGACCAATTCCAATGCGTTTTATGCTTAAATCGCAAAGCTGGTCCGGCAGTGTCGTCTTCTGATTTTCACCCTATCCACGGGTTAGGCTTCTTTCCCGTAACGCCGAAGTTGTATCCGCCGAGTACAGCGCCCATGTTTCTCTAGAAAGTCCGAGATTATTGAGTAAGATGGGGGCCGTCATTTCCGGTGACAGCCAGACATTCTGGCAGGGAATAATCAATATTATTGCTACATACTCCGGAGTTGAGCAGGCCCAGTGGCAAGGACCTTTCGGGCGAGAGATTATTGCGAACAAATCAACAAAGGCCGCAACTACCAGTGCTCAAGATTGATATAAACCTATCTGGAGCCTCTTTAGATTGGTCACTCAGCCACTCACTAAGTGGCTCTCCTTGTTGTATATTTTAAGGTTCATATATCAGGACCTGTGTGGATTTAAGACACTTTTCTGTTTGGCTCTTTATATCTTTGACGGGCCCAAAAGTATCTATCCAGCCGCACTACGAAGTACTCGGTCTCTTTTAGTTTTAGGTGTGCACGCTATAAGGAGCGGAATACTACCTATGTGACTACCAATGTCGCATATAATGCCGGATGAGAGGGCCGAAATTGACTTTGTACTCCATATCTCACAGAGATCGGTTACTACTGGAAGTAATCAAAGTATATTTTTAGATAGCCACTTAGAAGGTATAGTTTTCCGATAGCTGAAGTCTCATTCGGACTTATGATTTTTCATGTAAATGTCATTGACGGATCAACTAGGAATCTTTCTCCATCTTGCTTTTGAATGGTCTCCCTGATTAAGACCCTCATCGTGCAGATGCACTACAGCAGCGGTAATGCAAGAAACATTGTAAGATTGTCTAGATTTGGTCGAACTGGTCTAGACGTGAGTATCAATTACTGCGCAGTACTCCGGGGCTGTAGATGGGGTTACCTGAAGACATATATTTTTTTAGGTACTGTGTAAAGGTACACCTTACTGCTCAACAAGTATTGACATTGAACTTATGAAAGTTGTTCATCTTGTTTCTAACTGTCAAACGTAATCCGATACTGAGAGGTTTCTTGAGCGGTCTGCCGCATATATATTCTAGTCCAGAGGACAATGCAAGACTCGATCCGGAATAAATCAACTGTTACCAATGATGATGACAAAAGACTACAGTACGAAGTAGAAGCAAGCGGATCTACCAGTATCTACTGAGTAACCAACTACCCACGACTCCTTCCAAGATCGGCCCAGCCACCGAACGTAAACCACCAGAAAAATTCTGCAACGATCGCTATGGGCTCTGGAAGCGAGCGAACCAGGAAGCGGCACTCGTATCTCTCTCCGACATCGACCGATAAAGAGACGTGATCGCCGACGACGGAGTGGCCGGCCCTGTAAGGCATGCAGCCGGGCCTGTCAGGTCTGTACAGTAGGGAGCAGAGAACCAATGATTCGTTCTCCGCCATGAGTAGATGCAGGCTGTCAGACCGACCATCGCCATCTAAGGCAAATATCTAGTCACGGCGCTTATCATTATTTCAAACCAGCCGAAGATAAAGCGGGCAAGACAGCGGACGTTGTGCTCAGTAGCAGATCAGTGAGAACACGTTACGGCGCCTTATCCCCTGCCTCGTACAGTCGTACTACCCAATAAGACTCCCAGTCATCGGGGTACAGATTACCAACTCGGTAGGTAGATGGAGGCACTCGTGCCCCACGGGCGTCAACGATAGGCGGGATGGCGTAACCCCGGACGTCTACCTAGGAAGAATGTACTAGGTACCGCCTTGGGTAGTACGAGCATGACGAAGGGGTGTCGTTGGCGTCCTGTTGCAGGTGAACAGCTGTAGAGCAACCAAGGGAAGACGTCCGGGATCATCGTATTCCACGCCCGAAGACGAAGAAGGCAGCTAAGATTGGGATTCGAAGAAAATCCGTTGAGGAACTGGATCTTAGTCATCGGTATCACGACGTGGCTGTGCTTACCTGCCCTGTAACAATACCTGACTTTACGGTACCTACCACTCTCCCCAACGGCACTAAGTCTGGATTGGGCAATCTCCTGAGTCATCATTTGACAGCGGCACCCAATCAGAGGATGTCAGTTGAGGGAATTGGCATTCGGCCGTCGAGTTCCTCCGACCGCTATGTGTGGCCGTTGCCTTGTCGGGCTTAGCAGCAGACGGGATGACCCCTGCCCCGTAACTTACGGTACATCGTGTTCATATTCGTACGGTAAGTGGCCATGCCCCTTTCTCCAGGCTGCCGGCTTATCGCACTCTTTTTGGGTCTTTTCTGCGACTCTTTGAGTTACTCACAAAGACACGCAGAGAAGGCGAGAGAGGAGAGAGGAGTCACGAATACTACTCCTCTTACTCTTTTTACCCCGACTTACCTACTCCCACCGTCATTCTCACGGAGTTAGGTCTACCTCGTCCCTACAATCCACCATTATTTACTTATCACACCGCAATCAATCAATCAATAATCCTTTTTTGGCGCCCACCGCCTCCGACCCTCGCCTCGCCGCTCTCTAGTTTTTCCATCCTCTTCTCCCCTTTCCCTGTCCAGGACGACTGCGCCGCCCCGTCTCCGCCCTTACGCCCACCTTACCTTACTTTTCTCTTCCCCAGAGCATAATCTCACCCTCCCCCTCAATCCGTCGATCCGCTAGATCTTCCGACTCCTGTTGCGATTTATTTCGATCGATGAGGGGTGCTGTCAGTCCGAAAGGTTGGACCTGTGCGTCGTGAGCGACCTTCATCTTTCGCCTGACCCGGTCAATTCTGTGCCGACCGTCTTTTGTCCTGGTTGTACGATCGGGTCTTGGAACGCGGTGATTTGTTTGGATCTGGGACACCATTAAGAGGAAGCTATCTGGCGCTGTAGACCTCCTCAACCCCCTTGGTCCTGCGCGTCTCCCCGGACATTCAAGGATGGGACCGGCTGAGGCTGCCTCTTCGCCCGTGTTCCCCGTCTTGGACCCGATTGTTGTCGACGACGATATGGAGGCGGTCTACCAAGATACCAATCTCGACTTTCTTGACCCGTCGGGCCTGTCCGGGACGACCGAGAGTGCTGGCCGCGACTTCGACGACCTTTTTGCCCATTCCACTTCTTCCCGCACTGTCACCGACTCGGACTCGACGTGTTTGTCGCCGGCGGAGCTGTCTGTGAAGCGACCTTACCCAGAAGCCGATGTGCTGAAGCGGCCTAGCATCGTGAAATCAGACTCCCCCGCAGAATCCCCCGACGATTCGAGTCGCAGTTCTTCCTCAGAGTCGCCGCGGAACCATATTCGAACTGCCTCGCTCGCCTCGAGCGCCGTGTACAGCGAGAACCCCAACATGCCTTTTGGCTACACAACGGAGGATTGGATTAATCCCGAATTGATGCCGGTCAAAGAGGATGATTCCTTCTCGTTTGATCCGTCCGTGTCGCTCATCGATGGCCAATTTGGCGCGGAGTCGGATCCCACTGAGAATGTCATGATGAACTCCGCCTTCGATTTCGAAAGTGCTGCCAGTAGCCCGAGTCCATTGAAGACCGATCCTCCTCCGCAACCGATGTCGCAAAGGAGCTCGAAGAGCCGTTTTCGCAGCGCGTCTAATATCACCGCTAGGCAGTCTTCATCCCCGGTAAGTCTCCCCCATCATCGCGCATATGACACAAAACCCCTTTCGCTAACCTTGGATTGTTTCTAAAGAGTTTTTCAACGGGATCCTCTTACTTCAACCTCGGCGCCAAAGAACCGTCCCCGTTTTCGGCCTCGAAATTCCCTGTCAAAGGAAAATCACCTTCAAATCAATGGGTAGCCCACTCTCCCTCCTCACTTCTAGAGGAAAGCTTTGGTGGAATCAATATGAATGGCAGCTCCCCGATGAGCCATGGTCTGACCTTCACGCCCAACGCATTTAATTTTGGTCTCAATTTTGCGCCGTCTCCAGTACCAAGCACAATTAAACCGGAATCCCCTCAGCGTCATATGTTGACCGTTCATCCGACGTCCCTTAAGTCGCGCGTGGAAACACAAATCCCCATCCGATTGACGCTCTTCCCGTTACCCGCCGGTGTTAAGAAAGTAAGGCTACCTAGTCATACGATCTCGAAACCGAAATTCCTCGCACCTGCGTCCGCCGAACGATCCGCCGAAGTCGTCGAATTGCACACTAGTCTTGTTTGTACTAGTGCGATGCAGGATCAAACGAAACTCAGGAAGGCGTTTGCTCGAGCTAGAGGCGAGGATCGCTACCGTGCGTCGAGTTCGAGTCCTCAGACCTTTAGTGACTTGCCGGAAGACGAAAAGCCTCTGGATGGTGGCGAAGTGAAAATCTGTACTGGCTGCATCCAGCGTGAGCGGAAGCGGGCTTTTCGAAAGAAGCAGAGAAAGCCAGAGGAAGACGAGTTGTTCCAAAAAGACGAAGAGAAAAGAGTCATTGTTTTCAACACAAATGAGATTAAAGAGTGGACCGAACCGTCTAAAAACGCCATGCCGGGGTATGGTGACACCCCGGGGCCTATCATTCCTGCCGGGGCCATGCAGGTCGAATTGCCTATGCGCATCGCGTGTTATTGCAGGCACCAGAATGAGAAACTTGGATTCCAGTACGTCATCTTACGATCCCTCCTTCCCCTCCTTCTCCCTTCTTCCGTTTCTCTTCGACTGACATATTTCTGTGCAGGGTTATCTTTACGGTGAAGGACTACAAAGACAATGTTATTGCGCAAGCAATTACTAACTCGATCATGATCACCGATGACCACAAGACTCATGCGCCGCCGGCGGCTCCTGCCCCTGGTCCTTCTCCTGCTTTGCCGGATGGGACACAACTCCCCGGCGTTGGTGTCTTCCCGTCTGGTCCTAGCGTTGACCAGGGGAAGACGCCCCAGCAAGCACCGTCACCATCAGCAACGGATCTTCAAGGTTTACAGCAGAGGTTCAACTCACAGTATCAGCTTAATGGGGGCTCTTTCTCTTTGCCCCAAAACCAGGCCAATGGCGCTGGGCCCTCCAATCCGCAGCCCTCTCGAAGTCTCTCCCGCCAGACATCACCGAACGATTTCCAGGGACCGATGACCAAGCGGCGCAAACATAGCAACTCCGGAAGGGTCCCGTCGGAATTGACCATGACCAAGCTTGAAGGCGTGCAGCCCTCTGCCGGCGTCTCCAATGCATCGGGTCTTGGCAACGACACGCAGTTTTCGGCGCCCCGTGGATTTGCCTCCCCCGTCGAAAGGCCTTTTGTGACCTCATCTGGCATGCCAAATCAATTTTCGAACGGCCCACCGACACCTGGGAGCGGCGACAATAACCCGTTTTTCAACCCCGCCGCGCAGCAAAGTCTGGATAGCTTCATTCAGCAGCAGCTGATGTCCGCCCCGAACTCGGCTCAGCCGAGCCGCCCCGGAACACCCGGCGGTTCTTCTCGCAACACATTCCAAGACCAAAGTCTCAATATCTCATTAGGCCCGAGCCCCTCGACTCCCATGTGGCCGCCTATAACTAACGCTGGCAACCGACTACCTTCCGTCATTCACAAGCTGGTCCCCGCCGAGGGTTCTATCACGGGAGGGACAGAAGTAACGCTCCTAGGAAGTGGCTTCTATCCTGGAATGGAGGTTGTCTTCGGCGATACGCTTGCCACAACGACCACGTTTTGGGGCGATAAATGCCTCAATTGCCTAACTCCGCCCTCACTTCATCCCGGAATGGTGGCAGTCGTTTTCAAGCATGAGCATCCCACGTTCGGTCAACTGCAGCCAGCTCAGCCCCTGATGCCTAAACAGCAACAATTCTTCCGCTATGTGGATGATCGCGAGCTGCAAATGTACCGTCTTGCCCTGGGTATCCTTGGACAGAAACTTGGAAGCCAAGCAGACGCGTTCCAGACGGCCCAGCAGATCATGGGTAGCGACTCGAAGTCCATGTTCAATCTTCCGAAGGATTTCCAGGGCAGCTCTGGCGGTCATCAGCGCCAAGTCCCTGGGTTGGAATCGCAGGGTAAATTGAGTGATCTAGACTCGAAAATGCTCTCTTATCTTGAGTTTATCGATCTCGATGACAACCCACGCCCACCCAAGTTTAACAGCCGAGGCGGAACCGGCCAAACTCTCCTTCATTTTGCGTCTTCTCTGGGACTTACCCGATTTGTTGCTGGGCTCCTGGCTAGAGGCGCAAACCCGGACGTGCAGGATAGCACTGGCAACACGCCCATGCATTTGGCAGCCCTGAACGGCCATGCGCACATCGTCCACCGACTGCGCCTGGCCGGTGCTAATGTCAACGCTCGTAGCATCCGAGGATTCACTCCTGCTGACTTGGCTACCACGTTGCCGGCACACCAGGCAGCTCTAATCCCTGCGCGTCACTACCGCTCGCGCAGTGTTGGGTCCTTGGGCTCATCGCGACGCAGACACAGCAGCTCGGCCTCGCTCCATTCCATGTGGGAGTCTTCTTCAGGCTCCTTCGATAATGCTGTTGATGATTCGGAGGACGAGGAAGAGACCGATGAAGAGGATGTCGTCAGCTTCACAGTATCCCGACGAGCAAGTGTTCATCAAGATGCGCCCTCTCCGATCTCGCCTCCCGAGCAATCCGCCCCCGAGGAAGATGCACGACCATACTCCCCTCCCGCGGCTCTGGTTGCTTGGCGAAACCAGCTTCAAGCCCAGATCAACCAATTCCAGCAGAGCGTTTCCAATGCATTCCCTAACCTGCCTGCTTTGCCGCCTATGCCGGCTTTGCCCGACTACCAGGCCCATCCGATGATGCGACGCATTACCAACCTCGTCCCACACCGGCCAGCGTCCGCCAGGGCGGCGAAGGACGGTTGGTGGGACATGTTGACGGGCAACTCTGCGCCTAGTACCACTGAGTTACCCTCTTACGAAGATCTCTATCCACGTAAAGAGGAGAACGAGGAAGAAGCGGCGCAACTCAAGAAAACGAGCATGCTGCAAGCAGCGACGGAGGCAGCGTTGGACCAGCATTTCGAAGCCCAGGTCACCGAACAAGCCAGTTCGTCCCAGACTCCCGCGGCCAAACACGACAAGGATGATCTCAAGGATATCCGCATTGGCCGTAAAGTGATTTCTCGTGAACAGCAAAAGCACCTCCGAGAACAGCAAGCTCAGAGAATGAAGGGACTTGGTAACGACCGGAACCTCTACTTTATTTGGGTAAGTGCTTTAACATCCTGGGCGGTTTTCTTCCAGACACTAATTTTCGTCACAGATCCCTCTTTTGCTTCTGGTCATCGGCGCATGGATTCGGAGCTACGTTCCAGGTATCTGGCACGGGTTCTCAAGTGGTGTCGAGTTTGTCAAGTCCCGCTACGCGCAGCGGGCCTTGGATGTCGGGGTCTAATCTTTCTCTCCTATTTTATCTCTTATCTTCAACTCCATCTTGTTCTCTCCTGACCCCCTGTCCTTTCCTTTCCTTTCCCCCTTCCCCTTCCACCATATTTCTTTCCGTGCACCCGACCCTTTTCTTTTTATTGGAATGTTGTTTTCAGCCAGGGCGTTCATGTCCCCAGAGTGGGCGATACAAATGGGCCTGTTTTCTTTTGTTTTACCGATTACTTGCATAATGATGGGATATGACACTTTGATCTTGATTGGATTGCATTACTGATTTGACATGCTGTACAAAGTCGTTCATTGGATTTCCAGAAGGCTATTTTTGTGATATGAAGGACTTGAATACTAGGTGAATGTATTTATGTGTATACAATTTATGGGCGCGCGTGTATATAGCCCCCTATTTCTATTATGATAGTCAGAATCTTTTCAGAATTTTGAATGTTCTTACATCCTGCATTGTATGTGTAGACCTGTCTGATGGTGCCAAGACCAGGCACATGGAGGCGCGGGAGCCGCAACGCGGAGAAGACCGTTCGTCAACAACCCGTCCCCTGATATTCTCTCGAGTCCTTACCACCCCCCAAAGTCCCTCCCTTCACCGAATCCCCAAAACGGAATGATTCCTTGGAGTTGTTCAATTTATCCCGGATAGCGCTCGGGGAAAATGGACCCATCACCACAGGCGGGCTCGAGCAGTGTCACTGGTAGGTAGAAAAAGACCGCCCCGGAGAATAAGATGGAACGCAGGGTAGCTTACACTCGCTTGCAATGCTCCAGTCGAATATACCGATCCCTCCGGACTGTTCTCTCTCGTCCAGCCTGTCATCGCCGACAAGTTCCCGCTCAAGAACCTCCACTGGAAATCCCCCACGCGCCCCGTCCGGTCGATCGAATCCCTTCGCATTGGCTTCGTGCCAGCCGCCAATGAAGCCGATGAGCGCAAGTCCTCCAGTGACACCACCAGAGGCGCCGTAACGCACCGGCGACACCAAATCCCTGGCCTGCGCCAAACGCCCTACCTGAAAATCTTCCTCCTTCGCTGCGACGATAATGACACCTACAAGAGTACCGCGAGGAAGGCCCTGCGCGAATGGATCAAGAACCATGCATCAATGTCGCATTCCTCCGTTCCGTCCAGCAGTCAGGAGAAACACGATGCCTTTGAATGGCTGATTCTGCATGTTGTTCAGGACGGCGACGGCACGGAGAAGGCAGCCTCGTCCTCGAAATGGGGCCGCACTACGACAACAGTACTCGAGAAGATCAAGGCAGATTTCAACGGCGCCTCGAAGACGGCGGTGGACCGTGTCGCTCAGCTGCGATTACCCAAGGCCGGAAGTCCGCAAAAGCCGCCCGAGTTTGCTGATCAGATCGAGGACTTCGTGGACAAAACCAAGAATGCGATCTTGACGTCTTTCAATCTCCGAGTGGCACAATACGAGGAGGACATCAAGGAGAAAGACTCTCAGCGGAGCTTGCCGGGATGGAACTTCTGTACGTTCTTCATACTGAAGGAAGGGCTGGCTAGGGGCTTTGAGAATGTCGGATTGTTCGAGGATGCGTTACTCGGATACGATGAATTAGCGGTCGGTCTGGATACCGCAATCAATGAGCAGCTCGAGGGTAGCAGCGAACAGCATGGCAGCGCTTTCTTGATGTGCAGCAAGGATTGGCAGGAGAAGGCCAAGGCAGCTCTGGAGTCCAAGGAATCATTCCATCAGGATGAGAATGAAGACGAACCAGTCCCGATTCCCGACCTCAACGCCCAGGATTTCCCCATTGATTCCAACAAGAAGTCCTATCGAGAGAAGATCCTGGCCAGCGATATCTCCATTTTCGATTTCCGCACATACCTCTACTCCAGGCAGGTAACACTGCTTCTGAGGGCGGCCAGGGCTCCTTCTCTGGTGAACAGCGAGCCGGATGTCAATGAAAAGCCGGCTAAGGCACCGAAGAAACCGGAGGACATGCTGCTCTTATCCGAGATCTGCGAGCGATCTACGGAATTTATCAGTCTCGCGGCGCGAACCCTTCGGTACGACCTGGAGACTGGACTCGCTGATGTGGACAATGTCGCTAAAGTGGATGTAATCAACAACCTGGTCTCATCATGGGTCTATGCTGCTGCGCAGCAAATCCTATCCCAGACATACACTGCAGCCCTTGTGCTTCCCGAATCCTCTTTGCACACCATCAGTAAAGCGGTGGACGGCAGCGCATCTGCGGAGACCAAGGCCGACCTCCCTAGACGGTCGAGCTCTTTAGTGACGCCAAATGCAACACGCCCTGCTCGATCGAACACGGAAAGTGGCCCGCCAGATGCTATAATGTCTGTCCACTCGCGCTCTAGTAACGATGCACCGAAACTCGCTCCGCCGATAACCCCTAGAACAGGATCCGAGCAGCTGGCATCCGGACGAGGGGAGCTATGCTTGATGGCTCGGCGCGAGTTGGAGGAGATTGCCACGCGATGCGGGTGGGAGGAAAAATGGAAAAAACTCGACCTTCTCTTCGACGATAAAGACACGAATTCGGATATGGACGAGGTGTCACTAGATGACGAGACTCCGAAGCCGGCTGAAGAATCGCAACCTGCTCGCACGCTTTCTGGCGTCGATCTACCCAGTTTGACTGCCTCTCTTCGGTCGAGAAAGTCATTCCGTCACCACTACGAGACCCTTACTGATTCCATGTATCGGCATCATATCACGGCGAACCGCTCCTACTCGGCACAGATGGCCCTTGCCGACATGGCTCTCTTGCGATTCCGCCAGAGTGATTACGGCGTTGCGGCCTCTTATTTCCACCAGATCACCCCATTCTATGGCAGCAAACGCTGGATCGTCCTGGAGGGGGTCATGCTGGAGCTTTATGCGCGATGCCTCCGCGAGCTGAAACGGACAGAGGAGTACACCCGGGTGATTCTTCGTCTCCTGGCGAAATTCGGGATCTATACACAGTCGTACTTAAGCCCCCGGCAAAAGACACTGGATGCTTCAGCGATATTTGCCGAGAAAACGTTGGCGTCTCAGTACGTCGATGAGCTGTTTGAGGTGGCTAGCACGCTACAGAAGGAGGTTACCGCTCCACTGACAGATTTCTTCGCGGATCTAGAGGTGAACCCGGCTATCCTACATTATGAAGACAAAGATGGGTTCCGGTTGCGGCTCGGTATACGATTCATGTTGGGCAAACGGATCAACATCGATTCAATGAAGATTCGACTGGTCAGTGGCGGTAGTGGTCAGATCAGCGAGCATTGGATCGAGGCGCCGACTAAGACTACCATCAAGTCGTCCCCGACGAAGATCCTAGTCGACTCCACGGTACGTTCGCCAGCCGAACCTCATTTGTGTCATACCCACTAACATTAGGCCTAGACTACGCTACAAGGGAAGTACTTTGTTGACCGGGTCGAAGTGCGAGCGCGCAACATCCTATTCACCTGGGGAGGAGGGAAGCACGCGGCTCTTCCCATTGGATTCAGGGAAGCTGTCGACGCCGAAGAAGACCGACCCTCCATCTTCTGCTACCCACCACCTCGGGGACTTCAGGCCAAGATCGAGTCACCCCATCTAATCAACCTAGAGGAAATGCGAACGCTCGAGCTGGTACTGAACAGCGGGTGGAACGACATCAAGACGGGCAACATCCGCGTGCGGCCTGCCACGGCCGGCTTACGATTGCGCATCACCGAAGCCCAGGTGGTGGAAGGCGAAATCAAGATCCTGGCCAACAGCGAGGGCGGCAGTATTGAGTTCACCAATCTGGCGCCGGACTCGTTCGTTCGGTTCCGGATTCCGTACACCGTTGAGGAGCATCACACGATCCTCTCGGCTCGTGCGGAAGTGGGCTACGAGACTGCGCGGGGGCGGTTCTCTTACTGCTCGACTCACAACGTCAACTCGGGCCTTCCGATCAGCGTCAACGTGCAGGACACATTCAAAGACCGGGTGCTGTTCTCTCGCTTCACCGTCAGCCCGGCCATGATGATCCCGCTGCGAATCCTGAAGTGCGACATCCCCAGCTCGGACATCTACCAGGTGCAGTCCAACATCGGCGATTCGACGGCGCTCAGCGTGTTCCCCAAACAGCCTGCCTCGCTGCTGTACAAGATCCAGCAGCGGGAAGACAGCGTGCAGTCGCCGGGGTCGCGAAAGTCTCTCCGGCTCAGCGTGGATTTCACCTGCGTGGATGACGAGTGTCTGACCGCCATTGAGGAAACCTTCCGAGGGAGTATTACGGAGAGCAAGTTCCGACCGTACACGGCGCTGCTGCTGACGCATCTGCTCGAGGCGTTCCGCACGCAGCTGTCGACGTCAGAGATGGAGGTCGTCGGACTGGTGCGCGAGGTGGAAACGTTGCCTTATGGCAGCGTGCGATGGGAAGGGTTGCTGGATACGCTGAAGGAGCCGATGGAGGAATTGAAAGCATGGCTCCGAGAATGGCACCAGGTGAGCGATTTACACATACTCTTTTTGAACCTACGTCCCCACTCAGGTCCCCCCTTACCTTTTCTTTTTATCTCCTATTTGAGATCTACAAATTGGAATGCTAATTCTTTTGGGCGCCACCAGAACCACCCCACGATCAGCCTCCCCGACCAACCGTCCATTCCACGCCGCCATATTGTCATCCCCGTGGACATCCCCGAGATTCAGGTCGTGCACACGGCGGAGTTACGACTCACGAACCTAGTCGATCAGCCACCACATGCGGCCGTGGGGCAGATGATCGCCGCGGAGCTCAGCCTACGACATACCCGACGATGGTGCTCCCCGCAGCATCGCGAGAACGAAGGCGGTCCGCTGGAATTCTCGTACGAGATCCACGCCAACCCGGATCTCTGGCTCGTGGGTGGCCGACGACGCGGCAACTTCACGGCCGACGAGGGCGAGACGTCGACGTTCGCCGTGATGCTCCTGCCCCAGAAACCGGGCCACCTGCTTCTCCCGGGCGTGGAGATCCGCACGTACGTTCCGGCCGCGAGTACGAGCGCGCCAGCCACCACCACTACTAATCAACCAGGCGGTGGTGGCGCCGCAGCATCAGCCGCCGCAGGAATCAGCGGACCGCTGGGCTTGCAGCGGAGGCAGATCGCTTGCGAGGTGGACTATCGCAATCACGGCGAGACGGTGCAGGTGCTACCAGATCTGCGGTCGACGACGGTGAGCCTGAGTCTGTCGGGCGGGAGTCACGGGGGAGCGTGGCTGATCGATTCGGAGCGACGAGTGCATGTATAGATGATCGTGGTTGTTGTCGATAGAGCGAGCGCGATAGATTTCGATATATTTATATATGTACAAGATGTGACTACGATGTTTACAGAGTCCAGAATATGAAATGGTATGAAGTATACAATCTTCAAAACAGTGCAAGCGGGCAAAAGGCCCAAGTTACCCGACGGCTTACCTCGTTAGCGGCTTAGCGCCCGTCCGGTTGACAGGGAGAAATTCAATGAAATGGGCAGAAATAAGAAAAAAAGAAAAATGGTTCGTGCCCCACCCACCCGTCCCAATCTCAACAAAATGGCGGTTGCTTTCCCCAACAAGATTGGCATTTGCCTGTCCCCCGCTGTTACTCCTTCGAGTGGCCGACGGCTTTCTATTTCATGCCTTGAATCTCCTTACTGATGTCGATGGTGCTTGATTTTTTTTATTTATTTATATTCTTATTCTTGTGATTGATATCAATTACCCTCAGCTCGCCTCCGGTGGATTGCGTAGAGGCCACGGAGTACATCGTACAGAGTAGAGAGTTCATCCGGAAAGTATCCCGATCTACGGCGTCCTCTCCTCTCACTCGTCGAGCAGAGAGCCAGACTCGAGACATGTGAAATGGCACGATGCAACCCGAACGATCTCCGAGCATCTGATCCAAGGGCAGTGAGCTTATGATACCTCGGGAAGGGTGAGAGTGAGCACCGCACGTAGTCTAAGCCAACTGAAAGGAAAGGGTCAACCCCAGTGATCAGTGGAAGGAAACGCTAACGCGAACGCTAAACATCAAAAAGAAAAGAATTGTTGAGAAGCCAAGATCGCCAGCAGTGGAGCCCCTTGGCGCCTGGGAGGTTGCCCATTGGTGACCTCGACGCCGGCGGCGTTCCCCAGTCTCGGGTCCTTATTTGACTCAAGTCGAGGGATCGATTCCTATCGATTAGTGTGTCCAGTGTCCACGTCGCCACGGAGTCTCCTCTGTCGGAGTAGTATGCATTACGGGTGGACTGACTGGTCAGAGTCGGGTTCCGAGTGAGACTATACACGATACGCAATCAGCCTAATCCCAAGCAAACATCAACCAGATGTCCATGACTCTGTACTCCGTACTTTGTACTCTCCATTGACAGGTACTCTGTAGAAGAACCGTGGGTTAGACTTAGACTAGAGAGGACTCCGTAGAGAGAGTGTCCACCTTGCCCACCGCAAGGCGAGTGGCGTGTCTCCCCCGATGCGCCTGCAGAGGCTGCACCAGTCACCGTGGCGGCAATTGCAGAGGAACCCGCAGTGATTCTGCAGGTCGCAAACCTTACGCCGGCGACGGGCTGAACAAGACGAAAAAAAGAAAAAAAAAAAAAAGACCTCGGCAGACGGTGCTGACTGAAACTGAAGCTGACCGACTCAGTGGAGGGTTCCAGGAGGCAAAAAGGCAAAGGGAGGACTCTGCGCTGCCCCAACGGAATGCCGCAGATTTCCCCTGGCGAGACACGAAAATTACCCGCTCCGTCGTGCCTTCCTTCCCTAGGCCTGCCAGTTCTGGCCGATTGCCTTTTTAAGTTTTTTCTTTTTTTTTTTTTGTTTTCTGGATTATAGAATTTCAATTCCTTCTCGAGGTCCATTGCTGATCGTCGTCTTTTTTCTTCCTTCTCCTCCTTTCTTTCTTCATCCTTCAGCTGCTTTCTTTCTTTTTCTCCTCAGCTGTCTTCAATCCCTCTTTGTTCTCCCCCTCCCCCAGTGGCTCGGACAAGGACATTCGATCCTATCCCTAGCAGCTGTTCTCTCAATCTCCTCGTCTTATCTTTCCAATCCCCCTCCTCGCCGGGACACCCACGAAGCTTGGTCTCAAAACCTTCTCCTATCATCCTCCATCCATTGGTAAGCTTGCTCAGCTTTAAACTTGCCTGGTCTCCACTCGTTGGTCTTGAAAAGACCCCCGAGTGCTGGACTGCTCACCCTGACTTTCCTCTCCCTTCCTTGCTGTCCCGCCGTCAGCTTGCTTTCTCAATCACATGGACCCTTGACCACATCCTTGACCACGACACCTTGCTGACAATCCTGTTCAGAGACTCTTATCTTAGTCCCTTGACCTCGACGTCCTCCAAGATGTCTTCCACTGCTATCCCCAAGCGCATGGCGCTGCACCGTAACCCGACTACGGATTCCTCCGTGCCGAGCTCGGTCTCCGTCTCTCCTCTGGCGAGCCCTCGTCACTCGCCTTCGTCCACCTCGCTGTCCTCCATGGCCTCCGAGATGGAGAACAACAACAGCAAGATGCTGGACACCTATGGCAACGAGTTCAAGATCCCCGACTTCACCATCAAGCAGATTCGTGACGCCATCCCCGCTCACTGCTTCGAACGGTCCGCGGCCACCAGTCTGTACTATGTCTTTCGGGACGTGGCTATGCTGGGCTCCATCTTCTATGTCTTCCACAACTATGTGACTCCCGAGACCGTCCCCTCCATGCCGCTGCGTGTGGCTCTCTGGACGCTGTACACCGTCGTGCAGGGCATGATTGCTACAGGCGTGTGGGTGTTGGCCCACGAGTGTGGGCACCAGGCCTTCTCCCCCTCCAAAGTGCTCAACGACACCGTCGGATGGATCTGCCACTCGTCTCTGCTCGTGCCTTATTTCTCCTGGAAGATCTCTCACGGCAAGCACCACAAGGCCACCGGTAACCTGGCTCGTGACATGGTGTTCGTGCCCAAGACCCGTGACGAGTATGCCTCTCGCGTTGGCAAGGCCCTGCATGAGTTGAACGAATTGATGGAGGAGACCCCTCTGGCCACGGCCAGCACCCTCCTGCTGCAGCAGCTGTTCGGATGGCCCATGTACCTGATCACTAACGTCACCGGCCACAACAACCACGAGCGTCAGCCCGAGGGCCGTGGCAAGGGCAAGAAGAACGGCTACTTTGGCGGCGTCAACCACTTCAACCCCTCCAGCCCCCTGTACGAGGCCAAGGACGCCAAGCTGATCGCCCTGAGTGACCTGGGTCTCGCCATCGTCGGCAGCGTTCTCTACTACATCGGTTCGACTCATGGCTGGCTCAACCTGCTGGTGTGGTATGGAATCCCCTACCTCTGGGTCAACCACTGGCTCGGTAAGTTCTGTCCCTCGTTAGCTCTGAACGAGACCCGAATCAATCCGAAAATTCAACTTGATACTAACGATCTCTTTAGTTGCCATCACCTACCTTCAGCACACCGACCCTAGCCTTCCCCACTACAAGCCCGAGGTGTGGAACTTCGCCCGTGGTGCCGCCGCCACCATTGACCGCGACTTCGGCTTCGTCGGTCGCCACATCTTCCACGGTATCATCGAGACTCACGTCCTCCACCACTATGTCAGCAACATTCCCTTCTACAACGCCGACGAGGCCAGCGAGGCCATCAAGAAGGTCATGGGCCAGCACTACCGTACCCAGGCCCACACCGGCTGGACTGGATTCTTCAAGGCCATGTGGAGCAGCGCTCGCGTCTGCCAGTGGGTTGAACCCACCGAGGGTGCCACGGGCGAGGCTGAGGGAGTGCTGTTCTACCGCAACACCAACGGCGTCGGGGTGCCTCCCGCTAAGGTTTCTGCCAACTAGACGAACTGCCTTTGTCTGTTCACCCATAGACGAGTGGAAAGAAATTCTTCTGTCACCCCACTTCGCGGTGCTGTCGCAGGATCGAAACAGGGCCACGGAATACGACACTCGATTTGTCATCTCATAGAGCAACGTCGAACCCGACTTAAAAAAAAAAAAAAAAAAACAAAACTTATATCATCGCGAGTTGATTCGAGCTTCGAAGGCGTATAGGGGGCGGAAAGAATTGTTCATGTGTTTCACATGCTTTAATGGTCGTTAATTATGGGGGAGAATTTTGTCTGGAGGCCTGGCTGTTGGCCATAAACTTTGAAGAATCATAATTCATAGCATATATTCGTCATGTGGTTTCTGTTTTAGCAGCGAGAATTAGAATTGTTCATTTTTTGTCATGCATTCTTCAGTTTCTCAAGTCGTAAGAGCCGACACGAGCCGATGTCCTTGGAATTAGACACTAGCAGGTAGGTGGACATAGACATAAACCGAAAGACTTGAGAGAGAGTAAAAGAGTCGAATAGGATAACGCGACCTCAGGTCAGTTAAGTCCAATAGTCAACCAAACGAACAGGTAAAACCAGGCAGGGAAAGAAAGAGAAGAAAAGAAAGAAAGGAAACAAGGCAGACAAGAAAAAAACCAGCAGACACGAAACCGGGTCGAAAATGCGGGGACACTAACAGCATCGGATGCATCGTGCTACTTTGTTAGGCTCTTTCTTTCTTTCTCGATTCCTCCTCGGCTTCCCGCGCGACCCGCCGAATCCGACGACGTCATGGCTAAGCGGAAAACAGATTGAAGATGTAACCTGGTAACTAGATAGCGTTACACGAATGAGTCGTTAGGTAGGTAGGGAGTTGGTATCCCAAGATGAGTAATGGGGTGGAATATCCATATGGATTATTGGGGGTCATGGTGGAGACGAAGGGAGAAAGAGGAGAAGGTATCAGAAGTAGAGGGGATCAAGGACAAAAGATTATAGATCCAATGATTCTTGATTTAATTTCAAATGGTATTCCAATCTATGGGTATGGAGTCCATACATACGGAATATGTCAATTCTTCTAGATCTTTGAAATCGGTATAACTGTCATCCCATCCTATATCCTATATCCTCCATCTTCTGTCTACATAACCCCTCGCATCCCTCCCTTCTCGATCGTGAATTCAACCTCGTCCTGGATGTCTCCCGTCTCCACGACCTTGCCGGCACTCCACGGCGCAAAGACCAGTTTCATGGTACGGCGGATCGGACGATCGGGCGGTGGTAATGGCGAGGAGGGCGGGAATGAAGTACTCTGGAACTGAGAGCTTGGATTGGCGGGGTTGGGCGCGGAGGGAGGAGGTGGAGGGACAGGAGCAGCGACAGGTTCTGGATTGGTTGTAGATTCGGGTTCGGTGGGAAGTGGAACGGGGTTGGGGGGGAACTCTGGTTGAGAGGGTTGGTCGGCGGCGGTGTTGTTGGATGGTATTGTTTCGTGTGTGGGTTTGTTGTCACCGTCGTCGTGCTTCTCAGTCTCAGTCTCATTCTCTGTCCAAGTCCCATTCCTCGTCTCCCTCTTCGTCTCTGCTGGATGCGCGGACACATCTGGGTTCGTTGCGGGAAGACTCTGGTTCTGGTTCACTTTGAAATGCGGATTAGGGAGCTCAAACAAAGGGTCCATTGGGACCAGTAGCTCCTCTTTCTTCAAAGTAATCCGGCATGCGATCTGAGTTAACCAGACCATTCCCAGCGCCGGCGTCTTATACGACGGTTTCTGAGAGCCAGGAAAGTACCCTCCCGTGAAGGAATGCGGAAGATCATCACCCCATCCGGTGAAGAAACGCTGCTGGTGCGTAAGACTGAGGATCTCGTTGCGCACGGGGTTTCCGACGAGATAGGACCCGTCGAAGTTTTGCTGCTGCTGCTGCGTCGGCGGCGGCAGCCAATCGTCATCATTGACATACGGTGATGAAGACGCAGGCGACGAAGGTGGAAAGATGACGTTATGCTGGGCGAGTTCGATATTCCCCGATTCCGGGGGTCGATGTCGAGGCAGAGGGGATGCCCCGGCATTGCGGTTCGACGACGGCGGCGGTTGAAGATGTTGCTGCGGTGTCGAGGGTAACGAGTTCATACCGGTCATTGCGTTCCTGATGAACGGATTCGCCGGCCCTTCCGGGCCTTCAAACCGGTCCGAAACCTGGTTCGCCACCACGATCGCGATATCCTCTTTCGCGGCGAGATTGCGCAGCAATTGACCCAGTCGCGCGAGTTCCCCCGATCGCGTCGTGAGACCCTGCATGCTGGTGGAGGTGTGCTCGGCGCGATAGTTGGAGGTGATGGAATCGATGACCACAAGGCCGACATTATATCGGCCGATGGCGACGGGGAGTTGGTAGTTCAGGATGTGATCCTGGGTCTCGAGGTCCATTGCATTGATGGACAGCACATTTTGTAACGAGGGGGCTTCGTCGCGCGGTAGGGTCGAGAGATACGGATTGTGATCCAGGAGCTGCGAGAGTCGCGGCGTTGATAACGGCGCTTCGGTCGAGATGTAGATGGCGGATTTCCCTAGACCCCGGGGAGCAGGGAGTTGGGCGGACAAGAGGAGGGTCAGGAGGAATTGGGTTTTGCCGCTGGCACTGTTGGATCTCGTTTAGCTGATGTCCTGGACCTGAAATCTATTCGCAGAGACAAAGGGACACAACGCACCTCTCGCCGGTCACCTCCGTAACGTATCCCGTGGGAATTCCGCCGCCAGCCAGCAGCGCGTCCAGCGCGGGGTCGAGGGTGCTGATGGCGCTCCATTGGGAGAGATCGAGTCTATTGGAAGACCCGGGGGTCAGGGGCGCCTCGAAGTTGATACTCGAGCTGGGTGGCTCTGCGGCGTCCGGAACCGCAGGCTCCTCGAAGCCAACATCGTGATGAAGGGCCTTCACGACATGCGACGACAACCGGCGCACGTCGGCTGGAGGGACGTGGGCGCGCCTGGCGATTTCCAGAACATCAATGGTGATCAAGTCGACCGTGTTAAGATTGGCTCGCTCGAGAAGAGGAAGGATATGGGCGTAGGGTTTGGTGGGAAAGTCCGGGAGGACTGATAGAAGATCCATGGGAGAAGGGAAAAGGACGAAGCCGAAAGTTGTGAGGTCATTCCCGTCGGTGGCTTCGGTCGGCCGTCGGAGCCGATCTGCGGGTTGTTTGTCCAACCTGCATTTCATCGATTGTTTATATGTAATGTATGTACAATGTACATTATATCTAGGTCATAGTTTACTCCTCAGACGACCTCTCTCTCTCCCACCAACATCATCCCCCCGCCAAAATGCCTGAATCGCCCCCCAGTACCGTGCAGCGTCCTCCTGAATCAGCGCGCAATGCGGACTATACCGAAACAGCTCGCCCTGCACCCAATGACCCTGCCTCCTCGCTTCTTCCACATGCCTCTGAACAGCCTCCCACGGCACCATATCATCGGCCTTCGAATACAAATACAAGCGCCTAGCGGATCTGAAGACCGCTGAATCATTCATCTCCAGCCGTAACCGCCTTACAGAATTCATGAGCCCGGCCCTTTGCAGTCCAAAGATCGCCGCCATGGACGGGTACAGCAGCACGCTTTCCAAGAACCCGAGTGGAAAAGCCTGGGGGAACGAGACTGCCGCTGCGTTGTACATGCGCGGGAAGGAATCGTCCCCGGGGCAGCTGTCGAAGATGACGGCTTGGAGAGGGAGATGGCGTAACCCGCCGTTCCCGATCAGGTCGGTGTCGTCGCTCATGGACAGAGCGAGCTGGACAGCTGTGTTGCAGCCGCCGTGTGAGAAGACGTGAAGTAATGCCCTCTGTCTGGACTCGGCATTGGCGCTGTCGCTGTCGCCGTCACCTAAACCGACACCCTCAGCCTGCAAAATACGACGGATGGTATCTCTCGCGGGCTTCAGACGGGCTCGCACGGCGCGGAAGGAGCGCACGCTGATATCAAGAATATGCGTAGTGATGAGCAGAAGACATGAATGCGGATAGAGGTGAAGATAAGTCGTGACGTATTTATTGATATGCCGTGGGATGGCGCCGCCGACCCAAGTGCACAGGATGATCAGCGGAGGGTCATCGCGAGGTCGACGGGCCTCTGCCTCTGCGAGCCGGCTCGGCTCGTAAAGGAAGATGTTGTTTGCTAGGGGCCGTAGAGGTTCGAAAGACGACATGGCTGCGATGCGGTGCGACCATGATGAAACAATAATCGATCGTGAGGATTTCTCGGCGATGGGATGGATTTGTTGGGGCGAATTTCGTTCGCGCCGGGGCTGAAACGACGGCGCTTCCCCGGGAGCACCGCATTGCAAGTTCTCAAGTCTTAACGCGATCGATGGTGGCTGGTCTTGTTGGGGATGGTCGATATTATTGTCATAGTCATACTGAGTATCCGTGTGTCTGTCGCCATCGGGCTCAATGGCAATGCAATTTGATATGCTTCATACTGACTCCAGCACAGGATCACCGATCATATTCGTGAGAGCAGAACGGTGGTAATCTACTTGATTGCTATAGAGGTGAATGATTTATTATCTATCCGAATGATCGCCCCGAATCTCTTCCCTGATAAACGCCGTTTAGCTCGACCGATTGAGATCCGATCTCCTTTCGATCTGCGCTATCGAATGGCAGCCATTAGAGTTTCATCTCCTGCATCAATTCGCAAAAACTGCTCGATCTAGTAGGTATCTTCGGATCTTCAGTCGCAAGGAGGTGACGGAGCCCACGCGAACCCTCCTGGAAAGGATGGTAATTCCACGAGTATGTGAGGGCAGAGAAGTGGTATGTGCACATGTATAATATTTATGCACATGTAGGTCTGCTTACCTATAGTTCCATGCATATCTCGCTCGATTACCTGCTTCAGGAGGACTGGCCGCGAGGGGCCTATGATGCATGGGTGCAATACTCTGGCGTATACTCCTCCGTAACTAAGTGATGGACACAAGGTAAGGAAATATCCTGCAAGAGTGGATAAAGTACTCCGTACTCCGTACTTGGTCACGGATAAGGTCCATGAAATAAGCGGTGAAGAAGAACCGTATGAATCATGATCCATGAGGAGGGGTCGATAGATAGATGGATATGATGGCATGAGGAATGATAGGTACCGTGATCGATGGACACCTTGCATGGGACGATTTGGAATGGATTATGTTCGAGGCGACAATCAGGGAGAGCAGAGAACATGGCCCAGAAGGGGAGAGACCAAGGATGACGACCGAATACTGCCTCCATTGCTGGTAATAATGAATGAATAGCGTCGCCCTCGTACAATGAGATCATTCATACGGAGTTGACCCATTCGACTAGCTTGGCTTGTACTCCGTGCGAAGGTGGATCTCAAGACCGGAGACCAGACTCCATGATTCCATTCCCTTTGACCCCTCTCGTCTATTATTATTTTTGTGGTGGTAGACAAAGGGGTCGTGGGTGAGTTGATGTATCACAAAAACCAAATCGAGGAGCGCCAATATCCTACTCCGTATTCCGTACTGCGCGCATCGTTGTCCGCTAAACACTAGACACTGGATACCCCAGACAAATAACGGTCTGCTAGAACCTATGCAGCCAAGTGACTTGATAGACGGTTTCGGGATCTATCCTGCATGGGATAGATAGAGGCGCCCGAATCGATTATTTGTTGACCATTCTACTGGGATATGATCAATAACAATTAACATCCCGATTCGCGTAGGACAAGCTGTACTTCCGATCACGCTCATTCGAGTTCTTTTGATGCCATTTGGAGGCTGGTGCAACAACCCAGGTCCTCGCTAACAGAGCGGACTTTCTCACGAGTCGGCTAGCAATCTAGGCAAATTGCTGCGCCTTGATGGCAGACTTGCGAGAATGTGAGCTGACGATTATTGGCTATATCAACCACTTTCGGAGATAGCCCAAGGGCCCAAGAATGCAATAGACACGCAATTCCTATCTAAATTGACGGCTGCAAACCGACGTCTCTGATCGATGAGGGAGAGACTGACGACTGGTATGTGCAACGGCAGGCGGACAGCTTCGTAGCACGAGAAACCATCGGACTTCCGGCGTCATACTACCCTGTTGGGTGGTACTGGGTGGTATCGGCCATTCGATGCATTCCACAAGCGAGCGTAGGCCCGGTAAACACAATGAAAGAGGGAAAAAAGGACTCACCCCCATACCAGGGGCAAAATCATGGCCAGGTGATGGATCCGTCCGATGCAAAATAAAGAATGATCTCATTCTACTTGCCTCCCCTAGGAGTCCGAGACTTCGAAATGGGACCTACACATGACCCGTGCGACCCGACACGAAGATCCATGCGGGTAGATCCGACAGTCTGGTTATAGGCGAGGTCGGCCACCCTGGGATGATGGCGAAAACTGCGAGGGACATGCGCCGAGCATTGCTGGGGCCCCTACTTCTGTAGGATGATGCACTATGCAGTCAGTCCTGTAATAGTACGGGCCTCCGTGACGGTATCAGCCCGACGAAAAGATCAGTCCAGAGGAAACGAAGAAAGGAAAGAAAAAAAAATAAAAACATCCCCAAATCGAAATATTACCCTAATGGGATCCCCCATGTTCTCCCACCCTCCTTCCCCCCATCTTTCACCAATAAGCGAAAGGTCACTCAGACCGAGATCTAGACAAACCGTAAGCTGTGTTCCTGTCCAACCCCAAATCGACAATTCCGACCAGCCGATCTGGGATGACGATCTTCTGGAAAGAAGGTCGACCCTCTTGTCAGTGGTTATTCGAGGTCACCGTCGTGCTAAGCGAAGTGACTCGGGGTCACACCAGGTCAGTGGGACCGTCGTCCTGCTGCAGAAACGCAGAAGTGCAGAAGACCGCCGCTTACCTGGTGGGCCTAGCATTTGGCTCGGTACCACACCAGAGCGCTTGTCGCCGTTAGGTAGCTGTAAGCAGTAAGCAACCTTGGTTCATCAAGTCACGATGCAGGACGACTTGGATGTCATTCGTGACCAACAGCGAGTTAGTCAGGACACCGAGCATGTCTTAGTGCCGGCTGAAACGGTAGAACCTTGCAATTCCAACCGTGCTCACGTTGTCAGTGCAGACCCTGTCCATACTCCTTACTGAGTAGAGATAATTAGAGCCCGGCCGTGGATGGCACGGCGGATAAACCGAACCCCCAAGTCCAAAACCAAAGAGGCCAAAGGCAAAAAGGCACGAATGGGGCCGCTCAGTCCATCCGGTGCGGACCGATGTGGGGCGAGCATTGAAACCTCTCCAACTCGCGGTCGAATAACATGGGATTATGACCATTAGTGAACTCATTCCGAGGAGAGAGTGACAGCGGAGGGGGCGAACGGACCAGGCGGCGCCTGACGGAGTGACGGACCCGTGACTGAAAGGGGGTGCCCCACTAGTCCCGGGTGGGCATAGTGCGGAAATCGAATTCTCCTGAGGGGATTTGCTTTCCTGTTCAAACCCCGGGTCCTTCTAACTCAGGCAGGGATCGCCCTGGGGGTCTGGATCGTCTTTGTCTATCAGTTTATCGGTTCTCTATCGGTCTACTCTCTACCGTTCAAGTCGATGGAGTATATACTATCCAGATGTCAGTCGATAGTCCTTCGCTTATTTATGAATAGCCGCCATTACTCATGTGCTTCGTACTGCAATCCAGTTCTAGGGGAATCGAACAAAAGTACTCTTGGTCTCGAGTACTCCGCCGGATCGAGACTGATCACTTATCAGGTACCACGTCTCCTTCGAGGGCGCATGTTTGGACCCCCAAACCTTGGATGTTATTTCCCCGGCAGACGCGATTGGATCAAGTCCAGAGCCCTTCGTCTCGGTATGCATCGTGACTATGTGTACTCCGTACGAGGTGGGTAAATGCTGCCTGTGCGTTGCGGGTTTTCAGGACGTAGGTATCGTCGTTACAAAACAGAAGGAAATGGTATCCAAGAAAGTCAAAGGATCAATAGGGGATTGTCTCCGGAGTAGAAACCGCAGACGGACACGAATTAAAGACCCACGGCCGATGGCATCTACCTCAGGTCGAACTGGTCAGGTCGGATGACAGGTTGCACACAGGCCGAAGGCCAACCAGCCGGAAGCATCGCTAGCCTGGTTCGGTGCAGAAAAGAATCTGCGGGATGGCGAGCACCTGGAAAGAAAAGACGAGCTAAGCATGGGCCAGGTTGGCTGACTTTCGAATCCTTCAGTCATCCGTCCTTTCCAGGCCTCTGGCGTTGGGTGTTCCGTCGGGCTGGGTATGGGACTTGCCTCTGGGCAAAATCCCGGAGATTAATTTCGAATGAAACGGGGCATCGATCTGGGATGGTTACACACGCTGGTTGCCTTTCGGTGAACACCTGTTTCACAGGCACTTCTTGCATCATCGCTACCTCGCCTTTACTCCGAAGCATGACAAACATGGACTTTTCTGTAACTACATACTCAGGACGGTGTACACGGAGTACTCAATACTGTGTACTGCGTACTGACTACCGAGTAACTCTGTGTTCCCTGTCCACTAACAAAAAAAAAAAAAAAAAGGAAAAAAGAAAAAGGAATGTGGCTCGCTTCGAGATTGACAGTTGACACCATGTCCCACTAAGCGCAGTAGTGGAAACCCGTGGTGAATCTTCGGGGGCTTCGGTCGCTGGTTACTGTTTGCTTTCGGACCAACCAAACTACACGGGACATTGCGACCGTTTTTCCCATGGCTGATCTCTGACAGAGTATGTTATCATGTTAGTAGTATGATTGTTATCGCTGATCAGTCCCGGCCAAAGTCTATTCCTCTCGAGTCGCGACCGAGTTCAAGAGTGATCCTACTATATATAGAAAAGTATCGACACCGGACGTACCAGGGCGGACCATCCAGCTGTACTTTTTCATGCCAATTAAATTACGATCTTAGGGCCCGGCGCTTGGAGAAGTTTACAATTGGACTAGGCACATCGCATGATCCTAGAACACCAACGGCGGACACACCTCCCTGACTCCTGGTGATTGCCTCCGGTGAGTGCAGCACCGCTATGCCCATCAGAGTTTGGCCCCGAAGGTTACCTGCCAACCTCCAACCTCCTTAGAATTAAAATTAAATACACGAAAAGGTCGGGTGGATCCCGGCAAGACTTCCAGGGTGGGGAAGGAGTGGAGTCGGGTCCGACGATAAGCCAGTCCCGTTGGCTTTAGTACCTGCCCTTTTAGGGCTTTGTTTCTTTTAGCTTTTGCCGATTAATTTGAAATCTCCAATTCCCAGTTCCAGTTCCCAGTTCCCAGTCCAACTGGCCCCCCCCTCCCCGAGTCCCGCTTTCCCAACTTCCCAAGGCGTGTCCCAAGAGCCCAGCCGGCCGCAGTTATCATAGTCCAATGAGCACCGGTCCATGGTGACCATGACTGATGACCCCAAGGCGCGACAAGCACCCCCCCCCTCCGCCCTTTAGTTCGTATCCGTGCTGACCCAATACCCACCCCTTTGGCTCAGTAGTGCAGCTTTAGTGTGTAGGACGAGCCCGCATTACTTGAAGGGAAGACGGTTTCTCGATACGCGGCGCATCTTCGTACTTACCGCAGGTACCTGCAATATCTTCTTACTCTTCTGAGTTCGGACGCCTTTTCATATAGTAGATATGGATTACGAGAAAGTGAGAAGAAACCCTTGACTACGGGGTAGATCGGGACCAGCGATCCCCCCGTCGAGCCACCGGGCAGTTTTAGCCTTTTAGGCCATTAACAGCGCTCTGATAGGATTCCATCCCGCGGGTTTGACATGCCGTCGTCCCGTAAGACAGGAACCCGGGTGTGGGACTGGGCCGCAGCAAAGGTAATTTTACCGGGGTTACTAGCAGTACATTGCGTACACGGTACTGCGTTCACTGGGTATAGCTACGACTAGTCCGCCATAGTCAGAGTGGTTACGGCTGACTCTCTTTCTTTTCTCTCTCTTTTGCCCCCTCCCGCTTCTTCTTCTTCCTTGCTCACTTACTCGATCCTCTCTCTCTCTCTCTCTCTCTGTCTTTCTCCCTCTTCTTCCTTCTCCTTCTCTCTTCCTTCGCTCCATCCACCTTTTCTTATTCATTTTTCCTTCGAAACCCGAACGGGTCAATTCGCTGGGATTTCTGTTGTTAACTCTCGGCAACAGATCCAGCTTATTTTACCTTTTCTTCGGCTGTTCCTCTCCCTCTTTTCTCCAATTCTATTTTCTTTGTTCGCAGTCTCGGCGACCCCACAAGCACTCGCGCTTGTCGCCTACCAAACATTCAAGCTTCAGTTCTCAGTAATCTTTCGCACTGGATGGTCGGCTTGCGGCTTTAATCGATCATCGGCGTGGGAACTCTAAAACACAGTTCGAAGGTAAAGAAGGGCCCATCTCGTTGGACCCATCTGGATACAATTGCCGCGATTCGGACACTCGTTTAGTGTTTGTATAAAATTGTTCAGTAAGTTAGTTCCCTGCTATTTCGGTACACCTGACCCCTTCTTTGATGCCCGTATCCTGTTTGGTTTCCAACCACACGAGCTACCGCATTTGATTCCCAATGACGGTATCTATGCTTTTCACTTGCTGATTATCACCCAGCAGCCTTGCTTCAAAATGGCGACCAGAGCTCCTTTGACGCCGCCGGCAAACGAGAAGGTGTCGTCTGTCAGTAGGACCACGCGCGAGGGCAAGACGATTACCTACAGGCTGAGTATAATTCAAGATCCTGAGCGTGCCAGGGCATGCGGTGCAGGCGCCAAATGTACGCAAGAAGCACCTCGATGAAATCGACGTAGACTTAAATGGCTAACTGTCACCAGCTTCGGCGGACCGTCGCCCCGTAGATCCTCCCCCGGTGGTTGAACTGCGGATATTCGAATCCGACCCGAGTGATGAAAACCACAAGACCGATATCACGTTTGCCTACAACGCCAATTTCTTCCTCTTCGCCACGCTAGAAGCATCTCGTCCCATCGCTCAGGGTAGACACGCACCGCCCCCGAGCTGCCCTGTATTGACGGGAGTGCCTGTCGCCGGCATCGCCTATTTGGATCGTCCCCAACAAGCGGGCTACTTCATCTTCCCGGACCTCTCAGTGCGCCATGAGGGCTTTTATCGATTGAATTTCCATTTATACGAGGAAACCAAGGACAGCAAGGATGTGACGGAAGGGACTCCGATACCGAATTCGACGCCCAACGCGAACCCGGCGAAACCCTCGTCACCCAAGTCAGCCCTGGATTTCCGGCTTGATGTTGTCTCGAAACAGTTCCAGGTGTACAGCGCCAAGAAGTTCCCCGGGCTGGCGACAAGCACCAACATCAGCCGTGTCATTGCGGAACAAGGCTGTCGCGTTCGAATTAGACGCGACGTGCGCATGAGACGCAGGGGTGATAAACGTCCCGGTGACTATGACTACGACGAGGAGAGAATGTATCGATCATCTGACCGGTTTTCCACGCCTGACTCGTACACCGCCAACCCGGTTGAGCGTCCTCGGTCGACCAGCATCAGCACCGTCGATCCTACATTCTCCTACGGTCCTGGGATTCAACGACGCCCTTCAGCAACGGACTATGGATTCCAGCCTGCTCAGTCGTACCCACGTCCCATGGCCCCTGCTCCGACACAAGCTTCTACCCCCACGCCGGTCGGACCTCCACCTCCCTCTCACACCCCAACGTATCCGTCGCATCTGGCGTTTGGTTCCACGCAGACCCAATATCCGGCGCCTCATCTACCTCGAACCCAACCCGCAACGACGCCTACGAATGTGTATTCCCCTCGTCCTTCGATTTCGCATGCAAGAAACCCATCAGTCAGTACGGAATACGACGGTGCCTCCAATGGGTATTCGTATCCCCAGTCGCGAGTGCAAAATGAGCGCTCCGCGTATCCCAAGACTGCTCTCCCTCCTCTTCGCTTAGAACTGCCTCCTTGCCCGGAACCCCCCAAGCCTCTCAATGTGCAACGGTCTTCTGAGACCCGCTCGTCTGATCCCAACGCATACCAATCCATCATACAACCCCCGGCTCCTCGATCCCAGACCCCTCTTGCTCCGTCACTCCCGCCACTCCGGTCTCTGGGCGGAGAATACCCGCATAATTCGACACAATCCCAAAATGGGATGGTTCAGAGCCCTGGCTCTGATCTGACTAGCAAGAAGCTCCTGTGGGAAACCAATCACAGCGTGTCCAAGCGGAGTTACGGCGACACATTTGGACACGAAGATCGTCCTCTCTTCAATGGCATGCGACCAGACACGGAGAATTACGCTCCCAGTCGCAGCTCGTCTGACGCAAGTCGGGTATCGTTCTATCACGATCCGCGAGACGAGATGGCATATAAGCGAGCCAACGGCAGGATGGCTACTAAAATTTCTCCCGCGCTTCAATAAAGACTGCATTCATGGGTTCATTTGCATTTGCATTTGCATCGTTAAACTCGCTTGCTTCACATAGGACGGCGTCTTGGCGAAACTGGTCGTCGGCTGGCCTTGTTTCTTTCTGGATTTATTTTCTTCTATTTATACAGTACTCTGGTCTTGAGAGCATCGTGTTGAGAGCATCCTTTGACGACACCAGATTTGACATTTATACCACTTTCCTCTGTTCTTATTTTTTGTATATGAGACATTTTTTTCTTTCTAATTTTTATTTCCCATGTGCTTGGCCAAATATTCCCCGGGTTGTTTCAGTCCCTTTTCCCATTGCACAATGGCATTATATTTTCTCTTGCATTTTTCGTCCTAAGCGGCTTTCTATTAGCTCACCTGTAACCTGCAGGTTTGATTTGCATTGAATAGCAATTTTGCGTTCTACACTAATAAATGTGTGTTGTGTGCAGCTTGTCAGGCATGGATGGTTCCAGGTCATTAAACCGTGCCATCTGGGTGCATTGCAAACAAGCGTTTTCAAAGTCTAGGAAGCCTTCTTCTCCGGCACTGTTCGAATTCCTACTAAATTCAACCCCCTGATGCATTCCTTTGATCTTTCCTTTTCTTGCTCCTCTAAGTCATGAGTCTGGCAGCGCGCCGGAGAGAACCATGGAATTAGAAATGCATCATGTATCAGCACAGTACAAGCCACGTAGACAACGTAGACAACGTAAACGGGCGAGTGAGACAAGGCTCACGTGGCGAGAGAGGATCCCGTACGGTGTGAGATGAGGATCGGCTGGAGGAACGCATGGGGAGAATGCGAGCAACCGAGAGTCAAGGATCGGAATGACAGACGGAGTAGAAGCGCCGAGACCGTTTTCTTGGCGCATGTCGGCGACGGCCCAAAGGGGCAACCAACAATGTAAACAATCAACAATCAACAATCACCGTCCCCTCCTCTGTCTCTTCTTCTCTTTCTACCTCTTCTACACCGCTTCCTCCTCCTCCGTTGTCCCGACCACTGCCACGATCGATCTATCTTTCACCTATCGATCTATGGACATGTGGAGAGTGGAGGTCCCATTGAAAAAATAGAACAAGAAAAAGAAAAGAGCGGAAAACAAACAAGGTGCATACCCACTGAACACAGCAGCGCGGGTTACACCAACCCTGCGAGCGAAGGGATGACGGAGCGCAGGGCCGTTGCCGAGGTACGTTCCAATCCCGTTTCATTTTCTTCTTTTTCTTTTCCTTCTCCCTCCTTCCTCTATGATTCCATCTTGTGTCTCTCTCCCTTGCGCGTCGCCGCCGTCACGGTTTCAGACACATTGGCTTACCATTCGCCCGTCTCTCTTTTCCAATCCAGATGTTACCGGACATGGACGTCGACCCGAGCCATCAGCTGCAGCACTCCCTTCAATTGATGTGCAGTCGCGATGCGTCTCCGCTCACCCACTCCCGCAAACACTCGCGCGGCAGCAGCAGCGGCGATTACTATGATGACGACGAGCTGGACCTCTCGTCTGAGGAGTCCGGACAATTCGACGACGCTGAAGAGGAACTCGGCGCCACACCGCTCCCGACAACAACCCGTTCGCCATCCACCCACTCGGCCAAGCGTCGCCGGTCGAACGACTGGCCCTTCGACCAGGGCGAGGAGATGACCACCGCCGCGACCGCAGCCTCCTCCACCGGTCATCGCTGGACGTTTCACGGACACAGTAGCAAGAACCCCGGTTCGAATAACGGATCTCCGCGAACAACCGGCCGACGAGCCGGGAACCGCGGGCGTCGGTCGCGTTTCGTGGAGGGACATATGAATGACAGCGTGAGCGAGAAACCGCCGAGTATTTTCCTGCGAGATGCCAATAGCAAATCGGCTCGCGAGAGGCGCCAGCCCAGCCACAAACCATCCGGCATCTTTCGGTTTGGGAAGGCCATTGCGTCGGCGTTTAATCCCTTCGGCGTGCTGCATAATGTCTCCGACATCTGGAAGGGTCCCTCGGAGACGCAGAAACCGTCGGATGATACGCTGGCGCGCGCGGAAGCGGCCTACGCGGAGTTGAAGAAGGCGGGATACAAGGGCACAGTGAAGGGGAGTTACATGCAAAGCGCACAGGGGGCATCGTCTCATAACTTGCCGGATCAGACATGGAAGTCGATACAGGAGAAGATGGACTACAAACCTGCGGGTCGTCATTTGCGCCAGAGTTCCGGCGAAGGTATCGGGTCTGGCGGCTCGATTCGGAGCTCATTCCAGGAGCTGCGCAAGGCCAGGTCGTCTCTGGGGATTCCAGCGATGTCTCTGATTCCCGGGCGGCGATCGGATGATGCCGATTTCCCTGAAATGCGGCGGCAGAAGTCGCGCAAGGAGCTCCAACGGCAGGCCAAACTGCTGAAGAGAGTCAGCGATCTCGAGGAGAAGCTTGAACGCGCGCGCCGGGAGCTCCAGGAACTCATGAGCGAGGAGGATCTACCGTCGCAAAGTTTATGCGCGGAGAAGCCGTATTCGCGGAAGTTTGTTCCCGGAATGCTGCCTTCGCTTCCGTCCGAGAGGATCCTACAGCACCGGGCTGCATCATTACCTGCATCAGGAGTAGCCGCGTCAGCCTCCCCTGCGAAGGACGCCCAATTGACTTACGGGGACCAGGAAATTGCAGAGCTTCCGTCTACGAGTGAGAAGCCGATTATCAACCAAACGACCCCTAGACCGGCGAGCGCGTCCAAAGCGCAGTCCTTGGCCGTGGACAGTCCTCCCTCTCGCAAGCGCAAATCTCCCGACCCTCAATCCGCACGGGCAGAGAAGATGTCCCAGACAAACAACGCCGATGCGTCGAACTCGAAAAAGAGTCCCGCGGCCAACGTGTCTTACTACGACACCGACCTCACACCGTCTCGAAAGCCCAAATTACCCAAGATGGTCCGACAGGACAGTCCCGGCTCAGTCGAACGCAAACAGACCCGCGATCAGGAGCATCAAGAAGACTCCAATGGCGGCCGCTCGCCGGGAGAAGACCGAGGACGACGATCTGTCCAGCCGCTCCGATCCCACAGCAAGCGATCACCTTCGCAGCGCAGACGAGCATCCAATTCTCGGAATCGCGGCACGGGAGTAACCGCCAACAACACGCGGACGCCCTCTCTGCGCATGAAAAAAGGCCGCGCCAACCTCCGCTGCGATTCCAACACCATCACCGACGAGTTCATCCTCCGCCACACTGACCCCGAAGACAAAGAGAACCAGAGCCAGCCCCAGACCCAGACCCAACAACCTCAGCTGGACGCCACCACGGCCACCAAGGTCTACCACCAAGAGAACGAGGAACCTCTTCTTGACCTCGACCAAATCACCCCGAGTCCAAGCCCCAGTCCCACCAAGCGGAAAGACCAGTCGCGATACAACCAAAGCTATAGCTATATCCCGCCCGTGCCTCCCATCCCCAAGGACCTAGCCGCCACAGCGGCGAAAGTCGACCGTCGGTTAGCCAAAGAGATGGGTAAGAAGCGAGAGGCACGGGGAAAGAAGTATCACGGGCAAGGGCAGGAGAACATCATTTCCACGGACGAGGCGTTCCGGTGGCCGGATGATATCTTTTGAGGTTATCTATTTTTCTTGCTTGAGGGTTGGTTGTGAACTTGAATATTGGCATCTATCTATTTTGTCCATTTTGGACAGGGACGAAATTACGACCATAAGACTAGGAACCTATTATGACTTTTGAACGGTAACCAATGGATATGGGTATGAGAAATGACATGACTCGACCAGGAGGAAACGCAAGGAGAAACGAACATGAACTGTTCAGAACAGAAACCCCGAAAACACAAAATAAAGGGAAGATTTGTCTACCTTTTCTCTCCGATGCCTATCTGATACGATACCATTTCTGAATCCAGCCGGAAACGATAGGCACCGGTTTGACAACCCCCCGGGAGGGAAGATGGACAAATCGATTAATGATTTTCTTATGTCATGTAACGAATTTAATGATGTGATGATTCTTGAATACAATACCAGATTCTTTTTCTGAATATAAATGGAATCTAATGGGGAGGGGAGGGTGTTTGTGGGGTGAGCGTAGAATACTTAGGTATATTGTGTGGATGTATACCTGTGGTTAGATCCATATCCACGAATGTTTGTCTTCGATTTTAAATTGAAGTTGTTAGGATACTAAGGCGCGTGCGATGATCTGTTATCCCACAGAAGATAACTTGATATAGGATTGATAGAGTTTCGTATGCTTCATAAGATATAAACAACGATATATACTGGAATGGGCACCACAGCCTACAGAAATATGCTGTACTCGCACCCTCACCTACAGAATTGCAGTTGCATTCGCATGAGAGCCAACACCACCTAGTTTAATTAACGAATCCACATTAGCCCATGAACTCCCACAGATCGAAAGACAGCAGAGAAAGCCAAGACTGAGAGAGAGGGAGAGAGGGAGAGAGGGAGAAAATATACCCGCAACATTCGCCGGCGCACTCGTGACAAAAAACGTCCACTTGCCAACCGCCCGACACTTCGTCGCCAACGTTTCCAAATCCCACATCTCGCCGAGCGGCATGCCCCAAAGCGCCAGAATCTGCTGATGCATGTACCCGTTCTCCTTGACGGGCGGCCAGCACTCGAAAGTCGGGGAGTCGCCGCACAGCGCGGCGAAGTAGCAATCGTGCAGCCAGTCCAGCGTGGCGTCCTCTTGCTTGAGACCGGCCCACTGCAGCTCTTCCTTGGGCCGCTCGCCGCCGGCCTTGCGCGCGGCGGGACTGAGCTCATGGTAGCGCTGCACGAACCCGGAGCGGACCATCAGTATGTCGCCGACCTTGATGTCGCCGCCTTGCGACTCGGGGCGAAGGTCGAGGCCCTGCGAGGCGGCGCAGGCTTGGAGGTCGGAGAAGGTGATGGCGTGCGCAGTGTACGGGTCGTAGTTGTTGTTTTGGCTCTCCGCGTAGGCCCGGTAGTCGAGGAGGATGCCGCGGCCGGCGATGCCGTGGTTGGCCCAGTCGTGGATGCCGCAGCGGTGGTTGGCGTCGTCGCCGAGGATGTCGGCGGCTGTGGTCTGGGGAGTTGTTAGGGGGGAATGGACAATGTTAGGTGAGGTGGTAGATTAAAGAGCGGCATACCCCATTGTAAAAGGTCTGAGAGTCAATATGGGCGAACTGGAGTGGTATTGTTAGCTTAGTCCCTAGGTGATCATGTCCGTGCAGTGTCATAGAATACGTACATGTCGGAAACCATCCCACTGGGTGCCGCTCTGCGTGTTCAGAGTGTAGGTATCATCATAGGCGACGCCGGGAATGAGACACTTGATATGGTGCTGGAACTGCTCACGTCCAAATGCCGGGTTCTCAGGGACGTTCAAAGGGAGACTATCAATTCCCCGACGGTTAACCACCCATCTTGCATGGACGGAATTGAGAATGATCCTGGAAGACTCACTCCAATCGAACCATTTCTCCGGTCTGAATATCACCCGCTGCAGCCTTGACTCTCTGGGGAGTCAAGAGATTTAATCGACCGAGCTGGACATAAGTCAGCTTAACGTACAAAGTTAATTGGTGATGTGACATCATGGCAGATATGAATTATAGTTGATTTGTAATCCCGCATTGGGAAGATACAATGCCTCCGAAGGTACAGAGAGGACGAATCTATAGCCCACTCACCGCATCATCTTTACCCCAAACCCAAGCCGCATCCTCCGGAGCACCCGGTAGCTTGGGGAGTTCCTTGCGAGAGGGAAATCGCGCACAGTTGGGGTTCCAGGGCAGGTTATCAGGCGCTTGAACGGACATCTCGGAGGAATTGGAGGAAGAAGAGGATGAAAAAGATGTCAGGGTTTCAGCCAGTTTGCCGAGTCGTTCTGCCACACGAGCCATCTTCGACAGTGAACTAGCAAGCGAGCTTTATATAGTTTCTTAGGGTGGTGGATTTCTGGGGCAAAGTTGGGGATGGAGGAGGGAAGATGAAAAAGTTTGGGTCGAGTGGAGAGAGAGAGGATACCCTTGCGGGGGTGAGCATGGTGATCGACAGTCAATGAACGCATTCTTGAGACCTCGATCCACCTCGGCCAGCAGAGGGATTATGACGGACTGACGGACGAGGGAGGAGGCAAAGCCGAAGACGCTGGAGATACTCCAACCCCGTGACTGCCAATCGGGTGGTCTCGGCCGGGGGGAAACCGGACTCGTTCTCCGCTTCGTGCTAAGCATCTCTCTTCTTTTCACCTTTCATACTCGGTAATCCTGCGAGGTTGTTGGGGAGGGAATGAAATATGGATGCAAGATGAATGGCAGAACGAGAAATCCCAGTGGGGGAATCAATGAGCCTGCCAGTCCCCGCTTGTCCTTGAAGTCATCCCAGGCAAGTCAAGTCCCCCATCCGTGGTTCCCTCCAGAGCGGATATCTGGGGCGACGATCGGCTACGTTACACACATTACGCACTACAGAGGATGGCAGATTCGGTGGAACAACGTGGGTAGACCAATCCGGTCTTCAATTTTTCGTTTCTTTTTCTTTTTTTGCCTCCGGGTTTCATTCACGGTCGAACCTTGAGTAAAATCTCTTACAATATGATACAGAACAGAATGAGTCCGCCTGCCGTGCTCCGGTCCTGTGTGGCCTGTACATCGAGTCCAAGGTCCCAAGAGAAATTGTACATGACTTGCAAGTAGAGAGAAATGAGAAAGATCAGAAAGATCAAGAACAGGAAGCGGTCCGTCAATTGACAAATGCCTCCGGGCCGCCCTTGTGCTGATGTTGTTCCGAATGCACCGGATGTTAAATGACAAAACATGATCATCGTCCAGATGGAGGGATATATGAGCGACGCTATTGAGGCCGCAACCTGCCCATACTCGAAATTCAAAAATAACGCCACGAAGTCGACACCGCATGAACCTTCCCCATGCCCGCCATGACCCAGATACTATGTTGTTGCTCCGAAAAACAAGCAGAAAAAAAAAAGTAAGAAAGCTTGACAAGGGGGAATATGCCAAGAAGTATCCGTGACAGGCTACCATCAGACGCCAGAAGATATCACAAATCAAATAAAGGAAAATAGGTAACGCGGAAGGATCCATTCACTTCCGGAGCGGGGACATATTCATCGCTAAGTGCATCATGTAAAAGCAAAAGAAATTGTAGGAGGGGAGAGAGAAGCATCATCGCAGGGACATTAGATCTGGGTGGGAACGCCGGTGGATTGAGAGACGCTGCGGCCACCTCGGATGCCACCGCGACCCCGACCATTGTAGCCGCGGCTGTAACCGCCACGACCACGACCATAGCCTCGGCCACGACCACGGCCACGGTAACCACCGCGATAGCCATCGACGCTACCTTGACCAAAGGTTTCGATGTTTCGCTTCTCTTCTTCGCCGCGCCATTCACGGCCACCAACGCGGCCCCCAGCTCCTTCTTCGCGGTCGCGAGCCTCGCTCGAGATGTTGTCAAAGAAAGAGCTGGTCCTGTTGTAGGGAGTGACGTCACCACTGACGCTGGCAGCTTCTGATCCGTCGCCGTCCGGGATCTGAGGCTCGGCCTCGTGGACTGGGGAGCCGGTGGCAATGGCCTCCTTGAGCAAGTCCTGTTTGTTGAACCTGGCATTGGCCGTCTGGAAATCGTAGTCCGTGTCGGGGACTTCGACCTTCTTGTTCTGTCCCTGGTAATGGGTACGATGACCGCCGCGTCCGCCGCGAGGGTGCTGATGACCACCACGCTGGGGACGAGCGCCATCGTAAGGCTTCATTTCAGCCATCTGCCGCGTCAAGTTATCGACGGGAACAGGCCCAGGCTTTTGCTGGGGAGCACCAGGTTGAGGCAGCTTTGCCATGGCGGCTGCAACCGCTGCAGTGGCCGCCCGAGTGGCTTCGGTAATCGCCGCCTGTGCCGAACCCTGAGGCGCATTATTGCCTGGGACTGCCGGAACATTGGGGACAGGTGCCTTGGTGGGGACTGCGATGGGAATGGCCGGAGGCACGCGACCGTTCCGTGGGCCAGTGGGCGGGACCTTGTTCATTCCGGCGGGCAAGCCCTGGACAGGAGCGGCGGATGCCTGCACAGCCTCGGCCACCGAAGGCTTAGATTCCACGGGAGGAGTAGGAGCCACCTGCGCCGGCGCGCCTGGTCCAGGTGTACCGTCACGACTCGCAGGCTTGCTCACGGGCTTGTCTCCGACTGGCAGCTCAGACGTTGTCTTGGGCACGTTCATAGGGCCACCGGGGACAGGTCCTTGACGCTGAGGCGGAGGCGTCCCGTGCTGGCCAAGAGGACCGATAGGCATCTGAGGGGGCGGGAACTGACCAGGACCCTGAGGAAAGCCTTGGCCTGGAGGGGGGAACCATCCCGGTGGGGCACCGTATGGCATGTTGGGGAATCCCGGTCCGGGGGGAAATCCAGGCGCTCCAAACCGTTGTCCATAGGGAGGATAGAATCCTTGGAACTGGGGAGGTTGAGGATAGCCAGGAGGAGCCGGACGAGGTGCCTGAGGCTGCTGAGGAGGTTGAGAGTGAGGAAGTCCCTGAGGGCTCGGACCTGGTGGTCCTTGTCCCGGTCCTGGTCCCGGTCGCGACATGCTCTATTTCACGGACAGTTAGCAAAACATCTTGACAATGGTTTCACTTTTTTTTTTCAACAGGTATTGAGCAAGGTGCCGAGTCCATGATCATATCAGAAGGAAGGCAACGGAAATATCCACATGGTTTTGCGCTCTCGGAACAGGTCTGTGTATTTACATCCGAAATATTTCATCATCAGATCATTTGGTGACCGACCAGGGGTCGATCGGTGGACTCGGGCAACCAGTCATGCAGGAATAGGTGGAAGCGAAAGATTCGCTAGGGAGGTATCACTCACTCCGAGAATAGCAGGATCATCTGGCACCTGAGGAGGCTCAGGCTGTGGGGCTTCCTTCTCCTCAGCGACACTAATGTCCTTCACATCACTACCACGGAACACAATGTACTCGTAGATGCTGTTCGAAGGGGGGATTTCCTCGGCGGGGCTACCGCGTCGGCCCTCGGTACCGAAAGAAACAACATTCTCGAGGGCTATTGTTGAAGCCTCGGGGTTGATCTCGTGTAAAGTACCAACATAGCTAGGGCAGTCAGGTCAGCAAGACAAGAACGACAGTTTGCAGAGAGCGATCGAACTCAAGCAGGAATGGAAAGTGAATTGAACTTACCGAATGTCACTCTTGGAGATCAGGTTGAACCGCTGACTGCCAGGTGTTAACTCCAGCCGAGCCGCACAAACCCTGGTTCAGACCAGTAGGCAGAAGACTGACCCTATTAAATGGTTCATATCCATGCTGACAGGGAGTGCTGCGCGTCAATCGCGCTGAGAGAGGGAGGAGGAAACAATGAGAGAGGGAAGAAAGGAAGAAGAAAAAAAGAGAAAGAAAACGCGAGAAAGGGAGGAAGAGGGAGAGAATAAATAGGAAGGGGAGGAAGTGAGAAAGGGAGAGAAGAAGAGAGAAGACGAAGCGAGGATTTTGTGGTGGAAAAGCTTGCGGGATACGGCGGACTGTAGGAGCTCCCCGCGCAGGTTGCCTGAAATTTCCGTCGTCATGGCTCCACTTGGGCTTTTCCTTCTTCCATCACCATTCAATACGATTTACACTCCCATAGTCTCGCTAGATCCAATTCAATTGACTTCTGTCCACTTCTCATCATTCCATCGGCAGTCACCATGCCTCAATCCTCCCATACCGATGATTTCTTTCAAACCACGTTCGTCTGATTGCTACCGCTTCTCTTCCTCCGGTTCGCGTCGCTGATATTTGCCCCTCCCTGGATTTCAGGGCCGCCCTCGACGAGCAGAAGCGAAGGGACGCCAAGTCTCGGAATACAAATGGATCCCCTATCAAGCTACAGAGTAAAATCCTGGCCGTCCAGTCTGATCCCGTGAATTCCGACGCCGTGTTCGTGGCCCAGAGTGGTGGCACCGTGAGGAAGGTTATACTTGAAGTAGGTGTGCCCGGTGTCCTGGCTTGATCTCTGGATGCCTCCGCGGGGTACTTGTAGCTAAAGTACCTTTGGTGCTTGTGTGTTTTTCTGTAGACAGGTGAAACGGCCGCCATTTACAAAGGACCCTCGGCTCCCATCACGAGTCTCTGCTTCAGCCCCGACGGTCGGACTTTGTTTGCCGGCTGCTGGGATAAATTGATTTGGAGCTGGGATGTGACTTCGAGGGAGCCTAAGCTAAAATATGAGGGCCATACCGATTTCGTAAAATCCGTCACCAGCGCCCGACTCAATGGCCGAGACGTTCTCATTTCCGGAGGGGCCGATGCTCAAATGCTGGTTTTCGATATCGCCACAGGGAAGCGTATTTCGGTGCTGAAAGGCCACGTCAAGGGAATCCAGGACCTCCAGGTGGACACCGTCTCGCTGGAGTCGGATTCCCAGGAACTGATCGTGTTCAGCGCCGGCAGTGACCGCGAAATCCGACAATTCGATATCTCTAACGGAAGTAAAGATCTCACCGGCACCGATGCTCTGCTGGCTCACGATACCAACGTCTACAAACTCTTCTTTGACCACGATGGCGATCTATGGACTGCGTCGGCGGATAAGACCACCAAATGCCTCGTGAGAGAAGATGGATGGAAGCCCAATCTCACACTCACTCACCCCGATTTTGTGCGAGATGTGGTTGTTTACGAACAGGGCGGATGGATCGTCACCGCTTGCAGGGATGAGGAGGTCCGAGTGTGGAACCGATCGGTGGGTGATCAATTGCCTCCTAATATTAAGTCTTAATGTATGGTCTTGCTAACATTACTGGGGATTAGACTGGAAAACTTCATCACACATTTTCGGGTCATTTCGAGGAAGTCACTGGACTTGCGCTCGTGGGGTCGACGGTGGTCAGCGTCAGTATCGATGCCACCATTCGACAGTGGTCCTTGAACCCCCAGGATATCCAGGCTGCGGTGGAAAGGGCTAAGAAGACCACGCCCGAAGAAGATGAACAACCACAGAATTCGGGGTCAATGCTGACGGAGGAAGAAGAGCGAGAATTGGCCGAGCTGATGGAAGAAGAGTGATGATTCTCTCTCTCTCTCTCTCTCTCTCTCTCTCTCTCTCTCTCTCTCTCTCTTCCCCAACGGCTCTAGCTACAGTAATAAAATAAGCAGTGACGGACAAGGGACAGGGATCCCTATAAAGACTGAAATTCAAGAGCAAACAAGCGATTAGTTCATGCAGGTCGTCCAGACTTAAGCTGCCGTCGTACCTTGGGCGTAACAAGAACTGCTTTTCCTGCGCGCATCGAAACTCCGATTCCCTGATGCAACGCCGTGAATGTCGACTGCAGTGCAATCCGCAGGTTGCAATATGAGCCAGCCCTCGCAGCTGAAGGGTCGTACAGACACGGTGACACAGCAGTCAAGCCATACCCGTAGAGACGCATCGCACGTCGGACAAGAAACCAATTGACTCCCCTACAACTACTTTATTAATTGACCAACCGACCTGAACAACGAAACCCCCTGAATTCCAGCGACCCAATCCTATCTATCTTGCCCTACCCTGCCCCGTCCTATCCTGCCCGGTCATGTCCCCGACCAAAACCATCCTCATCACCGGCTGTTCCGCCCACGGCATCGGCTCTGCTCTGGCTCTGGCTCTGGCGCAGAAGGGCCACCACGTTTTCGCCACTGCGCGCCATCCATCCAAGATACCCGTCTCCCTTTCCTCCCTCCCTAACGTCACCCCGCTGCAGCTAGATGTCACATCGACTACGTCTGCGTCGGAAGCCGCCAAGGCAGTCGAGGATCACGGAGCCGGACTGGACATCCTAGTAAATAATGCCGGGTCGGGATATACGATGCCGCTGTTGGACGCAGACCTGGAGACGGCGCAGCAGGTGTACGAGACGAATGTTTGGGGCGCGGTTCGTATTGTCCAGGCGTTCTCGGGCCTGTTGATCGAGAGGCGTGGGCGGGTGGTGAACGTATGCAGTGCTGATGCGGTGATGAATGCGCCTTGGGTTGGTGAGTATGCTTCCTTTTGATTTTCTCATTGTCTGAAGCTTGACGAGGTTTGATATTGCTTTGTTATGGTGACTGGGTCTTGCTTCTTTGTGCCTCGACTCATTGATTTCCCACTCTGGGTTTGTAGGGATATATAACTCCTCCAAATCCGCCCTGGCCACCCTCTCCGAAACCCTACGACTCGAGCTCGCGCCTCTCGGAGTCACGGTGGCCACCTTGATGGTCGGCGTCGTGCTGACCTCGTTCCACGGCAACGAACCGGAGTTCAACCTACTGGGTCCCTCGCGCTACTTAGCGATCAAGGATATCATCGCGCGCTGGGCAGCCGGGATGGCAGGACCGAAGGGATGTTCGATAGGGGCGTTCGCCGAATCGATTGTGGACGATGTGCTTGGGAACGAGAATTCGAAAGGAGCTGTCCTGTGGAGAGGCCCTGGATGTTTAGTGGCGAGGATTGTTTCGGCGGTGGTGCCGAGATTGATATCGGTGAGCTCTTGCACTGGTTCTACTGCTCTTACTACTGCCTAGAGGGCACTGCTGACGATGTTGTGCTCAGGATCGGATGGTATGTCATGGACATGGGCTGGATGCGTTGGTACAGCGGATTAAGAAATGAGACTTACTGGTCTTCTTGGTGATCACAATGGAGCGCTTTAATGTAGAAATATATTTGGCTATGAACAGAACAGGGGTTATCTACGAATACCACAGGCTTGCTTGTAAACATCATGACACAACCAGCATGTGAGCATTAACTGCTCTTTGGCCCCTGACTGATATCCCAAATCTGCTCTTCATGTTAGCCTCGCTTTCCGACCCAACTGACAGCTCAAGCCATTGCACATACCTCGATCATCGGCTTCGCATCCCGAGCTACCAAGGCTACGATCTTATTCTCCTCGACGAAAGCGAGCTTCCACACCGTGTGTGCAGTCTCATCGATCGTGGCGATGGTCTTGCCGCTCTCGATGTCACTCAGTAGAATTGAACCGCCGGCACTCACCAGGCTGGAACCGCGAACGTCAAAGGCTGCCACGGGGTCCTCGTGAGCCTTCAATTTGGAGACCAAACGCGCAGGGGTATAAAGCGACCAAACGTGCACGAAGCCCGCCGAATCGGCCGTGATCAGAGTTGAATCCTCCAAGATCCGGGCTCTACCAACGACACCGGCCGGCTCGTGAAGGATTTCGAGGCATTCCCTGTCAATACAACATTAACTATATGGATTCGCAATAAGCTACAAATTTCTTCTTCGACTTACCCGTTCTCAGCCCGCCAGATGCGCACGGTTTCATCAAGCCCTCCGGTGACAACCAACTCACCCTGAGAATCGACCGCTGCGCAGTAGATGGCCCCCTCGTGTCCTTCAAGTTTGTGCAGACGGGAGAAGTCCTTGGTGCTCCAGAGATACGCGACGCCGTCACTTCCGGCGGACACGAAGGCGTTTCCTAACGGGAAGACCGCGAGACCGCGAATGGTGCCGGAATGACCGTCCAAGACCTTCTTGCATTCGCCAGTCTGGGCATCCCAAACTCGAATCGTTGCGTCCCGGGACGCCGACAACAGGGTCTGCGTGCCGTCGAGGAAGCGAAGTACGCGCACGGTAGACGTATGGCCTTTTAAGATGGGGCCGGGCTCCCTGAAGGGTCGATCCCAATTCCTCTAATCAGTCTCCGGTACATGTATACAGATGCTGCAGGGACGTGAAGATCTATTTACCCTGTTGATAAGTTCCAGGTTTGGATGTCGGACTCGGTCCCTCCGCTGACGAGCAGATCGCCTTGCACGGCGGTCGACCAGACGGCGCCTTTGGAGCCTTTGAGAACGTGCTTCTTGTTGCCTTGGGTATCGTAGACGTGGATCTCGGAGTTATCTAAGGAGACGATAATGTAGGTTGGGGAGACCGAGAGATCTGTTACGAGGGCTGTACTGCCCGGGTCTGAGACGACGGGTTCAGAGAGGAGACGAGCCATGGTGTACGATTTCTCTGTTATTTTCTAAAACTTGAAGATGATAGAGTTGGAAGGATGAGATGACGAAACAGAAGACGGACCAGGGGCTTCTTATCTCTTAGATCGAATCTAACAGCCTAACACTACCAACACCGCCACATTATTGGGGTCAGGCAACGGGATAATCCATTCCTTTTAGCCTTGCAGCTCGTGATTGACTCAACACGATTCATTTGTCAAGTCAACGCGCCAAAGAGCAAACGGCATGCCGTTGTTTCCGTGTGAAAGGCACTGAGTTCATAGTGATGTTTTTGCGTCGGGGGAGTGGATTGACGTCACTCGGTGGGGACTCGATCCTCACGATTTGAATCATCTCAACTCTTCAACACGGGTTTCGTTTCCAGGTTCCTTTGGCACGATGGCTTGATCCTAGGGGATCCACATAAACAAGCTTGGGTGACAGAAGGGACTCGCCAGAATTAAGCATATGGAGTAGGGGACTTCATACCCCATACCCAGTCTCCTGCGTACGGAGTATCTTCTTTTGTTCCGTACTTGATTTTCACCCCAAACCCAATAGAAGAAGAAAAATGAAAAATGAAAAAGAACAGAAAGAATACTACCTACTACCCTCTCTTCAGAGGAGGTAGAAAAAACCCACCCGACAGTGCTGGGGTTCGATCGCGTGGGAGGACAACCTCCCGCCGCTGTCAGACCCCTGCACCATCGGGCAGGCCCATTCAACGTAATTGGGGTCTAGGCTGCTCATCTGTTTCATTTGGTAGTATTCTTCTGTCTCGTTGCTTGTTAGAGGTGTAGGAATCTCTAAAGACTAGAATTAAGAAAGAATAATAATAAAGACAGGAATAATGAAACCCTCTCTCTCAGGGAGGAAATAAAAAGGCCCCCTCCCTACCCGGTCGGTGCAGGGGATCGATCGCGGCGTAGGGGCTCAATATAGGGAGGAGGGCGCCCTCCCCCCCATAGCAAGACTCCTGCACCATCGGGTAGGGAGTATGAACGTCACATGGACATAGCTTGCTCATCTGTTTCCCTTTGGTAGACCATGACTCCCTTCATCTTCTTTCTCCCTCCAGAAGAATGACTGCGGAAACCCTAACTGACTGGCCGACCCACTAATTCGGCGACTTACCCGGTCAAGTCGCAGAATATCTAATGAATTTGTCCCCTCGACTCTGACCGAGACTAGCTGAACCTCAACTTCAATATGGAACCTAGTCAATTTAACCCGGCGGCGATTTCGTCGACTGCGGTGGCCTGCCTGAACTGTCGCGAGAAACACCTCAAATGTGACGGCAACATGTCCGGCTGTGGTCGATGCAGGACGCTGAATCTCTCCTGTTATTTTGTACCTTCTCGCCGCGGACGCAAATGTCGGCCGGGTCCGATCCCCAGTGACTCGTTACTGCCTGTCGAGTCACTCGGTGCTGTTGACACTGACTGCGGGATGGTCAGCAAACATCTCGTCGGCGTATACTACCTGCATTTTCATCAAGCACATCCATTTTTGGCCCCTCACGATGTGTTCCTCCAGTCTGCTCCGCCGGTTTACCTCGTCAGCCTGGTCGAATACATCGGTCTGCACTATCTGATCAGCGAGGTACCAGATCGCACGGTCTCTCTACGAGCAAACGTCGACGAAGCGGATCTCGGCATGGTCAAGGTCCAAGCCCTACTCCTTCTTTCCATCATTCTACACGCCCGCCTACATCCCATCGAAGCCAGAATATGCATGGCTCAGGCCATTCAATGCAGCCTCGAACTCGGTCTCCATTGTCGCGGGTTCTCGGATGCCTTGGAGACGCATGATCCTGTGCAAGCAGAGAGCGCGCGACGCACGTGGTGGGAGATATTTATCCTCGATACCCTCCTGGCTGCCGTGCAGGTCGAAGGATCGCTTCAATTTACTCTCGATATACCCGACGTGCCGCTGCCTTGTGAATCAGAGGACTACACGGGGTCTTTCTCGGGCGGCGGTTTGACCACGATCAGCGACTTGGACCGTCAAGCGTTACTTCATGACGACGCGGACTTATCCTCCTCGGCGTACCGCGTCGAAGCAGCGGTAATTCTGCGCAGATGTCTTCTCGCCGGCACCAGTCATACCTCGCAAGAGTCGATGGATGTCCTCGACGCGACTATCACCTCGTGGCTCCACCGCGTGCAGTCACGATGCTACAATCGCCCGCTCCTGCAACTCACCGGCGAACTAGAACAGATGACTTTCCAAGCGATGATGATTATGCATTGTGCCGCTATCTATCTAAATTTCCCCAGATCCTCGCTCCTGGCGTTTTTGCCCATTACAGGTCGAATCTTCTGTGCGAGTCCACCGAGTTTCTCCTCGATTACCCTCAACCCGCAGGTTCATACATCCAAGGTTGTCGCTGCGGCGACCGGACTCTCGAAGCTGGCTTCGCTGTCCCCTTCGGTTGTTGGACATACCCCATTCTTCGTGTGCACATTGGTTCTCAGCTCAGTGATTCAACTGGCTGTGTTATCGATAGAGGTTCCGCAGACGACGAGTGCAGTGCGTCCCTACCTGGGATTGAATATCGGGACATTGAAAGCGATGGAAAAGCTATGGGCTATTGCAGCCGTATCTATCGAGAGAATACGAAGCGTAACAAAGGAAGTGGAAGACGTGCTTACCGGTGGATGTTTTGCGAATCTCATTGAAGATGAGACTGCCCTGTTGGATTGTATGACATGATATGAAATTGCATATAATTCAAATAAAACTCAATATATACCTTTCACTTCCTAAGCAGACAACGTAAAAGACCAAGAGCCAATCCCTCATCCCTGAATCTCCGTCGCCGACACCACCGTCCCAAACGCATCATCCAACTCGCTCAGCACCGTCGAGACCAACTCCTCCGCCTTCACGCCAGGAATATCCCGATCCCCAACAGCCTCACTAGCCACCAAAACCTCATACCCCAACTCACTCCCCGCCCTCGCCGTCGTCGAAACACACACATGCGCCATATACCCGACCAACACGATCTTCTTCCCCACAGCCCCCAACCCCCCCAGATACGCATGCAAATCCGTCTGGGCAAACGAGCTCGGGAAATTCTTCGTCACCACCTTCTCGCCCGCCGCCGGCGTCAACTCCTCGAATTCCCGCGCCAGCTCGGTGCCGCTCGTGAACACCGGCGCGCCCGCCGGGGTCTCGTGCACCACGTGCACGATGTTCTTGCCGTCGTGCCCGCCGCGGCGGTAGCGGTTTAGCAGGTCGGAGATGACCTTGCGGCTGGCGGAGACATGCTCGACGGCGAGTTTTCCTTTTGCGTATTCGTTCTGCGCGTCGATGATGATCAGCGTCGAGTCTTGGGTGGTGGCGGTGGAGCGGGGGAGGCCGATGGTTTGGCGGAAGGAGAGGGGGGACATTTTGAATTTCTGGTGGGATTGATTGGCAAATATATGGGATTGAAGAGAAGTAGGTTTGAGAATGAGAACCAGAATGAGAATGACCAGCTAGAAAGAGGGAGGAAAGAAGGGTATTTATGATGCAATGCGGGGATGTATAGAGAAAGAAAGCGAGAAGAGAAGGTTATCTAATCGTCCCCACTGTGGGATGCCGGTGGGAGCCGGTGGGAGCCGATGTGATACCGGTGGTGGGATACCGGTGGGATATTCGCCCCTTCTACTTCTCTAGATATTAAACTCCTTCATGCTGACTGGACTTGAAATTCGTAATATGAGATTCTACTGTCGTCATCCCGCCTGCAAATGCAGCTACCTACGCAAGGAGCACCTTCGCCGACACGAAGCGCAGCATCGAGGCGAACGGTCCTCATGTCCGGTCTGCAACCGCGAGTTTTCTCGAAGGTATCTGACCTCATATATCCAAGTCGTGTGTGTTGAAAACCATTGACAAGGACTGACAAAATCAGCGATACTCTGCGCCGCCACATTCGACAAGACCACGCAGAGCAGGAACAAAACCACATCGTCCGCTCTGCGCAAGCCTGTCGACCGTGTCGGGGGGCGAAAGTGCGTTGTTGCGGTGGATACCCATGCCAGAATTGCGAATTAAAACACCTAGATTGTTCGTTCGACAATAATCGACCTGGCTCGAAAGACAAGGACGGGGACGATGAATCGCAACCGAGGACGGAGCCAGCGCAGTCATCGATTCTCGACCGACTTGGCGGCCCAGTCGATATACAACAACATGTGCGCATCTACTTCGCGAATTTCCACCCCGAATGGCCATTCTTGCATCGAGCGACCTTCAGCGTAGAGCATGAGCCTGCCTTGCTGTTGTACTCGGTCGTCATGATCGGGCTGTGGGCTAGTGGCGAGGATGCCAATCGGCAGATGGCGCTGGATTTGCATCGATGGCTGGGGACGTGTATAAGGGAACAACAAGTCAGTTGAGGAAGCTCATCAACTTATCACCTAGGCCCAAATTAGACTGACAGAATTGAGCAGACAACATGGGAATACCTCCCCAATCAATCTGACACACTTTCCTCAGCCTGGCCAATAGCCACATACCAGGGCATTCTCCTCTACCTCATCTTCTCCCTCATAATAGCACCGCAGCAAGCCCGCCCACTTACCCTCAGGATCCCACTCTTCACACCAGATTATCAAATCCTAACTGCCCTCGTAAGTACATGCCGCAGGCACCACGTATTCTCTTACCCGGCGATGCTCGGCCGATACCGTTCAATCGAGTCCGTGACGTGTATCTGGGTCGGAGTGGAAGAAATCAAGCGGTACGGGTTGGCACTGTATAAAGTGTCTAGACTATGCTGCTGCGCTTCTCAGATGGAAGAGGACCGTGCCAAGCTGCTACGATTATCTGATTTGCAGTTTCCGGAGCCGAATAGTAACCATCTATGGGAGGCGAGATCAAATCCAGAGCTTTCGTACTTGCTGGAGGGAATTAGGAGGGATGCGGATCCAGGGAGGAGTCAATCTAGGAGGTGGATATCTGAGTGCGAGGAGCTGCTTGGAGGCTGGGGATTGGAGTGATATTGGCACCCTTGGAAATTTCATTAAAACACCAGGATTTGATACAACGCATTGTGTCCATATAACCGAAGTCTAAACTTTTATGTCTATTTACTATCTCTTACATTTTGACGCCAAAGCACTGGTAGATCAAACAATCGAAGTCTCAACCCCGGGCACCAACCACCGCACTTTCTCCTGCACGCCTTCCTTCTCGAAAACCGCCAGCAGCTCCGCCTTATGCTCCGTGAAATGCTCCCACGATTCGAAATGAATCGGCACCATGATCTCCGCTCCCGTCGCCCTCATCAAATGCGCCGCCTGCTTCCCATCAAACGTAATCTGCAAGATACCGTTCGGATGCGAGAAGAGCGCATTTCCCAGATTCAGCACCGCCACCCAGATATTCCACCTATCTTTCATATCGGCCAACTCATCAATCCAGACCGTGTCGCCGGAGAAGTACACCGCATTCGGCAACCCATTCGGACCCTTCCCGAAAGATTCCGCCTCCAGGATGAACCCGGTGACTTCGCCGCCGGGGAAGTGCTTGCAGGGGGTACCGGTGATACGGAACTCCTTGCCGGCGATCTTCGCGGTGACGGTTTGCCACGGTTGAAGGCCGACGACGCCCGGGCGAGGCTGCAAGTTCTTGGCACCGTCGGGGGTCGTGAAGACGCGGCGGCCGTCGAGGAGTTGGCGGCCGAGGGGGTCGAGGTTATCGACGTGGTCTTCGTGGCTGAGCAGCACGGCGTCGATGGGAGGGAGATCGTGGAGTTGGAGGGCTGGGTCCTCGGTGCTGGTCAGGATACCTGCCGGGGGACGGCCTTTGAAGCCGAAGTCCTTCAGGTTTGGGGCCTTGGACCATCCGTCGTAGATGTATTGGGAGCCGCCGGGGCAGAAGACGGGGTCGGTGAGGAATCGGATACCGTCGATGTTGATGATCGCTGTGGCGGTGGTGACGTGGGTGATGGAGATGGTGCCTTGGAATGAAGACATGGTTGGTATGGATGATTGAGAGGATTGTAGCTCAAGATAGATTTCGATATTGATGATGATGCTTGACAATTCATGGAGAAGATCGGTCGTTTATATGGTTTTTGGATAGGCGCAATTTCGGCCTTGGTGGGTTCGGGTGGACGTCTCCCACCGGGACATTAATAAAATTGATGAAACAAGTGGATATAGGAATCAAGGTAACATAATAATTGATAAGCTCCTGACAAAGAGCAGACCGATGTCTCAGGAGATGTAGTTCTGAATAAGAAGAATTTAGGATTACATTTGCAGCTGTGGTGGATACGGCTCTTGGGATTCCGGTGGGAGATGCGCCGTGGGATGTGGGATAGAAGACAGGAGGCTCGATTGCCTTATTAATCGGCCAGAAAGGCTCGGGTCTATAAGGGATTAGTCTGTATTGATTTTATTAATAAAACCTCTTGTCTCGGAGGTCTTTTCTCCGATATTCTTTCCCTTTAACTGAGCGATCATCTCGTTTTCTCTTGCTTTTGGTCCCTGCCATTGGTATAAGACTGAGATCACTGCGAAGAGCTCCTGATCATGACATCCACCGATGCTATTGACGGAGGTTACGGATGGGTCATCGTGTTCGCAGTCTTCTGGAACAATGCCCACGTCTGGGGAATACTTTCCGTACGTAACTATCGTCCAACTGGAATGGCAACCCGCCAACTGACCAAGTATAGAGTTATGGTGTCTTTCTGGAATATTTCACCTCCCATTCCATATTCCCGCATAGTCGAGCTCTTGCCTTTGCCTTGATTGGAGGCTTGTCTGCTTCACAAGCTCTCGTGATATCGCCCTTGATTACAACGATTCACCGTCGCTTTGGCCTCAAGGCTACCATAGCTCTCGGTATCCTGTTTGAGACCGCAACTCTGTTGGGAGCATCCTGGAGCACAGCGATTTGGCAACTGTATCTCAGTCAAGGTGTCTGTTTTCGGCCTGCAGTATCTCTCGACAGCCGCCATCATTCCGCAGTGGTTCAGCAAGAGACGAAGTCTTGCGGCTGGTATCACAACAGCCGGAACTGGCACTAGCGGACTAGTATACTCGCTTGCAGCTCATGCCATGCTAGATAATATCGGTAGGGGCTGGTCATACCGAATTCTAGCGATCGTATAGCTCGTTGTGAACTCGATTTGTCTACTGCTTCTGCGTGATCGAAGCCCAACACACAATTCCGGAAGGCCAGGGCTGTCGATCAATTTCAAACTCGGAAAGAGATATGAGACACGGCTCTTTATCGCCTGGGGCCTTTTTAGCGTGATGGGGTTCATGGTGATTTGGTTTTCGCTGGCAACTTACGCTCGAAGCATCGGCCTGACTGCTACTCAAGGGTCGACTGTCACTGCCGTGATGAATATCGGACAGATGTTTGGGCGTCCTGCGGTAGGCTTTTTCAGTGACGGGGTTGGCAGATTGAATGTTACCACTTTTGCCTCGTTTACCAGCGGCGTATTATGTCTGCTGTTGTGGGTTTTTGCGAAGACATATGCCGCCCTCACCTGTTTCGCATTGTTTGCTGGGGTCTTGTTCGGCACATTCTGGACGGTGAGATGAGATTTTCGCCCATTCCAGGCGATTAGCTAACGGTATGGTAGGCTGTTGGTCCTTTGGTCGCCGAGGTTGTCGGGCTAGATGAGCTTCAGTCATGCTTGACGATTGCCTGGCTCGTCTGCTCTGTACCTGCAACATGTAAGTCATGCATTCTACGCTCTTGTAGATGTTTGTGGTACTGATTATCTCGCAGTCGGAGCGGCTATCGGACTGGAGCTTCGGACGGCCGGAGAGTTCGAGTATCTCCACACGCGGGGAACGGTCGAGGGGATGCGCTGCGTTCGATGGGGAGGATAGAGAAAGTCTAAGGGTCATCATATTAGAAATATGTACATACATGTACGGAGTACAAATGAAAGAGATGTGCACGCTGATATAATAATGCAACACGTGACCACACGGCCATCGATGACGCAGCAGACGCCGATCTCCCGGATGCGGGCCTTAACAGTTAACAGTCTCAGTCCAACCGTCTCTACTCCCGTCCAGCCCCGATCATTCCATCCATCCCACTTGTCCCCTCTCCAACTACCACTAGCTGCCTGCCTCGTGGTCCCTGGACTTCTCCCTATCCTCGGACTCTTTCCCACTGGTCGGCTGCGTCTCTTCTCAACTCATCACATTCACACCCCTCTTAGCCCCTCTTCGGTGGCCCTCGGATCGCGACCGAGCGATCTTGCCATTCATCGTTTCCCAGCAACTGAGATCCTAGCTTATTCCTCTTGCAGGATGGCTGCCCCGATGGACGTGCACTTGCATGCCGGTGGAACCGACGCGGAGCCCAAGCTGGTCAACCGACTGCACCATAGTCGATCCCCATATGTGAGCAGTCGTCCGACCCATCGCAATTTGTAGATGAATGACACTGATTGATCAAAAGGTCAGGGGCCACATGGATAATCCTGTAGCTTGGCAGTTATGGGATGCCGAGTCCATTGATTTGGCCCGGCGACATAACCGACTCATCTTTCTGAGCATCGGATACTCGGCCTGTCACTGTATGTCCTTTTTATCTGATTTTATTTCCCCCCCTTCAACCGCGACCAGTCAACATGGGTAGAATATTCAACTAATGTACGACAGGGTGTCATGTTATGGAAAAGGAATCGTTCATGTCGCCAGAAGTAGCGTCGATCTTGAACGAATCTTTTATTCCCATCAAGGTTGACCGTGAAGAGCGACCGGATATCGATGACGTCTACATGAATTACGTCCAAGCAACCACCGGCTCGGGCGGCTGGCCGCTGAATGTCTTTCTCACCCCAGACCTTGAACCGGTGTTTGGCGGCACCTACTGGCCGGGTCCCAGCTCTTCTAGCTTACCCGGAAATGAGACTATTGGGTTTGTCCATATCCTGGATAAGCTCCGAGAAGTCTGGGAAACCCAACAGCTACGGTGTCGTGAGAGCGCAAAAGAAATCACAAAACAGCTACGGGAGTTTGCCGAAGAAGGAACGCATACGCACCAAGGGGACCGACCGTCGGACGAGGACTTGGACATTGAACTTCTAGAGGAGGCTTATCAACACTTTGTTTCGCGATACGATTCCATACATGGAGGATTCTCCGGGTCGCCAAAATTTCCGACACCTACGAACTTGAGCTTCCTGCTCCGCCTGGGAACTTATCCAGCCGCCGTGTCAGATGTTGTTGGGCAGGAGGAATGCGAGAGGGCTACCGCGATGGCAGTCAATACGCTTATCAACATGGCGCGCGGGGGGATCCGAGACCACATAGGTCACGGTTTTGCACGTTACAGTGTCACGTCGAACTGGCTGTTGCCTCACTTTGAGAAAATGCTTTACGACCAAGCTCAGCTCTTGGACGTCTATGTGGATGCATTCAAAGTCACGCACAACCCCGAACTGCTGGGTGCTGTCTATGATTTGGCTACATACTTGACAAGTAGTCCCATTCAATCGCAAACGGGCGCATTCCACTCGTCCGAAGACGCCGACAGTCTTCCAACACCCAATGACACGGAGAAGCGAGAAGGCGCGTTCTATGTCTGGACCTTAAAAGAACTGACTCAGGTGCTTGGCCAGCGAGATGCGCAGGTGTGTGCTCGCCATTGGGGTGTTCTTCCTGACGGAAACATTGCCCCGGAAAATGACCCACACGACGAATTCATGAACCAAAATGTATTATCGGTCAAAGTGACGCCTAGCAAGCTGGCTCGAGATTTTGGACTCGGGGAGGATGAAGTCGTGAAAATCATTCGATCTGCTAAGCAGAAGCTCTGCGAATATCGGGAGAGAACCAGGGTGCGACCGGACCTGGACGACAAAGTCATTGTTGCGTGGAATGGTTTGGCCATTGGAGCACTCGCCAAATGCAGTGCACTTTTTGAACAGATTGAAAGCTCCAAGGCGCTCCAATGCCGGGATGCTGCAATCAAGGCAGCAAACTTCATCAAGAACACCCTTTTCGACAAACCTACCGGGAAACTCTGGCGTGTCTACCGCGATGGAGCGAGGGGCGACACCCCCGGATTTGCTGACGATTACGCCTATCTCATCTCTGGCTTGTTGGACTTGTACGAGACTACTTTTGATGACAGCTACCTGCAGTTTGCCGAGCAATTACAGAGTATGCCCTACCATACCCGTTTTACATCATTGATAGTCATCATTACTAACTGCTAGTGTAGAATTTCTGAATCAAGAATTCATGGCGTATGTCGGATCAACGCCAGCGGGGTACTACAGCACGCCTTCCACGCCAACACCAGGCATGCCCGGCCCTCTACTCAGATTAAAGACAGGAACCGAGTCGGCCACACCGTCCGTGAACGGCATCATTGCTCGCAACTTACTGCGCCTGGCTAACCTACTTGAAGACGAGGAGTATCGTACACTTTCGCGCCAAACGTGCCATTCGTTTGCCGTGGAAATTCTCCAGCATCCGTTCCTTTTTGTCGGCTTACTGGACGCGATCGTCGGCCTAGAAGCCGGGTCGCGCAACATCACAGGCGTGTTCAGCACTGCTACTATCACCACTGCACCTCAACCATCATCTAGTCTTCTCAGCAAATCTGAGGAGCCGACCTCCGTACGAGATTTACTTGTGCAAAAGATTCGGTCAGAAGCCGGGCCCGCGTTATCTACGTCAACGACCACGGCTTCTTTCCTTGATATCCGCCCGTCGCATGTGAGCGACTTTGTCGGCAATCCCTCCTTCTGGTTGAGGAGCCGAAACCCTCTGTTCAAAGATCTCAAGCCATCAGACCCAGCTAAGAATTATTTGCTTATTTGCGAAGGGGGAACATGCAGGGAGATGGATATATAATTGTTTGAATGCGTTTTTTGAACACAATGACTGATTCAATTGCAAACTGTGTAGTATGAAATACTCTCGTGCTCAGGTTGTATTTTGTTATTCCCTGGGGTTCCGACCCCCTTGTGTTGCTCGTGCTTTCCCTTATCCCTGCGGGTCGTTGGTATTGTTAGACTCTTTACCTGAGACAACCAACAACAGCTCAATCATAGCCCTTTATTCCAATGAACATAGACTCGTCTCTTCTTCCCTTGCCTTTAAGACTGCCGTTCAACAGGGAACAGTGCTACAGCACTTTCGATGGCTAGGGTGGGTATGCGGTGAGTCCCGCTTGGAAACGTTTCCTTCGAAATGAAGTATGCATCTTGCCCATGTCCACCTTCGCTCTATGGCAACTAATAGTCGATGTGCGATGCCACCTACAAGAAATTCCAGCATCGATATGTCGCAAATATTGAATATACATGGGCAAATATTCTAGGCTAGGATTCATGTCATTTAAATATGAAGTCATAATCGTGGGCAGGCACGACGGCAGTGATTCGGTTTCGAGTTTCGACTACAATTGATCGGGAAGAAGCCTAGAAAAGAAATTTAGTCCTGGTGCAAAGGATTCCTTCATTGAAATTAGCTAGTACGATCCACCCTCGTCAATCGCATCAGAATGCTTATTTTCTTTTCATTTCGTCCAGTTCAGGGGCCCTCGCTCAAGCAAGGGATGCCCAATAATGAAAGATAGCAGCCCCAAAGCAGTAACAATAAGAGTGAGAACACGTGCCTATTTCATACATCTATAGACCGAGCCTCTCCTTCCTAAGAGCCCGCCAGCTCAACGTTCCAACGATGAAGCCAAAGTATGCATTTACCGCCTCCTTCGGAAGTATTCTGCTCGCCTCTCCGACGTGGGGATTTTCCTGCGATCCTCGCGAAGTAATCACGAAAGACGTCTGTATTCTTGGAGGCGGTGCATCCGGAACCTTCGCAGTAGTGGAACTTCACGATCTTGGAAAGAGCGTGGCCGTGATTGAGGAGAAGCCCATTCTGGGCGGCCACACCAACACCTACATCGACTCTTTCGGCCGTGCCGTTGACTACGGGGTGGCCCAATACCAAAACCTCGAGGTAACCAGGAACTTCTTCCAGCGACTTCAGGTTCCAACTTCCCCCACGCCCCGTGGCGACCTCGGGGCGAAAGTGCCGTGTTCGATTTTGAGCAGCAGAAGCTGGTAGACGCAAGTATGCTCAACTCGTCGACAAGTCTGCAGGAAAGCGTCAACCGCTACCGGGAGCTTTTGGATGAGTACGCCTATCTCGACGAGGGTTATAATCTCCCGGACCCCGTCCCCGAGGATCTTCTTCTCCCCTTTGGCGAGTTTATCCAGAAACATAGGATCGAGGGAATCCTCCCCGTGGTGTGGGTCGCCATGGGCGATATCCTACATCTGCCCGCCATCTACGTGCTCAAACACATCGGGCCCGGAATGATCGATGCCAACTTCATCTGGACACAGAATTACAACCGCGAGATCTTGGACAACGCCTTGGATGTCCTTTGGGAAGAGGTATTTCTCTCCACCCGGGTTTCGTCGCTCGCGCGCGAGTCCCCTTCCAACGTCAGCGTCTGCTTGGACGGGCCCCAGGGACAAATTCTACTCCAGACCCAGAAGCTTCTGGTGTCCATCCCACCTCAGCTCGACAACCTACGCGGTTTTGATCTGACCAATCAGGAAATGACCCTATTCCGATAATTCCAGAACGTAGGCTACTACACCTCCCTGGTGCACATTCCCGGCCTGCCCTCCAACAAAACCGCCTACAAGAACCGCCATCCGGGGGCGGCATATGATCTAGCCCCTCTACCGGCCCCCTACCGGGCCATTGCCACCAAGATCCCTGATGTTTACCAGATGGAATACGGTGCGAACCACACGGTCTCCGAGGAATATGTGAAAGACGAGCTTTTGCGATCTGCACGGCGCCTGCAAGACGCGGTGGGTGACGAATCGGCCTCTCCTCCGGAATTTGTGCGGCTTGAGAGCCACACACCCTTCATAACGCACGTGTCTTCAGAGGCCATTCGCTCGGGGTTCTATCGGGATCTGAAATCCTTGCAGGGGCAGAGGAATACGTTCTGGACGGGTCAGCCTTCCACATTAACGAGTCGCCTCTCTTGTGGCGGTTTACGCAGGAAATCATTGAGAATATGATTGCAGAAGGACTGTGAGGAACTTATCTCTAATTAATGTACAAACTGAACTATATATGCCTGGACATAAGTTCGATTTCAAGCGATTATAACCTTTCTAATAATGATCTTTAGCATAACAGCCTGCAGTATACAAGTCCATACCTATTTGAATGTTTCTTATTATTCTTGATGTTTTCAAGAGATTTTCACCAAGAAAGCATTAAACCTGTCTAGATAAATAGACTCTGAATGCTCTAGTAGTAACAGTACTGCAGGTAACGACTGTTCGATTAAGTGCTATCCCATAGTATGGTGACGTCCCGTGGTAAGACAGCGAAGAAAGGCATACCAACGAACTTCTTTCACTTTGGTACTCAACCCCATTATCAGATGCATATCTTGAATCTGATATCATTTTTCCGTTGGCTTAAGCCCCTTGCTTTCAGAGCTGCATGCATGGCAACCAGGTCCCACAATGGTAAGGCTGACACAGTCCCTTGTCTTGCCCTTAGGGAGGCTCATTTTTGGGATTTTCTCAGACCGAAAGAGAAATGGGCTTCGGAAGCTGTGCATGTATGTTCTAATAGACTTTGACATCGGGTCCACCTCTGTGTGTCGGTGTCCAGCTTCGTCGACGGCGCCCTTTAGGTAGACTCGCATGAGAAGACGCAAAGGATATTGACCGAATTTTCAACCAAAAAGAACACCAAATAGAAATATTAATAAAAAATTGAAAGAGTCCAGGGCCAAAGAAAACCAAAAAAGGACACAAGAGCATGCCCAGTCTTTTCTTCTCTAGTTATGTGCTACTCCGTACTATATACTCTTATTCCCTCAGACAAATGAATAAATCATAGAATTCCATCCAACGTATTCAACATGTGAAATCATCTGGCAGGACTGTTTAGTTCTCGTCCATCTTCGACCGGAGACTACGAGGCCATGAAATCGGAAGCTGAAGAAGGACAGGCCTTGAATCATCAGCCATGTCCAGTCTGTGCCGTTCACTCTAGGGGTCGCCGACGGTCCATCTGTCGGGATACCATCCTCATAGTCTGCGTCTTCCTCATTACTTGGCGATGTTTCTTTCGTTTGCCACGACTTTCAGCTCGTACCTGAGCTCCACGAAGAATGAGGCGCTTCCAAACACCCTTTTCTATTGTAAACTGTTCTTTTATAGAATCCTCCACTGACCCGAACCTATACAACAGCCCCTATCCTCGATGAGGTTGAAATCCCATCCTTCACCATCATGATGAACGGGACTTTTTTATGGCTTTCCCTTCCTATCTGGCTCTCCCCCGTCTCAGTCCCCCATGTCATGCAATGCCATCCATGATACCCCTGGCTCATTGAAGACCCGAATGCAGGAGATTCATTGCGTCGGCATGCTCCGCGGGAAAGCTTTCACCGAGTACCCCGTCTACACGCCCAAGAAGCACCGACACGACGAAGGCCCTAAAAGCTGGATCCACCTCGGCCACTGCGCCGACATGCTGGTCCAATTCATCCTCTGCAACGCGGGCCCGGCGATATTCACCATGTCGTACGTGGAGCACCAGGAGGAACCTTGGCCGGACTTCAACATCAACCGCCAGTGTCGGCATTATGGGGCACTGATGGAGTGGGCGAAGAGCAGGGAGATCGGCAGGGAGAAAAGGAAGGCAGGGCCGCCGAAGCCTAAGGATTCGCATGTGTGGCCAAATCCGATGTGGCAGTTCAAGAATGGGACTTTGGATTTTGAGTTGGGGATACCGGTTGGGCATCACCATCAGGGAGAGGGAATACCGGAGTTGTACACGATCTAACATGATCTGACATGGTCTGGTCCTTTATTTAGAGGAAATGAGAAAAGTGAACAGATTACTTTATAGTGGAGAGAGATGGGATCACGTGCCGTTGTGCACCTGACGGGCTCTTCCCTTTTTCGTACGCTTCATTCTTCCTACAACCTTTCCACTCTTTCACCATTCAATTCTCAACATCCTTCATCTCTTGAGGCCCAAGAGTTCATGCATTCCCGGAACTTCCAGAACCCTCTCTGACGACGGGCACGATATCGTCCCTGTCCTCTGGATACTGGGTATTCTCCCACCGCTCCCAGATCTGGGCATCGCGGCGCAGCGATGTGACGTTCTCCCAGACTAGGCAAAATGCGACCAGAGCCATGAGGATAGAAATCGTGGAGGTGATATCGAGGGAGTCGGTGAGGCCGAGAAGAACAATAATCAAACCGGTGATAGGGCGCATGATGACTCGAAGATGCTATGGTTCGGATTTGATCAGTAACATTCGAGTATCTTCCTGATGGCCATCATGAAGCAGCGTACCTTGCCCATAATCAACGTCCCCGGCTCATCTTTGCATTCGAACAATAGCGCTAGTCCATACAGACAGAACATCCCAGTACCCAAGCTCCCGCAGAGCAACCACCGCTCCGCATCGCCGAACCGGTCCTCGGCCGCGCTGGCAGCCGCCACATGTCCGCTCGCCAGCAGACTCGCACTTAGTGGCAGATGCAGCGAAATCCACGTAAACGCCGTATATACCGAGTATCGCATCGGGTGAGTACCATTCAGCGCTCCATCATTGTGCACATACAACCAGTTCAGGCAGAATGCGATGACAAGAGTCCAGACAGCACGCAGCAAACCCAAGTTCAGACCGATGGCGGCCGGCGATCCCACGACAATCTGATACAGAAACTCGCCCAGCACGATAATATAGAACGCCGCGAATCGGTCAATCTCATGTGCAATATCCACGGCCGTGGTATAGCGAGCTTTCAAGACGCCCTTCGCGGCAGGCGAGTAGCAAAAGATCCAGACACATTGCTCGACCACGATGCCTACAGTCGCTGCGGCGATTTTTCCACGGATCGGCACGGATTTCACGTACAATGGGATGTATATGCAGAGAGCTAGCGTAGCGAGAAGACACCAGAGTCGCTGCTGCGCGCGGTGATGGTAGCTAGCGAACGAATAGAAAAGGTGAGCTGCGTTGCAGGAGAGTCGTGCAATCATGTAAGCGGCGACGGTGGCGCGCATGGCACCGAGATCCTCATCCACGAGGGTTGCGTTGTTTCCGTAGACAACTAGCACGGCCATGACCCAGAGGATGAGCACACGTTGCAGCAGGTCATCGTTGTAGAACGAATTCATCAATTCGCGCAGGTCGCTCCATACATGCCAGGAGGGAGCAAAGATCAACTATATTTGAGATCGTGGCGTGAGTCCAAACCGCATCAAACTGACAGCGCATTGGGTTGCCTTACAATGTACATCGCCAGACGCGCACCCGTGATATGCTCGGCCAGCGACTCCGCGAAATTAGCCAATATAGCAACATACAGAAGATCCAGGAAGAGTTCGAAGCGTCCTGCGTGGAAAGGTTTCAACTCGCATTAATTTCTGCAATGGCTTGTTTGCTCTTCTATTGGGAAATGCCAAACACACACTCACCGGCCTGACGCTCCTCCTCCTGCCGCTTCACGAGCTTCCCATTCTCGAACCATTGCAGCGCCACGGGTTGGCGGAAGAGATACCGCGGATTCGGTTGCACGTCGATGCCCGATACACCAGGCATTTTCAAGGATATATCGACGTAGACGCAGGCGCAGGCGCAAAATGCGACTCGACACACGAGGGTTTCGTAAGTTTAAAGACGCGCGAGGGAGAAAAAGAGAAATTATTCAAGGGAGAGAGGGGATGGGATCGCTGGATTAGGGTTTTTGTGGATCAGCCAGACCCAAGCAATCGATTGCGAACCAAATTTTGATTCCAAGAGCTTTGAGTAAGTAGGATGTATAGTAGACATTCAATTATATATCGCTCGACATGAAGGGGAAATTCGATTTTGCCTAGATATATGTACAAGGACATGTCTTCTGTCTGCAAGCTTCATTGCAAGTCTAAGTTGCCGAGTCGATCCAGTAATCATTGCTCATTCATTCTTTAAAGTTGCAGGCGTGGCCCAAAGAGGAAATGCCCAAGTGCCTTTCATCTCCCGCTAGTCCCAGATAGGATGTCACATAGTTTGGGTTGAGTGGAGTGCTTCTGCTCTGTCTGGCCAATAATTTTGTGCGAGATCATTCCGAATGAGTACATTCATGCGGTGATTAGTATATCTTGTAAGCTAAAAATCTCCCTATTATCAAATTCTTCTATTCAATCCATAAAATAAAGTTACATCCCAGAAAGAAACCAACATATAATGTACGTGAAGAGAATACCTATAACACATGGCGTATAGAACACCGCCCAGTCTCATATCCACGAAACCATCCAAAGATACTTGTTGACCTTTATCCGAGCCCAGAAGAGAATGTCTTCGTGATTTCAGAAAGACTATCAATCCGCCCGAGCAGGAATTCAAGATGTCGGAACGCGGTACCAGGAGAGTATTGAGGGACCTCTGTAATTGAGAACGTCATGAGTCAGTGGCTGTTGACTGTCATGGAATATAGTTGGGAAGGCAGGAGGTCAACAAGACAGTGCTATACTTACGATGTCCGGCAAGATCCACCGTGGTGTAGGTCAAACCGCGCTCGGTATGCGCAGTACCCAAGAATCCGGCACCAGCGTCGTGAGTCAGGGGTTGATCCTCGTCGGGATCTAGGCGTGACGCCTTGCCATAGAATGGATGATACGGGGCGAACAACGGTTCCGTCGGGGGTTCCTGGAATCCCTGGAGCCCGTTCCAGGTCATGTTCTGGATTGCGAACAGTGAGCCGTTGGCGATCAAGACGAAGTCGAGTAGTCCGTGTCCGATGATGGTGTTGTTGGTGCGCTCAATCACGCTCGGTAAGGGCCCCAGAGCACTGGGAGGGGACTGGTCAAGGTTATTCTCGCCCTGGAAAATCTCGCCCGTTGAGCAGGCGTGGAAGTCGATGGGTTGTGAGTTGATGGCTTTCTGGACGTCGCTGCGGTTGAAGTAGTTGCTGGGACCAGCGTCGGTGGAGGGGAAGCCCATTACGCTCCAAAGGACAGGGCAGTAGTCGGTGATGTGGTAGGTGTTGAAGCACGGGTTCACGTAAGTGGCTGCCTCCCGGATGTCGGTCCAGATGTCACATCCGGGTCGGTCAGCGCTGGGAGCAGGCGGAAGGGTGCCCGTTGGAGGGAATTGAAGAGCCTGGTCCATGAAATCGGCGTAGCCACAGTCCTGATGACGGCTGTTGATCTGATCCATGAAGGTGTTGTTCAGACCCAGAACTGGCTTGAAGTAGTTTACCATGGGTACCGCAGGAGCTTGCCATAGAGGTCAGTATTGAAACACTAGATCAATATTCTGGGGCTGTATCTTACGATTGATCTGTGAGTTCTGTTCGTTGAAGAGTGGATCATACATCAAGACACCGGAGACATCAAAGTACTCCGAGTCCTCCTTGTCAAGCATGGCAGAGGCAAGGTACGGGATATACATGCCGGCGTAGCTTTCACCGGCGATGTAAACCTTCCGGTTCTTCAGGTCGAATGTATCCACGAAACGTTTCCAGAAATCGATGAACTGTTTCGCCACATCGTCCTCATTCCACACAGTTGCGGGACCCAATGATAAGCCCGTGCCTGCTGGTTGATCCACATAGACTATGTTGGTCAGGTTGTTCCAGGAATATGGGTTCTGGAACGGGACTGAAGTGCCGGGCTGCCAAAGGAATGGACCGTTCTCTTGAAGCAATCCGGCAAGAGAGGTACATCCCGGGCCGCCATTTAGCCAGATAGTGATCTGCTAAGGTCAGTATGCTGTGGAATATGTCTAGAGCAAGATTGGAACTGGCAAGTTACCTCATCAGAAGCATCGGGATCTGTGGATGGAAAGAACCAAAAGTAGAGATTCGAGTCACCCGACGGCCTGTTGGACAGATATCCGGCGTACGATTCACCGATGTCGAAGTCGATATCTGGCAAGTTCGTCCCGTTGACCGCATATTCTAGGTTTGTTAGCCATGAAGGTCTCACTTCAAACCCGACAGCCTGCCTCCTTACCTTCCGTCTTGGGAGTAAGGTACGAGCTGTATGCGCCGGCTGCTGAGGCCAGCAGAAAAAAAGCGCTGACGAGCATCTTTGGCTTCTGTGAATAAACAACAACATTGAAGGTTCGATTGACAGTACAGAAGTGCTCAGTATCTAGTTCGACAACGTTCCCTTTATTTCATCCAGCTTTGCCCGTCAACAGCTGGGGGTTACATTGACCGAGCCCACCCACCCTACAAATCCGGCAGAATCCCTCGCTGCGAGTCAAAGGGGTTAAAACCCGTGGGCAACTGGATTGAGGTCATATCGAACCCCTTGCGCCGGTCGCTCAGTTTCCAATCCGATAATTGGCGAGTTAGTTCCGACTGCCCGAAATGTTGTTTAAAATAGGGATGGAGCTAGGAAAGAGGGATGTCACTGTTGATATCAGTCTCAACATATTAATCCAGGGTCATTATATTGAATCAGGGCTGGTGAGACAGTTCAAACACGCACAAATGTCCCGTGCAGGAGCTCCGACAAGAGTGACATTCCTGGAATGTCTAACAAACTGGTAGCCTGAGGCAGAACATGGGGCCTTCCCAGAGCGGAAATCTTCGAGAGAGGTCACACCCGTCGTTTCGGCCCTCCTTTCTCTCTCTCTCTCTCTCTTGGTGTCGGAGAGGAACTAAAATAGCTAGGTACATACATATAAGAAAGTCCAGATGTTGCTCATGCTCACTCGGTGGCAAATTTGTGTCTAGGGTGTCTTGAAGCCAAGATGGGGTCTCCTCTAACTTGGTTAGGGATAAAGGCACGGGCGATTCAAACACCTTAGATGATGGCAAGCCAAACGTTTGTTGAAATTAAAGGTCAACGAAAAGATCTGCTCCTTTCATATCGGATCTTCGATGCAAGGGGTGGAGCTATTGAGCTCTCCGTACATATCGGAGGTGCTGTTCTTCATTGACACTCCCTATCTTGAATATCTCCCATGTCTATAATTTAGCTTAGGAATTCTCACTAAGCCCAGCTATCAGACTTTAAATATAAATCGGAATTCGTGGTTTGTAATCCAGTAATCCAACTCGTTCGCGTTGTCTACAACGTCCTGCAACTGTACCTATCTAGATTGCCTGTGCTATGTAGAACGGCCCCAAGGCAGGGAGGACGTCTCGAAGGATCAGCCCGTCTCCTGGGTGAACTCGGGCATCCCTTGTCCAACCTCTCTTTTTAACTTCTCGGATCTAGAACCCGTATTGACGCTCCCATGACGCCCTGTCTTATAGCTCCTGCGGTTGAGAAAACCGCGCAAAGGATATCAGGAAAGGATAAGTTGTGATTGTGCCATTCAGTCACGCCCTCGAGCTATGACATCGAATAATTGCCTAGAACCTCAGGCACAGACCTACGGAAGCTCGTGGACATATCCTCTTGGATGATCTACACCGTACAGCGTAGTATTCAGGAGAAAGCCGACGGGTCGAGTCTAAACTGGCTAGCTAAACCCACCGCTGCTTCCGCGCCCCGTAGACGTTTCTAGCACATTTTAGTGTTTGTTCAGGTGGTCGCTGGGGATGAAGAAATTAAAAAGGAAGATTGAGGCAGCAGGATTACCCACCAACAATCTAGACCAAGGAGTCTGTCGGTGTAGAGAGCAAAGGCCAGAGGCAGAGCACAAGGAGTCCAGAGTCTAGACGCTGACAAGTGGTCTGGTCCTTGAGGTATCGACTTTAGCTACTGGGGTGATCCCCGCCCGCGGGAGACAACGCTCCTTTTTTGGTTTTGCTCATTGTTGGCACAACCAGAATTAAATGAACTGATTGATCGAATGGTCGATAGGCTTATTACCCCCGAATCCCGATGTTGGAGCAAGCGCCCGGGATATTGGCCTGAAACGCGACACATCTTAAATGACCTCATTTTCTGCATTGCGGGCGGTAGGGTCCAGGCTGGCGGGCGGGCGGGAATCAAATAGATCAGAGCCCCGTATAACGTTTCATCACTAGGTATTTGTTTGCGTCCGTGTTACTCTGTACCTCGACAGTCGTCATTAAATGTTAGATTGATTGGCTGTGATCACGAGCTCTGCTGTGGGTCGCTCTGAGGGAACCGGATATTTTTTCACGGAATGCCAATGGCCTCAGGCATTTTGGTAGGGCGTTGGAGACAGCCTTATATTAATACGCAATATGAGAAAGTTCGTCTAAGAATTAGTACGGATAGCTGGAATGCCTATCCGTTAACGAGGTTCGAAAACATGTGAGCCTGCGAGATGGACTCCGTAGAGAGCAGTCTACGAGTCCATAGGTAGTCCAAGGCAACCGAATACTGCCAGTCGGTGACAGCTTGACGTGCGCGACCGTCCGGAGTGTTCAGAATTCAGGCACGTGGAACCATTGGTCCATTCATAACTCAGGTATTCTTTGGTTATTCAGTTTTCCCTTGAACCAGAATCCTTGTTGACGGATCCGACCAAAACCAAAACCAAAACCAAAACAATCAGATAGCGTCGGGAGACCGACCTGTCAACCGGACAGCCAAGGAAAAGGGTCGTCGAATGGGCATCACCGGCCAAGGCTCGGCAATGACACCAAGCCCACACGACTCATTGCCCAAGTTGATGGGGCACGGTAGACGACCAGGTAGTACTCCGTAGGAGTCTGGACCGCCGAGGAATGCGGCGAATGGAGTCGTGCGTGTGGGTTGGGGAGTGGAGGGACGACCAAACCGAGCCTAGAAGGCTTAGCATCGCAGAGGACAGTAGGTAAAGATCCAGAAAACTCAGAAAATTAAGGGAAGATAACCATCAAAGATCAAACACGCGAACAAAAGTCGCTTAGGAGGGATCCATGGCGGGCAGTGGGCAAATCTCCGAGTTGCACAAAGGAGGCAACGAGGAATCGGAAGGTGAAACGTTAGCGGGCGCCCATTGACTCCAGCCTGAGCTGCCGAATTGCCAAGTTTTGGCGGTTAATCATTTCGCGACCCCTGGATGTGGCCCGTTCATTTTGCGCCCCTCCGTCTGGCGTGCCCGTGATTGGTGCTGAGGGTAAATTGAGGGTAGTGGGAGAGAATTTTGGGTTTTTTTTTTTTTTTCCTCTTTTTCTTTTTGATTCGAAAACCTGGATTTCAGAACGGTTGGTGGCGGTCTCCTTTGACGCCGTCAGGATGGCTGACGGGAGTGAGGCAGACTCCTACTCCGACAGTTACGGGGTGCTGTTTACTAGTCATTGAGAATGACCGGTTTCTCTTTTTGGGGCTTTGTTTTGTCCTTTATTTCGATCACTCCGATCAACACTGCCTGTCTCACCCATGGTTCTGTGGTCCCGAGACGAGGGTACGTCACAAGCACCCGGAGATAGGAGAATTACCTGTGTACCTTACAGTGGTACAGCAGGGACTCCCGTCTCCCGTAGAGACCGCCACGTTCCTCCAGTAAATCTCGCAACATCGTCCAGAAGGCCCCGGAGCGTGACGGGGACGCGGGTGGATCGTTGAGCGTGCAGGTTGGTAATTAGGATTAATATAAATGATAATTGGGATCACACCTTAGAGTGTGATCCGATCCGACGAAATAGATTAAATCGAGGAGCAGCGACCGGGCTGGGTGACTGACTCTACTGAGGGTAAACATCATCAAACCTTGTCCCCTGAGTGGGGCCATGCGCGCTAGCCCCGTCTGGCCCTCTGATTGGCCCCGTAGCTGCCGGTGCCTGAAACGGTGGGAAGGTGATTTGTCCCGAGGGGGTTTAGCGGGTCCAGGGGTACGGCATATCCTCATTGACTCTGTTCAGTGTTCAGTGTTCCGTCAGATGAAGGACGTTGGAAATGAGCAAATTATCGATCATTCGTTCAGGATTTGGCATCCTTGGCTGACGGGCGTTCGGCGCTTTATCAAATGTCAGGGCTGGAGGATTCCTACGTGAGGCCGATACGCTGGGGGTGGTCCTCTGGAATGCTGCCTCTTGCCGTGCGGCCAACAGAGTGGAGGAGGGACGGGTTCCTTAGGTTATAGACTAGATAGACTATGCCAGGCGATCTCCGGTATGTGCGCTTGTGGTTGGGAAAGCAACCCGGGCCCCAATCCAGGGGGGGAACAAAAGACTGAAAGAGAGCCGCTCCAGAGCGCCTGAACGTTTCTCTTTCACGGCAGGCTCTTTGAATACGGGCAGCATTGTTATCGTGTCTCAAAGAAACGGCGACCGCGGTGCTGAGGGCGCATAAATTCGAGGACGGAACCGAGATCGACCCCGTCATTTGGAACTGGAACAGTATCCTGAAAAGCCCAAAAAGTCAAAACCGAAAGCTCCAATCCCCTCCCCGACCGTAAATTAATTATTTGCCTTTAATTATTGCCAGATCGCATGGCCCCACTGGGTGTACGCCGCCCTCTCCTTTCCCGTGATTAGAAGGATCCAGTCGCTCCAGACTATATTATCACTTATTTCTCCCTCATCTTCCTTTCCCGCTCTCTCTCTCTCTCCGGCCTCAGTTTCCATCTGGTTATCATCATCGCCACTGGCACGCTTTTTTCACTCTTTCAAAAAGTGTTCCCAACGGCTGTCACTCTTTATTGTCAATATTGGAAACCCACCGCCCACGTACATACCCTACCATCTTATCTCTCCCTCCTTGACGGCTAGTCCTGTCGCAGTCGATCTGCTCAATACCAGAAACTTCATTCTCTTTTTCAACTTCCCGGCGAAGTCATTTGATCCATCAACTCACAGTTGACCTGTGGAGACATCTCGTGAAAACAAATCCACATCATCAGCAATCATGCGTACTTCTATGCTTCTGGGTGCTCTCTGCGCCGCCGGTGCCATGGCCTCTCCCATGGAAAAGCGCTCCTACGAGACCGACTGGACCATCGTCACCGTGACCACCACCATCACCGCTCCCCTGCCTCCCGCGGCCCCGACCACGGCCCCCGTGCAGAAGGTGAAGGTCTCCGAGTCCGTCTCCAGCGCTCCCGCCCCCGAGGTTGAGTCAACCACTTCGGAGCCCGCCCCGGTCCCGACCACCACCCCGGCCGCTGCCCCCGTCGAGCCCTCGACCGAGGCTCCCGCTCCCGAGCCCACCACCTCCCAGGGAGGTGTGGTTGAGAACATCGAGGGTGCCTTCACCTCGGCCTGGAGCTCCGCCTGGACCGTTCCTGCCGCCGAACCCACCACCACCTCGACCTCCTCCAGCTCGAGCTCGACCGCCGCGGGCGCCGCTGCCACCGGTACCTACCAGAAGGCCATCCTGCACAACCACAACATCCACCGTAGCAACCACTCTGCCACCGACCTCACCTGGTCCGCCGACCTGACGGCCAGCGCCCAGGTTCTTGCCTCCCGCTGCGTCTATGAGCATGACACGTAAGATTCCCCCGTCTTGAACATGTGCCGACGAAGAAACAGCCAAACTAACCTCTCTCACAGGAGCATCAACGGTGGTGACTACGGCCAGAACATTGGATACGGAGTTGCCGAGAGCGATATCGGAGCTATGATTACCAACCTGATGTACAACGACGAGATGGGCTTCTGGGATCAGTATGACCTGTACGACAAGGCCGACCCCGACATGTCCCTCTTCGAGAGCTGGGGCCACTTCAGTCAGATCGTCTGGAAGGGCACCACTGAAGTCGGTTGCGCCACCGTCACCTGCCCTAGCCTTGGCAACGTCGATGCGGCCACCTCGGTACCGTTCACCGTCTGCAACTACGGACCCCCTGGTAAGTCCATATTTTGGAATCTGAAATCGAAGAATTATTCTAACGTACCGTTTCTAGGTAACTATGCTGGTGAATACGCCGACAACGTCAAGCGTCCTCTTGGACAAAGCATGGTGACTGTCTAAGCCTGGAGATGTTTTCAACTTGACCCTAACAGAGGACTCCTCCCTACATACACCTGCCCCCTTCGCATGATCCCCAACGGCTACCGGAAAACGGTGGGCGAAGGGTGCATGGTAATCTTCAGTTTAATATGTGGGATGATGCCCCTGTTGTCAGTCATACTGTGAAAGCCTTTGCCAATGGAAAGAAAAATGGAGAAAGCCTCTGGCAATTGTCAGTGTCATCTAAATCTTCTTTGATTATTTGTTACTTTTGATCTCTTCTCCGCGTCGTGCGATCTGATTCTGTCTCGGGCTCGCCTGAGAGATCTCTGTTCCACCCCCGACGCTATCTTATTCTGCTTCTCTTGTGAATATTTTACACTTTGAACATTGGTCACGGTACATCAATGACAGCGACCCATCTATCTGGATTGTGCTTTCTTCTCATTCTTTCTTTTGATTGGTTTCGTTCTGCTGCTTGGTGCATGAAAATCGGCGTCCTGGAAAAGAATACCTATGAGATGGTCGACCGGCCAAATGATGAACATGAAATCCATGAGACGTGGAGTCTGCTCTGATCCCAGTATCTTTGAATATTTCTTTGAATAAATGCGTCTGTATAACGGATTGATGTTGTAGGATGTAGACACGGAAGTTGTAACACTAACTACTATTGTACTGTAGAACTGCATGCGGCGCAGGACCACGTGACCGGCCACGAACCTTCCCCGCGCGCTTTAAACGTCGAGACGAACCAAACTCATCTCGAAAACTCGCCTTTCCCTTCGCCCGAAACGTCATCTCCTCTGGCGTTGGTCGCTCTCGAACTAGTGACACCGAGCCTAATCTGGGCCATCCACCCGGCCTCCATCCTCGATCTCACCTTGCGTTGCCACTCGGGCACTTGCAATGCGACATCAAGCAATTCGGCCTTAGTTTGTCATCTACTACCTGGTCTCCGATCTATCCCACTTGCACTTGCACATTGCAGGGTATACAGCCCAGTCGCGATCAAGCTTCTTCCTTTCTTCCTTTCTACCCTTCACAGTCGCCTCCTCTTCAGCTCGTCTCAATTGCATGTATGTACCACCCCCGCCGCCCGGATTCCAATCGCTTCTCCGTCATCATCTGGATGACGGTGTTCAGTCCTGTGGCTCTGGCTCTGCTTTCCCCGCCTTCCCAGAAAAAAAAAGCGGCAATCCACATGCATAGACACATTTATTTTAATTCAAAGGTCCTTGGGTTCTGACCTTCGACTTCCTTTGGGATACTTTAGTCTTCAGGGATACATATTCTTTTAAACCCTCGGCTCTGATCTGTGCGATCTGCTCGCATAGTGCTTGTGATCCTGGGAACGTCGCATCTTGTGGCAGACGCAGAGCTCTTTAGTCCGATATTATCTACTTACTAGCCAGCAAGCTTCATCCGTTCCCCCGATACTCCCTGCACCCCCCCAGGCCCTCGGGCGATTTTCCCCGTCCAAGCGATCGACCGTGGTCCTAGGAGTTACTGCAGACCTTCCCTCTATACTACTGTTTCACCCCCTGTAAGCGTCCCCTTCCTCCGTTCTGCCAATGCTCTTCTTCCCTTCGTCCCGCGGCTTGCCTTGTACTGTCTACCACGATGCTCCACCCCACGCTTTCCAAGTCGCTCCCCGGACAGTGGAGGGGTATCCTTCTATATTCTCCCCGGTCTTTCAATAAATAACTCGTCTTCCCGTTTCTGCTTTTCTTCCTTCATCTATACCCGCTTACTTTCTATTGCCTTTTACCTTACCCTCGTGGACTTACTACTCGGTCACTGTCTCGTGATTTGGACTGGTCATGAGATAAATCTCCATGCCCTCATACTGCCTACAAGATTGTCACTATTTCTACCGTAGCGCTCTACGCCTCCTCTCTATCCCCACCTTTCTCTCTTGTCGCTACGCTTAGTTGACATCGGCTCGGTTCCCGAGAATCCTCTTCACTAACATGTCTTACTCGAACATGGCAGTTCGCCACTTTACGGCTCCAAAGCCGTTGGGGAACGCTATGACTTCTCCGCGATCTCAGCCGTCTCTCGAGCCTAAGATTAAGCCTACCACGGTGGATGTTACGCCAAATGCCGACCACCCTCCCAAGAAGCAGGGCCTGACGTTCGCTAACCAGGACTCTCTCCCCAAACTACCGGTCCCGGACCTTGAGAGCACCTGCAAGAAATATCTTGAGGCTTTGTCCGCTTTACAAACCCCTAGGGAACAGGAAGAGACGAGAGCGGCCGTGCAGGATTTCCTCAAATCTGATGGCCCCGTTCTTCAGGAAAAGCTTAAGAATTATGCGTCATCCAAGACGAGTTATATCGAGCAGTTCTGTATGTCATTCGATGGAAGAAATGTGGGGCCTTGCCGGACGGTGGCTAATGACGTCTCCTTCTAGGGTACGACTCTTACCTCAACTACGATAGTCGTGAGTGCTTTTTTCGCAGCCTCAATCTCCCAGCCACACTTGATGTACTGATTCTTCACCGCAGCGGTTGTTCTGAACCTCAATCCATTCTTTTTACTGGAAGATGATCCTACTCCCGCCCGGAATCACCAAGTCACCAGAGCGGCGTCGCTGGTCGTTTCGGCATTGTCTTTCGTCAGAGCCGTGAGACGGGAGGAACTACCGCCTGACACGGCTCGCGGCACACCACTCTGCATGTACCAGTACTCTAGACTGTTTGGGACAGCCCGTTTGCCCACGGACAATGGATGTGTTATCAGCCAAGACCCCAACGCAAAACACGTCGTCGTGCTGTGTCGGGGCCAATTCTATTGGTTCGATGTCCTCGACGACAACCACGATCTAATTATGAACGAGAAGGATATCGCGGTGAATCTGCAGGTCATTATCGGGGATGCGGAGCAAACTCCCATTCAAGATGCCGCCAAGGGGGCCTTGGGTGTACTCAGCACGGAGAACCGCAAGGTGTGGTCCGGATTGAGAGATATCATGACCAAGGATGAGGGTTCCAACAATGCAGAATGCTTGAATATTGTCGACACCGCCCTGTTCGTCCTCTGCCTGGATTACACCGAGCCCCACAGTACTTCTGAGCTGTGTGCCAACATGCTCTGCGGGACAAGCGAGGTCGTGAAGGGCGTGCAAGTTGGCACCTGCACCAACCGGTGGTATGATAAGCTTCAGATCATTGTGTGTCAGAACGGAAGTGCAGGTATCAACTTTGAGCACACCGGCGTGGATGGTCATACGGTGTTACGATTCGCCAGTGACGTTTACACGGACACGATACTTCGCTTTGCCAGAACCATCAATGGCCAGGCTCCGAGTCTATGGGCAACCACTAGCCCCGACCCGACCAAACGCGATCCCCGAAGCTTTGGCAATGTCAGTACCACTCCTCGGAAGTTGGAGTGGGACATGGTCCCCGAGGTTAGCATTGCGCTACGATTTGCCGAGTCTCATCTCTCCGATCTGCTCCAACAGCATGAGTTCCAAGTGCTCGACTTTACCGGCTTCGGAAAGAACTTCATCACATCAGCAGGGTTCTCGCCCGATGCGTTTATGCAGATGGCCTTCCAAGCCGCCTACTACGGACTCTATGGTCGCATCGAGAACACTTACGAGCCAGCTATGACCAAGGTCTTCCTGCATGGCCGGACGGAGGCAGTTCGCACGGTGACTAACGAGTGCGTCGATTTCGTCAAGACATTCTGGGGCGACAACCCCCCAGAGCAGAAGGTGAACGCGCTCCGGAAAGCGACGGAGAAGCATACGGCGATTACTAAGGAGTGTTCTAAGGGTCAGGGCCAGGATCGCCACCTTTACGCTATGTATTGCCTCTGGCAACGGTCTTTCGATGAGGGTTCTTCGGCCGGCAACAGCGTGGATGGTAGCTCCAACGGCTATTCCAGTCCCGTGGAAAACGGGTCCGCTATTGACTCTCCGAAACTATCTGCATCGCTCTCTGAAGATGGGTTATCATCAGGCAGCTACGGACTACGCGCCATCCGCCCGGCGCCACCTACGCCGGCACTTTTTAGCGACCCGGGTTGGGACAAGATTAACAACACGATCTTATCGACTTCAAACTGCGGCAACCCTTGTCTGCGTCACTTTGGATTCGGGCCGACGTCTGCCGACGGCTTCGGGATCGGATACATCATCAAGGACGACTCGATCTCGTTCTGCGCGTCGTCCAAACACCGACAGACTGCCCGCTTGATGCACACCCTGGAGACGTATTTGTTCGAAATCCGCAAGCTGCTGCGGATGACCACCCGCAAGACCATGAGCCCGCGCACGAGTCGGGCTCGAGAGATGGAAACGATCGCCGAGCGATCGCCGGGCGAGCACCGCCGGGGACGCATTGTCCGGGGCGACCCGATGCAGGCGACCCGGGGTACCGAGACGCCCACAACGGACAGCGGAGAACTGGAGGACGATGGCATGGGTGGATGTAAGTTTATTCGATTGTTGATTGATTTATTGCTCTCCCTCTCCTGACAGCTACTGACGCACCAATCAGATGGATTCTTCGATGCAGGGATGCTGCTCCATGCACTCAAAGGGCTGAATGCAGACCGGGAGCGGGTCGGGGATAAGCCTGAGAAACGTCGGTTCGTCGGAAAGAAACTCCGATTGAATGAATATTGAACTACGATGGAGATGGAGGGAGGCGCGAGTGGTAGTGCGATATCAGCATATGTTTAGGGGTTGCGCCGTGTTTTAGCAGTTGGCACGTATATTTATTTACAAGTATACTTCATTCCGTAGAACCGATACCAATGACAATTTATTATTTATATGGCATGACGATTCATTTCAGGGCTATTCTGTGAGATGCAAAACCTGCAATCTGCAGGAAGGATGACTTACTTCCGAGACACTAGGGAGGTATTCCGTACGTGAAACTACTTGGCCGTTGATTTAGCGGCCGCACGATCACACCATGCCCGAGCTCGAGTCGAGCCGAGTCCAGTCCAAAAGTGCTTGAGTCATCCGCCGATTCAAGTATGATTATTAAATATGTATGCAATGTGCATGCACGGGCGGTAGGACAGTGAGTCTGAGACCGTAGGACACTCAAGGGATCCGAGGTGGCTGGCGACACAGAAAAACGCATCGAATAATCATGCAATGCATCTTTCCGCCCTAGTCTGAGGGCTTTTTTTTTCTGTCTTAATGTTCACGCCACTAGAATGGATGCCCAACCGATCATCTGGAAGGAATTGTTGACGAACTAGATGAACCATTTCTTTCTTCGTGTTCTCTTTTTGTATTTAGTTTTCTGGTTGCAGGAATTGATTAACTATCAAGGTCCACTTTCATTCATACCTTGAAATCTTCCTTCGACTATTTCCAACATAGTACTAGATATATTAGCCCTTAGATAAAACAAAGGACGAACGGAGCGAGATTCAAGCATGGCATGAATCCTGCAGCCCCAAATCTGACACGTCCCAGGCACATAGAGTGATACACACAGACATAACTAACAGTCCATCCAGACCCGACCGAGATAAGTAATCCACATCAAACACAGAGTGCTGATAACCCAGGGAGGTGCAGGGCCCATGGCCCATCCATGCAGGCTGCTCGATCCGGGCAATCATCGACATGGATTCGGCGCATGTACCGCGGTCGTTCGAGCCAATCGTGTCTGTGATTTGCCCACGGAGCATGCAGTGGCATGGCGAGGTCGCACTGCGTACCTACCTAGGTGGACATGGAGGGCTTCTAGGTTGTCGACGGACGGGACCGGGGTTGGTGTTACTGCTAGTTACTGTGTACTACGGCTGGTGCTAAGTTGTTACTCCGTGCACGACATTGCTCGCGTGCGCTAGGCAGGGCGGAGGTTATGTACTTGTTGTTCTTTTTTTTCTTCCCGCCCCGATGTTGGGATAAGTGTCTGCGTGTCTGTCTGTCTATCATACAGTACATCGAGATGTATGTTGTTCCTTGGATGGAAGTTCCTGGCTTGAGTTACTAGAAATGATATTGGTTAAGGGTTACTGCGTCTGCGAGTTGTCTGCCGATTTTACAGCTACATACATACACAGTACATGATAAACACCTGAGTGACAGACATGTCGTGAGAGGCAGCGTTGCTAGATGGATGGATGGATGGATGGATGGAAGTTATCTCCTACGATCTGCACACCAGAATCCATAGAAAAAAAAATAAACAACCCCAAACCTGGAACCCCCTTTGGCCCTACGACGGACAGAGTAATAATCTACTCCGTACTAGACTGATACAGAGGATGCTGACTCGCCAAGAGTAAAACCTACCTCTCGCTGTACACTGTGTACGAGCACAAAAGAAAACAACCGACAGCGAATAAGAGTCCAAACCGGTCGTCGACACTAAGGTCGGACTATTCTAGACTAGGTAGGTCATATGTTGGTGGAATATGCAAGTCAAGCTGCGGCACATATGTATGGAGTACGGAGTACAGCGGGCGTGGTCGGTAGGGGGATTGATGTGCTCCGTTGGGTTTCTGGTGGTGTACACCGAGTACAGCATAGGGGGGTTGGCATTGACGTATCTGATTGTAGATCTTGCGGCCTCAGGCTGTCTCGCATTCTCGCATTTAGCCGGTTTACCACGTAGTATTCACCGGGGCAGTATCATTGGACCTGGAAACGTCAGCTTCCAACCGTAGTTTTACTTCGAGACACTGCCTTACTCTATATGTCCCGTAATCCAGGTCGAGGACCACATTAACGGTCATCACTGTCTCGACGGATTAAAAAAAAAGCGCTTGCCGCTATTACCACCGCCTAAATCAGAGTCGATATCGCCAATCACGTCATCTGGCAGTTGCTGGTCCGCCGGTATCCGAGCCTCCCCGATCGGGCTTAGCTGTATTAGGTATTACCAGGACGGTATCAACCTGGCACCGCCTGATGCCCGTGCTGGCAACTACAGCTGCGGCAGTATTCACAGTCCCTCTGTATCTTACCGCCGCCGTACCACGGGAAGATACCCGGTTTCAGGAGTCATTTGCACCACGTGACCGGCCGGGCAACGAGCAGCGAGCAATTCCTTCGTCCGGCGACTAGATACTCGAGGTACATACATCATTGTTTTGTCTACTTACACCCTCACCCTGAACCATTGAATCATCATTTGAAATTTCCGGAAGTATCATTGTCTGTCTGGGCTGACTTCCAGCAGTCCAACTCCAAGTGATTGCTCTTAGGTAAGTGAGCCTGTTCTGAGTACACACCGTACTCTGTACTCCATACTTTCCTTCATTCCAAGCCTGTTGTTATTCCCGAGACCGGACCGGAGGCGTGCTGTGATCTGCTCGCGGCTGGAGCAGGCCAAAAAAAGAAAATTCTTGAATAAATTTTTTTTTTTTTTTTTTTTTTTTTGGCTGGTACATCATTACCTTAGGCCACCTTAGCTTGGTGCCTTAAGGCACTTCTCAGGCGCTCAGGCTGCTTACCCATCCGGTCGTCCTCCAATCACTCTTCCTCTCTTCACTGCTCTACATGACCCTCTTGTCATCAATTCCCTTTTTTTTCAGTCACCAAAATACTCTAAACCTGTCCGGTGTTCCTTTTTCCCGTGCCCCTAGCCTCCCTGCACCCTCCCCCCAATCTCCAATCCGCAACTGTAACACGCAGTCAGGCCATCGTGCTCTGGTCAGATCCACCTTGGATCTTCCGTGTCGCTGGGATTGGTTCTTCCGCGCCTACCCTTCTGCTTCCTCCTGCCTCTAGCGTCCCATCGTTTTTCTGCCTCTGCACCCGCTGGCGAACTAGCGCCCTCGTTGCTGAGCATCTGCTGCTGCTTGGTCCTGCAATACGGCAAATCCTTTGTTTTCCGATCGCTCAAACTGGAGGAGGGGGCCTTTGGTCTATTGATTGACGCCGACCGCAAAGACTAGTGACATCGATTGCCTTGTCTATCTGCTTGCGCTCGATCCTCCATTGACCCTATCTTCTCTATCTCGTGCTTTGTGACGCTGTTGATGCTTTCGCAACCTTGGATGGCCTTTCCTCTTTGCAATTCGTCCCGAGAAAAAGCTTAGATCATCCAACTTCTTACGCACGCCTTCACAACTTGCTTTGCGTTCCATCTACTTGGAGAACCTCCACTTCTTCCCCCCCCCCTTTTTGCGAACTCCTTGACGCTTGCATTTGGTGCTTCACTTGTTACAGTCACTCCGGGAAAAAACTGAACCGAAAGGAGTGAACGAGAAGAACGTAAAAAGCTCACGTCACCTCTGCCGCTGTACAGGACATATCGCCCTTTTGCCTCTTAACGCTCTCTCCCCCGACCGCTGGGAAAACCTGTCTCGCCGTCGATCAGCGGTCGCATTTTCCGACGACGGCACCCTTGTCGATATCCGAAAAGTCTTCTTTTCATCCCTCCCATCTTACTTGAGATGATGGCGGCAGCGCTTGATCAACCCCTGTTCGAATCAATTGCGGGCCCTCCAGCAACCGACGCGGCTTCGATCACTCCTCCCCATAGCGCCAACGGCAAGAAGGAGGTCCCCGATGGCGTCCCATCGGAGCTGTCGGATCTCGAGCTGGATCCGAATGCCGCCGGAGCGCCGGACATGCCGTCGGTAGAGGAAGAGGAGGATGAGATTGAACCGGACCATTATTATGGCGGCGGCAAGATCCCCGTGTTCAAGCCGGTAAGTGACCTGGTCCGGTCAGAGTCTCGATATGTGTTCGGGCAACAGCCACTGACTTGCGATGTCAAAGACAATGGACCAGTTCCGCGACTTCCAGCACTTTATCAACAAGGTGGAAAGCTACGGTATGCGGTCCGGCATCATCAAGGTCATCCCTCCGAAGGAGTGGTAAGTGTGATCTGGCGTCGTGGACTCCGAAGATATCCGCTGATTGTCGCTCTCTTTCCAGGTCCGATTCCCTCCCTCCTCTCGATGAAGCCGTCAAGAAGATTCGCGTGAAGAATCCGATCATGCAGGAATTCCACGGTTCGCACGGAACCTATACCCAGGCCAATATCGAGCGACAGCGGTCTTACAACCTGCCTCAGTGGAAGGGATTGTGCGAGGAAAGCAGTCATCAGCCGCCCGCCCGCAGAGGTGAGAGGCGCCGCAACCAGGAGCGAGTCAACCGTGCTCCGGCGGCTCCCAAGTCACAAATTGCGCGGTCCGATTCTCAAAAACGTCGCCCCGGCCCCGGACGTCCCCCGAAACGATCAAACCAGGTCAAGGTGAAAGAAGAACCGACCGAGGATGGACTTGATAAGATCAAACCCGAAGGCCCGCCGACTCCGGTGTCCCCCGAATCGAATCCGGTCGAGGCGAAGACGGAGGAATTAAGTGACGGAGAGTCTTTGCCCGCGCCAAAGCCCAAGGGACGACAGCCCAAATCCGTGACGTCGCGGAGAAAACACAACAAGGGGGATGCGGTCGACCACGTGGACGAGGAAATCTTCCGGGATTTTGACTACCGCATCCACGACCATGGAGCCTACACGCAGGAACGATGCGAAGAGCTTGAAACCGCCTACTGGAAGTCCCTGATGTTCAACAACCCCATGTACGGTGCGGACATGCCCGGATCGCTCTTCGACGAGAACATTACCACGTCGTGGAACGTGGCCAAGTTGCCCAATATCTTAGATGTTCTGGGACAGAAAGTACCTGGTGTCAACACTGCGTACCTCTACCTGGGTATGTGGAAGGCCACGTTTGCCTGGCATTTGGAAGATGTGGATCTCTACAGTATCAACTACATCCACTTCGGTGCTCCGAAACAGTGGTACAGCATCTCGCAGGAGGATGCTCCTCGCTTTGAACAGGCCATGAAGAGTGAGTTCCTTTCCAGTCCAGTCCATTTCGAATATTTTAGCGACTCGACACTGACTCTTTGTTACCCTAGGTATTTGGACCAGCGATGCAAAGAATTGCGACCAGTTCCTTCGTCACAAGACCTACCTAGTTTCTCCCAGTCTCCTCAAGTCCCAGTACGGCATCACGGTGAACCGGCTGGTCCATTACGAGGGCGAGTTTGTCATCACCTACCCATATGGATATCACTCCGGATACAACGTGGGATACAACTGTGCTGAATCCGTCAACTTTGCTACCGAGAAGTGGCTGGACTACGGTCGCGTCGCTAAGAAATGCCACTGTGAAGCCGACAGTGTCTGGATCGACGTCGACGAGATCGAACGCAAGCTGCGGGGCGAAGCAACTCCAGATTACTACTACGGCGATCTCGAGAGCGACCTGGACGAAATGGAGGGAGTTTCGGATCTTTTGACTCCACCACGCAGTGTCCCGGAGAAAACCCGTGGTCGGAAGCGAAAGCACGACGGTGAAACCACCAAGGCCAAGCGCATGCGGGTCAATGTGGAGCTGCCGAGAAAGACCCCCTGCGTCTTGTGCCCCAATAATCTGGATTACGAGGATCTTCTGCCGATTGAGAATGGAGAGTCCCATGCTCACCGGCGTTGTGCGCTGTACATCGAGGAGACCAGTATTCTCCGCGATGAATCCGGTAAGGAAGTGGTGTGCGACATTGACAAGATCCCCAAGGCGCGGATGGGCCTGAAGTGTCTGTTCTGCCGGGAAGTTCGTGGGGCTTGCTTCCAGTGCAACTTTGGTAAATGCACGCGGTCCTACCACCCCACCTGTGCTCTCCTTGCCGGCGTTCAAGTGGAACAGGGTCTGGTCGGCGTGATCGCAGATGACGGCAATCAGTACTCTATCCCTAGCGTCGATCTAAAGTGCAAGTATCATCGGCAGAAGAAACCCACGTGGTTGAACGGCTGCGAAACGCCCGATCAGGACCGTAAGTTGATCGAATCGGCGCAACGACTGGTGGTGGGCGAGCTGGTGCAATTCCAAGCCGACAAGGAAATCAACGGGGCGGTGGTCCTGGAGAACCGACCGAGTGAGCGGGCGTTGATGGTTAAAGTGCTGCCACGAGGGTGAGTCCTTTCTTCTCTTTCTTATCTTATGCTTCCACCGTCCTAGTGGGGGAATTTGTTTGGAGATTGCCTAATCGGGAACCACGATGCTGACGGCCTCACTTTTTTTTTTTCTTCTTCTGCAGGGATGTAATCGAATTACCGTACCGGTGGATGCTTGTCGTCCGACGGAGCAATTTCGCAGTGCTAGCACCAGGTACCCAGCCGCTGCCTGCCCACCTGGCTCGGAAGCCCGAGGGCCGGAAGGAGTTCGAATCGGCGGTGCCGGTGGCAGGCAATCCATTTGGCGATGAGCGATCTCCGTATCAGTGGGCCGAGTTCGAGACGGTCGACAACGCTAATCCGCGAGCCCCACCATCGGGCAAGGTTGATTTGGACAAGAACGAACAGATCTGGTATTATCTGGGTCCGTCGTCCACCGAATGTAGGGCTCAATATACGCACAACCCTAGCGTGTCCGTCCACAACCCGCGGTCAAATTTCCTAGACAGCGTTAAGTCCCTTGGCGCCGTGATGGCCCGACTCCCCTCCTCTGCCTACCCCCACCATCTGCCGGTGGTGCCTCCTTATGCAGTGGCTTCTGCTGCTGCTGCTGCTAAGGCTGCCCCTCCTTCTCACCAACACCACCGCAATAACCACCTCTCACCTGCCACCGCCACGTCCACCACTACCGTCTCCGCCGCCGCTGCTGCTGCTGCTGCTGCTGCCACTTCTTCCCGCCCTTCCCTGTTGCAGCGCCCTCTTGCCCCTCCTCCTCCTCGTGCTCCCGCTACCTCTGCTGCTGCCTCTCTTACTGCGATGCCGTCGGCCTATCGATCCCTGCCAACTAAAACTGCCCGCCATGCACCGTATCCTCAATTTGCCAAGTCTCATCAGTCCTCCTCCCACCTTTCTCAGCAGCAAAGTAACGGCCATCACCCCCATCATTTACCGCCTCAGCAGCAGCAGCAGCAGAAACCTCAACACCTCCCCGCCAATACCTTCGCCAACGTTCGTGAACTCGTGGCTCGCCGCCGGCTGACCCAGATTACCGACCATGCCAATATCTTCGCCGGGTATACCATCGTCAGCCCCGAGCTGGTCGTTGAGTCATTGATGGGACCCATGGGCTCCGTGCCACCGCCCAATGGTCTGGAAAAGTTGGAGCTCGCCATGGCCCAACAACGGGTGCAGTCTCGAGCCGCGGACGGGACATTACAACCGGTACAGCCGCTGAACATGCGTTCGGAGGAGGTCAACCGGTTGTTGCAAATGCTCCGGTTCTCGCTCGTCAGCTACCTGGAACGTCTGGACGTGCTGCAGAAAAAGGAGTCGGAAAATACCAAACTCCCGGCGGTCAACGGGAACGGTGCTGCCAAGTTGCCCCGCAAATATGCGTACCTCGAGCAGCAGCAAGAGCAGGTTCCGACCGTGTACCTGTCGCCGTACGATATGCCGTCGGGGTTCACCGAGCATGCCCAAAAGACTTTTGGACTGACCCCCTGCCAGCCCGAGCTGCCGAAACCGTCGCTCGCTAACGACTATTTCGCCGGTCTGTCGCCCGAGGACCAAGAGAAAATCCTGAAGACATGTGGCAGTTTCGTGCAACGGGCCATCGAGCGGTCCACGAGTCATAGTCGACAGAGCTCCGCCTCTAATTTCCGATTGGCATCGGCACTGGCCCAGCAGACTGAGAATCCCACCATCGATATCACGACGGTCGAGGACATGCCCTTGTCGGGCTTGGACTTCCCCTTGCATGCGGACTCGCCGTGCTCAAGTTTCAGCCGGTCGCACCTGCGATTCCAGTCTCCCAACGACTTCACCAACCACGGGACCGAAGTGCATCACGACCACCACGACCTGTTTGGCGACCAACAAGCGAACACACGGTTTTGGCAACATGGGCCGTGGGCGGCCGGCGACGGAAACACTCCCAACGAAGAGACCCGACCGTTCTTCGGTCCGCACGAACGGCTGAAGCATGACTATGCCTCGTCAGATATCTCACTGGGGCGTGGCGGCCCGGGTTCTCTGCATTCCGTCGACATGGCCGGGTTCGGGCTGGACGGTACAGACGACCTCGGTAACGTTCTCAGCCCTTGACACCTTTGGTCACTGTTCCGAAAAGAAAAAACCGACACTTGTTTCTGTATTTGCATGCCGGCGACCGAAAAAAGCTGCTTTATCTTTTCTTACCCATGTAACGATTTAACTGGATTGACGACTGCATGACTGGGCGTTTTCTGTTCTTCTTGTGCCTTTTTGCTTGATGCTGATCACTGATCGATCACTGTTCACACATCATTCTCTTCATTCCCACCGGTGTTTTTTCCCCCCTTATTTCACGACGGAGTTGATGCTAGCTGGCTGGTTACGACTCGGACCGAGACTTGGTGTGTTGCAATTTGCTCTCGGCCTTGTTCTCTCGTTGATACAATTATTGTTTTCCCCCATTCCCTCTCCTGTTGGCGAGGAGGTCTCCAAAGATATGGGAAAGACGACGGCCTGGCTCTGGGGCACTGGGGGGAGAACAACCCGCAAATGGCGGTGGGAAAGGACCAGGTGGCAGCCATGGTTGATGCCCGGGACTGGCCCACTGTGACCCAACGTCTCCTCCCCTCTGCCGTCTTGTTGTCTTGGGTCTCGCCGTCCTTCAAGATCATTTTTCTCTTTTCCCCTTTGTTATCTTGGATTTCCTTGTTTCCTCCCTTTCTCGTCCCCGCCATCCCGTTCCTCAGCTTCCTCCCCACTTCCCTTGCACTCTGTTTCCATCCTCGACACAAAACCACCATTAGGGCCTACTTTCGCCCTCGCCCCGTACATTAGAGACATTCCCACCATCCAGCACAGCCAGCAAGAAAAAGAAAAAAATCCCGAAAGACAAAAGAGCAAAAACAATATATCAATTGAAATTCACTTTCCCCATCGAATCAATCTGCGGCTTGTCCTGGCTCTCTATGTGCATATGTACCCTTCCCGATTTGACGTTTGATACCCCCAGTTCCCTGTGCCAACCCCCACCCTCCTCTGACCGGGCATACTTTCTTTGAAACATCAACCTGACGTTGATCTTGGCGCTCATCGAGGTCCTTCTACGCGACCGCGCATCGATGTGGCAGCCGTCACTCGCCGAGTGACCCGCGATGTATGTTGGAGAATACATAGTCGCATCTCTAGTTGTGAATGCAAGAATTGAACTATAGCCTGGTGCCTTTGTAGGAGTCGTGGACTAGTGTTCTTCCGTAGCTTCTGTAGCTGGACCGGTAAGTTGGAGGGAGTCGATCGAGTGGCCCCGGAAGAATATCGGTTAAGTAAGAGAAATGAAAGAAATGGGGCGAGTGGTGCCTTGTCCTGTCCTTATTTCTTATTTCCCCGCAAGCAACGGGTCGGAGCGCCTCCACGGGGATTATCTGGCTGCAATTCAGAGAAACGTGAAGAGTAACTACTAATACTAACAATGACGAGGGATCTACCATCTAACTTGGTTCCTCTACCTGTGTCACCAACAGCCTGCACGCAGTCCGCGGACAGCGTGTGGACCAGGCCAGGACGGACTATCAGCGCCCGATGATTTCATCGCCCCGAGGGCATTAGTCACTGCATCTTATCATGAGGGTATGACTATGTTATCACTATGAGATTAACGACTGACAACTAGCTACTATCAGATCGACCAGCGCGGTCTCGGTCCGCGGCCGGTTTAGTTACGACTGGATTGCCTTTGGTGTCTCTTATCACATGACCCAATGGACGAGGAATTGCGGGGGGGTTAAGGTTTCGTATCCTTTCCCTTCTTCGCCTTCCCTCTCTGTGCTCTCTTTCGATCGTCCTCCTCTTCAACCCTTCCTTTTCTTCCCTCTCCCTCCCTCTCCTTCTCTTCTCTTTCTCTTTCTTCCTGTCCCCTGCGACATGTCTCGCGACACTTCGTCTCAACTCATTGCTTCCCATCGCTGCTCCCCCTATACATTTGATTGCATTGTTTGATCTCTCAACTCGCACCATGCGGCAATCCTCCGTCGATGCCAACGCCAACGAGGCGTTGGCGAGAATGGGTTACAAGAGCGAATTGCCTCGAAACCTGAGCATGTTGAGTGTTCTCGGACTGTAAGCATCCCATCCCCTTTGCCTTTTGCCTCCTACAGTATCTCTCGTGTCCCCTGACCCGCCTTCGCCCTCTCTCCCATTGGACACCCGCTAACTTCTTATCTCTCTTCTCCACCCGATACAGCTCCTTCGCAATCATGGCCGCCCCGTATGGTCTCAGCACCACGCTATACATTACCCTCACCGACGGCCAAGCCGTCAGCGTCATCTGGGGCTGGGTGCTGGTCACTCTGATCTCCCTCGCGATCGCCGCCTCCCTGGCCGAGATCTGCGCCGTGTACCCGACCGCCGGCGGCGTGTACTACTGGAGCGCCATGCTCTCGTCCAAGGAATGGGCGCCCATGATGTCCTTTATCGACGGCTGGCTGACTCTCGTGGGCAATTGGACCGTCACGCTGAGTATCACGTTTGGTGGCGCCCAACTGATCCTCAGCGCCATCTCCCTGTGGGACGAGACGTTTGTGGCCAATGCCTGGCAGACCGTGTTGATGTTCTGGGCGGTCATACTCTTCTGCGCGCTGGTCAATATCTTCTTTTCCAAGTGGCTGGATTTGATCAATAAGGTTTGTATCTTCTGGACGGCGGCTAGCGTCATCGTCATTCTGGTGACGCTGCTGGTCATGGCCAAAGATCGCCGAGACGCTGCGTTCGTGTTTGGTCATTACGATGCTTCAGCCAGTGGATGGTAAGTTTGATCTTCATGCCCTCGGGGTTCATGAGAAACTGGAGGCTGACTGATTAACGTCCCGTAGGCCGTCCGGATGGGCCTTCTTCGTCGGCTTGTTACAGGCTGCCTATACTCTGACCGGGTACGGTATGGTCGCGGCCATGTGCGAGGAGGTGCAGAATCCCCATCGCGAGGTCCCCAAAGCCATTGTGCTGTCCGTGTTTGCAGCAGGCGTTACCGGTGTGATCTATTTGATTCCCATCCTGTTTGTCCTGCCCGATGTCAAGATGCTTCTCAATGTCGCCAGCGGCCAACCGGTCGGAATGGTGTTCAAGATCGCGACGGGGTCCACTGGTGGAGGCTTCGGTCTACTTTTTCTTGTTCTGGGAATCATGATTTTTGCCGGCATTGGCTCCTTGACGGCCGCCAGCCGGTGCACCTACGCCTTCGCTCGCGACGGTGCCATCCCCGGATTCCGCCTCTGGCGACAGGTGAACAAGAGTCTGGACGTACCGGTGTGGGCCATCATCCTCTCGGCAAGCGTCGATTGCCTGCTCGGATTGATCTACTTTGGTTCGACCGCCGCCTTCAACTCGTTCACGGGCGTGGCGACCATCTGCCTCTCGACCTCATACGGTCTGCCCATCTTCATCTCGCTCCTTCGCGGGCGCGAAGCCATCAAGGAATCGACGTTCTCGCTGGGTCGGTTCGGATACGCCATCAACATCTTGACGATCTGCTGGATCGTGCTGGCCGTGGTCCTCTTCTGCATGCCGGTGTCCCTGCCGGTGGACGCCGAGTCGATGAACTACGCCAGCGTGGTGTTCGCGGGGTTCGCAGCCATCAGCATCGGCTGGTACGTGGTGTATGCGCGGAAGCACTTTACGGGCCCGCCAGTCAGCGGCGAGCAGATGACTGAGTTGTCGCAGGTGATGAGCGGGAAGGTGGTGGCGGATGTAGAGAACGGGGATGAGAACGAGATGGATATGAAGATGAAGAACTGACGTAGAGTATATTATTGTTGGACGTGTCGTATTTGACACCTTAAGTCCTAAGAGAACATACCTATGAGCGGGAATTTGATACCACAATATATATTCTCTCTCCGGAGAGTTACAGTTGCACGGGATATTTAGTTTCGTAAACATGTATGGATCTTCATTCTACATAAGCCCGTATGCAACTTGTGCCTGAACTGCAGGACCGCGCTATCCCATGGCCAATTATCGTCCGTCAACGTAGGAATGTCGTGATGATCGCCATCGAATACAGCTTGAGCCTGAATAAACAAGAGACAGAAGCAAGAAAAAGTCAATCCCGAAATATTATTCCAGTGGGCATTACCACGTCCCAACCATAATCCCAATCAACCCTTCTCGTCACCTCCCTCCTTCCCTCCATCCTCATCATCAGCTCTCTTCACGATGGATCCATTCCCAGGCCCCTTCCAACCCACCCCCATCTCCTCCCCTATCGTCCTCCCCCTAGGCTTCCCCTTCCCCTTCCCTTTCGCACCCAAACTCTCCCTCCGCTGCGTCCTCAATTCCCGCTCCGTCTCCATCAAAAACCGCTGCACCGACCGCCTCCCCCGCTCATCTGCCTTCACGGACCCGTCATTCAGCAGCTCCGTCAACGCTCCTTTCACTTTATGATCGCAGGTCAAGTCATCGTGTTTTTCTTTCTGGCGGGCTGTGGTGGCGCTCCCACTCCCGCTCCCACTGTTACCTGCCGTGGCCGTGGCAGTGGCAGTGGCGTTCACGATGGTAGTTGGGGAGGGGACGGGAGTACCAGTTGGCGTTGCGGTATATGAGATTGATCGTTTGGGAGAGTCTGAGGGTTGATGGAGGAGCGTGGAGGGTGGATGGCGGTGCGGATGGGGGTGCGTATGGTTGGAATTCAGGGTGGGGATTTGGGTGGAGGAGATGGGGAAACGGATGGTGTGTGGTTTTTTGTTGGTGGTGGTGGTGGTGGTGGTGGTTAGAGGGGGTGGTTGGATTGTTGACATTTTTGTTGGAGTTGTTTTTCAAGCGTTGAAGTTTGAGTTCGAAGGTGGAATTGGGGGAGGTGATCTGAAGAAGGACAGTGTATATGGTTAGTATAGATGTACCTATAGATCGAGATAGATAGTATAGATGAAGATAAGACATACTTTCACTCAGAAACCTAATTGTAAACCCAAGTCCTCACAACCACGTCTGCAGATAAAGTCGAGTCATAAAGTCATAAAATCCTAGGAGATCATGAAGACACAATCAATTGATCACGTCTAGTCTCCAATGCAATTATATATACCTCCTTACAATTTCCTGGTTGACCCTCTGGAATTCTCCTTCTTTGTTTGAAGTTCCCTCTCTGCCCGGTTGGATTTACGTCATTCACACCGCATGGCTTCCCCTCCGTCTGTTTGTTGCGTTGGTTGATTGGCGGCAACCGATTCCTGTCCTTCAGGGACACGAACGACGTTTCCATGGGTCATCCTTGCGGTGCTTTGATCGAATGATTGCCGTTTCGTGTTCGGGTTTCGCCTTATGTTGATTGCTGATTGGCATGCCAAGATCTGTCAGGCAAGATGCGCAGATCTAGTGGTAGACAGAAGGCAAATCTATCTAAGGTAGGGGGGAAAGAAAAGATAATATAATATATATGCTATGGGCAGATTGCTCTTCGGCTAATTGCATATCTGATACTTCTATATACCTTCTTGAGTACGATGAGTACTTTGCGCAATTGCCTTATTTGCCTCCTTACCACTTGTCGTTCTTTTTATATCCTGGTTCTATCGAGCAAAGCGGACAGGCCTGTTACAAGGAATAAGAAAAGCTCCCTAGACATACTTTGCCTTCGCAAAAACCCCCGTTTGCTTTGTTACGAACAAATGACAGAGATCTTCTTTCTGTTCCATCCGTTTTTTACAATTCATTCCAAGACGACGTTCTTCCCCTTCTCTCTTTTCTCTAAACCAACTAATCGAGAATTTAGTCAGCGCGAGAGCAATAACTAGACACTTATCATCGCGAAAGGGAACCACTCCGACATTGGCGCCTTGACGGCCGCCAGCTGGTGCTTTAGTTCTGTCCTCTTTTGACCTCGTTGGTATCCGGTCACACGGTCTCAGCATGGATATTAACTCGCGATCCGCGTTCAGGTGGATCGTCCTCACTTTGATCCCAGCCATGAGGTCGGTGCCTCGGTCCGCTAAATCGCCAGAGGTTTCGTGACGAGTTGTCTTTCCGCGTAAATCTGCATCATAAAATAGTTTAGCGGCGTGACGATTTGAACGTCTTAGCTCGGTCTATCAGCCCTGGGGGTATGATGGCGTCGGACACGGCTGCTATCGTGCTCGGGGCGCAAGAGTACGATCTGCATTATCTCGAGTATTTTCGGAAGCGAGTTTTTTTTTTCATTCGCACGTTTCCGTGGCCAGATGATTGCGTCGAATCGAAGGTCCAGGGTGGCAGGAGCATTAAGAACGGGGGCGAAGCATAGAATGTTGTTGTCTATTGCTCATTCGGCGGTTCGCCTTTGAAAATCATCGGAAAAGAAAAATGAAAGAAAATCGAACGGTGGAGATGGTGGATCCATGTGCAGATTATTATATCCCGTGAGAAACCATCATGCGATAGATGGAAGGGGCGTGGACGAGAGAGAAGAGAGGAGTACCCGACAATCACAGGGTCAACGCGACAAGTCCGACAGCCGCGGTCCATCTGTCACTCTCCATCAATCATCAATCAATCCATCAACCAAATCTCCTTCGCCCTCTCCACATCATCTCCGACTGCCTGTCATCCTCCCTTCCGCCCCCTCAATTCCTTGCTGTCTGGTCCACCTTCGTCTCTTACTTCATCCGTTTCCCTTGGATCCTCAGTGCTCAGTAGTCCATCTTATCCTCCTCCCCGCCCGACTCCAACCCGTCAATCCTTCGCCGACATCGCGTGTCTCAGCTCGCAGAAATCCGGGGAAGTTGCTCCATTCGGATTCCAGATTCCAGTCCACCGATCCAGGCACCCATCCATCCTCTCCCTACATTGCATGCGCCGATTCCATCGATCCCTTCCGTCTCCTTCTTCCCCCTTATCGCTCTGGTTCCCGTCGCGCCGGCGGTCTCGATGAAGGAGCCCCGCGCATGTCGCCCGATCCCGATCCTGCTCTCATGAGGCACGCGCTCAGCCAAATCTTTCGATCAAGATGTCGGACTCTGTGGGTGTGTGCTCTTCCGGTCTCTGCTCTGCTGTGCGTACGGCTCTAACTCAACCCGCGATCCAGATCGAGTTTTCGTGCACGCCCTGAATACCGTCAAACGCATTCCGCGCACCGGTACCGCTCGACCCCCTGCTTCGGAGCGACTGAAGCTCTATGGATTGTATAAACAGAGCATGGGTGCGTTCCTCCACCCTCACTCTAATTATTTTCTACATCACTCGCTGTCCGGACATGGCCGCTGACTTGGTTTTCACACATCTAGAGGGCGACGTTGAGGGGGTGATGGACCGACCGATCGGAAACACTGCCGATGTATACGCCGAGTGCGAGAAATGGTACTTGCACCTCCATTCCTCTTCGCAGACGAATACCCCAGAAATCTGATCATTCAAAACAAATACACAGGGACGCATGGTTCGCCCAACGAGGTCTCTCCCGAACCGAGGCTAAACGACGCTACATCTCCACGTTAATCGACACCATGCACCGATACGCATCACAGACCCCCGAGGCGCGCGAACTTGTCTCCGAGCTCGAGTTCGTCTGGGACCAGATCAAATCCAACACGTCCTCAATTTCCTCTACGTCGTCGCCCGTCAATGCGGTGGGCGTGCCGCCCTTGATGCAGCCTAGTTACGCCAGTATAGGAGGGCGATTGGCACGGTCCGAGTACGAGAACCTAATTACTGCGACGGCTCGCGGGGACTCGAGACTCCGCGTTATGAGTCCGGTCAGCCAGCCGGATGATGTATATCGGCGACGAGGGTCCAACCTGGGCCCCGGGTCGGGGACGCATTCGCAGACGCGGGAGGTGGACGATGACCTGGACGACGACGAGGACGAGGAGTATGCGGAGGCGCAGGATAATATCTACGCCGACGACCATGATGATGACAATGACGACGACCATGACCATGACCACGATCATGACCCCGACGGGAATCAATCATACGATCACCGCGCCATCTCCGACCAAACCAGTGAGCCCGACCAACGGCACCCGCAACGACGACCACGCGGCCCGCCGGACAATGACCGCCGATGGCGCCGTCGAGTCGAGCAGGCCTTGACTAGTATGACGGCTGAGATTGCCGCTGTGCGCGAACAGATGGAGACGCGGGCGCTGGCACATCGCCGGCGCACCGGCGTCTGGGCGTGGCTCAAGTGGCTGGTCTGGGTGTCTCTCCGCCAAATCATCTGGGATCTGGCCATCCTGGGGATGGCCCTGATCTGGATGCGACTGCGCGGCGATCGACGATTAGAACAGAAGCTTCGGGTCGGTTGGACCGAAGTGAAGAGTCGATTGGCCAAGTTTAAATTCTTCCGACGAGTACCGGTGCATACATTGGTTTAGCTTTAGATTTCCTATCCTCTTCTTTCTTTTATTCTTTTTGGTCTGTTCAGGGCGATTCGATCTTTTTGGGATATATATCTTCCACATTTCTTTTTCCATTCAAGTATATATATTTACATTTCACTTCCACCTCCATTCTTGGTTCCCCTTAATATCCCTTTGCATTCGCTTGGTTCCTGCTCCCTTTTTTGGCCCGATACACCGCCTGTATCATTCAACTGTGCATGCATGATCGAGTTCATTTCCTTTGTTGGCTACCTACTAGACACTGTATTCTAGGAATAGACCATCCTGTTCCAGTACCTAGATCAATGAAACCGTCCTATCATGGATTGAATGAGCCCTCCAGCAAAGACAACAGTAAGCACAAAAGAGGAGAGAAGAATCTCTAGAAATTCCATCCTACTAAACCAATTGAACCTACCTAGACAAATGCTAATCATATATACACAAACAACAGCAACAGCAACAGCAACAACAACAACAAAACGGACGAGTTCATCGAAGCCAGCCCAGTCCAATCCAGTCCTTTGAATTCAATACCATCAAGGTAATGTAAGACATGAGCAAAGACTGGTACAGGTACAGGTACATCCAATATCATCAGTTAAGGCACCACATAATACCAGTTCAAACCCGATAAGCAAGACGAGAGCAGATGAACATCAAAACCATAGTTTATAAAAAAATAGAAAAGGAAAAGTTACATAAGAGGCCTCGGTAGCTCTCTTTCTCATTTTGTGATCCCCCTTCCCTTGAATACATTGCGAATTACAGAATACAATCACATTGCAAGCTTAGAACTGAGGACCAGGGTATTTGGAGAAGATCTGCTTGGGGCGCAGGTGCACGGGGACTTGGTTCTCGGGGGCGCCGGGGATGGTTTTCTTGAGGCCCTGTTTGTGAGAGGAAGGTGGATTAGTCAATTGTTGCCGTTCGGATAGATGTATTGGCAGGGGAATTGAAGCTCATATCCGTTCTGTTATGTGATATTCGAACAGAGGACAGGGACCGGAGAGCCCGCTGAGTCGGAGGAAACGTACCAGTTTGTCGAAAACACACGAATTCAGATCCTGCTCGGCCTTTCGGCAGTCCCACAGGTGGTGGTTGTGTTGCTCCAGACACTCCCAGTGAGCTGAGAACTGCTTCAAGCAGTGAGTGTTGATATCCTTGATCCTGTTTGTTTGTAGAGGTTAGCTTTCCGATCTGCTCCAGCCTCCCAAGTGAAGTAACCGCATCTCCTCCAGAGCAGAAAACAACCACAGGGAACAAAGTGGAAAGATTGAGCACATACACACTAGCCGCACACCTCGTCACCTTCCTCCCCTCCTTCAAGCACTCCGTCTCGCCCTTCCCGTTGGCCTCCATCTTGCACTTCATGAAGTCATCGTTATATGCCTTGCACCGGTCCCCGATGAAATAAGCCGCGCTGGTCAGCGGCGCACTCGTGGCCCCGATCTCGTCCACCTTGGGGATATGCGCCGGCATGGGCGTGGTGTCCACGAGGACTTGCTGGTTGAACCTGTTTTCATTGTCCGAGATACGTTAGCCAGCTGTTTCCTGTTCCCGATTCGCTTATTTCCTGCTCGTTTTCATTTCGGTGTCGGTTCGAAGTCATTGGGACGGTCTGCTTCGGAGCTGCAGCTGCAATTCCAGCTTTCGCTTTCTTGTTCCATGAACTTCCGACACCGAGGTTTGTTTCCCTAGGGCCCCTTCCCCGCCCGGGGAAGCGGGTTGGGGAGGGAGGTGCAAGAAGAGGGACAGAGGGTGAACGTACTGGGGCTCCCGGGTCGCCATGGTTGCTGATTAGGGCCAATTGAGGAGGAGGGATTGCGTTGGAGGAATTGGGGGTGGATGAGGTCGTGAGGAGGAGTGACGGATGGGAATTGACTGGTCGGCCGTGGTCGGTTTTTGCTTTCTTGTGATTGGCTGATGGTCTGGGGATTAGGTAAGATACAGGTTTATGCCTGAGGCGGGAATGCTCATTATGCTGGATTATGTAATTATCCTGGTGCATAATGTCGGTGGGAAGTATACGGGTATCTATGTATGTTACAAGGGGATTTGTGGGGTTACGAAGTGAGTCGAAGATGTGAGGTTGCAGAATGACTAGATGATAGTAAAGACTTGGGTTTTGGAATCGTCAAACGAGCGATCGTTGTGGAGGACATTCGATAATGACCTTTGCCGCTCTGGGACGGGGATATTGATAGCTGTGAGTGTAGCCTTTGCAGGGAACAGTTGGGGCCAAGCGCATTTAAGAGATTTCATAATGAAAAACTTTCATAAGGGAGATTTCCAGTGCTTAACGGAAGAAAAAACGGGATAAAGAGCCAGCCTTGAGGCTGCGAGGCCTTGGCTAGTTAACCCAGTTAGTACTGGATCGAGATACATGTTAGTTAGTATGTAGGAGGCCTCATTAGATCTCCAGTCCGTATCGACTCCCAAAGAGCTCTCCCAAAAGTCAATAAGAGAAGGCAGCAATGGTTACTGACCCGATGAAGGCATGAAATAGTTGCTATTCCTGTTAGAAGGATGAGGCCATAGACGCATTAGATAAGATGGAAGAACCCGCGCTAAGCCCTTCTGGTAAGCACCTTGATAGCTCTCACGTGACGGCGAAAAACAAAGCAGCGGCCGTCCATCACAACAGTCCCGGTGCGACAGCGCAATTGCTCCCTCCCCCAAACCAAACGGCCTTGCTGCCCCGCGATATCCATTTGAGCAATTGCATAACCCCGAACTTGAACTTGGTGCAGAGTCAATAACCCGACTTTGAGCGACCGCCTTCGGCCATATTTCCTCACAGCCCGTCGCCGACATCAGCATTTAAATTCTCGACATTTGTTGCTCGAGCGACTGACTGGACGAAATTTTGCCGTTAACCACGTTACCTAGAAGAACTTAGTCACTGCCGGGACTTTATATCATCTGCGCCAATGTCGATCTTTGGAAATGCAGCTCAGCCTCAGGCGGGCGCCAACCCCAGCCCATTCGGAGCTGCCGTCGCTAAACCTAGCCCCTTCGGCAGCACTGGCACTTCTGGAACCGGCGGTCTCTTCGGCTCGAACACCACTGGGAATCAACAGGGCGGGGGTCTTCTGGGAGGACAGACGCAGAACCAGCAGGGCTCGACAGGAGGTGGTCTTTTCGGTTCTACCACAACCCAGCAACAACCCCAGCAGCAACAGCAGAGCACCGGCACCATTTTCGGATCGGCGGTGACCCAGCCACCGAAACCCGCGGGATCTCTGTTCGGTGGCCTAGGAGGTCAGCAACAACAGAATTCGAGTCCGTTCGGAACCTTGGGCGGAAGTACCGCGCAACAGCAGCCCCCGCAATCGAGTTTGTTCGGGGGGTCATTGCTTGGAGGTCAGCAGCAGGCCGGTCAGCAACAGCAGCAACAGCAGCAACAGCAACAACCCCAAGCACAGCAGCAACAGCAACAGCCTCAGTTAGGACAGACGATAGGACAGCAGCAGCAACAGCAGCAAGGATCCAGTCTCTGGTCCCCGGGTCGTGCGGTTACCGGAGGTAAGCGACTCGGTCTCGTTCAATACTCGCACAGGGAGATGTGGCATACTGACTTATGGTAGTACACCGAACTGTTCCGATGCAGATGCAAATTGTCAGGGAGAAATGGGACGCCAACGCTCGCTCTTCCCCCTTCCGAACCTACTTGTATAACAATGTCGGCGAGGAGGCGGCGCCTTTCTACCAGCCAAGCGCAGATGACGACGATACGAAGTGGGAGGATGCCTTGCGACAGAGACCCGGGTCGGGCTACGTACCTGTGCTTGTGAAGGGTTTCTTTGAACTGGGCAAGCGAGCTCAGAGACAGAAGGACTTCCTCACCATGATGCAGACCCGTCTCCACGAAATCAACAATTGTCTCACCGATTTACTCTCCCGACATGACCTGAAGATCTCCGTGAAAATCGCCGACTGCCGTCGCAAACATCTTGTGCTGAGCAAGCGTTGCTTGGCCCTTGCGGCCAAGACCCAAGTCCTACGAAACAGAGGCTACGCGATGGACGACGCGGAGGAGGAATTGAAGAAGAAGCTTGCTCAGCTGGAACGCTCGGTTTTCGACCCCTCGTTGAATGGACGTGCCGAGGAAATCTGGGCAAGGATGCTCGCCATCCGGGAACAGTCGAAACGTTTACAGGCAGAGATCGAGAGGGCCGGCCCGAGTGCCGCATCTCAGGCGGAGGACGAACTGGACGAGAATACGATGAAGGCTGCAAAGAAGGTACGCATTGATTCCACTCCTCAGTGTCTCGAGATTGTGCGTCTTGTTAACTGATTTTATAGATATTGGACGATTATCATACCCAGATCCAGCATCTGCACAAGGAAATGGAGTCGGTCAAGAAGGACCTCGAGGAAGCACAGAAGCTTCAGGGTCGGGTCGGTTCCTAGTCCTTGTCGCTATTGCAAATACATGATAATCTTTCGAACTTTGGCGAGGTGGTCTTTGGCTTATGGTTGATGTCCGGAGCAAGGAGTTATTGGAGCTGGGATTTGCAAATTCACCCGCGTTGGAGACCTCATTACTAGAGTAGAAAAGAAAGACCATAAGTGGCACTTTGTCATTTTCCCACTTAATATCCCATCATAAAGAAATCCGAATGTACAATATTAATACACCTGCCACGATCTATGCAAGAGAATAGACCAAACAAAACCATCTAACCTCCGTCATCATGTTGCCAACCCGTTTATGGAGCGTTTAAAGGAACTTCTTGACGAAGTCAACGGCGAAGGGAGCTATTGAAATAACTTGTCAGCTCTTGTTGTGGAGGAAAGAAGAAAGCAGTGATCTCCATGACAGTCGGACTTACAGAGGTACAGAAAGACGGCGCCGGTAATGGCCATGTTGACCGTCTGGCACGCCTCAGCCTCACCGGCCTGGAAACCATCAGTACAAGCCGTAAAATATCATGAAACTTAAGAGCCCGGATTGAACTGTATTAGGAAAGACAAGCGACGAGGTATAA